GACATTTCATGCCTTGAAAGAGTTGTTTAACATGACAAAGAAATAATTTTTATACTATATAAACAAACATTTTCTAGGAAAAAAATCCATTTATAGAATACGCTTAAATACTAATGCTCTCGTTTGAACACGAACTTTTTATGTGTTTCGTAGGCTCAGGCTTGTTCTTAAGCAGGGTCCTTTTTCGATTAAATATATATTGTCCTCAGACTTCTGTCTCCTTATTTGTTAAGTTACCACAAGTTCGAACATTTCGATTCAACCGGTTTCGCTCTGGCTGTGCTCTAAGGTGTGATGCATCTTGTTCGTGAACACAGGGCAACCAATGGAAGGTGCGGCGAAAAGCTCGGCGAAAGTCACTATTTCTGAGGTAGTAAATCAATGGGTTGATCGCTGATGAAGTAAAAGCGATTGCCTCAACCCAAGGCCATACAACAAATTTAACCTTACAAAGTCCATCACGGTTTTCTTCGATATAATAAAAATTAACCAACTGCAGAACTACACTGGGCATCCATGTGATGATGTAGGCACTTAAAACAAAACCGACTGTTTTGACAGCTTTAAAATTTTGCATGACACGAACTCTCATATTTTCGCCTGAGTCAGGAATATTTGTAGTTTCTAAAATTCTCCTAAACTGTTTTCTGGCTAATTTGAAAATGAGTATGTAGCAAAAGGAGACCACTAATAATGGAACTAAACATATTGTAATTGTAATGGACACAAAAAGTTCCTTTCGATCCATTCCCTCTCTCGAGAACATCAGAAAAGGAAGACCCAATGAGATAAACCACACCAAAATAATTACTGCAAAGCATCTTCTCTTGGTTAAACTGTCCTGATAACGGAAAGGAAACCGAATCGCAATAAAACGGTCGATTGAAACACAGCACGAGTTCAAAGTAGTGGCTGCGGTTGTATGAATCCACAGCATCGTAGAAGTCAGAAACAAATTGCTATGAACTTCTGGCTGAATCCAACATTTGATAACAATCCAAACGGGATCTATGACAAGGCCGACAAGAACGTCTGCTATGGATAACGAGGCTAAAAATCGGTTTGATATTGTTCGTAAAGACTCGTGTTTGTAGAACAGCCATAACACAACGACATTTCCAGTTATAGCGGCTAAACCAGACAAGGAGAGCCACACTGACAGTACAATGGACGCTGCATTGCTGAGATGTTCCTCCGTGCAATTAACTCCCATGTGAAGTTGGTGCAAAGCAACTGCAGAAGTCGAGAAATAAGTCTGGAAACTGACGGTAATTTTGATTTGCCTTCCCTCGTCAAGGAACAGATGTTACTGCGATGCTTTTTCTTCCTTCTTTTGCATAGGATTATTCAAAAGTTTTCTTTTCAATATGCATTTTATTGACAGGCACACCTTATTCATCTGCCGTCTGTTTGAGGAAAGGTGCGCATTAAATTAGAAATATATGCTTTAGATATGGATATGCTTCAGTTTCATTCCAAAAATAAATACTCTCTAGTATGGCTAACGCCATAATTTTTTTTTTAGATTCATACCGAAAACTGAAAAATGTCCCAAATGGTTTAAATCTAGAATCATTTGCTTTGTCATGTTAACCCTTATGAGTACTGTCCGCTGCCCACCATAAACTTCCTTCATTCACGGTCCTTGCTTAAAAATTTTGTTTCTACTTGCGTTCGGCTTTTAGGGTGTGAAATGAGTATAGCCCTGTCTTGAACATCTGCATAATGTGATTGTGACTCATGCAAAACATTTCAGTTTCAGTGATATTTATCCGTTCAGTATGGAGAACAGAAAAAGTTTAAGTATTTCCCAATGTCCTTTTTTACTTTGTTTACTGTCGGTGTACATCAGTTTATCGTAAATACAGCTACTTTTTTTTTTCCTGCTCGCTCCTAGAAACAAAATGTCTGGAACAGACTATGACATTCTTTGCATAAGAATAAAAGGGATTAAAAAGCAATCTAATAAAAACATATTTCGCACTATGCGTTATAAATGTTGTGTAACTGTTTACTAGCACATGTAACGCATCGCTTTTCGCTTGACATATGGCCTATTGCTCACGGAAAATAAAAAATATCCGTTTTCTTTAAGCGAGACTCGGTCGCCTGTGAGTATATGCGATTAGCGGTGAGATTGGTTCTTTAAATAATATTTTTTTTACCCTTTTCATCAAAAAGACGAAACAAGGAAACATTACCCTCCGATCAATTTGAAAAATGTTGTCATCTGAGATGAAAATGGTAATGATAATAATTACACTATTAATAAGTAAACATACGAATCGTTCATGTTGATGGAGTGGCGGTGAACGATGAAAACGAACACGACACTAGAGTAAGCCAGCTTGCGTGACTGGCGCAAGAAGCAGAGATATAGAACCTCCGCACTAAAATTATCATTTCCCTTTTCCTCATTATCTGCCAACTACCAACCGGTGCCATAGGAGGCAACCTGTGTAAGTCAGTGCCTTATTCACTATTATTCTACGTTCATTTCTTTTTGTTTAGGATATAACGCCATGTAAAGTTCTACGAAGAAGGAATCTGTGGACTGCAAATAGGGAATAGACCTATCTCATTGTAAGGATTCGCAACCAGCTATAGAGAGAAACACCTAATGAGGTAGTTAGCCAAAACACCGCTAAAGCGGTGACGCGCCGGTAGAAATGGCGCGCAGCCATATAAAATCCTCAAAGTGTGATTCTAGCCCTGAAAGGCAGTTCCCACTGGCAAACACCATCATAATAAAATTACGAATAAATAAATAAATGAAAAAATAAAAAAGGTAGTTTGAGAGTGAATATTGCAATTCTCGGAGGATCACTGAATCGACTGGTCTTTTTTCTCCTCTTTATTCTGTAGATCAAAAGTGTCTGAATTTTTATTACAAAAGAGTGTTCTTCGCACAACTTGCTAGTATTATAGACATTGATGCTCGGTGATGGAAATTTGACGGGAATGAAATTTCATGCCTTGAAAGAGTTGTTTAACACGTCAAAGAAATTGCATTATTATTATATATAAACTAACATTTTAAAAACTAAGGCTTTCGTTTAAACATGAACTTTTTATGTGGTTTGTAGGCTCAGGCTTGTTCGTAAGCAGGGTCTTTTTTCGCTTGAATATATTGTCCTCAGACTTCTGTCTCCTTAGCTGTTAAGTTGCCACAAGTTCCAACTATTCAATTCAACCGGTTTCGTTCTGGTCGTGCTCTAAGGTGTGATGCATCTTGTTCGTGAACACATGGCAACTAATGGAAGGTGCGGCGAAAGTCTCGGCGAAAGTCGCTATTTCTGAGGTAGTAAATCAGTGGGTTGATCGTTTAATTTTTCTAATTCTACATTTTTCTTGCATATAATAAAAATTAACTAACTGCAGAACTACACTGGGCATCCATGTGACGATGCAAGCACTTAAAACAAAACCGAGCGTTTTGATAGCTTTAAAGTTTTGCCTAACACGAACTCTTACATTTTCGCCTGAGTCAGGAATATTTTTAGCTAATAAAATTCTTCTAAACTGTTTTCTGGCCAATTTGAAAATGAGTATGTAGCAAAAGCAGACCACTAATTATGGAACTAAACATATTGTAAATGCAATAGACACAAAAAGTTCTTTTCGATCCATTCTCTCACTCGAGAGAACATCAGAAAAGGAAGACCCAATGAGATAAGCCACACCAAAATAATTACTGCAAAGCATCTTCTCTTGCGAAAACTGTCCTGATAACGGAAAGGAAGCTGAATCGCAATAAAACGGTCGATTGAAACTCAGCACGAGTTCAAAGTAGTGGCTGCGGTTGTATGAATCCACAGCATTATAGTAATATTAAACAATTAGGAACTTCTGGCTGAATCCAACTTATGATAACGATCGAAACAGGATGTATGACAAGGCCGACAAAAACGTCCGCAATGGATAACGAGGCTAAAAATCGGTTTAAAATTGTTCGTAAAGACTCGTGTTTGTAGAACAGCCATAACACAACGTTACAGCGGCTAACCCAGACAAGGAGAACCACACTGACAGTACAATGGGTGCCGCATTGCTGTGATGTTCCTCCGTGCACTTAACTTCCATGTTAAGTTGGTGCAAAGCAACCGCAGAAGTCGAGAAATAAGTCTGAAAATCGGCGGTAATTTTGATTTGCCTTCCCTCGTCAAGGAACAGATGTTACTGCGATGCTTTTTCTACCTTTTTTTGCATAGGATTATTCAAAAGTTTTCTTTTCAATATGCATTTTATTGACAGGCACACCTTATTCATCTGCCGTCTGTTTGAGGAAAGGTGCGCACGAAATTAAAAATATCCCCAAATTTTTGAAAACATGCTTTGAAACTCGGAAATTGTTTTGTTATCCTCTTCAGCGCATCAATGTAAAACAGCTAGATCTCAATCTCTTTGCCGAAGTTTAGTGAGAATTAATAAACGTTTCTTCCCGAGATACAGCTGCTTTGGTGAGTATAGGTGTAAGAGAAAACGCAAAGCAGCAACTCAGAAAAACTAAAATGTATTTGAGTTAAAAACCTCAATTTCATGCTAATCTCACGGGTGGTCACACGCATTGACCTGCTCAGGGAGTTCTAGCTTGAATGTAAATGAACAAAATGTTAAATTTGATGCTGGATATTAAAGTTAGTAGCCTAATTCAAATAACTGATGGGATAAATGTGTCAGGTTTCGAATTAAAAGTTGATCTTAAAATAGTCTGTAATACAATGCATGCTACGAGTAATACGCAAATGGTTAAGGATATATGAAAGTCATATATTTATATATATATATATATATATTTATATATAAATTTTAAAGAGCTGCTTTGTTCAGAAAAAAGAAAGACAAAAATAGTTAACATGTCTTGTTTATTTCAAATTTACAAGCCTAAATGTACTTAATGGAAGGATCATCAATCCAAATTTGACTTGATTGAAACTTCAACCTTTCATGCGCATATCAGACCTCTTGAGAAGTACAATGAAACGGTAAACTTTTTGTCTCTAGGTTCCAGTACATGTCGCCCTTGTCTTAGATCTGTTGGAGACCGGGCAGCCAGTGAAAAGACCGGCGAAAAGCTTGTTGAAACTCGCCCTTTCGGAAGTGTATATCGATGGATTGAATGCTGATGAAGTCAGTGCAGTTGCTCTGACCCAAGTCCTTGCAACCGGAATCGGTCTCTTTGAATCTCCTCGTCTACACTGTGTGGTAAGATTATAACAACTAACAATAGTCAGGATTAAATAGGGCATCCACGTGACAAAACAAATACTCAAAACGAGTCCAACTGTTTTGATGGCTTTGAAATTTTTACCAGCGCGGAGTCTATTGTTATTGGAGTTTCCAGTGTCCTTTTTTACTATACTGTATTGCTCTCCGGCTGTTATGAAAATTAGAACTGATAGCATAACGTAACCAAAAATATTGGAGACAGAAATGTTAAAGAAGCGAACAACAACCTCAGTTCTACAAGATGACCATTTGCTTCATTCTTTACGATCATCACCAAGAAAGGAGTGATATGACCTAAACTGTAGTTATCAGTCCATAACATCTCTTCGTTGCCACGATTTCCTGATAGCGGAAAGGAAAGCGAACTTCGATTAACCTATCAGCGGAAACACAGCACAAGTTAAACGCGGTGGAAGCTATAGAGTGCATCCATAAGACATATCTAATAATTGCACCACTGTGATATGAAGACTAAGAGAGACATCCAGCCGTAAACAGTGGGTGCACAACAAGTCGAGCCAAAAAGTCCACCACGGAAAGCGAGGCTAAGAAACAGTTGGAAATTGTTCGTTAAGACTTTTTTTTGTAGAACAACCACAATACAACGGCATTTCCCGCAACAGCAGCTAAACCAGGTGAGGAGAACCACAGTGACAGAACAATGGACGTTGCACTGTTGAGATGTTCGTCCAAATATATCATGTTCATCACGTTGGTCAAAGAAAATCAAGAATCAAATTAGTATCGCTCCAGTACGGAGGATGTCCTTCTTGGCAGACTCTTATGTCTGTGTTAGCGTATTTGGCCATCCATGTAACTTTTCGAGCGCGGGCCTCCTTGGATCATTCCTGATCAGTTTGTATATTCTCCGTTCTGTTCTCCATACAACTCCTCAATGCACTGACAAAGAGAGTTCGTTTATCAAATAGGAAAATCTTCATCGTTTGGCAATCATTTTCTATTCTCGTGACTTTCATGTCTGATTCAGGGGTCATATTGTAAGAAGAAATGAGACGTTACCCACTCTTAGGGCGTGTTTGAAGATTATTAAGGAAAACGTTAACCAAAAATTAAGCATAACAGAGAAAGGAAACAAAGTTGGACTGTAAAAGGGACACTCCAAGAAGCTTTCTTCTACCAAAAAAAATTATATATATATATTTCTACGTATGCATTTTTACGGTACCTGATTTAATTTCTTTTTTGGGCAAAAATAAAGACAGTGTATGAACATGCTTCAATTTCATCTCAAAAATACTATCTTTTTTTTCAGTTTCAGACCAAAAACTAAAAAGTGTCCCTAATAGTTTAAATCAAGAATCATTCACGTTTTCATGTTGAACCTGATGAGTACCGTCTGCTGACCACCATACAAAACCGGATGTTATTCAAATCAGGAACGGAGAACTATGAACGGGTGTACAGTAATCCATAAAAGAATTCAAGTTAAAAACTCTTGTCTTGACTTACCGGCCATGCTGTTTACTCCGACGTCCGAGTTGAAAGAGCGAATGCTCAAAACTGGTGCTCAGGCCTTTTCTTCGTCTTGTCATCCGCTATTTTGAATTCTTACGTGTATTGCCGGTGTAAACCCGTTTCTCGTTCCCCGTTCCCCGTTCCTCGTTCCCCGATCCTGATTTTAGTACAAAACCTACCTTGTCTCAAGTGCGTTTTTCAAGTGTAAACCCGTTTCTCGTTCCCCGTTCCCCGTTCCTCGTTCCCCGATCCTGATTTTAGTACAAAACCTACCTTGTCTCAAGTGCGTTTTTCAAGTGTCCTTAATTCGAGGTCCTCACTTAAAACTTATGCTTTTACTTGCGTTCGGTTTTGAGGGTGTTACATGAATAAAAAATTCAGATCAATGCCCAATGTAAAGCGTTTATGGCCCCCTTGAACATCTTCACATCTGCATAATATAATAGTGACTCATGTAAAACATTTCAGTCTCAGTGATATCTGTCCGGTCGGTAAGGAGGACGGAGAAATGTCAAGTCTTTCCCAATTTCCTTTCTTACTTTGTTCTGCTGTCGCTGTACATCAGCTTATCGTAAATACAGCTACCGCTGTGAACGTTTAATATCTCCTTTTTTTGTTTCTTGCTTGTTCACACAAACTGACTGTCTGGAACAGGCTATGGCATTCTATACAGAACAATAATAGGGAATAATAAGCAATTCAATGAAAACATGCTCCGCACTATACGTTAAGAATATAAAAGGCAATAGTTGAATATGTTTTAATGATTATGAGAAGAAAATAATAGGACATTACGAATTCGTTTTTCCTCGTAAATGCCGCATCGCTTTTCGTTTTGCATAAAGCCTTTCGTTCACAGAGAGTAAAAAACACCCGTTTTCTTTCAGTGAACCTCGGTCGCCTGTGAGTATATGCGAACAACGATGAGATTGGTTCTTTTAATAAACTGAATTTTTTTTTGTGACATTTTTCATCAGAAAGACGAAACAAGAAATATTAATTACACTATTAATAAGTCAAAATACGAGTCGTTCATGTTGATGGAGTGGCGGTGAACGATAGAAACGAATTCGACAGTTAAGTAAACCAGCTTGCGTGACTGGTGCAAGAAGCCGAAATATTGGACTTCCGCCCTAAAAAATTATCGTTTCCCTGCTCCTTATTATGGGCCAGCCACCTACGCCATCAAAGCTTTATTCAATATTCTTAAACGTTCATTTCTATTTTTTGAGGACATAATGCTGTGCAAAGATCTGCGAAGAGGGAATCCATGGACTGAAAGTAGGGTATATATCGAATTCATTGTAAGGATTTGCAAGCAGCTATAAAGAGAAACTCCTGAGAAGGTAGTCAGCCGAAACACCGCTAAAGCGGTTACGCGCGCGGTGGAAACAGCGTGCAGCCACATAAAATCTTCAAAGAGTGATTCAGGCCAAAAAGCAATTCCCATTGGCCCACAAAATCGTATTAAAATTACGAATAAATAAATAAATGCCAAAAAAAAAAAAAGTTAGTTTGAGAGTGGATATTTCAATTTTCGCAGGATCACAGAATCGGCTGGTCTCCTTTCTCCTCTCAATTCTGTAGATCAATACTGTCTAAATGTTCATTAAAAGCTAAGGCTTTCGTTTAAACATGAACTTTTAATGTGTTTTGTAGGCTCAGGTTTGTTCTTAAGCAGGGTCCTTTTTCGCTTGAATATATTGTCCTCAGACTTCTGTCTCCTTAGCTGTTAATTTGCCACAATTCCAACATTTTGATTCAACCGGTTTCGCTCTGGTTGTGCTCTAAGGTGTGATGCATCTTGTTCGTGAACGCAGGGCAACCAATGGAAGGTGCGGCGAAAGTCGCTATTTCTAAAGTAGTAAATCAATGGGTTGATCGCTGATGAAGAAAAAGCGATTGCCTCAACCCAAGGTGATACAACAAATTTAATTTTCCTTAGTCTACAACGCTTTGCTTCTTCGATATAATAAAAGGTAATCAACTGCAGAACTACACTGGGCATCCATGTGATGATGCAAGCACTTAAAAAAAAACCTACTGTTTTGATAGCTTTAAAATTTTGCATGCCACGAACTCTTACATTTTCGTCTGAGTCAGGAATATTTTTAGCTAATAAAATTCTCCTAAACTGTTTTCTGGCTAATTTGAAAATGAGTATATAGCAAAAGCAGACCACTAATAATGGAACTAAGCACATTGTAAATGCAATGAACACAAAAAGTTCTAATTTCTCCAGTCTCTCTTTTAAGAAAATCAGAAAAGGAAGACTCAATGAGATAAACCACACCAAAATAATTACTGCATTGCATCTCCTCTTGGTTAAAATGTCCTGATACCGAAAAGGAAACCGAATCGCAATAAAACGGTCGATTGAAACACAGCACGAGTTCAAAGTAGTGGCTGCGGTCGTATGAGTCCACAGCATTATAAAAATCAGAAACAAATTCTTTATAAACTTCTTGGCTGAATCCAACATATGATAACAATCCAAAGAGGGTTTATGACAAGGCCAACAAAAGCGTCCGCCACGGATAACGAGGCTAAAAATCGGTTTGAAATTGTTCGTAAAGACTCGTGTTTGTGGAACAGCCACAACGCAACGACATTTCCAGTTACAGCGGCTAAACCAGACAAGGAGAACCACACTGATAGTACAATGGACGCTGCAGTGCTGAGATGTTCTTCCGAGCAGTTACGTTTCATGTTAAGTTGGTCGAGAAATAAGTTAGAAAACCGTCGGGAATTTTGATTTGCCTTCTCTCGTCAAAGAACAGATGTTACTGCGATGCTTTTTCTTCCTTTTATTGCATAGGATTATTCAAAAGTTTTCTTTTCAATATGCATTTTATTGACAGGCACACCTTATTCATCTGCTGTCTGTTTGAGGGAAGAGGCGCACGAAATTTATAATATCCCCAAATTTTTTAAAACATACTTTGAAACTGAAATTGCTTTGTTATCCTCTTCAGCGCATCATTTAAAACAGTTACATCTTAATCTTTTTACCGAAGTTCAGTGAGTATGAACAACCGTTTCTCCCCGACAGGTAACTACTTTTGTGACAATAGGTGCACAAGAAAACGCATAGCTGTAGCTCAGAAAAATTAGTAATAAAAAACCCCTCTATTTCACGTTAATCTCACGGGTGGTCACACTCGCTGACTGACTCAGGGAGTTATAACTTGAATCTGATTAAATGTCAAATTTGATGCTGGATATTAAAGTTAGTAGCCTAATTCAAATAACTGATGGGATAAATGTGTCAGGTTTCGAATTAAAAGTTGATCTTAAAATAGTCCGCAATACGTCAGGCCATTATCAAGCGAACTTCAGCATTTTCTGAAGCACCCATCAGCGCATACGCCGTAAAGCCAGAATCATTCGCGTGACTCCCCTGCGGTAACGCAATCCTACCGAAATACATTAGAATGATTTATGAATTTTGTTTGGCACAGAAGGGGTACGATCTCTGAATCACTGTCGTGCCAGAGTCATGTAGCACTGCAAAGCTAGTCGAACTTAATTACTTTGCCGAACTTGAATAAAAAGTTTGATTCGGACGCCGCGCTTCTGGAGCGCTTTTGTCGAACTTAATTCCTGAATAAAGTTCGGTAAAGCAGAAGAACGAGGTCTGAACTCTGCCATAGTGGCTAAGTTGCCACGAGTCCCAACAGTTCGTACTTCTGCTTGGAAATCATCTCGTTATGATGGGCGAAATGGTTTAAGATCGGGCAGATTACCGAGGTAACTATTGAGTTGTTTTCATAATTTGTATCTCTTAGTCACCAAGTTATGTTCCAGCAGATGTCGCTCTTGTATTAGATCTGTTGGAGATCTGGTGGAGACCGGGCAGCCAATGAAAAGACCAGCTAAAAAACTTGTGGAAACTCGCCGTTTCGGAAGCAGTTTATTAGTGGGTTGACTGCTGATAAAGTCAGCGCAGTTGCTTTAACCCAAGTCCTTGTAACGGGAATCGGTCTCTTTGAATCTCCTCGTCTACACTCTGTGGTAAGATTATAACAACTAACAATGTTTGAGATTAAAAAGGGCATCCACGTGACAAAACAAACACTCAAAACGAGTCCAACTGTTTTTATGGCTTTGAAATTTTTACCAGCGCGAAGTGTATTGTCATTGGAGTTTCCAATTTACTAGGTTTTTTTTTTCTTCTTTCTAGGTGCACAAAGAGTCCCATCTTAACCCACCTAGCCGGAAAAATACATTTTGCATGCTGCGCATGCCTATGTTCTGTTCTTGTGACTTTCATGTTTGGTTCAGAGGTTATATTGCGTGAATAAAAGAGAAATGATAAAAGATAGGAAACAAAGCTTGACTGTAAAAGCAATACTCCAAGAAGCTTTCTTTTACGCATGCATTTTTACGGTACCTAGGTTTTCGGCAAAAATAAAACTGACAATGCATGGATATGTTCAGTTTCATTCCAAAAATAAATACTCTCCAGTATGGCTAGCGTTGTAATGTTTTTTTTTTTTTTAGATTCATACCGAAAACTGAAAAATATCCCAAATGCTTTAAATCTAGGATCATTTACTTTGTCATGTTGACCCTTATGAGTACCGTACGCTGCCCACCATAAACTTCCTTCATTTACGGTCCTCGCTTCAAAATTTTTGTTTCTACTTGCGTTCGGCTTTTAGGATGTGAGATGAATAAAAAAATTCATATCAATGCCCGATGTAATGCGTTTATAGCCCTGTCTTGAACATCTGCATAATGTGATGGTGACTCATGCATACCATTTCAGTTTCAGTGATATTTGTCCGTTCAGTATGGAGGACTGAAAAAGTTTAAATATTCCCCAATGTCGTTTTTTAGTTTGTTTACTGTCGGTGTACATCAGTTTATCGTAAATACAGCTACTTTTTTTTTCCCGCTCGCCCCCAGAAAATAAATGTCTGGAACACACTATGACACTCTTTGCATAAGAATAAAAGGGATTAAAAAGCAATTTCATTAAAAACATATTTCGCAATATGTGTTAAAAATTTTATGTAACTGTTTACTTGCACATGTAAAGCATCGCTTTTCGTTTCGCATGTGGCCTTTTGCTCATGGAGAGTAACAAATATCCGTTTTCTTTCAGTGAGACCCGGTCTTCCGTGAGTGTATGCGAACAGCGGTGAGATTGGTTCTTTTAATAACAACTTTTTTCCCCTTCTCATCAAAAAGACGAAACAAGAAAACATTCCCTTTATGAGAATAAGCATCAATCAATTTGAAAAATGCTGTCATCTGAGATGAAAATGGTAAGGATAATAATTACAATATCATTGAGTCAAAATACGATTCGTTCATGTTGATGGAGTGGCGGTAAACGATGGAAACGAACACAACATTAGGGTAAGCCAGCTTGCGTGACTAGCGCAAGAAGCAGAGATATAGAACCTCCGCACTAAAATTATCATTTCCCTTCTCCTCAATATGTGCCAGCTACCAACAGGCGCCATAGGAGGCAACCTGAGTAAGTCAGTGCTTAATTCACTATTCTTCTACGTTCATTCCTATTTGTTCAGGATATAGTGTCATGCAAAGATCTGCGAAGAGGGAATCTGCGGACTGCAAATAGGGAATAGACCTATCTCATTGTAAGGATTCGCAAGCAGCTATGGAGAGAAATCCTAATGAGGTAGTCAGTCAAAACACAGCTAAAGCAGTGACGCGCTCGGTGGAAATGGCGCGCAATCACATAAAATCTTCAAAGTGTGATTCTAGCCAAAAGGCATTTCCCACTGGCAAACACCATCATAATAAAATTATGAATAAATAAATAAATGACAAATTAAAAAAGGTAGTTTGAGAGTAAATATTTTAATTCTTGGAGGATCACAGAATCGGCTGGTCTTCTTTCTCATCTCAATTCTGTAGATCAAAGCTGTCTAAATTTTTATTATAAAAGAGTGTTCTTCGTACATCTTGCTTGTACCATAGAAATTAATGCTCGGTGATTGAAATTTGACTGGAATGAAATTTCATACCTTCAAAGAGTTGTTTAACACGACAAAGAAATTGCATTTTTATTATATATAAACTAACATTTTCTTAGAAAAAAACATTTAAAGAATAAGCTTAGAAACTAAGGCTTTCGTTTAAACATGCACTTTTTATGTGTTTTGTAGGCTCAGGCTTGTTCGTAAGCAGGGTCCTTTTTCGCTTGAATATATTGTCCTCAGACTTCTGTCTCCTTAGCTGTTAAGTTGCCACAAGTTCCAACATTTTGATTCAACCGGTTTCGCTCTGGTTGTGCTCTAAGGTGTGATGCATCTTGTTCGTGAACATAAGGCAACCAATGGAAGGTGCGGCGAAAGGCTCGGCGAAAGTCGCTATTTCTGAAGTAGTAAATCAATGGGTTGATCACTGACGAAGAAACAGCGATTGCCAGAACCCAAGGCCATACAACTGATTCAACTTTCGTAATTATATGTTTTTCTTCGATATAATAAAATTTAACCAACAGCAGAACTACACTGGGCATCCATGTGATGATGCAAGCACTTAAGACAAAACCGACTGTTTTGATAGCTTTGAAATTTTGCATGACACGAACTCTTATATTTTCGCCTGAGTTAGGAATATTTTCAGCTAGTAAAATTCTCCTAAACTGTTTTCTGGCTAATTTGAAAATGAGTATATAGCAAAAGCAGACCACCAATAATGGAACTAAACATATTGTAAATACAATGGACACAAGAAGTTCATTTGGACCGTTTCTCTCTCTCAAGAACACCAAAAAAGGAAGACACAATGAGATAAACCACACCAAAATAATTACTGCAAAGCATCTCCTCTCGGTTAAAATGTCCTGATACCGATAAGGAAACCGAATCGCAATAAAACGGTCGATTGAAACACAGCACGAGTTCAAAGTAGTGGCTGCAGTTGTATGAATCCACAGCATTATAAAAATCAGAAACAAATTGCTATGAACTTCTGGCCGAATCCAACATATGATAACAATCAAAACAGGATCTATGACAAGGCCGACAAAAGCGTCCGCCATGGATAACGAGGCTAAAAATCGGTTTGAAATTGTTCGTAAAGACTTGTGTTTGTAGAACAGCCACAACGCAACCACATTTCCAGTTACAGCGGCTAAACCAGACAAGGAGAACCACACTGATAGTACAATGGACGCTGAAGTGCTGAGATGTTCCTCCGAGCTGTTACCTTTCATGTTAAGTTGGTCGAGAAATAAGTCTGTAAACCGTCGGTAATTTTCATTTACCTTCCCTCGTCAAGGAACAGATGTTACTGCAATGCTTCTTCTTCCTTTTTCCGCATAGGATTATTCAAAACGTTTCTTTTCAATGTGAATTTTATTGACAGGCACACCTTATTCATCTGCCGTCTGTTTGAGGAAAGGTGCGCACGAAATTAAAACATCCCCAAATTTTTGAAAACATGCTTTGAAACTGAAATTGTTTTGTTATCCTCTTCAGCGCATCATTGTGAAACAGCTAGATCTCGATCTTTTTGCCGAAGTTTAGTGAGTATCAACAAACGTTTCTCCTCGATAGACAGCTGCTTTTGTGTCAATAGGTGCACGTGAAAACGCATAACTGCAGCTCAGAAAAAATTAATAATATTTGAGTTAAAAACCTCTATTTCACGTTAATCTCACAGGTAATCACACTCGCTGACTGGCTCAGGGAGTTCTAACTTGAATTTAATTAAACCAAATGTCAAATTTGATGCTGGATATTAAAGTTAGTAGCCTAATTCAAATAACTGATGGGATAAATGTGCCAGGTTTCGAATTAAAAGTTGATCTTAAAATGGCCCGTAATACATCAGGCCATTATCAAGAGAAATTTAGCATTTCCTGAAGCACCCATCAGCACATATGCCGTAAAGCCAGAATCATTCGCGTGACTCCCCTGCGGTAACGCAATCCTGCCGAAATACATCAGAATGATTTATGAATTTTGCTTGGCACAGAAGGGGTACGATCTCTGAATCACTGTCGTGCCAGAGTCATGTAGCGCGGCAAAGCTTGTCGAACTTAGTTACTTTGCTGAACTTGAATAAAAAGTTTGATTCGGACGCCGCGCTTCTTGAGCGCTTTTGTCGAACTTAATTCCTGAATAAAGTTCGGTAAAGCAGAAGGACGAGGTCTGAACTCTGCCATAGTGGCTAAGTTGCCACGAGTCCCAACAGTTCGTACTCCTGCTTGGAGAGAGAGATCAGGTAGATTACCGAGGTAACTTTTGAGTTGTTCTCATAATTCGTATCCCTTAGTCAACAAGTTATGTTCCAGCAGATGTCGCTCTCGTCTTAGATCTGTTGCAGATCTGGTGGAGACCAGGCAGCCAATGAAAAGACCAGCTAAAAAACTTGTTGAAAGTCGCCGTTTCGGAAGCAGTATATCAATGGGTTGACTGCTGATAAAGTCAGCGCAGTTGCTTTAACCCAAGTCCTTGCAACCGGAATCGCTCTCTTTGAATCTCCTCGTCTACACTCTGTGGTAAGATTATAACAACTAACAACGTTCAGAATTAAAAAGGGCATCCACGTGACAAAACAAACACTCCAAACGAGTTCAACTGTTTTAATGGCTTTAGAATTTTTACCAGCGCAGAGTGTATTGTCATTGGAGTTTCCAACTTACAAGGTTTTTTTTTTCTTCTCTTTAGGCGCAGAAAGAGTCCCATCTCAACCCGCCCAGCCGGAAAAATACATCTTGCATGTTATGCATGCCTATGTTCTATTCTAGTGACTTTCATGTTTGGTTCAGAGGTCATATTGCAAGAATAAAAGAGACGCTACTTACTCTTAGGGTCGGTTTAATTTAAAGGTTATTAGGGAAAACGTTAAACACAAACTAAGCATGAAAGTGATAGGATGCAAAGTTGGACTGTAGAAGGAACACTCCAAGAAGCTTTCTTCTACGCATGCATTTTTACGGTACCTGATTTAATTTCTTTTCTCGGCAAAATTAAACTGACATGGCATAGATATGCTTCAGTTTCATTCCAAAAATAAATACTCTCCAGTATGGCTATAACTGTCTTTTTTTTCAGTTCCAGACCCAAAAACTGAAAAATATCCCTAATAGTTTAAATCTAGAATCATGTTGAACCTGATGAGTACCGTCTGCTGGAACCGGATGTTATTTAAATCAGGAACGGGGAACGTGGAACGGGTGTATAGCAGTTATCCACATAAGAATTCAATTTAAAAACCCTTTTCATAAAGTCTTGACCAACCGGCCATGCTATTTACTCCGACGTTCGAGTTGAAAGAGCGCGTGCTCAAAACTGGTGCTCAGGCCCTTTTCTTCGTCTCGTCATCCGCTACTTTGAATTCTTATGGGGATTACCGGTGTAAACCCGTTTCTCGTCCCACGTTTCTCGTTCCCCGTTTCTCGTTCTCCGTTTCCCGTTCCCCGTTCCCCGTTCCCCGTTCTTCGTTCTTCGTTCTCCGTTCTCCGCTCTTCGTTCTCCGTTCTTCGTTCCCCGATCCTGATTTTAGTACAAAACCTGCCTTGTCTCAATTGCGTTTTTTCAAGTGTCCTTAATTCGCGGTCCTCACTTCAAAATTTATGCTTTTACTTGCGTTCGGTTTTGAGGGTGTTACATGAATACAAAATTCAGATCAATGCCCAATGTAAAGCGTTTAAGGCCCCCTTGAACATCTTCATATCTGCATAGTATAATAGTGGCTCATGCAAAACATTTCAGTCTCAGTGATATCTGTCCGGTCGGTAAGGAGGACGGAAAAATGTCAAGTCTTTCTCAACCTCCTTTCTTACTTTGTTCTGCTGTCGCTGTACATCAGTTTATCGTAAATACAGCTACCGCTGTGAACGTCTTAATATCTCCTTTTTTTGTTTCTTGCTTGTTCACACAAACTGACTGTCTGGAACAGGCTATGGCATTCTATACAGAACAATAATAGGGAATAATAAGCAATTCAATGAAAACATGCTCCGCACTATACGTTAAGAATATAAAAGGCAATAGTTGAATATGTTTTAATTATTATGAAGAGAAAATAATGGAACATTACGAATTCGTTTTTCCTCGTAAATGCCTTCATGAAATAAAAACTTTCCAACATAAATGTTGTGTAACTGTTTGCTTGCACATGTAAAGCATCGCTTTTCGTTTCGCATACAGCATTTCGCTCACGGAGAGTAAAAAACGTCCGTTTTCTTTCAGTGAGCCTCGGTCGCCTGTGAGTATATGCGAGCAGCGATGAGGTTGGCTCTTTTAATAAATCATCAGAAAGACGAAAGAAGAAAAAATGCCCTCATGAGAACAAGGCTCCGGTCAATTTGAATTGAAAAATGTTGTCATCCAGGCGGTGTGCGCACTTCGATTGCGTTGCATTGTGGTAGCTTCATTTTCAATATGCGGTGAAAGCAGCAGAATTCGGCAGATTTTGACGGAACATCCCGTAAAAGTTAGGCCGTTCCTTTTTCCTTTCACCATAGGTAAATGTAATTTGATTTATTCTGAATGTGTAAAAGTATCTTATGTGAGTATTTGTCGCGTATTGTATGGTTCTCAAGGACAAACGCAATCACTGTTTTTATGTAAGTAATTTGAGACCGGATTTCAAGAAGGTCAAGTTTGATGTGCGTCGTAGTTTGGAGCCTTTCAAAGATTTGGATGGCCGCTTTGATCCTTCTTTAACTGCTCTGACTAAACGCTCTCAAACGCTCTCCAACGGTACATGCGTTTCTCGCATTTTAAGTGCGGGTGTTTGAGACCGATTACGTTCGAGAAAAGGCCTATTCTTGCGTTACACAGCGTTACTATTGTGTACTCAATTGTGTTGTAAATCTATTTTCCAAAGTTAAAGGAAATTAACTTATCGCGACTGTTGTATGGTAAATCTACTATCTTGATCGTTGAATGAAGTACAGTTGAATTTGAGTTATGAACGGAGTCACTTGACTGATGAACAACTCTACAATGCGCACGGCGACACACTGGGTAAGCTGGAAAGCAAAAGGCAGTCGATCGTTAAAAGGTGTTGATAGCTTGAGCGACTCCTGCTATTCGCTTGCGCTTTTAAATCTTCTAACCTGAAAGCTTAGCTGTTATTAGGATATCCTTTAATGACTTTCGTTTGCGATGTGATAATAAGGGTTATTTTTAAGGTGTCATTTCCCCATCTGTATGTTCTTGAGGTTTGGCCAAGCCAGATGAGATTGCATTACAAAAGGTAATATTTTCATGTGTGCGCGCTATTGTTTTTTTTTTAGTTTTCGAGTATCGGTCTCTCCCACAGAAAATAACCCCAGATATACGTTTGTGAAAACCCTATTCTAGGTATTCTCTATTCTTTAAGCATATTTGAAACTCTGTACGCTTTTTTAATAAACGTTGAGCGTGACGAATTGGGTGTTAGGAGGCGTAAGGCTCTCCCGTATTTACGCCTTTAAGTGTATGACATGTAAAATAGTTCGTGTATTAGAAGGTCGCTGCCTCTTGAGAATGCGGAACGGAACGGTAACAGACAGTGAATTCCCTTTACATTCCACGTTTATTCACGCTATCTTGCTGCTACTAAAGATGTTCACTCGACCGCGATAGGATGCAAATGACTCAATTTTCGTTTTACGACCATTATGCAACGCAATCAGAGTGCGCACACCACCTGGTTGTCATCTGAGATGAAAATGGTAATGATAATAATTATACAACTAATAAGTCAAAATACGAGTCGTTCATGTTGATGGAGTGGCAATGAACGATAGAAACGAACTGGACACTTAAGGAAGCCAGCTTGCGTGACTAGTGCAATAAGCAGAGATATAAGACCTCCGCACTAAAATTATCATTTCTCCTCATTGTGGGCCAGCCACCTACGTAAAAGGGGCAACCTGAACACGTCAAGGCTTTATTCGATATTCTTATACGTTCATTTCTATTTTTTAAGGACATAATGCGTGACTGGTGCAAGAAGCAGAGATATAGGACCTCCGCACTAAAATTATCTTTTCCCTTCTCCCATTATGTGCCTGCCACCTACGTCATAGAGGCAACTGAATACGTCAAAGCTTTATTTAATATTCTTATACGTCATTTCTATTTTTTTAGGACATAAACTGTGCAAAGATCTGCGAAGAGGGAATCCATGGACTGAAAGTAGGGCATATATCCTATTATTGTAAGGATTTGCAAGCAGCTATAAGGAGAAACTTCTAAGAAGGTAGTCAGCTGAAACACCGCTAACGCGGTTACGTGCGCGGTGAAAACAGTATGCAACCACATAAAATCTTCAGAGTGTGATTCTGGCCAAAAAGCAATTCCCACCGGCCCACACCATCGTATTAAAACTACAAATAAATAAAAAAGATAGTTTGAGAGAGGATATTTCAATCCTCGCAGGATCATAGAATCGGCTGGTCTTCTTTCTCCTCTCAATTCTGTAGATCAAAACTGTCTAAATTTTCATTATAAAATAGCGTTCTTCTTATCATAGAAATTAATGCTCGGTGATGGAAATTTGACGGGAATGAAGCTTCACGCCTTGAAAGAGTTGTTTAACATGACAAAGAAATTGTATTTTTATTATATATAAACCAACATTTCCTAAGAAAAAAACAACCATTTATAGAATAAGCTTAAAAACTAAGGCTTTTCTTTGAACATGAACTTTTTATGTGGTTTGTTGGCTCAGGCTTGTTCTTAAGCAGGGTCCTTCCTCAGATTGTCCTCAGACTTATGTCTCCTTAGATGTTAGGTTGCCACAAGTTCCAACATTTCGAATGTTCTGGTTTCGCTCTGGTTGTGCTCTAAGGTGTGATGCATTTTGTGCGTGAACACAGGGCAACCAATGGAAGGTGCGGCGAAAGGCTCGGCGAAAGTCGCTATTTCTGAAGTAGTAAATCAATGGGTTGATCGCTGATGAAGTAAAGGCGATTGCCTCAACCCAAGGCCATAAAACAAATTGAATTTTCCTTCTTCTACATCGTTCCTCTTTGACAACCAAGTCAACCAACAGCAGAACTATACAGGGCACCCATGTGATGATGTAAGCACTTAAAACAAAACCGACTGTTTTGATAGCTTTGAAATTTTGAATGCCACGAACTCTTATATTTTCGCTTGAGTCAGGAATATTTTTAGCTGGTAAAATTCTCTTAAACTTTTTTCTGGCCACTTTGAAAATGATTATATAGCAAAAGGAGATCACTAATAATGGACCTAAACACGTTGTAAATGTTATGGACACTAAAAGTTCTTTTCGATCCTTTCCTGGTTGAAAGAACAATATCGGAAAAGGAAGACACAATGAGATGAACCACACCAAAATAATGACCGCCAAACATCTCCTCTTGGTTAAAATGTCCTGATACCGAAAAGGAAACCGAATCGCAATAAAACGGTCGATTGAAACACAGCACGAGTTCAAAGTAGTGGCTACGGTTGTCTGAATCTTCAGCATTATTGTAATCATAAACAAATTGCTATGAACTTCTGGCTGAATCCAACATCTGATAACAATCCAATAAGGATCTATGACGAGGCCGACAAAAACGTCCGCCATGGATAACGAGGCTAAAAACCGGTTTGAAATTGTTCGTAAAGACTTGTGTTTGTAGAACAGCCATAACACAACCACATTTCCAGTTACAGCGGCTAAACCAGACAAGGAGAGCCACGCTGAAAGTACAATGGACGCTGCATTGCTGAGACGTTCCTCTGTGCAATTCACTTCCATGTTACGTTAGTGGAAAGGAACAGCAGAAGTCGAGAAATAAGTCTAAAAACCGTCGGTAATTTTCATTTGCCTTCCCGCAGATGTTGCTGCGATGCTTTTATTCCCGTTTTTGCATAGAATTACAAAACTTTCCTTTTCAATATGCAGTTTATTGACAGGCACACCTTACTTATATGCCATCTGGAAAGGTAGGCGTGAAATTAAAAATATCTCAACATTTTTGAAAACATACTACGAAACTGAAATTTTTACTGTTATCCCCTTCAATCCATCATTGTAAAACAGATAGATGTCAATTTTTTTGCCGAAGTTTAGTGAAAATCAACATGCTTTTCTTCAAGATAGGCAGCTGCTTTTGTGACAATAGATGCACGAGAAAACGCAAAGCAGCAACTCAGAAAACTCAAAATATATTTGAGTTAAAAACCTCCATTTCACGCTGACCTCAAAAGTGTTCACACTCGTTGACTGGCTCAGGGAGTTTTAGCTTGAATCTAACTAAACAAAATGTAAAATTTGATATTGGATATTTAAGTTAGTAGCCTAATTTAAATAACTAGTAGAATAAATGTGTTGGGTTTCGAATTAAAAGTTGATCTTAAAATAGTTCGTAACTTAATACCTGCCGCGAGTAATACAGAAGTTAAGCAAACGCAGACCGCGGGGAGTCCACCGCATTTTAAAGAGCTGCTTTGTTAAAAAAAAAAAAAAGAAAGACATAAATAATTAACATGTCTTGTTTATTTCAAATTTACAAGCCTAAATGTACTCAATAGAAGCATCATCAGTCCAAATTTGACTTGATTGAAATTTCCACCTTTTATACGCAAATCAGACCTCTTGAGAGGTACAATGAAATGCAACGGTAAACTTTTTGTCTCTAATCAAGAAATAAGCCATTGGATGATAGTCTGCTAGTTTTCTGGTCTGTGACGCTTTAACAATTTAGCTAGCTCGACTTCGCTGGTTTTATGGCTGTAGGTGATACTTGGGGTTGTGTTACGGAATTCTGACGTGGAAAATCATTGCTGAGAGAGGTTGTAAGGAACAACTTTTATGGCAAACGGTAAAAAAATGGATTTTTTGGCGTATATTTTCAGCCGCTTGTGCGCTAAGAAGTAAAATATTGCATAGGCCTTGGACGAGATAGTTTTGTCTTTAGCCGTTTAAGAGGATGGCAAAAGTTTATTCGTGACGCGTGACTAAGGCAAAAAATAATATATGTGTGAGTTTTTGACCAGTTTGAGGCGTGATCTGCCTCCTGTAGTTTTTATCAAGAAAACCTCACGATTTCCCTGAAACCTTGCACACAAGGAGAGAGATTTGTAGTTTTCCCTTTAAATTCGTGACGTGTGAAATGCTGTTTGAAGTATACGTGACGCGTGATCGTGATGAAACGAGATCAAACCACGGTTATTACTTCCTATGCCGCGCCACTATGCGGAAGGCGTTTGCTGTCAACATCATGGTGGAGACTGAGGACAAGGTATCGACATAAAAAAATTCAACCGCATCATAGAGTTCCTAATGTTGAAGCTTTGAACATTTACACCTTTTCTCAGGAAAGTCATTGGTTTAGTCATATTTCATTTAAAAAAATATAAAAAGACCGGATATCCTCTCCGACTTCTGAATGAGTATATTAGTCCTTTTACCGTGAAATCTACAGTAGACTGGGAACAGGTGAAATAAGTTTCTTAGGACCCAAATACATATTTACTCGAGAAACAGGTCTAAAAACAGTCTGAAACGTTCAATTGCCTACCCTCGTTAGGGAACAGATGGTACTTAATTTGAAGCTATGTTTCCAAGCAAATGCTTACTCTTATTCGGCGTCTGTTTGAGGAAAGGTGCGCGTATAATAAAAAATATCTCAAAGTTTTTCGAAAACATGCTCTGAAACTTTAACGTTTGTTCTATCCTCTTCAATCCATCAAATGAAGGTAAAATAACTGCCTCTCAAACAATTTACCGCAGTTTAAAGAAAATCAAGCAGCTGCTTTATGACAAGAAGTGCACGAGAACGTCAACATTAACACAAGTTAAAAAACCTACCGCCTACAGATCATTTTTTTACGCTAATCTCAAACGTGGTCACACTCTTACAACAGGTCAGGGGCACTTGAGTCTACCCAAACCAAATGTCAAATTTGAAGCTGGATATTAAATTAGCAGTCTCATGCAACAACAAATAAGAGAAATGTCCTAATGAGTTTCGAATTGAAAATTAATCTTAAAGTAGTCGGTTATTTATTACGAGTTCCACATAATTTGCAATGTAAGCAAATTCAACAGCAAGGCCCTACGGCATTAAGAGCAACTGCTCTGGGTTAGGACAATCTGTGCTGTTCTTTGTTTCTCTTTCGCCGTTTTCGGGAACTCTAAAAAGTTCAGACTTCATAGTTTATTCAGACATGCCTGTCAATATATAGAATATCTACATGGAAATATTATGATGATTCATGCAAAAACATTTCAGTTTCAATAACACCTGTTTGGTTTGTAGAGATAACAAGCCTGTAATCTCAAACGTTCCCAAACTTTCTTTCTATTCTCTGCTGTAGCTGTACACCATCCTACTATGAATGATAGCCACCCGGAAGATCATCTGAGCTGTGCAGCGTCCATCCTTCTGTCACTGTGGCTCTCCTTGAGCAGTTTTGTAGCTGTAAGCGGAAACACAGTTATGTTGTGGTTGTTCTACAAGAAGGAATCTTTACGAACAATTTCCAACCGCTTTTTAGCCTCGTTATCCGTGGCGGACGTTTTCGTTGGTCTCGTCATAGATCCTGTTTGGATTGTTATCAGATGTTGGATTCAGCCACCACTTCACAGCACTATGTTTGATTTTATGATAGCGTTGTGGGTTCACACAACCGCCGCTACTACCTTCAACATTTGCTGTGTTTCAATCGACCGGTTTATTGCGATTCGGTTTCCTATCCGTCATCAGGAAGTTGTAACAAAGAATAGATGTTACACAGTGATTATTTTGGTGTGGCTGTTTTCAATGGGTCTTCCTTTCTCGACGCTACTTATACCCGCCAAACTTTTCTCAAAAGAGAAATTTGTTAATATTGCAGTGCTGTGTTTTTTGATAGGATTTATAGCATTTTTTCTACCATTAATAGTTGTTTCACTCTCTTATATTTCTATTTTTAAGTCGGTAACAAAACAATTTAACAGAATACTAGCAGGAGAAAAATCTACATTGCACAACGACAATTTAAGAGTTCGTTGTACGCAAAATTTTAAAGCCATCAAAACAATTGGTTTTGTTTTGGGTGCCTGTATCATCACATGGATTCCAAGTTTAATTCTGTCTTGTTTTGAAATTTATTATGCCTTGGTCAACAACCGGGATAAATCTAATGTATTGCAGTCTGTCGTGTGGCCGTGGGTTGAGGCAATCGCTTTTACTTCATCAGCAATCAATCCATTTGTATATTACTTCCGAAATGAAGACTTCCGCCAAGCCTTTCGCCGTACCTTTCGCTGGTTGGCCCGTGGACATAGCAAAGAAAACACTAGAAAAACCAGGCCGATATCAAACAGAAACCCGATGGAACAAAATGGTGAGAGATCTGGAGATAAAGCGATTAAAGAGACAGTGCTCTGCCATTGATAGACGATGTTGAAATACTCTCCGACTTTAGTTTGTGATTTTTTTTTCTCAATAGTGATTTTAAATCTAATAAAGAGATCTACTCTGAAACAATTCTTAATTCACGTTCGGCTGTTTCTTTGGATATCTCAGCAGAATATAAACTGTAGTTTATATTCCCTTTGAGGAGTCGGTAAATTCAATATGGAGGAGCAGAAGCCATTTTGAACTGGTTACTGAGGAATCTTGGAAAAAATACCCGAAGCTCTCTCATTAATTGCCTTTTACTTTGTCGCAGCTTTTTGTCGCAGAAATCTACAATCGTTGCAGGAAAGATGCTCTCTGTCATTTAGTCGCTGCAGTGAGTCACACGAATTTAAACCACTTCGAACTCGTGCGACTGATCGCAGAAACAAAATTCAATCGCAGCGACAAAGATTTCATAAAACCCATCATGTCGCGCAGGAAAACACCACTTCATGCTCACGTCAGCGCATCAGGTAAATAATTTTTAGATCCAAACTGTATATGCCAGCACGGGTCCGAAATCCAAAATTATTTGAACAGCTCACGCGTAATACATCTCCAAATCAAGTGAATCTGTCAAACTAGATATACAGAAAGAAAAACTGGAAAACGGCAAGCAGAAAGGTTCGCCTTTCCGGGCTCTAGCATCGGACCGCGTGGTCAAAAATAACAAAACTAGCGGGCATTTTAGAAATCCAAACTGTAAAAAAAGGGCGGAACAGACTTTCAAACTTTCATTATAAAAGAGTTTTCTTTATACATCTTGACGGGTTTATTGTCATAATTGACAAAAAGTTATGGTCGGTGGCAAAATTTTGACAAGGGCAAAATTATATGTCGATCAAGTCTGACTGAACTAAAAGGAGTATTTATTTTATTTTCGTTGGAGCATCAAGTGTTTACTAGTATGACGGGCACCAAGCCAATGGTTTGATGAAGTAAAAGCGATTGCCTCAACCCAAGACCATATATGATATCTAATTTCCCCATTGCGACACAGCCGGTTTGCTTTAAAAATTATAAAAGTTAACCAGCAGCAGAACTAAACTGGGCATCTATGTGATGGTGCAAGCTCCTAAAACAAAACTGACTGTTTTGACAACTTTAACATTTTGAATACTAAGTCTCCAATATTTTTGCCTGTATCAGGCGCCTTTTTTAGCTGCTAAAATGCTCCTGACTTGTTTTCTAGCTAATTTGAAAATGCATATATAGCAAAAAAAAAAAAACCTGTTACAATGGAAAGACATACGCTGTACATGCAAAGAAAATAATGAGTTCGCTTGGATCCTTTCATGTGAGAGGGTACATTATTAGCAAAGGGAGACTGGATGAGATAAACCGCGCCGAAATAATGACTTCAAAGTATCTCCTCTTACTTAAAATGTCCTGATAACAGAAAGGAAACCGAATCACCATAAAACGGTCGATTGGAACACTAAACGAATTCAAAGCAGTCGCCGCGGTTGTGTAAACCTACAGCAATAATGTAATCTTAAAGACTTTGCAAGAAACTAATGGCTGAATCCAACAGCTGCTAACAATTCATAAAGGATCTATGACGAATTGTTCGTAAAGACTCGTTTTCGTAGAACAGCCGTAACACAATGACATTTCCAGTTACAGCGGCTAAGGCAGATAAGGAAAACCACGCTGAAAGGAAGATGGTTACTGCACGGCTGAGATGTTTGTGCGGTAAGGTAACGTCCATGTTAATTTGGTGTAAACTTAAGACGGCAACAACAGAAGTCGAGAAATAATTATGAAAACGTCTGAAATCTGGAACTGCCTGTTCCCTTTGAAATTTTCCTTGTTTATATGCAGTTAATTAGCAGGGACGTCTTTTTTATATTCAGTCTGTTTTAAATTAAAAGGTGAGCGTGAAATTAAAAATATCCGAAATAGTTTTTAAAAAAGGCTTCACAACTTAAATTTTTGTGCCATCCTCTACAATCCACCAATGTTAAATAACTGGATCTTCAACTATTCGTCGAAACTTAAATAAAATCAATAAAAGTTCCCCTCCTTCCCCCCCCGGACAGGAAACTGCTTCAGTGACAAGAAAAGCAGGAGACAATCAACAGCAACACAAATGAAAAATCTATCGACCTAATAATTTCTTTTTATTACGCTAAGCAAGGACGTGGTCACATCACTCTTAAAACAGGTCAGGAGGCACTTGAATCTGCCCAAACCAGATGTCAAACTTGACGCTGGATATTTACGATTTCTTGTCTCACTCAACAGTTAATGATAGAAATGTGTTGATGAGTCTTGAGTTCAAAACTGATCATAAAATAGTCGGTAATAAATATGGGTTCCTCATCATTTGCAAGTTAAACAAACTGAAACTGAAGGATCCACGGCATGTTAAGAAACTGCTTTGGGCTTGATCCATCACATGGATTCCCAGTTTAGTTCCGCTGATTCTTGAGTTTATGCCTTATTATGCGCACCGAGAAAAGCACAAGAAACTCTGGACTGCAATCAGCCGAAAAACGGATGGTACGAAATGACATGATAGCGATTAGAGAGACAGAGCTTTGACGACATCTCAAATGTAACAAGACTCTCTCATTGATAGACGATGTTGAGATCGACTGCAACTTTAGTTTTTACATGTTTTCGTTAAAATAGGGAGTAGAAATCTAATAAAAAAAATCTTCTTTTCAACAATGCTTATTTTGGATGTCTCCTCGGTAACTCGTATTACGTCTTCACATTCCTTACATTTTATGACTTGCAGTTAGCCAGTTGCCTTAAATAGAACCATCTTCTACGAGATTTTTGTTAAAAGAATCCGTAACCAGAATTACCTTTTTTCTGGACTCGCTTTGGTAGAACAGCCACAACACAACGACATTTCCAGTTACAGAGACTAAACCAGGTATGGAGAACCAAAGTGATAGAACGATGGATGCTGCACTGCTGAGATATTCGTCCGAGCAATTAACTTCCCTGCTAAGTTGGTGTAAAGCAGTCGAGAAACAGGTCTAAAAACAGTCTGAAACTTTCAGTTGCCTGCCCTTGTTAGGGAACAGATGTTACCGAATATGAAGCAATGTTTCCAAGCAAATGCTTCCTCTTTACTGGCCTCTATTTAAGGAAAAGTGCGCGTAAAAATATCCCAAAGTTTTGTAAAACATGCCTTGAAACTTAAACTGTTGTGGTATCCTCTTCAATTCATCACATGAATGTAAAATAACTGGATCCAAAACTACTCGCCGAATCAAGAAAATCCAGAAAATCCCTCCAACCCCTCCCCTGTCCGGAGAGGGGTTGGAGGGATTTTAAAAAAAATGTGTCTTGCACTTTCCCTTTATTTAGTTACCGTGTGGACACAGGAAGGAAATACAATGAGATTGGGAACAAGTAAAATGAGTTTCTAATGACCCAGACCAATTTACTCTTGAAGGAAAATTGAAAGAAAAACAAACAAACAAAGTAAAATACATAACATTTTGGGAGTCATATTTCATTGACGGCCAGTATCAGATTGGGCTTCACACTTCAACATAGGAATCGGACGCATTCCTTTTAGGCCATAAATGCGGTCACTTTTATGATTTAACTGTTGACCAGTCCTTGAGAAAGATTTTGGAACATCCCAAAGAGGTGCCGTTCTTTGTTTCTCTTTCGCCGTTTTTGGGAACTCTAAAAGTTCAGACTTCATATTTTAATCAAACATGCCTGTCAATATATAGAATATCTACATGGAAATACTATGATGACTCATGCAAAAACATTTCAGTTTCAATAACAGCTGTTCGGTTTGTAAAGATAACAAGCCTGTAGCCTCAAGCGTTCCCAAACTTTCTTTCTATTCTCGGCTGTAGCTGTACACCATCCTACTATGAATGATAGCCACCCGGAAGATCATCTGAACAGTGCAGCGACCATCGTTCTATCACTGTGGCTCTCCTTGAGCAGTTTTGTAGCTGTAAGCGGAAACACAGTTATGCTGTGGTTGTTCTACAAGAACGAGTCTTTACGAACAATTTCCAACCGGCTTTTAGCCTCGTTATCCGTGGCGGACGTTTTAGTTGGCGTCGTCATAGATCCTGTTTGGATTGTTATCAGATGTTGGATTCAGCCACCACTTCATAGTACTCTGACTGATGTTATTTTAGCATTGTGGGTTCACACAACCGCCGCCACTACTTTTAACATTTGCTGTGTTTCAGTTGATCGATTGATTGCGATTCGGTTTCCTTTCCGTTATCAAGAAATTGTAACGAAGAAAAGATGTTACACAGTGATTATTTTGGTGTGGCTGTTTTCAATGGGTCTTCCTTTCTCTACGCTGCTTATACCCGCCAAGCTTTTCTCAAAAGAGAAATTCGTTAATATTGCAGTGCTGTGTTTTTTGATAGGATTTATAGCATTTTTTCTACCATTAATAGTTGTTTCACTCTCTTATATTTTTATTTTTAAATCGGCAACAAAACAATTTAAAAGAATATTAGCAGGAGAAACATCTACATTGCAAAACAACAATTTAAGAGTTCGTTGTATGCAAAATTTTAAAGCTATAAAAACAATTGGTTTTGTTTTGGGTGCCTGTATCATCACATGGATTCCTAGTGTAATTCTGTCTTTTTTTGAAATTTATCATGCCTTAGTCAACAACCGGGATAAATATAATGCATTGATGTAACATTAGGACAAAAAAAGGTTGTTTGTTTTGTTTATTTGTGATTAATGGCTGCACATGCAACAGAGAACAGAAACAGGCTAATTTAAAATTCTGGTGCAATTGTTTGGTTGTCCATGAAACATACAAATTTTACTTAACAACAATAATTGCAAAAGTTCCAATACCAGACATGAAAAGCTATTTCTCAGTTGAACCAGGACAAGAATAAACCCATAGCAACCATTTATGGCTAGATCATTTGCATATTTTTATGTTGTAATAATTAAAATTCAGCATTCCTACATGCGTAATTAGCGATGAGTTTTAGAAACTACAGCATCTCAGAATTTCGTTAGATTGAAAAATCTTTCAAACTTTTGAATGGAGAAAGTACCAACAGATGCAGTAATATCAAATTCTTAATTCTTAATTTGACACAAAAATTAAAATAAATAAATAACTTATTAACTTCAATTAATTACAAATACATAGATTGTAGACGCCTCAAGATGTTGAACGAAGAGAAAGTGGCTCCATGTTTTGTGAGACAAACCATTTCTTCAAGTTCGAACGACTCGAGTAGAAAACATGAAAATATAGCGCTGAAAAGTACCATGGCTAAACAATGAAATTCACTCCTCTCGCTGCAGGATCAACACCACTTTACCCGTGAGTTTGTTTGCTCCTCACATTTGCGCTCGGTAATTTAATTCTCAGATGTTTGACGGGTTCTCACATGACAATGCTTTCAAAATCAAATTACCGCGTCAGACTTAATGTAAATATGAACGTCGCTGACTCAATCTCATTGCAATTCAATTTTGGGAAACGCTATTACTTCGTTCTTAGGGTAAAACAACAAACATTCGACAAAGCGCAATTTTTTTAAATGAATAATGTAAACCTTGCAACTGAAGAGAGAATGATAAAAACTTGCTCCCACCGTTCGCTATCATTTTAAAACTTTCTAGGCAAAACATAATCCGTAAGATAACTTCTTTCCCCTAAACAACATGACTGTATTAAAGATTCCAAAAGGTGGAACAAGAAATAATTTGAAGAATACAAACACTTTGAAATGTTATTCGAGCGATAAACGAGCGCGATGGGTTTAAAGCGATGAATGCAAAAGTCATTGTTTTACCGAAACTTGATTGGAATTATAAACTAAAGCTAGTATCAAACGAAGAAAGGGAAAAAAGGTTTGAATTTTTCTGGACCTTAGCGTAAGAGAAAACCCAGATAAGACACGACTTACCTCCTCCTCTTTCGTGGATCCTTTGTGGCTCGCTTCTCTATGTTGATGACCCCTTTTCAGTCTGTTTTCTGGAGCTCTTTGTATTTCCTTCTCACGTTGCTCTTCGCTAGATATTTGCCTTTTTACTTATGTCTTTCCTTGTTCTCTATCGCGTCCCTCTCGCCATATTCTGCCTATTTTAGCGTCCTTTCTAACTTTCTTGCGCGTTTGCAGATTATTTGCCTACGCGGCTTCACATCTACTAGCTCACGCGAAGCCCTCGTGTAATGCCTAACCGTGTGCCAGCGGTACGCTGCACTAAAACTCGGCACTTGAGTATGCGCACTACATCGTGATCTGCCAGTGTCTCCTGGCACTAATAGGGTATCCTGGTTACGCATGCAATCGGACCTGCGCATTACCTTCTCCTTTGACCTTCCATTACCTAATGGCTAAGAACGTGCTTGCGATACACTCGGCCGCGCATGCTAAAAGTAGCACCTTGTACGGTCGGTCGTACGATCATAAGCCCAAATTTTTTTGCCTTGATGGGCTACTACTATTTTGTATAATTATGGGGCTACGTAGCGCGCGCTGTGAGCTCCGCTTTTAAAGGGAATAACTTTTTTAAACTGCTAATTGATGACAACAATATAGCGCTAATTTAAAAGGAGAATCATTAAGAATTTATAAAGTCCTTAAGAAGTTCACGTTTAAGACTATACTTAAAAACCGGCATCGAATTAATAGTTTTAGGAGAACCACGCTGCGAGTTAACTATTCTGTAATAAGAGGTCCTCTGTCCGCTAGCTGACTAACCTAACCCTAACCCCAAGGACACCGCTCATGACATAATAAATCTGCATAAAAGGATACGATAATTCATGCAAAACAATTCAGTTTCAGAAAGATGTGTTTGGTTTGTTGAAAAGGGGGTAAAATTTCGAGCATTTTCCAAGCTTACTTTCTTTCTTCTGCTGTCGCTATCCACCATCTTACCATGAATGATAGCCACCGGCACGATCAGCTTAGCAGTGAAGCGTCCATCGTCCTTTCACTGTGGCTCTCTATTTCTGGTTTTGCAGCTGTTACTGGAAATATAGTTGTGTTGTGGCTGTTCTACAAAAATGAGTCTTTACGAAGAATTTCCAACCGTTTTCTAGCCTCTTTATCCGTAGCAGACCTTTTAGTTGGGCTTGTGATAGCTCCTACCTGGATCATTTTCATCTGGTGGTTTACATTTCACAGCGTCTTTTTAGGATGGTTGTGGGTTCACACAACCACCGCAACCACTTATAACATTTGCTGTATTTCTGTCGACCGTTTCATTGCGATTTGGTTTCCTTTCCGTTATCAGGAAATTGTAACAAAGAAAAGATGTTACACAGTGACTATTTTGGTGTTGTTATTTTCACTGGGTCTTCCTTTCTCGACGTTGCCGGTGAAAGACAAGGAAAATTTCAATATTGTGATGTTATGGATTTCCCTGGCATTCATAACATTTGTTATTCCATTACTTGTGGTCTCATGTTCCTATATTTTAATTTTCAAATCAGCAAAAAAACAGTTTTATAGAATATTAGCAGGAGAAAGTCCTATAACATATAACGACAATTTTAGAGTTCGTAGTATGAAAAATTTTAAAGCTATTAAAACCATCGGTTTTGTCTTGGGTGCTTGTATTATCACATGGGTGCCCAGTCTCGTTTATCTGTTTGTTGATTTTTATTATACCGTGATAAATGACTGGGATAAAAGTTGGAGATTATATTATGTTGTGTGGCCTTGGGTTGAGGTATTCGCTTTTACTTCATCAGCGATCGATCCATTTTTATATTTCTTTCGAAATAAAGAGCTCCGCCAAGCCTTTCGCCGAACCTTTCGTTGGTTACCCTACAGACACAGCACAAGAAACACCTGGCTGAAATCAGGTGGAAACCTGATGGTACGAAATGGTTTTAAAAGATCTAGAGATAGAGCGGTTAGGGAGACAAAGCTCTGAGGATATCTTAAAGGAAACAGGACTCTGCCATTGATAGATGATGTTGAAGTGAGCTGTCACCTCAGTTTGTGAATTTCTTATTAAAATAGCGATCTGAAATCTAATAAAAAATCCTCTTTGCAACAATGCTTAGCTTGGCTTTCTCTCAGTAATCGTATCACTTGTTATCTTTAAGAAACTTCTAAACTTTTATTGCATGAGAGTGTTTTTCATATATCTTGACAAACTATTAATGTTTTGTGACAGGCATTTGACTGGGGCAAAATTACGTCTGGAAAGATCTGTCTGATATGACAAAATGAGCAATTTTTCTTATATTTTAATTAACTTTTACTAAGAAAGAGAATTAGGTGAGATAAGCTTTAAAATTATTGCTTCCGATGGTCATCAATTGTTTATCCAACATCTGATAACAATTCAAAAAGGATATATTACAAGGTCAACCAAAACGTCCGCCACGGATAACGAGGCTAAAAACCGGTTGGAAATAGTTCTTAAAGACTCGTTTTTGTAGAACAGCCAGACTAGAGTTCTGAAAATTTGAAATGAATAAGATTTTTTAATTACTTCCCTCTCCGTAGACCCCCTGGTTTGAGTTTGCTTAACTTGCATATTACCTGCAACAAGTTTTAAATTACTGACTATGTTAGGATAAATTTTGTATTCGAAACTTAACACATTTATCTCATTAGTTATTTAAATTAAGCTACTCATCAGTCTTACATTTGACATTCGTTTTGAGGAGATTGAAGTAAGTGCCCACCGAGCCATTTATGGCCACAGTGTGACCATAATCGTGCGAGATTAGTATTTTAAAAGAGATTTTAAAATAGTTTCATTATCTGACGTCCCTGTTTTGTGTTTCCTCGTGCACTTCGTTTCACGAAAGCAACTGCCTGTCGAAGGGGACGTTTTGTTGAATTTCTTTTTACATTTTGGCGAATAGATTTAAGATCTTGCTGTTTCCAAATTGACGAAATGACATTCCGAGCAAGAGGAGATGCTTTTCGGCCATTATTTTAGTGTCCTTTATCTCACTGAGTCTTCCTTTGGCTAAATATTAATTTTCAAATCAGCCAGAAAACAATTTAGGAGAGTTTTAGCAGCTAAAGACGGAAACCCCTGAGGCGAATTACATTAACACGTACGTTCTGTTTAAAAAACAAGCCGTGCTGGCCTGACTCGTTAAATTGAAGAGAGAGTTTTACATACATTTTTAGAACGAAAACACCGACGACGAATAACATTAAGTTTCTGTTTGATTTCCGCTGATCAGACTTGCTATATTGACTAGAGAGCCCTGTCGCCGCTTGAGAATACAATCGCTTCAAGGCCTACTGTGAAACTCTTGGACAAATGTGAGCTATTTTCCTCTGCCGTCAACTTTGTGACTTCATGCTTAAGATCCGAATCCTTATTGATCTTTTTTTGTGACTGGTAGTAGTCAGTCACCTGCTACGGTGCGATTTGAAGCGCCGAAGTTTGGAAAAATCGTACAATTTCCCAGAAAGGAGTCGTTTCCTTCGGAAATCCTTGAAACTGCTCTCTCTTACATCAAGATCAACAGACGATTTACAAAAAGAGCAGTGAAAAATTGTCCTTTTAAAACGACCTCTAACAGCAGACTTCAGCAGTCAACTTGACATGAAAACATAATTAAATTACGAAATTTATTTTGGGTTCTATTTCAGGCACTTAAATGAGGCTCCGAACGTTAACGTTCGGCGTCAAATTACTGCTTTCGCTTCGTTCAAACTGCTCAAATCAAATGGTTGGGGAGAGAGCTCACTTTTAGAATTACTGTTATCTCAGTAAATACTAAATGTTAAAATAATTGTAAACCGTTGATTTGCGGTGGGCCTGGCATTAAGACCATTTCATTCCACGTTTTCTCACGGCCTATCCATAACCCAGGCAGCTGCATATCAGGAGAAACATGTTTACAAGTTCTCTCTATTTTTCTGCGAATGAATTAAGACTAATTTGTTCTTATCAGTATTGACATACGTAATCAAGACATTGAATTACGGCAAGAGGAAATAACGTCCCATTATTTTCCCTTAACGTGAGAAAGATATCTTTCGAGAATTTCCTCTCTCTTAGATTTCGCTTCGTGCCTAAGTCTAGGACTTAACTTCCAGACTTCCTTGTCACGGTCAGTAAACAGCATTTTAAAAGCGTAATTTATCATATGATATCCTATATGCAATGTCATAGTATTAGTTTTCATAACTTCAACTTTGCGTTTTGGGGACCTGTAGACAGGTTGATTTTAAAGATAAAAATTTCACTCTTTTCTTTAGCTACTGATGTCTCCGAAAACCGAATCCACATGAATAACAGCTGTCTGGTGCAACATCTCAGCAGTGCAGCGTCCATCTTTCTATCGTTGTGGTTCTCCTTCTCTGGATTAGCAACTGTAGCAGGAAATGCGATCGTGTTGTGGTTGTTCTACAAAAATGAGTCTTTACGAACAATTTCCAATGGATTCTTAACCTCGTTGTCAGTGGCAGACTTGTTTGTTGGGCTGGTTATAGACCCTGTCTGGATCGTCATCAGATGCTTGATTCAGCCACCAGTACAGAGTACTTTGCACTACTGTATATACATGTTGTGGATTCACACAACCACCGCCACAACCTTTAACTTGTGCTGTGTTTCCGTAGACCGGTTTATTGCGATTAGGTTTCCTTTCCGTTACCAGGACTTTGTAACCAAGAAAAGATGCTGTTTGGTGATTATTTTGGTGTGGCTGATTTCATTATGTCTTCCTTTCACGGCTATTTCGATAGGTTTGTTGGGAAATATTGCGAGTACAGTGCTTTGGTTGTTTTTGGCATTTTTAACATTTGTCGCTCCACTATTTGTAGTCACTTTCTGTTATATGTTTATGTTTAAAGCTGCACGACGTCAATGCAGAAGGATGTTTCCCAGCGAAAATTTTCACAGCTCCAACGGAAATAACATTCCACGGAGTGGTATCATGACACAAATGAAAGCTGTCAAGACGGTCGGTTATATTATAGTTGTTTACATTGTTTCTTGGATGCCCAGTCTGGTCTTACTCGTAGTTCATTGTTATTATACAGCGACGAATCATCTCTGTGACGACATCAAAGTAGACAAAGTTGTATGGCCTTGGATTGAGGCAATCGCTTTTACTTCATCAGCGATCAACCCATTGATTTACTACCTCAGAAAAGGCGAATTTCGCCGAGCCTTTCGCCGCACCTTCCATTGGCTGCCTCGTGTTGATGAACAAAATTCGGTAGACTTTAGTGCACAACCAGATCGAAACCGAATGATACAAAAAGGTGGAACTCGTATCATTTTTGCAAGTAAGGAAACAGAACACTGAGGGAAGTTCATTCAAAAATTAAAATTGTAAAGCTGCCAAATCATAAGCCTGGCATAGTTTTTAAAATGGAAAACTTGATTTCTGGGCACTTTTTTCAGTGTAATTGTCTTAAATGTGACTTTAGGCGCAATCGAGAGAGTCAAGTCTTTCATGACATTAGTGCAATATTTCCTCGTCAAACGCTCCTCTCTGAGCATTAGTCAGTAAATGATGCGGGCAGGATGTCAGAAGAACTAACTAAGCACTTGGTTTTGGTGAAATCCCATACATATTAAGTCTAGGGGAAAAACATTTCCTGGGCCATTCTTTTGCTTTTCTTCAGAGGACTCGAGATCATCGAACGTGAAAGTTTATTCGATTCAAATTCAGGCCCAGAAGCTTTTCATGCTTACTTACATTTACATTTCTTTGCTTTTCTGTAATAGGGTATTTTCGTGTGGTGGACCTGTGAATTTGTTCAAAATCAAAATCAAAATCAAAATCTGTCCTCCGAAAAAAACAATATTTCGGTCGGCGCAACATAGCGGATGATAGCGAACTTTGTACTAACAAAAGCCCGCAACACAACAGAAATTGGTGTGAAGAAAATGTTTGATATGTAAAATGATAGCACTTCCATCTTAGGGGTTCATTTTCTGGGAAAAGCTGCAAAAGATTTATTTGTATAAAAAATAACAGACCAAAAGACAGATAAGGATGTTTAAATAAATTTATTATTTGCATCACTTTTAGAGAGCTTTTAATCGCTTTTAAAACACCGCCTCCCGGGAATTCTTAAAAGTTCAGACTTTATGTTTATCTTTGACGTAATATATCATATGACTGTATGCAAATAAATCATTTCAGTTTCGATGCCACAGGGAAATTTTGATCAGTTTTCAAACACATTCTCACGCTCTTACGTCTCCTATAGACTACATCAGAGTTACATGAATTAACATCAACTGTTGGGGAGGACTTCTCAGCAGTGCATTAATCACCAATCTATCTCGGCGGTTCTCCTTGTCCAATTTAGCAGCTGTAACTGGAAACACGGTTGCACTGTGATTGTTCTTTGAACAGCGAGTCTAGAATTGATTTTAGCATCTTTGTCCCATTACTGACGTTTTAGCTCGGCTTGTCAACAAAACTGTTTTGATCGCTGACAATCGTTGACACCATTCATTATATTTTAACTCTATAGCCAACTTTTGACAATTTTTGTGTTTTATTTAGATATATATTTTTCAAATCAGATTCCTTTCTGTTGTCAATAAATTCTAACTATAAAAAGATGCCACGCTGCCATAGCCTTAGTGTGTTTAAGTTCAGGGTACTTCTTTTCTCAAAGATGTGATGATGAGATGAAAAGCGATATTTCAGTACTACAATTGTCTATAGCATAACTTAAAAGATGGATCCCAAATCAATCTGATATTGGTATCACTAGATAAATTTTCAATAACGCGGTCTGTTCCAAATTTAGACATCGAATGTCGCAACAATGTAACAAAGTTTAAGATCTTTTTGATTTTACGTGCAGTTCTTCGTTGATAAAATGATAAGTTAAGACTACACTTTTATTCCACGTTTCCGCCAATAAAAAGCAAATGAGAATGTAAACGATACGTCAGTTTCATTAAGTTCCATAGAAAAGAGAAGCAATCGCAAATTTCCAACATTTTTAAACTTATTTAGTTCCTTCGCCGCATTAAGAGACTGGGAATAAGTGAAATGTGTTTCTTGTGACCCAGACCAATATTTAAACTTGAAGATTAATTATTACAAATTACAGTTACATATCATTTTGGGAGTCCTGCTTCATTCCCGACCAGTATCAGATTAACTGAGCAGTGCAGCATCCATCGTTCTATCACTGTGGCTTTACGTGTCTAGTGTAGCAGCTGGAAATGCAGACGTGTTGTGGTTGTTCTACAAAGACGAGTCTTTACGAACAACTTCCAACCGTTTTTTATCCTCGTTGTCTGTAGCAGACTTGATGGTTGGGCTTGTTGTAGGCCTTATGTGGATCGTTATCTGATGTTGGATGCAACCGCCATCCTGACCTGTAAACATTTTGTTTCACCATAGTCTCGTTGCCTTCGCCGTCTTTCTTTGTATAATGTCTCTACTATCTGGGATGGAGATCTAAACGCTTTATTCCGGCTCTCTCAATTTGAAAGCAGTGACGGCGGTTGTGTGAACCCACACCACTAATCTTATATCAAACAAAATGACCGGAGCCTTTTTCTCGTGCGGGCATGTTTTCTTTCTTCGTCTTTCTGACGAAAAATGTAAAAAAAATTCAGTTTATGAAAAAAACCAATCTCATCGTTGTTCGCACATACACACAGGCGACCGAAGTTCACTGAAAGAAAACGGACGTTTTGTCGGGTGGACGCCCTCTTAAATCCTGATTATTGTTAGTTATTATAATCTTACCACAAGATGTAGACAGGGAGATTCAAAAAACCCTATTCCGGTTGAAAGGACTTGGGTCTAAGCAACTGCTACGAACCGAGGACCGGGAAGTCCGTCGACGCGAATTTATCATAAAGTCCAAAAACCTTAGCTTCCCACGCAGTCGTTTTCAGGGGCTTACGTTTCGCTTCTACCCTCAAAACGCGGGAGTGAAACCCCATCCCTTAAAAAAAAGCCTGCGTGGGAGGCTAAAAAAAGCCGCAAAAAGTTTGACCTTCTTATCTAAGCACGTGCCAGGTACACAGCCTTTGCCCTTTGCTTCTGTGTTCTTTGCGACCCCTTGGTGATATCTGAACATTCTTAGCCTTGCCCTATCCTGTAATAGAGACCTTTGATTTCATGTTGACCGACCAATCTATTACTCGGTGCGAGAAAAATAGAGGATGACAGCTACTATCGAAAGCGAGGAATCGGACCTCTACATAATGGACGTAATAAGTTGTGTGGCAATCTTTCACGAGAAGAGGAAGAGCGGAGGTTGCTTTCTGTGGAAAGAAAAATTTCGGGCTCAGCTTTTACAAAAGGTGGTCTCCTTAGACGCTCTTAAGGAACCATGTTAGACCATGTTAGAAAACCTATAGAAGAAACCCAAGAAGGCTATGTCAGATATCCTAGAAAAATTGGAAAAGGGCACGAGAAACACGTCTTTGTCTTTGGTTACACCATTACCAGACAGTGTTCACGTCAGAAAAATTATCAAAGCTGGTTTTGCTACTTGGTACTTGAAGCTCGAAAACGATAGGGGCAATCTGGAAATAAAGTTTGAAAACTTTATGAAACAGAACAAGTCCTACAGTTAGGAAGACAGTGCGCAAGTTCCTATCCCGAAATGATCATGTACGAAACAAAGACTGCCAGGAGAAAGCGGCAGTAACCAGGTTGGCTGATGAAAAGCTTATCAAGTACCTCCAGGAGCCGGACTTCGTAAGCCACACAATTATCCCAGAAATGGACCACTTTAATGAGCACAATAGGGTGGGAATGTATCCTCATCCTATCAATATCGCCTACAGCAGCCTGCTGTTTCTCAAGCTGAATCAAGAAAGGTATGGATCAAAATCGTATATGGCTCAGTTGCACAACCCACAAGTTGAAGTTCTTGAGGAGTCTGTTGCTGCCAAAGAAGTCCACTTTACGAACAATATCATATTTCTAACTGGCAAAGACGGCCCATTCAAATTCCACGAGGTGTTCAAAGTAAGCGTTCTCGTCGATGTCAGAGAACGAAGAAATCGTGGCGAAGTTTTGGTGAAAGTAAATGAACTCGGCTTCGCTCTTGGCGGAACTGTTGTGGAAATAAAGTTAAAATGCGATTATGGAGCGGGAGGATTCCACTCAGATCAGATCAACTTCTGGAATGCTGAGAACCAAAGCACTTTTCAATTTGAAGTTGTTAACGTGGTTTCGTCTATGGAGCCTGCGCGAAAAGTTATTCTATTCTTTCCATCAATTTGAAGAAGGCTGGATACGGAATTCGTGGGTAGGCATCACTACTGACCAAGTACGAAGCGGATTGGCAACATGTTGGTTCAATGTGTATTTTCGGACAATGCTTATATAAATCCCATTTTCAGGGTATTGACGAGATCTCTCTTTCGTCATTGACTAGGGTGCTAGAGATTCGTCGTGGTGTTTCATACATTTCACTAAGCCCAAGTATCGTTTCATGTAGAACCGGCATTTTATATGCTGATCCAAAAAGCCACCGATGTAGCGTTGGAGGAAAAACTCCAACGAAGTAGATGTCTTTGCCGGGACTAGTAGTGCTGGAAATATGGATGGAATGGCCGCTAGGACAGAGTGCTATCAATCAGTTTATCTTTGTGTAGAGTTCGGTCACGTCGTTTATGTTTGTGATGCGCAGCTAAATTGTATTATGATCTCAACTTTGCTAAAGCAAACCGCTGAATTTTTTAATGCATTGGGCAAGATTTACAAAGCCTTCTTAGTCCATGAAAAGCACCAGGCGTACAGACTCTCTGGTATTCAAGAAGCGAGCTGGTCAGCGACACTCTTCAGTTATTGCGCAGGAATGAAACTTCTATCAAAAGCGACGTTGCCAATTTACCCTTAAAACCCTCGATGGCCCACATGGTAACGTGGCATCTAAGACTGTTGTGTTGTGTCTGATGAAATGCTTAAATACGGCCTTCAAAACCTCGAGCTCCAGTAAGTCTCAGAATTATACGGATACTACTCTCTTAAACTGTTGAGTTGCATGACGCTAAACGTGAAGAATATTCACTCGGTTGTGCATCATAAAGATCCACTTTGCACAGTGTCCAACTACAAGAGAAACTTTAGAAACGCAGCCAAGGGAGGCTTAAAGTGGACAACCCATTGGGCGGCGTACTATTCTACAAATCCGAAGTCTTGGTATGCTGTACCCGAACGTGCTAGGATCCTGTCAGCCATACGAGCAATTCAACCATTACCATCTGTAACGATGGCACCACGAAGCGTACAGAAGACGGGAGACTGGGTGCAACATTTGGTGCTGCAGTGCGTCAGCGTTCTGTCAGACAGGAGACAACAATGGCAAGAGCTGGAACTCCCCATCGTGCCTCTATCAGAGAGAAATTCAGCCAGGTCAGCCTCGAATGCTCTTACCTCAAGGAGCAGCAAGAAAAAGACGAAGAGGAAGATGGGATGTTAGAGTACGATTCCCCAAGCAATGATGAAGAATCGGCCTACGACGAGACCGCATGTGATGTTGGCGAGATCTCATCTTTAGAAGGAGAGGCGAATTTTCTCTTCGGAAGAGTTTCTCGCTTCGGAAGAAGTATTCGCTTCAAGAGCAGAATTTTGTTTTGTTAAATTTTCTTTCTTTTCGTTGTTATGGGAATATGGGATCGCCGTCACCTTTTGCTTTTGTATGCTTTTGTAGCAGAAGGATGTTTCTCAGTGAAAATTTTCACAGCTCCAACGGAAATAACATTCCACGGAATGGTGCTATGAAACAATTCAAAGCTATCAAGACAGTCGGTGTTATTTTAGGCGTTTACATTGTTTCATGGATGCCCAGTCTGGTCCTATCCGCTGTTCATTGTTATTATACAGCGACGAATCATCTCTGTAACGACATCAAATTAGAAAATGTTGTATAGCCCTGGGTTGAGGCCATCGCTTTTATTTCATCAGCGATCAACCCATTGATTTACTTCTTCAGAAATAGCGACTTTCGCCGAGCCTTTCGCCGCACCTTCCATTGGCTACCTCGTGTTGATGAACACAATTTATCAGACCTTAGTGCACAACCAGATCGAAACCGAAGGATACAAAAAGGTGGAACTAGTATCAGTTCTGCAAGTAAGGAAACAGAACGCTGAGAAAAGTGTTATTCAAAAATTAAAATTGTAAAGCTGCCTAATCATAAGCCTTACCCCTTCATAAAGGTATGATGTTCAAAATGGAAAAATCGATCTAGGAACTTTTTTCAACGTAATTGTCTTAAATGTGACTTTAGACGCAATTGTGATATTCAAGTCTTTCATGACATGCAGTTTTTGCTTGTCAAACGCTCCTCTCTGAGCATTAGTCGTTAGTCAGTTAATGATGCAGGCAAGATGTCAGAAGAATTGACTTAGCACTTGCTTTTGGTGAAATCTCTTACATATTAAGTCCAGGAGAAAAACATTTCCTGAGCCATTCTTTTGCTTTTCTCCAGAGGACTCGAGAGCATCTAAAGTGAAAGTTTATTCGATTCAAATTTAGGCCCGGAAGCTTTTCATGCCTACTTACATTTGCATTTCTAAAACCTCTTTATGTCTGCTTCTCTGCAATAGAGTTATTTTAAGTGCGGTGGACCTGTGAGTTTGTCCAAAATCAAAATCTGTCCTCCCAAAGAAACCGTATTTCGGTGGGCGCATACTTGGCGGATGATGGCGAACTTTGTTCTTCAAATAGCCCGCAACACAACGGAAATTGGTGAAAAAAAATGTTTCATATGCAAAACTATAGCACTTCCATCTTAGTGGTTGAATTTCTGGGAAAAACTGCAAAATATTTATATTTGTATCAGGAATAACATACCAAAAGACAGATAAGGATGTTTAAATAAATTTACCATTTGCAGCAATTTTAGAGAGCTTTTAATCGCTTTTAAAACACCGCCTCCTGGGCATTTTTTAAAAATTTAGACTTCCAGTTTATCTTAGACGTAACGCATCATATGATTGAATGCAAATAAACCATTTCAGTTTCGGTGACACACGGAAATTTTGATCAGTTTTCAAACTTATTCTCTTACGTCTCCTATCGACTACGCCAAAGTTACATAAATTAACTGTGCTTTGGTCGTTCCGTGAACAGCTAGTCTCGAACCGACTTTAGCGTCGTTGTCCCATTACTGACGTTTTCGCTGCGCTTGTTGACAAAACTGTTTTGACCGCTGACAATCGTTGGCACCATTAATTCTTTTTAACTCTATGGACAACTTTTAACAATTTCTGTGTTTTATTTAGATCGATATTTTGCAAATCGGATTCCTTTCTGTTGTCAATAAACTCTAACCATGAAAAGGTGCCATGCTGCCATAGCCTCAGCGTGTTTAAGTTCAGTGGTACTTCCTTTTTCAAATATGTAAGTTGATGATGAGATGAAAAGTAATTTTTCAGCACTGTAATTGTCCATAGCATTGGTCTTACCATTCTCAAACATAGTTGTTTAAAGACCCTGCTTGAAAAAACGCGAAGCTTGTGTTTCCGAACAAGTGATGTTTCTGTCATTCTTCAAGTTCTATGAATACTTCCTTCGCCCGCCCGAGAAATTAGTTATTTGGATCATGGTAATTTGATCTCCCTAGGCGAAGAAAATTCCAAGCAAATTTTGCAATCAATTTATACAGTCACACACGAGGATTTGTCACTTTGAATCCCAAGGTTCAATCAGAAAATCGTGTGATCGACATCAATAGTTTGAATGACTGTATTAGGGACCTTTAGCAGTTAGGAAAGCAACGCCAAGGAAGACATGGATTTAAAAATGAATACATACTTATGGTTGGATTTTCGCGAATGATTGGATATGTTTACCATCTTCTTCGGCGTCGCGAGTTAACCTCAGCATAACATATGAGGGCGGCGTTGAGTTCCAAATAGAAACTTAATTAAGTTGCCGTCGGGGTTTCCTTTCTCCGACCACGCAAATTTTGATGATTTCACGTTGTTATTAAGGACCTCTAGCAAACCACGACGGCGACAGCAACAAGGACGTGGCAAAACAAAAGATCTAAGGAGCAGAACAATAGCTTAGCGTGTGCGTTTTAAAACTGCGTACATTTCTTAGCCGTCCTCTGCAAAATAACAACTTGAAATCATCAGAATTTGCGTGGTCTCAAAAAGGGAACCCGACGGCACATTATTTAAGTTTCCATATAGTACTCCACGCCGCTCTCATACGTTATGCTGAGATTAACTTGTGGCGCCGTAAGAGACGGTAAACACATCCAGTAGTTCGCGAAATTCCCACTAATAATATATATATATATATTCATTTTTAATTCGACATCTTCCTTGGCGTTGCCGTCCTAACTGCTAAAGCTCCCTATTAGGGACCTTAAGCAGTCAGGACGGCAACACCAAGGAAGACTTCGATTAAAAAATGAATTTCTGCCTTTAATTAGAATTTCAAAAATGGTTGCATGTGTTTACCGTCTCATACGGCGCCACACCTCAACTTCAGCATAAAGAAGCGTTGAGTTCCAAATGGAAATTAAAATAATTTGCCGTCGCGGTTTCGGTTTGCAGATGACGCAATTTGTGGTGATTTCACGTTGTTTTTTTACATGGGACGGCTAAGAAATGCATAAAATTTTCAAACGCACGTGCTGCGCTATTGTTCTGCCAATTAAATCTATTGTTTTTCCATGTCCTCGTTGCCGTCGCCGTCGTGGTTTGCTTAAGGTCCCTATTATTTCGCAAAGGACGGCTAAGAAATGTACACAGTTTTAAAACGCACGTGCTGAGCTATTATTCTGCTCATTAAATCTTTTGTTTGTCACGTCCTCGTTGCCGTCGCCGTCGTGCTTTGCTAAAAGTCCCTACTTATGGGGAACGAGGAAAACCGCCACAACGGGCACACAAAGCGTAAGCCGGAATTTTCAATCATCGATATTTAATGTGACTTCGACTTTTTATGCCGATCGCAGCGATCGGCAAAAACCGCGATCTTCTTCAAGATTGCCTTACGTGTCACCGATTTTTTGAGATTGATTGACACTTAATTCTTAATTATTGATATTTTTTTACTGTATGGTGATACCATGTAAGTGGTCAATTCTAGTAAATCTCTATAGAGAATGCACGACAGCTTGGATTGATTCGTGGGGCATCTTGGAAAGAATGTAGCTGAGTCCGATTCGGCAATCATTAGAGTCCATACCCCCACATATTATAATTTTTCTTAGCCGTTTATTTTTCAGTTGGGATGTGTACTGGAAACCAACGTTGGAGGGTCTAGTGAGGAGACAGTCAAGATCATATTGACATATGGAAGGATGATTAAATATTTGTTTCTTGAGCAAATGCTGAAAAGTCCTTTCTTTTTTGTCAATGTAGAATGCCCGTAAATGTCAAATCATCTATTCCAATTTATATGTTAAACAACGCAAAGCCGCGGAGATCATTTAAATTCGAATATTTATTCAAATTTGAACAGTTTCTACGAGGTTGCAATTATCCTGAATTTGAGATAACACTGATGACTGGGGGCTTTTTAGAAAATACAAGTTATTTCCAAGTAAGTATTTTTTTTACCCATGGCCTCTTCCTCGGCTATTAAAGTAGATGAACTTGCAGCCTCAAACCATCTGCTATCAAATTATTTGTTCGCTTCAGTAGAATTGAAACAAAGTTCAACATTTGGTATATTTTAGTCGACTTTAAGAGCGGTTCGCATTTTTCTCCGCGATTTGAAGCGAGTGAAAATACGCAGCGAATTCGGTAACTGTAACGCGCAATTAAAATTTTTCTATTGATGATTGCACAATATAAGTCAATGAATTAAGAAATCATTAACATTAAAGGCTGAAAAACTATCACTTTTCTTTTGACAAGCTGTAAATTACATTCGAAAACTTACTCAAATTACTTATTCACCTCACGTGCAGAATATCTAAGTAGAAGTCGACCACTCCTTTAACTGCGGAGTCGAGTTTCAGGGCGGTTTATATGTTGTTCGTTAATGGAGGCGGCGTGAAAATAATCACCCAATTTGGAACTTACTTTGCCGAGAAGAAACATGAATTTAACCTGCTTAGAAAAAGGACCGAGCGATGCAGCATTCATTGCTCTATCATCATGGTTCGCTTTGTCTGGTTTAGCAGCTGTATTCGGTAATACAGTTGTGTTATGGCTCTTCTACAAAAGCAAGTCCCTACGAACAGTTTCGAACAGATTTTTGGTCTCGTTGTCCGTTGCGGATCTCTTGGTGGGAGCTGTTGTGGAGCCAATCTTTTTAGTCGAATATCTCACTCAGTCAGTAGATAATCAGAACGTAATACATTTCTTCTGGATTCACTCTACAGCTGCAACTACATGGAATTTGTGCTGCGTTTCTGTTGACAGGTTCGCTGCAATTCGCTTTCCCTTAAGTTATCAAATGATTCTAACAAAGAAAAGATGTTGTGTAGTGATAACCGTGATCTGGGTAATCTCTCTGTTCCTTCCTTTCACGATAATGTTTGTGAAAAATGAAGCAACTGATCATCACGCAGAACTGTGGTTATCATTTGCATTCATTTTATTTGTGTTTCCGATTATCGTGGTATTTTTCTGCTACATTTGTATTTTCAAAACAGCCAATAAACAATACAAACGAGTAAAAAAAGACTATCAACACGGGGATGACAGCTCACGCCGGGCTTTAAACAATTTCAAAGCTATCAAAACAGTTGGACTTGTTTTGGGTGTTTTTATCGTTACATGGATGCCATCTTTAATCTTGGCTCTTGTCACCTATTATTACCGTAAAACAGAGCATGAACAATGCGAAGAACAGGAATTGCATTCCATGGCGTTGCCTTGGGCAGAAGCAGCGGCTTTTACTTCATCAGCTATCAACCCATTGATATACTATTTCAGAAATGGCGAGTTTTGCCAAGCCTTCAGAAATACCTTTAATTTTGATCGATTGCATAGTGTTCACTATAAAAATGCACCAGACCCTGGAGCAAAGCAAGAGCAGACCCGGATAGATGGAGGTGTTGGAATTCTTAGGAAATTTCCAAGTAACGAGACACAGCCGTAAGGAAAACTAAACAGTGCTTCCGATTAGTCCTAAATTTGGTCGTCAAAGAGATACAGAAACTTTCTTTCAGTCGGTGGAGACCTTGAGCAAGATAGGGTTGAAACATAAATGACATCACTGGAGATTAATGTTCTAGAATGTTCCTTGATTCATATTTTAATGCTCAGTCTTGCTGCATGATGTTCATTTATAAATTAAGTAGGATCTAATCATACAAGATGGTTTAAACTTTCAAGCATAACTTAAAAGATGAAGCCTAAATCAATCCTTTGTTGGTGTCACTCGATAAGCTCTCAGTGAAGCGGTGTGTTCTAAATTTAGACATCGAATGTCGCAACAATGTAACACAGTTTAAGATCTTTTTGATATTACGTGCGAATTTTCGTTGATGAAATGATAAAGTCGAGACTACTTTTATTCCACGTTTCCGCCAATAAAAAGCAAATGAGGAAGTAAATGATACGTAAGTTTCAGTTCGTAACATCTGGTCCAGCAAGGAAAAGCGATTACAAATTTCTAACATTTTGTAAACTTATTTAGTTAAAACTTCTACTTTCGCTTCATAAAGAGAAAATTATTGCAAATTACAGTTACATATAATTTTGTGAGTTCTGCTTCATTCTCGACCAGTATCAGAGTTACTCAGCAGTGCAGTATCCATCGTTCTATCACTGTGGCTTTCCTTGTCTAATTAGCAGCTGTAACTAGAAATGCAGACGTGTTGTGGTTGTTCTTTAAAAACGAGTCTTTGCGAACAACTTCCAAACGTTTTTTATCCTCGTTGTCTGTAGCAGACTTGATGGTTGGGCTTGTTGTAGGCCCTGTGTAGATCGTTATCAAACGTTAGATTCAACCGCATTTAACACAGTTTTGCACGACTTCACAGACCTGTTGTGGATTCAAGGTAATTTGGTATTATCAACTGAGTTGATGGCGTAAATTGGCCACCTTGTGTCCTGACCTTTAAACATTTTGTTTCACCACAGTCTCGTTGCCTTCGCTGTCTTTCATTGCATGATGTCTCTGATCTGGGATGGAGATCTAAGCACTTTATGCAAGCTCTCTCAGTTCTGCAAGTCCACTCTGTCTAAGCTTTTACTGTAAAATAGTGTTCCTCATACATCTTGACGCCATCATAACAATTTTGACCAAAAACTAATGCTTGGTGACGGGCATTTGACAGGAGCAAATTTACATGTCGTCAAAGACTTGTCTGATGTGACGGAAAAGACATATTTTAATTATCACGACTTAGATTTACATTCACTTAGAAACAGTATTTCGGAAATTAAGGCTTCCGCTTGAAATAAACTGTGTGAGGGGCGTTAGGTTTATAGTAAGACGAGGGTACTTCTTCGCTTGAGTTGTCCTCAAAGTTTTGTCTCCCTAGTTTCTTAATTACCACGAGTTCCACCATTTCGTTCCGTCTGATTTCGTTCTAGCTGTTCAGTAAAGTCCGGTACATTTTGTTTCGACTTGTGAAGACAGGGAAACCGAAGGAGAGTGCGGCGAAAGGCTCGACGAAATTCGCTATTCCTGAAATAGTATATCAATGGGTTGATCGCCGATGAGGTAAAGGTGATTACTTCAAACCAAGGCCTTATAAAAATATCAATTTCCATTTTATTCTACTTCCGCTTTTGCATTTATATAATAAAATCTAATCAACAGTAGAACTAAACTTGGCATACATGTGATAATGCAAGCGCCTGAAACAAAACCGATCGTTTCTATAACTTTAAAATTTTGCATAGCACGAAGTCTAATATTCCCACTTGAATTAGGTTTACAGCTCCTGAAATTCTCTTGGACAAAATTCTCCTAAATTATTTTCTGTCTAATTTGAACATGAATATCATCAAAAGAAGACCACTAATAAATGAAACTACAAATGCTATACATACAAACGACATAAAAAGCTCTTTTCGATCCTTTCCTGGTTGAAAGAAAAATATTGAAAAAAGTAAGCCTCAATGAGATGAAACATACGAAAATGATGACCGCTAAGCATCTCCTCTTGGTCAAAATATCGTGATACTTAAAAGGAAATCGAATAGAAAAAAAAAGGTCAATTGAAACACAACAAACGTTGAAAGCAGTGGCGGCGGTTGTGTGAACCCACGACATTAATCTAAAATCAAACAAAATGTTTTAGACCCTAGGCTGAATCCAACTTCTGATGAAAATTTTAAAATGGATCCACGACAAGCCTAACCAAAACGTCCGTCACTGATTTAGAGGTTAAATCAAAGTGCTCTGTGAGCAAACTCGTGAATTGACACATGATTTTTTGGATTATGTTCAATGTTATCTGGTTTAGGGAATTTTGTGGTTGATTGTCATATCCAGAGTACGAGCAGTAGTTCAGTGTTCGCTAATGTAGCAAAGAAACAAAGTAACGTTGGGATAAGAAGGCATTACAAATGAAATGATCATGCCATTGCCTTTGACAAGGATGGATGATGTCATGTGTTTTAAACGTATATCATTTCTGTTTCTGGTTCAAAAGAAAAGGTTGGAAGTAAATGTGGGTAAAAAGTAAAATTTACTGTCTATCATTATAGATATTAGAAAATCAAGGCAATACTGTCTTAATGAAAACATTAACGATTCCCTCTTTATCAAATGAGACAAACGGGAACGAGTTTTGAGTGATATAACTAAGCCAAGACTGCCACCGTCATTTTGGATCTCCGCCTGGGTAGATTTTAGTCACGTGCTAGGCAACGTACTGAATCAATAACAAGATAGAATTTCATTTCAAGCCAATTTATCAATTTTGTGGTGTATAACTTTCGCATTTTAGTACGTAATATGTATTTTGAATCTTCAAATTGTCTTGAAACTTAAAAGAAAATTTTACTTTAAAAATTCACTGAAAATCGGTAGCTAAAATTGTTTGTTTAGGTGTTATTTGATTTTCGTGTTAACTTGTAATTTCGTTAGTCGCCGGCATCTTCTGTTGCTTCACACAGGAAAAACACACGATACGAAGCGTAATGATCGATTTTGTCCTCAATCTCACGCCGTAGCAGAAAAAGCTTTTGAACATCTGTAAACTCCGAGCGCTTCGCAGTAAAGGATATTTTCGATGAATCTTCGGATTGTTTTCAAGTTCTAGGATTGTAAATCACAATTTTATGAAAAACGAAGGTTGTTCTGTTATTTCAGTGTGAATCCTTGCATGCCTGCCAGTCGCTGGCGCCGCTTGTTGAAACTAAAACGAAAAAAAAAAACTCTTTTAAGATTATCATTGGCTTCTTTGTCACCCCACCACTATTCTTAGCAACAAAGGTCACCATTTCGTTTGTTTTTGCTCGCCAAAAACTATCAAATGCACTCAAAAGCCTAAAATCGAAAAAGAGTTTACAGGAATCGACCAATCGAGCGAGTGCCATTCCCCACATCGTATCTACAACTCGCTCTTGCGCATGCGTGCAATTCACGAGTTAAAAACGGTTGGAAACTGTTCATAAAGACTGTTTTACAAAAACGGCGTTTTTGTAGAACAGCTACAACACAACGGGATTTCCAGCTACAGTGGCTAAACTAGACATGGAGAGCCACAAACTGCTCTGCTAACATGTTCGCTTGGGCGGCTATCATCATTCATGATAAGATGCTGTAGGGCAACAGCAGAAGTCAAGAAATAAGTCTGAGAATTGTCTGAAATTTGCAACTGCGTGTCCTCTTAAGGGAACAGATGTTACTGAATATGAAATGATATATAAGTTTTCCATATCCGCTTTTCAAATTATTGAGAGGATGGCGTAATGTGTCAATATCGGTCCGTTTGTAAAAAGGTGGGCGTTAAATGTAAAATATCCGAATTAAAAAAAAAAAAAAAAGGTTTGAGGATTTAAGGCTTTGTCCAAACCTCTTCAATCCATCAATACAAAAAATATTCGCAAAAGTTTAAAGAAAATCAACAACAGTTTCACCTTGACAGGCAGCTGCTGCGTGACACCTTAAAGCTTTTTTTCCACGTAATCTAAACCAGCTCAAGGGGTACTGACTTAAATCGTAAATAACCAAATGTAAAATTTAACGCTGGATATCAAAGTTGAAAGTAAATGTGTTGAGTTTAGAATTCGAAATTAGTTAGATAGTCGGTAATTTGATGCGTGTTGCGCGTAATGCGTAATTTAAGCAAACTCAAGCGGGGAGGTCCCCGGTATTTTAAACAACTACTTTGTTGCAAAACAAAAAGGCAGAGATAATTTCAGGCCAAAATGAATGCTTCGGGTCTTTTACCGGCCAATTAATTTGAATGGAACTTCTATTTTCTATGCCTTTGAGGCCTCTCGAAAAACACATTAGAATGGCGTAGTAAATTGTTCATCTTTAAACAAGGTAGAAGTCTTTAGACCACGAGGGAAATGTTACTCCGATAGTTTTCTGGTCTACGAAGCGTTAAATATTCAACTGGCATTGCCTTAAGTCCAGTAGCTGAGTTCTGACGAGAAATATAATCAAATAGAGAGGTTGCAAACAAAGACGTTTACTACAAACGGTAAAAAACGACTTCGTGCCGTCTGTGTTCAGCCGTTGTCAGATCAGCCTCCAGACTTCAACGTTAAACATCAAATTCGCCCGCTGACTCGGAAGAAATCAATGTGTCCACTTTTGTGATTCGCACGAAACACAATTTAGCTGTTAACCAGGAGTTGTTGACAATTAGAGTATCCAAATTAAGAGTTTTCTAGTCCACATCCCGCGTTATTAATTATAAAACAGGTGCACGTCAAGGGAAACCTTTCTATAAATTTTGGTTCTTAATCTTCTACAAAATCACTTGAATCGTAACGATAACTCTTTTTATCAATTATGGAAGGCAGGGAAGGATTAATACCGAGCTAGAGATTTAAAAAATTTTTCAGGAACGCGTCTTTCTTTTCATCTCTTTACCGTTTTCGAAAGCTTTAAAAGATCATTACGACGCGCCTGTCAATAAAAAAGGATATTGCATAAGGGGGATATGATAATTGATGCCAAAAACACTTTAGTTTCAGAAAGATCTGTTTGGTTTGTAGAGAGGATAGGAAAAATTTAATCGTTTCTCAAGCTTACTTTCTTTCTTCTGCTATCGCCATCCACCATGAATGATAGCGACCCACACGTTCAGCTCAGCAGTGCAGAGTCCATCGTTTTATCACTATGGCTCTCAATGTCTGGTTTTGCAGCTGTAACTGGAAATGCAGTTGTGTTGTGGCTTTTCTTCAGAAATGAGTCTTTACGAACAATTTCCAACCTTTTTTTAGCCTCTTTATCCGTAGCGGATCTTTTGGTTGGGCTTGTGATTGTTCCTGCCTGGATCATATTCATGTGGTGGTTAACATTTCACAACCTTTTTAACGTCTTTTTAGAATGCTTGTGGGTTCACACAACCGTCACCACCACTTTCAACATTTGCTGTGTTTCAGTCGACCGGTTTATTGCCATTCGGTTTCCTTTCCGTTATCAGGACATAGTAACCAAGAAAAGATGTTGCATAGGGATAATTTTGGTGTGGTTATTTTCACTGGGTCTTCCTTTCTCGACGTTGTCGGTAATTGGCGAGGAAAGTATCAGTGTCTCAGTGCTGTGGATTTCTGTTGCACTTATAACATTTGTTATTCCATTACTTGTAGTCTCATGTTGCTATATTTGTATTTTCAAATCGGCAAAAAAGCAATTTAAAAGAATTTCAGCTAGAGAAAATCCTACAACAAACAACGACAATGTCAGAGTTCGTAGTATGAAAAATTTCAAAGCTATCAAAACAATCGGTTTTGTCTTGGGTGCTTGTATTATCGCATGGACGCCCAGTTTTGTTGTTCTGTTTCTTGATTGTTATTACACTGTGATAAGTGACTGGGATAAAAGTTTGAGACTATATTATGTTGTGTGGCCTTGGGTTGAGGCAATCGCTTTTACTTCATCAGCAGTCAATCCATTCATATATTACTTTCGAAATAAAGAGTTCCGCCCAGCTTTTCGCCGTACATTTCGCTGGTTACCCAGAAGACGTAGCAAGATAGGCACAAGAACAACCAGGTTGAAGTCAACTCGAGACCTAATGACAGAAATGGTTTGAGTTGTGGAGATATAGGAAAAGAAAAGAAAGAGTTCTGAAGACATCTCAAAGGAAACACGACTGCCATTAATAAAAAATTTTGAAATGAACTGCAACTTTGTTTTGTGCATTTTATTTTAAAAATAGCGTGTGAAAGTCTAATAAAATACCCTCTTTATAACAATTCTTTATTGGTTGTCTCTGTGTAATTCGTTTTGACAGTCCCTAAGTTCTAAGATCTGCTTAGGCGGTTACTCAGTTGCCTTATCTCCAACCATGTTTTAGGAGATGTTTGCAAAAAGAGTGCAGAACAGGTTTTTACCTTTCTCTAGAAATATCTTTAGGTGATTTCTTGTTTGTTCTTGAAAACGCCCACAGATATAAGGTTATTCAGCATCGACTCAATGATCCTCGCTGGGATGATCATGTCAGTTCAAACGCATAATCAAAAGATTTTTCAGATTAATTTGCAAAATTCACTCGTTATTCCTAAGAAACCTCTAAAAAAGAAATTGTAAACAGAAGTCGGTTTCCCGGGGATCAGTTGAAAACGAAACCCATATCTTCTTTTCAGATTAATCCTGAAACACAGAGCATCTATTGCTGATACATGTACCTCACCCAGAAAAAGGACACAGCAGTTTTACGTCTACCTTTCAATCATTGTGGCTTTCTTAAATCTATGTTATATACTCATTAAACAATGTTCGTGTTTTCAATAATACTAGTGCCTTATTAGTGTACCAAAACCGTCCTCTTTTTCCTGAATGGTTGTCATCAGATATTTTTATCTATTCTAATGTGCATGACATCATATATTTACAGTAAGATAACAGTTAAATTCTACTCTGCGCTCAGTGAGGCATTTTGTGGTTATGAAAGTTCTTCTCCATTTAACTTTAGCAGGTGAAAAACTTCAGATAAATAATTTGCAAAGTTATTTGATGTTCTTAAAGTAACAAATTTCGGATCCCCCCTCTTCCTCTATCTATTCCGAGTTTGAATTAACAGAGGAACTGGTGTCGTTGTTTCTCTAGGAGCAAAATCAGATTGTTGTCAGTTTTCCAGGAGGCTCAATCAACGTTCCTCGTTGATTAAAACTGTTCGTCTCAATTGAAGAGGTCCTCGAAGAGTGACTACATGAATATATTTTTCAAAGTCTAATTTACGAGCAGGCCATCCCAGAAGTTTCTCTGTCAACCGACTGTTTTTCAGTTCAACAACATTCTCATAAGCAACGGCTACTGATTGCCATTGATTTGACGAACTTAAAACAAAATTGGTAAAGGGTAGATAACGCAATTTGAATACTTTTTTTAAATGTCTAAGCAAAGACAAAGCGAGGAAATACTTTTAATCTCTTTCACATTTGCAAAAGAATGAAGACTGCTCGGCCTGTAACTTGGCAACTTCTAGCCTTGTACTCTGTCGGAATATGATCAGCTAAGCCTTAGCCTATAAGATTTCATCAGTAATTCTCCTTTATGTCTGCCATATAATTAATGTGACGTTAATTTGGAGAATTCGGAATTGGATCAAACAATAATCCCCTAATTGATGTTTCTTTATTCCAATTACTTGTCTGCTTGATATCGTACCAATAGTGTCAGTAAAATTCAGCCTAGATCACTAGTGAGACTTAAATGGTTAAAGACACATAAGGACATAAACATGCAACAACATTTTGTCGAGATCTACTGTTGTTCACGAGGTGTAACGTATCCCTAAGGTAGTTTTGATCATAGGAGAGCTTAAAGGAATTGGGATCTTTAAGCTGGAAGGACCCCTGAGAGATAATTCTACTGAACTTTACCAGCACTATGAGACGTTTATCTTTAAACGAGCCATTAATAAATCAAGTGTACTTTAAGAATTCATTAATTATTGGTAATTATGTTATTTCTTATTTCTCTTTTCTTACATATCATTTATTTATCGTTCATATGTCTATCTATTTTTCCAGTTTTGCTGTCACTAATCATATTTAACGTTAAAAATTCATTTATTTAGACATTGATAACGATTTCGAAACATTTTTTAGAAAGGTGTTGTTCTTGTTATCTTTATCACAGTTTTGAGGAATTTTAAAAGTTTAGACTCAGATTATCGATTCGTCTTCGTTAATGAAAAGCATATCTGCACGAATGCAATATTATGATTCATACAAAAACATTTTAGTTTCAGAGACATCTGGTTAGTGAGAGGAGGGGACAAGAAATTTTCAAGCGTTCCCAAGCTTACGTTCTTTTCCGAATAATCTTATGAAAAGATTGCAACAGAAGTTGGCTTCTACAGAATCAGTATAAGCGAAACCCTATTTGCAGATCACTTCTTTGGCTCAAAGCATCAGAAGATTATAGGTCTACTGTAGTCGATTATGGTTCAAGCCTCCCTTGGAACAAAGTGCCAAAACAACCTAAATGTGTAAAATCATTTCACTACATTAAACGTAGGCTTTTAACCTTTTGTAACCAGCGAAGTGTAAGTTGATAGTGTAAGTTTGACTGGAAATGGGAGGACAATTTTGTAAACTCATTTCTGATAAAAAATATTCCTCTTTTAAGTTATTTGATATCTTACTTTTAGGTATATATTTCTATGGGGGCTCGAAATCAATTGGGACAATTGCTCCAGTTGGTATTTGATATTTATTCATTTAATTAATTGTTTGTTTAAGTGTACGTAGGCAATGAATTTAATAGATGTTAATACTAATTGCTTGATTCGTAAGCAATATTTTGTGGTTTTAACGACAGAGAGAACGAGTACGACGCGAAAGAAAACTAGGGTGAGTGACAGGCATAAGGAAAGAAACACGATGGAACCTCTACAATTGAATTGTCTTTCCCCTCTCGTCATGTGCCAGCCACTCTTGCTAGGAAAAACCAGTTCATACAGATGGTAGAAGAGTGGGAACGAGAGAAATTAGCCAGAAAACGAGTCCATTATAATTTCTTGTTGACCACATTGACACAATATGACATATTCAAATGACGAATTATAAATTATTAATATAAGTTATAGGAGTCATTTTTCATTTTGAAAAACATGTGTTTTCAGTTGTCACAATTGGCTCCAAACTTAGAGTTTCATTGTCGCCTTATCATTTCCTTCGCTCGGAATCGAGTCCAAAGCATACGGTATCTTTTGTGATTATTGTTAAACTGCATGTAACCGTTAACCAAGAGCCGTTAATTGTATGAGAATCCAGAATTTAGAGGTTTCTGATCGACTTCCTGTCAAAAAAGCAGCCGGATCTCAGGGTAAACTTTGTTTTCAATTATTGTCAAGCTTTTTTATTTATGCGAAACACTAGAGATTTTAAGAGTGAGTTTCTTTTTCATTGTCGATGAGAGGCAATGAAATATTAAGATGTTATCTTAAACATTTTTTATCTAACAAAGGGCAAAATGATTTTCTGGAGGCAGGAGTACTTCTTTATCTTTTCTATTGTAAATATGCTCAATACTGAAGACCGATTAAGTTTTTTTTTTAGTTTGCTGGTCAGTTCGTTTAGATTGCTGAAAGGAAGATAAACATCCTTAAACACTTTCCCCAGAGGTGTCACTTTATCCATCTCTTTTACCATAAGACGTGCCTGTCAATACAAAGCATGTCTGCATATAACAAATATGAGGATTCATACAAAAACATTATTTAAGTTTCCGTAACACCTGTTTGGTCAGTAGCGAGGACAAGAAAATTTCAAGGATTTCCCAAGCCTTCTTCCTTTCTTCTCCTAGCAATGAATATTTGCCATCCTCACGAACTTCTCAGCAGCGCAGCATCCATCTTTCTATCAGTGTGGCTCTTTCTATCTAGTTTTGCAGCTGTAACCGGAAACGCAGTTATGTTGTGGTTGTTCTACAAACATGCATCTCTACGAACAATTTCCAACCGCTTTTTAGCCTCTTTATCAATAGCAGACCTATTAGTTGGGCTTGTTGTAGGCCCTCCGTGGATCGTTATTGGATTTTGGATTCAGCCTCCAGTTCTCTCAAGTTTGTTCTACTTTGCATACATATTGTGGCTTCACACGACCGCCGCCACCACTTTCAACACTTGTTGTGTTTCTGTAGACCGGTTTATTGCGATTCGGTTTCCTTTCCGTTACCAGGTCAGTGTAACAAAGAAAAGATGTTACACAGTGATTTTTTTGGTGTGGCTGTTTTCTTTAATTCTTCCTTTCTTGATGTTTCTGGTAGATTATGAGCCCATGATAAATTATTTTGTGTCGATGATTTTTCTTGCGTTTATTATATTTGTTATTCCATTACTTGTAGTTTCATTTTCCTACGTTTGTATTTTCAAATCCGCAAAAAAACAATTTAAGAGAATATTAGCAGGAGAAAATCCTACAACAAACAGCGACAGTTTTAGACTTCGTACTATACAAAACCTCAAAGCTATCAAAACAATCGGTTTTGTTTTGGGTGCTTGCATTATCACATGGATGCCCAACTTAGTTCTGCTGCTTGTTGAATGTAAATATGCCTTAGAAAATAGCTGGGCTAGAATTTGTTCGTTGAACCTTGTTGTGTGGCCGTGGGTTGGGACAGTCGCTTTTACCTCATCAGCAATCAATCCATTAATATATTACCTTCGAAATCAAGAGTTTCGCGAAGCCTTTCGTTGTATCTTCCGTTGGTTTCCTCGTGAACGCACTGGAGAAAGCACTCCACAAACCGGGTTGAAACCAAGTCGACGCCAGATTTTACAAAATGTTGTGAGACCTGGAGATGCAGCGAATAAAGAGACAGAGCTCTGAGTACAACTCAATCGAAACAAGACTTTTTCTTCCATGGACAGATGAGATGAGGCTGAAACGGACCAAAACTTTCATTAGTCCATTTTCCTGTAATTTTCGGCTAAAAATCTAATTAAAAAACATCTTCAGAAGAATGCCCAGACATAGCTTTTCACTAGTATTTCTTATTCTGTTTTGAGAATCCTTTAAGTTCAAGACGTTCTTTGATGTTTACGCATATTGATGCCTAGAGATTCGCGGACCAGGAACAACTGTTTCCATCTGCCTTCATTCGTGCTCAATTCCCTCAATTTTATTGCTTCTCTCGATTTTTTTGTCGTGATCCCTCACACATATCCCTGACACTTTATTCCATCGGGACGAATGCAACGACGTAGGTCAACCCACGTATGATCTTTTTTCATGTGGTATCCATCAGGGATCAAACGAATTGATTGTGCGAGACGGAGCTTTTCTAGAAAGGAAAACTTTCTTGTAAGCAGTAGCGATATCTTATGTGGAGCCAACTTCTGGCGGATTTTTGTGAAAAGAAGATCTTCAAGAATTTGATTGAATTTTGGCGGACCAGAGTTCCCTCCGATCTTTTTGGCCAATCTTTTTATAATATTTTAGAACGGTTATCTGTCTTTAGCAATCAAAGGAACTGCGAAATATGACTACAAAAGAATACTTTGTTGGTCTGCAGTTCTAAGCACATTGACAAGAAGAAAGATAGGATAAAATATCAAATTTCCTTTCTTACGGAAAAATACAATACTGACCTTGCCCTTTGTGAGATATTGAGAAATATGCTATCCTAACTCAGTATCAGTTCAGTGATCCCTACCCAGGAGATCCTTTGGGGTTTAAAAAGTTGATTCATCTGTGTTTCCAAATAAGTCAGTAGAATTTGCTATTTTTCTCCCAGTAATCTTAAAGTGAATTTGTAACAGAATTTGGCTTCTAGGGAATCAGTGTAAGCTGAACCACTTAGCTTAACACGGATCACTCTTTTGGCGAAAAGCATCAAGCGTTGATGCTAATATTGCTCGAACCATAATAAGGATTTAGCAATTTTAACGAAAGAAAGAAGAAGCACCAAACGAGAGAAGCCAGCCTGTTTGACTGGCTTGAATAAGAAAAAACGATGGAACCTTCGTACCTGAACTGTCGTTCCCCTTTCCCTCTCCATCACGTACAAGCCACTCTTGCTGGGAGGAAGCGGTTCATACAGACAGCAGAAGAGTGGGAACGAGTGAAAGTAGCCGGAAATTCAGTTTGTGGCCCAATTCACAAATTATGACATATTCAAATAACGAACTACCTAGAGAGTTTTTTTTTTTTAACTTAAACAAACATCCTGTTTTCAACTGTCACACTCGGCTCCAGAGCTTCATCGTCATCTTTTCCATTTTGCTCGCTTGGAATCAAGTCCTTGCAGAGTGAGTCATAAATCAGGTCAGTTTAGAAGTAATCGTTGTGTTTCTGTAGACCGGTTTGTTGCGATTCGGTTTCCTTTCCACTATCAGGACCTTGTGACTAAGAAAAGTTTTTACACAGCGATTATTTTGGTGTGGCTATTTTCATTAATTATTCCTTTCTCTTAGTTATTGGTTGATCATAGGTGCCTGTTTGATAAAGGCAAGGAAAATATTACTTTTGCAGTGCTGTCGATTTCTTTAGCATCAACAACATTTGTTATTCCGTTACTTGTACTCTCATATTCATACGTCCATTTTTTTAATCCGCAAAAAATCATTTTCACAGAATATCAGCGGGAAAAATACAGGAAAGTACAACTAGAATTATAGAGGAAGAACTATAAACAAATATAAAGCTATCAAAACTATCGGTTTTGGTTTGGGCGCTTGTATTATTACATGGATGCCCGATTTAATTCTGCTGTGTGTTAACTGTTACTATGTCATAACAAATGACTCGGGTGAAATTCATTCATCGGCCTTTGTTGCATGGTTTTGGGTTGAGGCAATCGCATTCACTTCTTCAGCAATCAATCCATTTAAATATTACTTTCGAAACCAAGACTATCGCCAAGCCTTTTGCCTTACCTTTCGCTGGTTGCCTTGTGAACTCACGGGGAAAAGCTCACAACAAATCGGGCTGAAACCAAGGCGACACCTGATGATATAGCAGATAAAGAGACAGAGCTCTATGGACGTCTCAATCGAAAAAAGAATTTACCTCCCATCGACAGATGATGTTCAAACGGACCGAAACACTAATTGGTCCATTTTTTTTTTTTGGTTTATTTATAGTATGTGGAATCTTGTTGAAAACCATCTTTGCATGATTGCTTAACTTTCCTTAATATATCTTAGGTCCTCGCATTTTATAAATTTCACGAGATTCTCCGGCCAAAAGTAAAAAAAATAACTTGTATGCCCGGGAGAACTGAGATAACCATACAATAGAACTGTATGCCACTATTGGTTCTCAATTAACTAAGTTTCATTGTTTTCTTGATTTATTTCATGATCGCCTTAAGAAATCCGAGAAAGTTTGAATGGACATCATTATAGGTGCAGTCTTAGGGAACCACAAAATGTGACACGAGTAAACTTCAGGAGATAGAGCCTTTAAAAAAAAAACTTGTAGTAAGGAACGGGAAAATGCCTGATATGGAGCCAACCTCTGGTAAATGTTTATAAAAAGAATATAAGACAAGTTTTACCCTCTGACCTTTCTCTAGAAATTCATTCGAATAATTTTCCGTTTGTAATTGATAACACCCGTAGATATTAGATTATTTAGTACCTATTTTGAGATTCTAGCTGAGATGATCTTATTGAGTCAAATGCGAATTCAGAAATATTTTCAGAGGAGGTTATGGAATTCACTTGCCAACATCCAAGAAAACTTATCAAAAATGTCAACAGTAGCCGGATTCTCGGCAATCAGCTTAACCGATGCTCTCAAACTTGATTTCAAATTATTCATATATCTCATGGTATCTAATACCAATCCCAGGTACTTGATCCGGATATCTCACTCATTTTCTGATTATGCACTACATTAGACTTTTTATTAGAGGTCGTACTAACGACACTCCCTCCCCGGTCACAAAGTTAAATTGCGACATGTGTCCTTAGTAGTTCGCTTTCATTTCGAAAGTCAATCGGGATTGTATTGGTTTTGCTTTACTTCGCTCCGTGATTTGTCCAGAAAACTTACCCCTCAACTCGGCCAATCAGAAAAAAACTGCCCCAATCCATGACCGTACAAAAATATTCAATTTTCAACTTTTCTAATTGTATTTTTAGTGTTCTGATTAGTTCAGTCAGTTCCGGTTATCAGCTCCTACAACGGGTTACGTTATGTGGAAAATAATTCACTCAAGTGTTACTGCGCTGAATTTATTTTGGCTGGAAGAAGAAAAAAAGGCAAACGCCACAAAGTGCAATACAATACTATCCGATGGCAAGTTTCTTTGAAGCCTCATTCAAGAATCACTCCTCTTGACTCTAAGGTTTCATGGTCTAGAAAAGTAGAGTACTGCCACAACAAGAAAAAAAAACAGCTGCCGGGTTACCCTCAAAATTCAGGGTGACTTGCAAATTTTACCTTGAAAGTTTTACGCTCAGCCAGGACCATCGATTACAAAAGCTCAGCTTTGAAGTCCATTCGAGTAGCTTAAGAACCGATTTCTTCCGTTCGCTACCACACAGCAAAATCGTTGAAAACATCCACAACGCTTCAGAAGAACTTAAAGTTTTATCAATTGAACGGAACACTTGTCTCAGTAAGTTTTTAATTAGTTGTCACCCACTCAAAGCGAGAAATTGATGTTCAGGATACTTTTGAAAACGAAAGCTTTCCTCGATCATTTGCTGTTCTCGGTTCCATCAAACAAAATATTTAAACAAATTGTGCATAACTTCTTCGCTTGTCGATAAGCTGGAACTCAAACGCACTCGAGTGCTTGTCCCGCTAGTATTGTGCCTTGTACCTTTGGCTGTTTCTTGGATTGAATGAATTTAGTAATGAATGAATAAATTTAGTAAGCTCCTACAGCAATAACGAAAAGCGCAGAGTTCAATAAAACAATTATTTTGTTCGCGCTGGTTGATTTTTTTAATGAACTTTTGTAAAGCCTTAATTCAAAGTTGCTTTAACCTTTTTGATCAATTTCTTTACTGGGAGCTGAGGACAGCCCCATCCGAGAAAGGTGAATATGTTATAAGACAAAAATGGTGTCAAAAAGATAATTTATGTACGATTGACTCGTATGCTTTCCTATCGTGAATTCTGTGTTGAGCAGCTGTTCAGTCACTGTTATTATTAGCTTCATTTAAGTAAACTATGTTTAATTTTTTATGTTCAATTCTTTCAGGATGACTGTAGGTGTAAACAACTTCTACTTTGTATCCTCTATGATAAATTTGTAATTAAAAAAAGTGTTCTTGACTAGAAATATGTGAGAAATCGAGAAGAGAGTTGATCTGAGAAAAGAGCAAGTAACTCAAAAGAGTTTACTTTTTAGAATTTAACGCGCGTTCTCAAATCTGATTCGTTACTGAGTTCGAAGTTATTTACCCAGAAAAGAGTACGATTGGCAGCCTAGCTAGTGGCACCTTTAAAAGCACTGTGAACGAATTCTGTTACGTTTAGCGCTAGTCGTCCAAGCTGTCAGTTTATCAAAAAGAAAATGGAGACTAAAGGAAAATCCTAGCATAGTGTTAAAGAAAAATCAACTTTTCTCCGAACAGTTAGCCCAAAAACGGACATTGATAAATATACTGATGACATATTCAGATAAAGAACTATTTGGAAGTCATATTTCATATTAAACACAGATTTGTTTTCAATTGTCAGACTACGACCCAGAATTAGAGCTTCACTGTCATTTTCTTCACTACATTTCGTTCACTTGGAATCAAGTCCTTAACGGGTAAGTCATGAATATGGTCACTATCACCATAAGCTTTAAACTGTTTTAGCCAGGGGCCGTTTATAATTTGAGTATCCACAGCTGCATCTCAGAGCAAACTTAGTTGTCAAGTATCAGTAATTTTCAAGCTTTTGAATTCATGAAAAGTCAAATGTGATTGAGTTTCTCTTTTATCGATGATGAAAGACAAAGGAAGATTAACTGATGTATAAATACGAATTTTGTTATATTTTTCAGAGATGTGTTGTGGTATCTATCTCTTTCACCGTTTTGTGGAACTTCAAATGTTCAGACTTCAATCGATTCGACGTGCCTGTCAAAAGAAATTATATCTGTATAAATAGAATGATATGATTTACGCAAAAACATTTTAGTTTCAGAAACATTTGTCTGGTTTGAAGAGAGAACAAGAAAAATTTAAAACTTTCCCCAAGCTTACTTTCTATCCTCTGCTGTAGCTGTACACCATCTTACCATGGATGATGGCCAACCGGAAGAACATCTGAGCAGTGCAGCGTCCATCGTTCTATCACTGTGGCTCTCCTTGTGCAGTATTGCGTCTGTTACTGGAAATGCAGTTGTGTTGTGGTTGTTCTACAAAAATGAGTCTCTACGGACAGTTTCCAACCGATTTTTAGCCTCGTTGTCGGTAGCAGACTTTTTAGTTGGGCTTGTGATAGACCCTGTGTGGATAGCCATCAGATTTTTTATTGAGCCCTCGTCTCCGAGCGTTTTGCACGAATTAACATTAATGTTGTGGATTTACACAACCGCCGCCACCACTTTTAACATTTGTTGTGTTTCTGTCGACTGATTCATTGCCATTCGGTTTCCTTTCCGTTATCAGGACATGGTAACCAAGAAACGATGTTACACAGTGATAATTTTGGTGTGGTTATTGTCATTATGTCTTCCTTTCTCGAAGTTGTCGGTGACAAACGCGGGAGACATTAAATAGAGCAATATTTTGGTTTTCTTTAACATTTATAACATTTGTTTTTCCGTTAGTGATAGTTTCATTATCATACATCTGTATTTTAAAAGCAGCAAAAGAACAATTTAAAAGAATATGTGGAGATGAAAGTTCTCGAAATTACAACGAAAATATCAAAGTTCGTACTTTACAAAATTTCAAAGCTATCAAAACAGTCGGTTTTGTTTTGGGTGCTTGCATCATCACATGGATGCCAAGTTTAGTTCTCATGGTATTTGATATTTATTATGTCATAGAAAATAGCAGGGAGAAAATGCGTTCATTGTTGTTGGTTGTATGGCCTTGGGTTGATGCAGTTGCATTTGCTTCATCAGCAATTAATCCATTAATTTATTACTTTCGAAATCAAGACTTTCGCCAAGCCTTTCGCCGTACCTTTCGTTGGTTGCCCTGTGGATTCACGGAGTAAAGCGTAAAACAATCCGGACTTAGGCCAGGTCTACACCTATTGTTACGAAATGGCGTGAGATCTGGAGATATAGCGATTAAAGAGACAGAGTTCTAAGAACATCTCAATCAAAACAAGACTTTGTCTTCTGTCGACAGATGATAGTGAAATTAAACGGAACGAAACTTTTTTGTTTCTTCACTATTCTGTGATAAAATGTAGAATTTGTTGGTCTACGGTTTTGAATAAATTAGAAGAAGAAGGATTAAGGAAAAATTCTTCCTATAAAAAATGCTTCAAGGATGATTTCCCTTTTGTAAGGTATAAAAATATACAGGATACCGTTCTTCTGCATTCATTCAGTGATCTAAGTTGTAGAGATCATATTAATCCAAGGTCTTTTTCAAAGGTATCACCTAAAAAATCTCTAGTTATTTGCAAGTCATTTTAGGGAAAAATGTCAACAGAGGTCGGTTTCTCGGAAATCCTTAAGCTATTTAAGGATTATTCCTTTCACTCAAAAGCATCTAACATTGATACTAGTTGCTCGACACATAAGAATGATTAAGCAAAGCACATCTATCTTTCAATCCTTGGGGTTCACAAATCTGGTTTAGCAGCTGTAATTGGAAATGCAGCTATGTTTGTTCTACTATAGCGAGTCGCACATATCTGTCCCCATATTAAGCCTTTCATTCCCAAGATCTTATTGGTAATTCTCCTAACTGCCTGCCATACAATTCTTATGATGTTAATTTGAATCACGTGACTTGTGTATCGCTTTACAATTGAAGCTGAATGAAAAATTCAACGCTATACAACTTACTCAGTCTTACCAGAATTTGGTATTGGATCATCAAATAATCTCCTAACTAATATTTTTCTTTATTCTCATCACCTGTCTGCTTGACATTGTATTGATATTGTATGGTGAAATTCTGTCTTGGTCACTCATGGGAATTAAAGGGTTAACACCGTTGACAGAAGCAGACATTTATAATGACTCCGGTAAAGATGGTAGATGGTAAAACTTCAATTTGAATCTGGAGAGGAGTAATAAACGGGGAAAGGAGAGGAGAGGGGACAGGCAGCAAAGGATCCTTCTTCCCTCTACTTAGCCTCCCCTCGTTTTGACTGCCTGAAACAAGCGATATCCTTGGTACTCAGAGGAATGAGAGAGGACAATCTGCACTTCATTAAAAACAAATTGCACACTGTTGTAGAAGTTGGACCTTTTGAGTGTTAGCATCATGACACAACCTGCTATTGTCATACATTAGAGTGCGAAAAGTGCCGGATAATAAGCGGTACTGACTTTTTGTAAGGCCTAGGGTTGAGGAAACCTCTTGATTGAATTTGGCCGGCGATTTATCCATTCATAAATCATGCATTTCAGAAATATTGAATCACGCCATTGATTAAGGAGAGACCTGAAATTTTTGTGAGACCTATACTGTTAGTAATTACTAAGGTAATTTACAGCCATTCAAGAATCGCAACTTTGAGTTAATACAAACACAAACAGGTATATGCAACCACTGACAGAACACGAAATTAACATTTTTGGGGAAAGGTGAGACGTGAATGAAACTGTTTATTAAAAAAAAAAAAAAAAAAAAAAAAAAAAGAGAGAAAAACAAGAAAACCTACCCTTGTGAGAAAAGGCTATCGTAAATTCGATAAAATGTGTTTTCCGCTGGTATGAAGTTGATGCAGTTCGTTAGCTCTTTATGTTTTTTCGTTTTTGTTGGAACACGCCGTTAGGGCGTGTCTCCAGGGGTTTTTGTGATTGGTTGATGTGTAGTATTTTAGGCTTCAAAGAGTTGACAGATTCCTCTCGCTCGCGCTCTCCATCCTGGCGTTTACTTCTTTTGATGCTAGGATACAGCTATGAATTCTACAGAAGAAAGTGGTTCCGTTCCTTCTGTCGTTGAAGCCGATGTTGTTTCGCAGAACCCTTCTTCAAATTCACAGTTGGTGGATCAGGTTTTCGCTCTTGTTAAAGGCTATTTGACCTCTTAATTGGAAGAGAAAGGGAAGCGGTTTGAGCGAAGCTCTAAGTCCGATAAAGAAGCTGCAGACATTAAGTTCAAAGGTAACCGAAAGCAGTTTGAGTTGAATTTGCAACTGGACAACATATTAACACGAATCGACGAGAGTGCTAGTAGCCCGGCTGATGTTCACAAGTTGATTGAAGAAGGAAAACTGCTCATCAAAAAGCGTCAGAAGTTGATCAAAATCGCCGACAAGAACAAAGATGGCTGGCTTGTTGTCCAAGAATACGAGTCCGACGATCTCGCTTCAGACTCCGAAGATGAGAAGAAGATACGTAAAGCCAAGGCTGCCGCTGAGAAGAAGAGAAAAGAAACGAAGAGTATCAGCGGTAACACTTCGAAAAAATTTAAGTCTTCTAGTGACTATCAGCTTTTTCGCAGTAAGACCTCTACTTATTTTTACTTTGTGAAGTTCTGGGTTGGACTGTCTGAGCATCCAACCATCAATTTGTTGTATTTGTTCATCTATTCATTTAAGAGGAAAATAATTTACGTTCGTCTGAGCGTAGCGAATTAGAACGTAAATGTATTTTCCGCTGGTATGAAGTTGATGCAGTTCGTTAGCACTTTATGTTTTTTCGTTTTTGTTGGAACACGCCGTTGGGGCGTGTCTCCAGGGGTTTTTGTGATTGGTTGATGTGTAGTATTTTAGGCTTCAAAGAGTTGACAGATTCCTCTCGCTCGCGCTCTCCATCCTGGCGTTTACTTCTTTTCCCACCCACCCACCCCCCCGCTCTGTTTTTGGGTAGTGACAGGTTCACTGGTTTCATCCTAGCCGTTCGTATGAAGTTTTCTTAAGTTTCTATGGCTTTATTTACATGGGATGTTTAACCATTAAAATTTCAGTGGATAAAAGGCACAGGCCTGGGCCGATATTATTACCATGTTTTGTAGTTAAGAGGCACTGGCCTTGGTTGATATTGTTACAATATTTTTGTAGATAAGTGGCACTGGCCTGGGTCGATATTATTACCATGTTTTGTAGTTAAGAGGCACTGGCCCGAGTTGGTATTATTACAATGTTTTTGTGGATAACAGGCACTGGCCTGGGTTGGTATTATTACTATGTTTTTGCGGAGGCGCTTGTCGTTATTCTCTGTTGTTGTGGAAGTGTCTTTGCAGCATGTGACTGTTTTGGCGGTTTCATAATTTGCGTTATTTCTTTTGTTTTCTCGTTACAGATGTTTGCTTCAGACAATGTTTGGAGTTGCATCCCGGTTGGTGTAAAGCCTAACCTAGGAGAGTTTATCTCGACATTATTGAAGTCTAAAGTGGATCCTACATCGAGGAGATATAAGAAAGCGATTTCGAAGTTTATTGAATTTTGTAATTCCTCCAACGTTCAGCCAGTGCCTCCTTTTCCTGTTATGTTTATAGTTGTTTATCTATTTAAGGTTTATCAGAGTTCTAACTCTTATGCTTCTCTAGTTATGGCTCACGCAGCTCTTAAGTGGTTTCACTCGTTCGGTTTAAGTAACGGCGCTAATCCACTGGATAGTTCGATTTGTCATAACTTACTGGAGGCTGCTAGGCGTAATAAGCCAGTTACTGTTAAAAAGGCGCCTATCTCCGCTGAAATTTTTAAGGATATTATTGATAAGTTCGCTGGATCTTCTACTAAGGACATACGAGTTGCTTGTATCTGCTCGTTAGGCTTTGCGGGGTTTTTTCGTTATGATGAGCTTAGTAACATTGCGCCCATGCATCTTGAATTTTTTCCTGATCATCTTAGAGTGTTTGTTCCCAAGGCTAAAAATGTCATTTATCGTGTAGGTAATGATGTTTATATTAAGAGGTTAGCTAACAAGTATTGCCCTGTTGCACTTTTAGAAAGGTATATTTCCATGTGTAACATTGAACTTTCAAGTTCAGTTGCTCTCTTCCGTCCAGTAAAGTTATTTAAGTCTACCAACACTTACAAGTTATACGGAGTTAAGTTATCATATACCAGATGTAGGGAAATCTTTAAAGAATGCCTTAAAGAAATAGGGGTGGATCATAAGTTGTACGGGCTTCATAGTTTAAGGGCTGGTGGAGCTACCTCTGCCGTTAGTTATAACCCTAGTCTTTCGGAGAGGGTACTTAAACTGCATGGTCGGTAGAAGTCCGATACTGTGAAGGATATGTACATTCAAGAAGATATTTCTAAGCGTTTACAAATAACTTCTCAGCTTGGTTTGTAAATTTACATTTATTTAGTGATATTCAGTTTAGTTACACTGTTACGACTGCTTGTGTGAAGCTTGAATAAACGTCAGTTGTTGGACTGCCTGAGCATCCAACCATCAATTTGTTGTATTTCTTCATCTATTCATTTAAGAGGAAAATAATTTACGTTCGTTTGAGCGTAGCGAATTAGAACGTAACAAAATTTTTTATCCTGATGATGATATTGACAATGATGATGATAATTAATGAATCAAAGCGTAAGACGTTGATGGAGATGAAGTTCTGACAACAGAGAGACAATGGGAACTACACGGGAGTAAGGATCCTGCTTGACTGGCGAAAATAAAGAAAACGACCGAATCTTCGCACTTAAATTGTCCCTTCCCTTTCCGTCACCATTGTGTAACAGCTACCTTGGATAGGAACAAGCGATCCATCAAGACAACTGGTGTAACTCTAATCTTCATTTTCATCATTATACCTTCATTATTCCTTTCGTTGAGGAAATGGTGCGGTGCTGGGGATAATCTTGAACCTAAAGTATGGGGGTAACCCCAATACGTTGTACGGGTTTATGAGCGGTTATAAAGAAAAACTACTCGAGAAATGATCAGCAAAAACACCACCAAAGCGGTGATACGAAGAAACTAACACAAAAAGAGATCCTAAAAAAATTTCTTTCCCAAAATGAACAATGCCACTCGCACACGCGATCATAGTTAACGCCAATTGCTAGCGAACTTGTGGCGAATTTAAAAGTGTAGTCTAACCACGCCCGTCATCCTATTAATATTTTGCACGGTAGGCGATCAGCTTTTTTGGGTTACCTTCGAATACTGCGATGCAAAGCCTGACGAAATTCGCCATTACGGAAAAAATAAACCCACGGGTTGATGGCTGACGATGAAAGCGCGACTGCCTCAATCCATGGCCATGCAACATTATACAACTTTTCATCGGTGCACGGATTACTCGCAGAAAACTCGTGCACAATGGATAGGACAAGGCAAGGCATCCAAGAAACGACAAAGACACACAACACGAAACCTATGGTTTTGATAGCTTTAAAATTCTGTATTATACGGCTTGGAAAAGTACTTCGTCTTTCGTCCGCACGATGCTTATTTCCCCCCGTCATTCTTCGGGCTTGATTGCTTGCGGCCTTGAAAATCCAAAAGTAGCATACCGCCATGACAGTTGTGGGGATGCAAAATGTGACAAGCGATACGAATAACCACAAGTTTTCAGCATTTACAAAAATGACCGGACAAGGAAGAAGCAATGATGTAAACCACACCACGGCAATGAGGCTATGACATGTCTTCTTGGTTAAAATGTCCTGATAACGGAAAGGAAACCGAATGGCTATGAAGCGATCCACGGAAACACAGCATAGGTTAAGCGTTGTAGCAGCGGTAGTGTGAATCCACAACATGTCCATAAACTTATTCAAGGCGGCTTGGGTCACATTTGACGGCTGGATCAGACATCTAAAGGTGATCCAAATAGGGTCTATTACAAGTCCAACTAAAAAGTCTGCTACAGACAACGAGGCTAGGAATCGGTTGGAAATTGTACGTAAAGACTCATTTCTGAAGAACAACCATAACACAACTGCGTTTCCTGTTACACCTGCTAAACCAGACGAGGAGAAACACAGCGAAAGAACGATGGATGCCTCCTTACTTCTTTGTTCATTCAAGCAGCCAACAGTCATGGTGATTCAATGCAAAAGGAGACTTGTAATTGAAGAGTGACTGTGGAAGATCCGTAAAACGCGATGGAAGAATTTTTTTCCTCAAACTTTTACAATATTCGCCCGGTCAACCGCCTGGATCAGTCCTTTGCATTAAAATTTAAAACAAATGTAAAGATTTGATTTTGATATTTTCCCTTTAGTGAGCCCCTTACAAAGCGTGATTGTCGTTTATGTAATCAAAGATGCGGTGAATTTGAATAAAACAATATAGATATTGCATATCACAATGCAATGCGCAAAAAAATTGATTTGCCAATTACTATGACTATATTTAACGAATAGTCTACATGCGTAGAGCTTGTATTTTGAAACTGTTTCGACTCTCTTGCTTCTCAGAAACATCCAGCAACTCCAAAATTGGCGAATGTTGACAGTTGTGTTGTCCTTAGCTAATGTGCACATAAAATTTACGACTTGATATTTAATTTATATGCCATGCTCTTACTTGAAGCTTTGCAGGGAGCTTTTTGTACTCATGACAGTTCTTGTCTATTCAGTTTTAGCAGGTGACAAGCAAATTTTCGTCATAAGAAGCAAACTTCAGAATGTTACAGTTCCTTGTTCCAGTAGGAACAGCGTGTTGTTCAGAGAAAAATTTTTACTGCTAATTTTCTATGAAGCATGTTAAGAGTTCCGTGTTTCTAACATTTTGTCAGCATAAATTAAAGTCCTTCAAGCACTCACAGCACGAGTTGAGGACCACCTATGTCATTCAAATTCAACATTTACGTTCCACCTTTAAGTTCTCCAAGGCAAAGGTCTGTTTACAGTGCTCATAACTATCTCGATCCGGTCACTTGGTGCATGAAAATTGGCCAATAAATGCATTAGAACAACTTATTTAAGTCACATTTTTCTTTGCAACTCTTTATACAGAAAAGTAAGAATGCCTAATTAATTTCATATCGTCGCCGTGTTTTGTCCTCTGTTTGCAATTTAACAGAAAAACAAACATAAGGATATTAGCATATGAAAACACTTCGTCAAATTTTATATTACCAGCGTAAACCGGACCCAAGGAAGTTTTGATTACAAGGGACTCAATGGAAATAGGACTGATCTCTCTGGTTAAGGGACCCCGGAATGAGAATTGTAATGTACCTTGCCCGATCTCTTTATATCTTTATATCATTTGTTGATGGATTTAAAAAATTAATTCTGCCGTTTACCAAATTCAATTTATTTGTCTGGTTATTTATTTACCTGTTCGTTTTTTGTTTTTTGTTTTCATCTTTTTTGATCACCTTGCTAAAGAGAGAGGTTTCTGGCGACATAACATTATTTTTGCGATTGAAAAACTTTTATCCGTATAATTTTCGTAAACTGTTGCACTTGAGGTTGACAAAGGCTGACTCTTCTCCCTTGCAACATGCGTGGCAACGAAAGGCAATGAACTGCGAGAAAAAGATGGTCGTCATCTTCTTCATTTTGCCCGCTAGGAGTCAGGTCCTCGCCGGGTGAGCCATGAAGATGGTCATATTTGACACAAGCGTTAAAACTACATTTACTGTTAATCAGGAGCCGTTACTAATGGGGGTATCCTTTCTGAATTAGGAACTTTGGAAAACTTTTTCTGTCACTTTTGAAGAGAAATCAAATCAGTTCCCTTTTTATGTTTATGAGGGGACGCAAATCGTCTGTGCTGGAAAACATTTTGTTGTCTAAGTTGGGACTTTTTGCCAGGCTTTTTGACTTTCGATGTGACAGATAATTGGACTGTTTTCTTTTCAAATCAAGTTTTAAGACGGCTATCATTTTTATCAAGAATAATGAAGTTTGCGTCTCATGAGGCAAGGCAAGGTAAGACTGAGATATAAATAAGAATTTCGAAACATTTTCCAGAGAGCTGTTGTCGTATCCATCTCACACCTTTTACCGTTCTTCGTTTTCAGACTTCTGATAAAAACGACGTGCCTGTCAATAAAAAGCATATCTGCTTAAAAAGGAAAATGATGATTCATGCAAAATCAGTTCAGTTTCAATAACATTTGTTTGTAGAGAGGAAAAGAAAATTTTAAGCATTCCCAAGTTCACTTTCTTTTTTTCTGCAGAAGCTGTTCATCATCTCACCATGAATGATAGCCATCCAGACAAACATCTCAGTAGTGCAGCGTCCATCTGTTTATCAGTGTGGTTTTCCTTGTCAAGCTTTGTAGCTGTAACTGGAAACGCAATCGTGTTGTGGCTGTTCTTCAAAAACGAGTCTTTACGAACAATTTCCAACTGCTTTTTAGCTTCACTGTCCGTTGCAGACTTTTCAGTTGGGATTTTTGTAGACCCTATGTGGCTCGCTACCAGATGTTGGATTCAGCCGCCGCTTCACTCCTTGATGATGGAGGTTATAATAGTATTGTGGATTCACACATCCGCCGCCACTACTTTTAACATTTGCTGTGTTTCTGTCGACCGGTTTATTGCCATTCGGTTTCCTTTCCGTTATCAGGACATAGTAACCAAGAAAAGATGTTATGCGGTCATCATTTTGGTTTGGTTTAGTTCACTGGGGCTTACTTTTTTAACATTTTTCCTAGATCGTTCAAAAAAAGCGATGATATTTTATTTAACATGCATTATCTATACTACATCATTATTTGTTGTCTCTTTTTGCTATGCTAGTATTTTCAAGGCTGCCAGAAAACAGTTCAAACGAATAATCGCCCAGCAAAATCCCCGAAAATGCGACGAAAATATTAGAGTTCTTGCTGTGCACAATTTTAAAGCTATCAAAACAGTAGGTTTTGTTTTGGGTGCTTGTATATTCACGTGGATGCCCAGTTTAGTTCTGATTATAGTTGGCTGTTATCACATCCTAACAAAAGACGAAAGTGAAATGCTTGAATTGTTTCTTGTTGCATGGCCCTGGGTTGACGCAATCGCTTTTACATCGTCAGCGATTAACCCACTGATATATTTTTTCCGAAATGGCGACTTTCGTCGAGCCTGTCGTCGTGCGTTCCAATGGCTTCCCTGTCTTCATTCGGATATTTCACCAGAAATTGGTTTTACATCGGAAAGAAACCAAAATGACCGAATAACACGAAATAGTGAGACGAATGGCAACTTGGCAAGTCAAGAAAAAAGGGAATGAAGGAAATTCAAACGGAACATTGCTCCACTTAATTAGAAACCTGGTCGACCTATATAAACATAACGGAACATCTACACACGTTCATGTTTTCAGAATTCTCATTTTATGTAAATAAAAAAAGACTTTGGTTAAAAAATTTTTTTCTCGTTATATCAAGCAAGTTTTACTCGACAAGAATTCTTTATTTTCCCCAGAAACACCTGTCATTTTGAGCCCTGGTCATATATTCAGTCTAGTAAATTATTCTGGTAAATAGTTTCGTCCCTGAACTCAGTTCTTAGTTTTAATTCGGTTGAATTCATGAAGGAAAGACCGAACCCTTTCATGAAGTGGGCTATTTTCAAGGGACAAAATCGTGAAAAATTATATACAATTAATAGAACTTGATTTATCTTCCGTTTTCTCGTTCTGATTGATTTAAAACCACTCAAGCTATGGGTAACTGATTTGGTCGTAAAATCAATAAATATCCTAGGACTGAAAACATTGGATCCTCTACCTCGAACCCGTCGCTAGTTTGACTCAGCGGTAGAAGCAGCTAAGTCGCTTCTCTCAGAGAAATTGTAAACGCTAATTTTCTATGGGGCATATAAAGTGTTGTTCAAACACTCACAGCATGAATTGAGGATCAGCTATATTATTCAAATTGAAATTTTTGGACCACCTCAAGCTCTCTGAGGCAACCCTCTGTTTACGGTGCATGTGAATTTCTAGGGCCCGGTTACTTAGTTGCAAGAGAATTGATCAATAAACAGATAATCATGATGCAACAGATGAAAAATAAAGATAATGTTCTTGCAACTCACAAGCCACACAGAGGAAATAATTGCTACTTCATTTCCTTTTTCAACGCAATGAAGACTTCCTGTGGATTTGCCGATCCCGCGTTTCGTTCTCAATTTGAGTTTAAAAAGAAACTCGTGGACATGCACACACAACAACGTTTTGTTGAAGTCTGCTCTAATTTTACTAGCGTAAACCAGACCCTTGGAAGTTTTGATAACAAGGGAATTAAATAGAAGTGGAATCTTATAGCTGACGGGACCCCGAGATGAGAATTGCATGTAGTTCTTTCTACAATCGACTTATTTACTTTGGGCATTAAATATTTTATTTCAATATTACCTTCTATCAATTATCAATGTTAATTGATCCATTTCGGGCAGCTGATATGTCGGCTAACCATGTCCGCGGCTGAGGTATTGTCCGAGAAATGAATTTTTTAGCCGAGAAACGAAGCTTTGCGGAAAATTGTGAAATCTATGGACAATCTATCAGCCAGTGACGTTATCAGCCGACATACCAGGAAGCCCAGAAGAGGATTCAATTGTTTTGTAACCCTCTCATTAATTTTCATAACGCGCGTTGACAGCAATTTTTTTGAACTTTTTTTGTAATTTCATGAGCAGCATTCGAGATAAGCTTTTTAACGTCACAATCACTGGACTCTACCTTCTTCCATGTAAAGTAACAAAGATGAAAAAGTGAAACTTTTGGGCTGGTTATTTTCCGCTGGCTTCGTTTCCTTTCGACGCAAATAATCGGAGGACAAATATCGACGTAAACGGGGGTTATTCCCTAATAATTGTGCGATAATTTTGTACCACGAGACGTATAGTAGCCAATGGAATCACGCGAAAATTAATGACTGGATTATAATCGTTTACGTATTCATTCATTTCATTATTTTTCAATCAACTCTCAGTTTGGAATAATATTCATTTCTTCTGAAGAAAGAAAAAAATTAATTAACGTTTATGAATGCATTCTCTTTCCTCCTCCTAAATTTCGTATTTTTCCCCCTTAACGTGGACAAAGGCTGACTCTTACCCCTCGCAACACGCGCGGCAAGGAAGGACGATGGGAGTGAAAGAAATGATGGGAAAGGAAGAGAGGAACAGACTGCTTGTGATAGACCCTGTGTGGATCTTTATCAGATTTTTTATTCAGCCAGTGGTTCCCAGCGTTTTTTCCGACTTAACATTGGTGATGTGAATTCACACAACTGCCGCCGCTACTCTCAATATTTGCTGTTTCTGTCGACCAGTTCGTTGCAATTCAGTTTTCATTCCGTTATCAGGAAATTGCAAGACATTTTACCAAAGAAAAGATGTTACAGTGTTAATTTTGGTGTGGTTATTTTCATTGGGTCTTCCTTTCTCCACGTTCTCGGTAAACGTTGAGGAAAAAACTAATACAATAGTATGGTTTTTCTTTAACATTTATAACATTTGCTTTTCCATTATTGGTAGTCTCATTTTCGTATATATGTACTTTCAAATCAGCAAGAAAACGGTGTAGAATAATTTTAGGTGGCGAAAATCCTCGAAATTGCGACGAAAATTTGAGCGTGGATGCCCAGTTTAGTTCTTTTGTTAATTGAACGCTATTATTATCTGCCGAATAACTAGCGGTAAGGGCAAATTGCGTACATGGATCTTCGTTGTATGGCCTTGGCTTGAGACAATTGCTTTTACTTCTTCAGCAATCAATCCATTCATATACTTATTTAGAAATCAAGAGTTCCGCAAAGCCTTTCGTCGTACCTTTCGCTGGTTGCCTTAAGGACGATTGATGCAACGTGGAAAGTACACGGAAGGTTGGGTTGATTTCAGGTCGACACCTAATGGTACGAAATGGTGAGCGTTCTGTAGATAACTGTATAGCTGGGGCAAATTATGTATATAGATCTTTGTTGTATGGCCTTGCCTTGAGACAATTGCTTTTACTTCTTCAGCAATTAATCCATTCACATACTTCTTTAAAAATCAAGAGTTCCGCAAAGCCTTTCGTCATACCTTTCGCTGGTTGCCCTAAGAATGATTGATGCAACGAGAAAAGTACCAGGTTGGGTTGATTTCAGCTCGACACCTAATGGCACGAAATGGTGAGTGTTCTGTAGATAAAACAGATATAGAGACAGAGCTCTTATGGGGCATATCAGAGGAAACAGGACTTACCTTCTATCGACAAATTATGTCGAAACGGACTGCAACTTTAGTTTGTACATTTTTTCGTAATATTAGTGACTTGGAATCTGACAAAAAAGTCGTCTTTGCAAGAATACCTGATATTGCTTTCTCTTGAGTATATGTACTTTGTCCTCACTTTAAAATAATTTATTTTCTTTGATTTAACAGGTTTCTTTGACAGTTACCCATTGCCTTGCATGGAGCCAATTGCAAATAGATGTTTGTTAAAAAAGAATATAGAACAGGTTTTATTTTACTTAACACGCTGGTTCAAGTCATCCCCCTTTTGTAACTGAATACGCCCATGAATATCAGGTCACTTAGTATCGATTCAATGATCCTGGCTGGGATGATCAGATCAATTAAAAATATTTCTGGAGGAAATGATTGAATTCACCTGTTATTTACAAGAGATTTTCGGTGAAAATGTCAACAGAAGTCGAATTCCTGGAAATCAGCTTAAAAAACGGAACCCCTTACACCTATTTTCAGATTGCTGCTTTGGCTTAAAGTTCATAATGTTAGTTCGGAGAATTTGATATTGGATCAACAAAAAAATCCCCTAACTGATATTTTTCTTCATCCTCTTTGCTTGTCTGCATAATATTCTCCCGATGTTGTCAGGAGAAATTCTGTCTAGGTCATATATGGGAATTCAACGGTTAACATCGTTGCCGGTACAGGCTTCCTTTGAACCTACCGACCCCATGTTTTGTATTCAATGCTGACATAATGATTATGAGAAGCTTAAGAATATAAGCATACAACCGCATTTTGTTAAAATCAGTTGTTATACTGATTTCGCAACGAGAATTACACAAAACTTTGCCGGAACATTGAGGGCCTCTTCGTATGAGCCCAATCGACCGGGCTGGCCCGCTTGCCGGCACGAATTTCGCCCTGGGTTCATATAAGAAAACTCAGCCCGGTTTCCGAGATGAGAAAAGGTCGAAGATCCTTGGGACGAGTTTTGGCGCGAAATTAAAAAAACAAAACACAGATAGCGAAACGCAACCGAGTTATTACTTTTACACCTATCGTGGCTTTGGCAACCCTTGTAGCTGTAAACGGAGATCCCGGTTGGAAAAACCTAGATCTCGGTAACCGAGCCGGGCCGCCCTCTCATATGAACACATAGAAAATTTTACAAAGGATTTAGAGGTAAGGCGAGATCTCGGAAACCGGGCCAGCCCAGTCAACCGGACTCATATGAAGAGGCCCTAAGTTGCAATTTATAAATTAATTTTTTAATTTTTTAATTACTATTTTCGGTATCTTTTTTATTGATTTAAATAATTAATTTCTTAATTTATGTTCTCTTGGTTTATTTACTCACCTAATATCTTTTTATTCATTCAACTATTTTCGATCGTCTTTCACACTTTAAATTACAGTTAAATTCTCAGAAGAAACTGCGAAAGTTGACGATCTGAAAAATTCAACCTTTCCTGAAGCTTAAACATCGATCTTCACACAGCACTTGGATTCACTACCATCCAATTCAATAATATTTGTGTTCCTTAATTTATCACGTTGCAGTGCTGTTATCACAGTACCTTACATTACACGGCCCCTTCGTGCTTGTGTTTATGCCAGTATCCGCCAAAAGTTTCGCACTGTTCAGGCAACAGGATATCGGTCAGCTCAGGAAAGGGCTTGAACTTGATAAAAAAAAATGTACTTCTGTTATCAAAATACGATGGAAACTACAATTGGTAGTATTTTCTTACGATAAGAAAAGCGTAATTGTAGTCATGTGGAAAGACAAGGAGTATGAGTACATCTCAAGCGCTTGAAATAACTGAATAACAAGAAGAAGCTCACTATTCTTCGCTTGCGAACTTTCAGCCGAAAAGAATATGGAAAAATCGTGTCTGGTCTGGGAACAGGCCCCTTTAACAGCATTATTTTTAGCTGAATTCATCGGCCATCCTCCCCTGATTTAACCAGTGGTATGTGTTCGTATCAGCCGTCTTCGAAGGTGGGACGGAGCATAAGGCCGACAACATTGAAGAGTAAAATCGCTTCGATTTCAACGATCGAAATGCGTCTATTTTGACCATACAACTTCATCCTTTGGAAAGTAGTGTATAGAAATACCCGGTGTATGTGTATAATTCTTGTATAGCTAACATCATTTGGAGCACCGGCCACGCAATAAGTTCGTCCTTTCTTATATATTTTTCCTTTCTCCACCATAGTTGCCGACGTGTTTCCACAACTTTCTACGTCACAGCCATGTAACATGATGGTTTTGGCCGCGCGCTAAATGGGACACTTTTTGACAACCAAATTGTGCTTTCAATGGGAAAAAACAAATGGTAAAGGAGAACTGCTAGGCATTAGGGTCGATTATTTCAAATTTCAAATTTCAAATTTCAAATACCGCACCAACCAGAAAACGCAGAAAAAGAAAAAATTAGTTTAAGATGTAAGTAAGAGTTTCCAAACACTTTTGAGAGAACAATTGTTATACGTCTCTTTCGCCGTTTTCAAGTACTTTAAAAGATCAGACTTCAGAGCAATATGACACGTATCTGTCAATAAAAATGCATAAAAGCAATATTATAGTTTTTAAAAACCATATATGATTCATGCAAAAAATAATTTCAATTTTAGAAACACCTGTTTGGTTTGTGGTGAGGGCAAGAAACACTGTGGCATTTCCCGAGCGCACTTTTTATCTTCTGTTGTCGTTGTCTACCATCTTACCATGAATGATAGCTATCCGCGGGAACTTCTCAGCAGTACTGCATCCATCGTTCTATCATTGTGGTTTTCCTTTTCTGGCTTAGTAGCTGTGACTGGAAATGCAGCTGTCCTGTGGCTGTTTTGCAAACATGACTCATTTCGAACAATTTCCAACCGATATTTAGCCTCCCTATCCGTTGCAGACCTTTCAGTCGGGCTTTTTGTGGACCCACTGTGGATTGTCATCAGATGTTGGATTAAGCCGAAAGTTCCCACAGTTTTATACGACATTATACAAGTGTTGTGGGTTTACACCACCGCCGCCACTACTTTCAACATTTGCTGTGTTTCCGTCGACCGGTTTATTTCCATTCGGTTTCCTTTCCGTTATCAGGACATTGTGACCAAGAAAAGATGTTACGCGCTTATAATTTTGGTGTGGTCAATCTCCTTGGGTCTTTCCTTCTCGATGCTTTTCCAGAATGGTGAAAATGTTGAAATATTCTTTTTGTCGTTACCAAGCATAATCTTCGTTTTTCCATTGTTAGTTGTCTCCTTTTGCTATATTAGTATTTTCAAGGCTGCCAGAAAACAATATAAAACAATTTCAGTGCGGGTAGGTCCGCAAAACTGCGACGAAAATATCAGACTTCTTTTCTTGCAAAATTTCAAAGCTATGAAAACAGTCGGTTTTGTTTTGGGTGCTTGTGTTATCACATGGATGCCTAGTTTAGCTCTCTATATAGTTAGCTCTTACCATCTCCATGTGACAGACCAGAGTATGACTTTTAACTCATTGGTCGATATTGCGTGGCCTTGGGCTGAGGCAATCGCTTTTACTTCATCAGCGATCAATCCATTCATATACTACTTCAGAAACAGCGAATTTCGCCGAGTTTTTCGCCGATACTTCCAGCAGCTGCCCTGTCGTCACGCGAATATTTCAATCGATAATGACCTGAAACCAGGAGGAAACCGAATGGTACGAGATGGAAGAACTAATCGGAACTTAGCATGTAAAGAGAAAGAGAAGTGAAGACGACTCGAGTATAACATTACTCCGCCCACCAGCAAACCTGGTCGGCCTTCATGAACAGATTAATTTAGCACTTTGACCCCTAAGAGTGATTAGGATCTAATTTCTCCCTGTAATATCACCCCTGAATCAGACGAGAATAAAGGAATTAATCACTAATTAAAGAATCTCTTGATTGTTTATCAAATTCTCTTTGTTAGCACCTTATCAAAGGTATAGAGAACAGTATGGAGAATATCCATTTTGAAGTTAGGGTGAGAAGGGTTAACTATCCGTTTCCAGAATACCTTTTATTGTTAAAAAAAATAATAAATAGGAATTTAGAGCGATTAAATCATTTTACATCTCGTCTCATCAAAGGAGCTTTACTCGACAAATGTCCTATTTTTTTTCTAGAGACAATCAATTATTTTGATAAAGAACCGTTCTAAATTCTTTTTTACCAGGTTTCCTTCATGAAACAAAGACCGAAATCCGTATTAAGTGGGCCGTTTCCAGAACAGAAAGCTATAAAGGCAAAGAGGTTTCTCAAAAGTTACGGAACAGATACTGAGATTAACTCTTTGGCTCAAAGCATGTGACTTCTATCCTAGATGCTTGACCTTTACAAATTTCCGACCAGTGTCACATCTGTCTTTCGATCTTCATATTTCTCTTTTTTTCTCTCTATTTTTGTGTCGTGGTTGTTTTAAAAAAGTTAGTCCTACATTTCGATTCACTTCTTAATCCTTTCACTCCCAAAATCTTGAGTTAGTGTCTGCCTTGCAACTCTCGTTTTATTATTTAGAAGAATTTTGTATTGGATCAAACATTAATCCCCTAATAGATGTTCTTCTTTATTCTCATCACCTGTCTCCTTGATATTGTATTGACATTGTTAGGAGAAATTCTGTGTTGGTCATTCCTGAGAGTGAAAGGGTTTACCAGAGGTTATAAACTGTTTGTATCTCTTGCACTTTGACGTCGTTGTTACAGCAGACTTCCAGTGAACTTACCGACCTCATGTTTTGTCCTCAGCGTTAATATGAACAGTACAAGAAACGTTAAGACATATGCATACAACAGCATATTGATAAAATCAGTTGTTATGTAATTTTATGAATGTACCATACAATGCCAATAAGTTCATGAATTAAGATTAATTCATTCATTAGTCTACGATTGATAGACGGATAAATTTACTAATTGACTGATTAAATAAAGATCCAATTGACTCATTGACTGATTGAATGATTGACTGATTGACTGATTGACTGTTTGACTGTTTGACTGATTGACTGTTTGACTGATTGACTGATTGACTGTTTGAATGATTAACTGATTGACTGATTGAATGATTGACTGATTGACTGATTGACTGATTGAATGATTGAATGATTGAATGATTGAATGATTGACTGATTGAATGATTGAATGATTGAATGATTGAATGATTGAATGATTGAATGATTGAATGATTGAATGATTGAATGGTTGAATGATTGAATGATTGAATGATTGACTGTTCGACTGATTGAATGATTGACTGGTTGACTAATTGACTGACTGACTGACTGACGGACTGATTGATTGACTGATTAACTGACTGATTAACTGATTGACTAATTGACTGATTGACTCCTTGCCTGACTGATTGACTCCTTGATTACTTGACTGACTGACTGATTGACTGATTGACTAGTTGCCTAGTTGACTGATTGACTGATTGGCTGATTGACTAGTTTCCTGGTTGACTGATTGACTGATTGGCTGATTGACTGGTTGCCTGTTGGAGTGGTCGACTGATTGAATAAAGGGGGTAAGTTTCTAAAGAAACTTTGGTGCTGCGTCGGTGGGAGAGTATAACAGGGTAATTTAGAATTATCAACTGAGTTGATAACGCAAATTGGCCCCCGTAAAGAGTTTCAAAGTTGGTGTTTCAAGCGTTAGCCCGGCCTTCGTCAAAGCGAATGACGAAGGGCTGACGCTCTGACAAAGGGTTAACGCATCAACTTCGAAACTTTTTACGTGGACCGATTTACGATAACAACTCAGTTGATAATGTTTAATTACCCTGGTCGACGGGTTGACTGATAAACTAACTTCTGATTGGTTAATATAAATACAGTTTTTAAAGTAATTCAGTGTAGAAGAGGGCTACTTCAGTGCAAAAAAGTAAAAAACCAGACTGAACGATTCTTTGAACTGTTTAGCCGGACCTTGAACTTTTTTGCACCTTAAAGATGTGAATATATCATTGTATTATTGTTTTGATCGTACGCAGTTGTTTTGACCGAACGCACAAGTTTAAATAAATTATTTTTGCACTTGATGCGCGCGCTTTGCTTCTGCATAATTGTGATAAGCTATCCCATCTATATTGTTAAAACGTAATCACATGATTTTTCTCGTGCAATTTGGAATAAATAAGCACTCTTAAATTTTTTTAAAGACTAGAAATTGCACTCACCCTACGGGCTCGTGCAGTTTTTTTAGTCTTTGATGAAATTTACTCGTGCTTATATATTCCAAATTGCGCTCGAAATCATGTGATTACCTATACATATATATTCATTATCCCTGATATAAGAACACCTCTATTTTTCTTGTCCCAGTGACGATACACTTTTATCAAAGCGAAAAAGCTTAATGTTTTAAATACTCATCCATAGTCCTGTTCCTTAACCAATGGGATGCACAGGCCCATTAATGGAAGGTGTTGCCACAAATTCAACAAAACAGGTCGTGGTATTGTGGTGAGGGGTGTAGCATGGGTCGCCATCCAATTCAAGTAACACCACACTTATAGTCTGCCTATTCATCGAGAGCACGTTTGCTGGCACAAACAGCGTCTGCTGTGGACCAACGACAGGCCAGTACCGACCTAAGTTGAAGCCATTGACAAAGGCTTGTCCTTTAGACCACCCTGGTACTTTGAGAAATGTATCGTGTACATCGTTTGCGAGGGAATTGAGTGGAATTTCGCCATGGAAGAAAGCAGGTGCGAAGATGTCACTTGATGATGCATGATAAACGTTTTTGTGCCCCTCTCGAGGTAGTTGAGAAAGTTCCTTTGAAATAACATTGTCCAGATTTATGGGATACATCTGCCAGTTTTTTATCAAAGTTTTATTGATTGTGACATTTCCAAAAATTCCTTTAGGATCGACCATCGTGGGACCTGCATTGATTCTGCCTTCATTCTCGACCAGGATGTCTAATTGGAGCTGGCTTCCAACGACAAGTTTCACATGAGCCTGACTGAAGCTTCGAAACATGGTTACTTGGCGTACTTTTCCCACGTAGATAATTGCCCTGTCGCGGACCAAGCTTGAAATGGTTAAGCGAACAGTTGATCGCGAGAAAATTTTGGGGATCATTGTTCTGTAAAGAACAAATCCGTGGTTCTGTCCTATCTGCTCCATGGTCAAAGGAAAAGTGGTATTTACGGGTCCATTGGGAGCAGAAAGCTCGTGTACAACATCCAGGAATGAAAACATTCTGGTCATTTGCACCTTGCCATAAGCAAACTTTGTCGTGTTAGCTGGGATGGGAACGATTGGGATTTTCTCATGTTTAGATATTATCTCCCGTAGGACGTGGAATTTTGTGCCGGTATCACCAGCTTCTGTCAAAGGTGCATCATAATCGTAACTGGTTGGGATAGGTTTGTACGAAAGCAAATTCATATTTGCACCACTCATAAAACCGAAATTAGTACCTCCCTCATACATGTAAAAGTTGACAGAAGCGTTCATAGACAGGATCTTGTCAAGAGATTTTGCGACAAACGCAGCGTCCTTAACTTGGTGCTTTTCCCCCCAGTAGTCAATCCAACCGGTGTAAAACTCTGTATTCACCAGTGGTCCCTTAGGAGCAAATTTGCGCTGGAGTGCAAAAGCGCTTTCAGGGTCCTTTTCCGGTCCAAAATCAATGGTTGGATATAGAGAGGGTATGGTGCCACAGTTGAAGAGGAAATGAAAAGCACTATCAACTGTGAAGAGAACCACATCGTCGCCTAAGTGTTTGCGAAACAGTAGCTCTAGGTGCCTCATGTAGTCGTGGTCACAAACGAAGAAACTGCCGTATTCATTCTCAACTTGGACTGATATAATAGGCCCTCCATTCACGTACAACAGTGGCTGCAGTTTTGGAAGCACAACGGACATCCACGAGTCTACAGCATCGAGAAAACGCTTGTCCTTAGTCGACCGTACGCGAATATTTGGGTCCTTCAACAGCCAAGCTGGAAATCCTCCAAAATCCAATTCTGCGCAGATGTATGGACCAGCTCTTACGATTACAAGGAGTCCGAGACTGTTTGCAAGCTTAATAAAACTCACCAGGTCAGCATTTCCTTCAAAATTGTACTGCCCCTGAACTGGTTCGTGAATATTCCAAGTAACGTAAGTCTGAACAGTATTCAAACCGCCTGCTTTCATCTTCATGAGTCGATCTTTCCAGTAGAAACGTGGAACACGAACGTAATGAAAGCTTCCAGAAATGTAACGAAATGGCTCGCCATCCTTCAGGAAGCAATCGTTTTCGTAGTCGATGGTAAAAGATTTTGAATGAATGTGCTGCAAAGCACAAAGGAAGGCCAAGAAGAAAAGCAAAAAGTCTCCAGCTCTCATTTTCTCAGGCTTAGAATGAGTTAAAAATTATGATGATCTTTACTTATTTTATCAGTTGTTTTCCTCATGATCTTTGTGTCGCGTGACAATCACTGGATTTTGATCACATGTCTAGATATTTGTTAAAGTTGCGAAATAATAAGTCGATGATGACTGATAAACTGGATAGTTCCATTCTGCTTGGTGTTAGATTTAATTGTCAGGAGAGAGTTACGAAGAAAGAGTTTCTGAAATCAAGCGAACCTTACGACCTCCTCCGCAATGTACAGGTAGCCGAGCTAAGCCACGAACTCGATAGAATATTGGACAAAATGAACAGGAAATTTCGATTGCCATGCACTTTCTTTATTTATTGATGATGAAAGGCACTATCTTACAACATTCTGTGACGAGCAAATAACTTTTACTCCTGATGGAAAGCATCTAATTATATTTTTAGCAAGCTGGAACGACTCCAAAATTGTAATAATAAACAATATGAGAGAGGAGTTATTGAGGGGAATAACAAAGGTTAAACGCGACCAAATTGAACAGTCTAGACTTTGTTTTTTAAGAATCACATGCCTTGGCGTTGCTTCTTTCAACGTCTTACTTTCCCTCGTGGTACCTACCCTGCAAAGAATAGGTATGATTCTTTTTTAACGTATTTCGGGCGGGCGGAAGTAAGTGCGAGGCGAACACGAAGGGCCAGCTTCACGCAAGGGTGTAACTCTCTTTCTGTCGCGCGTGACTCGTCACGTGTATATGCCTTAGGCTTTCCTTCAATTTCGGACAAATGAGAAAAAAAAATAATCGCCTCAACGAAAAAGGAAAGAACGGCAATTTTCTAGGAGATCTTCACAACATTTACCAGCCACATTGCTACCCTTCGCTCTCACGTCGCACTAGATGAAAAAAGACCTCTGCGAAGATTGGTAAACAGAAAAAGAAACAGTGACGTGTGAGATATCTAAAGTAATCTTAACTGAGAGATGACCTGAGTCAAAAGCTCCAGGCCAGGTGCACATTATGACATAAATGGACGCCTGAATGACATTTGCCAAATGATATCTGAAGTAATCTAACCGGTCCAACCCTCCTTTTACCTGCAGCCGAGGAGTGACTTGACCGGATGAAGTGAACGCATTCGCAACCTGTGTCTGCCATTCCTAGTCCCAACTTCTCTCCGCTTCCTTCCTCAAGAGACAGTTTCACGCCACAATAGACTACAGCTGTTGATTTACATCTTCCTCTTTCTCACTCTTTCTTTTTCTTTTTTCACTCACGATCACGCACGCTCCTCCATCAGTGCGCGATAGTTTTCGTCTGAGTTTTCTCAGTTATTATGATATGTCTAGCACAAAAAGGTTTTATATTTTCCATTTAAACGTTGTAAGGACGACGAAATGTGCCGCCAAGATTGTTCAAAACTACTTTGCTTAGCTGGCGTTTTTCAGGCGCTTGGTGAAAAGAAAGGACGGCGGACTCGACAATAAAGGACAGCGGAGCTACAAGTTTGCCCCAAAGCTCTTGCGGTATTCGTTCTCGTGACTCCACCGTTCGGCGCTCTTATCTTAAGCACACTTTAAACCCACAGGCAACGCTGTCTGCTTGGCATATCTTTCAATCAAACTGTTAGGTGTTTCCACACACGGATTTTTAGAATGACGACTCGTGAATTCAAAGTTTTTTTAAGTAAGAAAGACGATTTAGTTCAATAAATTCACTTCTAAAGGGCGTCACTTTGCCTAATAAATCGTTTACTGAATATCGAAAAGACGGCTTATGCTCGAAACCCCTCAGTCTGGATGGAAAGAGCCTTTTAACAGCCGCACCTAAAATCAATCTTCACTCATATCGGGGATCATAAGTACACACTTCTCTATAATAACACATTTAGACAGTCAGGCGTCTTTCTCCTAAAGACAAGAGATCAATTCAGCTGCAAACACGAAAGCTTTTGGGCTTTCTCCAATTAATTTCCATTTTTTTCATCTTCACAATGAAAATCATAGAAAAAAATGAAAGAAACCTACTCGACTCTTTACAGAGTGGTGCAAAGCTCACTTTATTGGACTTTTGTTTAAGCCACGGAGACATCGCATGACCCAGGTTTGTGCGAGTAGGTTCAATCATGTCCAAGAAACCAGTCCGATCGACAAACTTTGTTTTCAGTCTTTTGCAAGTTGAAGACATCTGTTGCCTTAATATATAGCTTTCATCACGATCATCAAAGAAACTCTGAAGATGCCCTCAGAGAAAATAAAAATTAAAGATAAGGGGCATTGAAACGAAAATGCTTTTCAGCCCACTTTTGTTCTCTTTAATGAAGAAAAGGTAAGTGGAAAAAAAAAACATAAGAGACTGACCGTTAGTTATCGTCTCGGGGGAGGAGTGGGGGGAGCAGGAGAATTTTGTTCATGTCAAGATAAAATTTAAGGCTCTGTAATATTTTCATGACCCCCCCTCCCCCCATTGGTAATCAATTGGCATAAATTTTATTTAGCCCTCCCCCCATCCCGCTATACTCTGTTGGCGACCGTTGATGCACTAAAAAACTATGTGATTCCCCAAAATCCTCCATCCCATACCCCCTCGGGCGACAAATAATGACTGCCCCTAAAGAAAAACTACTTATGTTTCATTCACTGTATCGCTGGTTTTTATTTTGTATTATTATCATTTTTTTTGTTTTTCATCTTTCAAGCACAGAGCAGAAGAAGACTAGCATGCCGCACTTACAGCAAGACTAAGAGACATCGATCGACGTGTATAAGTAACTTTAGGGGAAGGGGTTTATTTTTATTAAAGATGTTTGGCTTACAGGCGGTTTTGCCTCCGAGGTCTTAAAAACCCTGGCTCAGTTCCAGAAAAATTTATGATTATTTCTCTACCCTGTGTGAGGCAAAGAGTCTTAATGAGTTTCGTGTACAGACTTTGTGGAGCCAAATATGGCATATTAAGAGGTAACTTGGAATTGATTGTTTTTAAAAGCGACTCTAACGGATAAATGCATATCCTATGTAAGTAACACAAGAACTTTTGAAAAGGAGGTAACGCTGAAGAATTAAATGAAGAAGTGGTTCCCAGTAGTAACTGGGCATCTAAGAGTATAGTATTCATTTTGAGTGTCATTATAGTTCTCACTCATAAAACTTTTACATTTTTTTTCGTAACGTTGGAAAATGAGAAATTAAGGAAGAAGCTTATCAAGGAAATTTCTCCCAGGTGCAAGTCTACACTTCTTGTAGAGCTTCAACCCGAATAAAATGAAACTTTCTAATCACGAGAGATCATCAAAACAAAATTTTATCTGATTATGTGGAGTAATTTTTGTCAAAATTCTTGATCTTCATTGGTTACGAGTCCGAGAAAATATATGTGATGATAGACCAAAGGACATTTACATTACAAATAATTCAACGTGAGTGTTAATGACTTTGGTTTTCCACTCTCAAGGTGTGGGTCATAACAATACTCAAAGCGCAATAAGTTTAAACATTATAAATTTTTTAGGTCGTCCGATGTAAATTTAATCAAACCATAATGTTAGGGATGGATTTTCAAGACATACCAAGCTTAAGACTTTGCAACGGTTAAAGACAAAAGGTTAAATGTTTTCAATTGTCAAATTTGAGTAATTATGGTACTTCAGTTTTGGGAATCGTGCGTTGTGCTGCCTACTCATTGAGAACTGTGCGCCGTTCTTGTATGAAAAACAATTCGCTTCACGCCGTGAACCAAGCAGTTTTCTAGCTATAGCTAGCATTTAAAATCCTTTACCATGCTTTCAAAACCGTATAGATGAGAACTTTTCAATAAAAAGATATTTTTACTTTTAAAACAGAACATGGAATTCATCTTTTCCAAGTTCCTAACTCCTTGCCCAAATTTGAACAAAACTGTCATGAGAAAAAAAAAAGCTTCTCTTCTCTACTAAATTTAGCCGGCGTCAGCTCATGAAAAACTACCAATTGACGCCAAGCCGAAATTTTGTGTTCATTAAGACGAAAATTTGAATTACTAATCAATCAAGCACAAAACATTACACATGTCCTACACCTGCTGAATTCTAATGAGAACATTATCCCCACAGCATTTCTAATGAAAGCCTTAGAATCCTTTCCCGGTTAAACAAATTGAAACGGCAAAGGGGATTAAGTGATACCGCTAGCATCTAAGGTTGCTCCAGGGCAGTAAACAATAGCTAGTCAGTAGTTTTAATAAACTCTCGCAGCATGTTTGGCAATGTTTACGAAGCTCTTTATGTTATTTGTTCACTCATTCAATAGCAACACTTACCGGTGTGCTTAAAGCTAAACCCTTGTTTGCTGTTACACACAATAGCTGCCTAGTCCCGGAAAAAACATACTTTTCGCCAAAATTTCATTTTCTAATTACCAAAATAAGATCTTTTCGTTCCCCCGCCCAAGAAAAAGGTTTACTGCTCGCTTTCGAAAGATTCTACTGCACGTCCCGCCTGAATGATTGTAGCGCGCTCAGCTTTGAATGGTCAAAAAGGTGGACGGGATCATAACGGAGACCCTCAGAGTATCATGCAGTTTCTGCCATAAAATTGATATCTTGCTGGATATGTACCCCAGGCATGTGTCATTTGCCTCGACAATATGGCCCATAAATTTTTTATCAGGAAAATATCACGATATATCTTGATCGATATCACTCTGATTTGCTTATCTGCAGACGACAACGCCTTTATTCGAGACTCCAACTTATTTCAGTCGCTTAATTACAGTTTTTGTTGTCGTTGATAAACACTGTTAGGATGTGTAGCCTATTTGAAAAGGCGAATAAATTTCCGTGTTTTTCCAGAAAATTTGGTAGTTTGAAAGCAGTCAGATACACGACCCTTGTGGTGATGTACGAGAAATTGAACTTTTCAACAATAGGATTGCATTCTTGTTTACCCTCCTAGGGAGCTAAGAACAAGATGCCATATTCGCCCCTCCCGATAATCGCGCAAATTTAACATATTAATAAACTACGGAAGTGCGCGAGACAGTTTCAGTATCTTAATAAGCTTACCAGGTTTAAATATTTCGATTTGTGAAAAACGCGTTTTTGCGAAAAATCGAGATGAGATGCCTCCAGATTTTTAAAAATAAATTCAAACTGAGGTGGAAGTCAGCTACTTCACGGGAAACCTCAACATCCCCCTATGGAAACCTCTATGAAAATTTTCTGTCAAGACAACGGAAAAACTTTTTATTCAACCGATCATATGTTTTTTTTTTCAAATCAATCGCTCTTTTTTGCGAAAAAAAAAAATTGAACACAAACACAAAATCAATCGGATAATCGCATCGCTTTTGTACATAGTTTTGCCAAGGCGAAAAGATCCAGATTAACATCATTTACTTTCCCTGGCGCTCGGCAGCCTAGATTTGTTTTTCTTATTTTCAAATCATTAAGATATTGAATTATTTTTTCTTCCCCTCAGGGATATCGAGTCTCGAGAAAGATATCTGACGGTAAACACAAATGGAAGTTGCCTTACAAGGGTTTTCATTTTATCATCAATTAATTTTCTTATGCAAAGATTTGGGTTGATTTAACAAACACAGTGTTTTCGGCGTATGCCCGTGTTTTCCTCTGTAATGATTCCAAATACGCTTCAAGTCCATTAAGAAGCCAGCGAATTCCTTTTAAGGACATGTTTCAGTGCTCAATATGAACAGTTCCAGAATGAAATTTGGCATGCGGCTTCGAAATTGACTAAGCAATGCCAGCTGCAACGGACTTGAGGCGATTAAACTGAAAAGAAAAATCTTTGGTTCGAAGTAAAATATGTGTTTTCTTTACGCGAATGACAAGTGGCTGTTAACTGGGGCAAGTAAATTTCTCGGTTTTTTTCGTTATGTGACAGAAAAAGCGCGAAGAAGAATCATTTTCTACCCGCGAATTCTTGTGGTTTCTTTGAGAGCAAGCAGGTCTTTCAATTATGGGGTTACATGAATAAGACGTGACATCATTTTATAGAGGCAAGACCAAAAACTCTACGGTTGTCGGTCCTTTTAAAATTCTCGCAAACTAATGAATCCAGAATGCAAATCGATAATTTTATCGCGTCGATCGAGACAAAGAGTAGCTTCATCACATGAAAAGTGATATCCGATGAATGAATCCATATTATACTTTTCAATAATTCATACAAAATCATTTCAAACAAAGGTGACTCGATAGCATCGAATTTACATCAAACTATCAACCGCGAGATATAGATTTTCAAAGTGAGTAATCGGTAAAGAAGAAAAGCAGTTTTTTTTTTCTAGAAAATTGAGGTGAAAAACTAAATTTTTCTGGTTTTCAGACTGTAAATCTGTCACAGGAAATACGGGTACTTGTTGGATGCAAGATCTCATTTTGATTGGCTATAATTTTTTTTCATTGTTACATCGTTTGGTAAGCCAATCAGAAGGCGGCACTTCATGGCCAGGACAAGTCAAAATATTATTCGCGGTTGTCAGGTTTACAGTGGATGGTCGTAATTTCTTTTAGTGCAGGTGCATTTCGGCCCTCACCAGTTCAGAATAGAATATGAGGCTATTATTTTTGTTTCCTTGGACAGAGTTTTAGCCCTAAACGCATTAGCAAACTGATAAAGAGCCAGTGGGTGCCAAGCGGAAAGGAACAATCGGGCGCCGGCCGAATGTAAGTGACTCCCTGTTCTGCGGTGGCGTTTTTTTCCCTCGCTTTACTCAGATTGAAAACCGCTTATTTATAAGGTCACGTCGAAGAATCTTAGTCACAGACGACGTGAATAATTAAACGTTTCTCCTTCTCTTTTTCCAGTTGCGTTGAAACGTTCAATAATGGAGAATGGAATGATGAACGGAGACCATGATCGATCCCGCTCTCCTTCTCCCGGCCTCGTTCGATCAAACTCTCGAAACGCGTCTTCTAAAGAAATAAACCGAACATCGTTGCTGAGAAGAAACCAAAGTCTTAGCGCGAAACAAATTCGCTTTTACCGGAATGGAGATCGATTTTTTTGTGGGCTTAAACTGGCTGTATCGCCCGAGCGGTATAAAGAATTCGACGCTTTACTTGCCGAGCTTTCAAACAAGCTGGAACTTTCCACAGGGGCTGTGCGCTATATTTTCAACGCCGAAACGGGCCAAATGATCACAGATGTAAACGAACTACAATACGGCGCTAGTTATGTTTGCTCTTCGACCAATGTATTCAAAGAAGTAGATGCTGGCTATGGAAACATGAAACCGTCGTGGTCGCTCGCTCACCACAAGAAAGAAGCGCCACCAACATCATCGTCAGTTCATCTGATCGATGGTACTCGCGATTTCATCAAACCGAAATTGGTGACAGTAATAAAGAACGGAAAACCCCCACAGAAGAAAGTCACCATGCTACTAAACGCGAAAACAGCAATTAACCTAGAGCAAGTTTTGGATCATTTGTCCTCCAAGGGAACGCTTGGCAAAGTGGACAAGTTGCACACAGTTGATGGTAAACAGGTAAGGGATTTTGATCTGCCATTTATTTCGCTTGCTTCATTCAATGCGTCGAGAGGCATTCGTTTTATGGTTGTCATTAATAATTTATCATTGGTTTTGGGCTAGAAGCCTTTGTTCGTGATATTACTTCACCAAAAATGTTTAGAATCCGTTAGGCTGCTCGACATGCTAAAATAAGAGGCATCCGTGAGATTTTCGTGCGCGTCTGTTGTGTGTATAATAGGCTCGTGTCGAAATTTGTAAACTACGGTGAGAGGCGGCTAAAAAGCCGACTAAGTCGCTGGCAGATATTTTCATCACGTAGATTATAGCGTTTCAAACAGATTTATATTTTGAAGCTATAACAGAAAGTTTATTTTGGGGCAAGCGATTTCAATTCAATCGTGTACGCTTATAAACTTGAAACCTTGGGGGTTGCATTGAAATGGAAAAAAAGTTGTAAATTGCGCCCTGTTGTATTGACAGCGTTTCGCTGATCAACTCTGTTGTTTGTTTCTCTATATCGCCGTTGTAGTTTTAAGTAAAACGAAAGTATTCTATTCATTGTCTTTAATTTCTTTCATTTTCTCTCGATACAATCCCGTGGGTACGATTTGTTCCATTAAATTCAAAGTGCTTACAATTTGAGTTGCTTCTCGCCACGTGGATCGTTCTTTTCATTATTTATACCCTTCGTGTGGGCAATTTTCACACTTCCGCCCATGAAGTTAGGGATTTTAGATTGTTGGAGCGATCTATCCTTTGCAAATGCTGGTCGCTATGATGTGGTTTTTTGTTGAAATTCTGCTCTCTCGATCTCTTGTTTGTATTTTTCAGAAAATATTTTATGGCTCGCCAAAACAAAATATATTCATGCTTTCTTATCACTCAAAACCTTTCATTGTTTGATTACAGTTTGTCTGCGGAATATTCTAATTGACCCCGAGAATTTGAGATGTTGTTACCTGTTCCCCGGTTGAAGCGTTTAGAATTTCGTCTGAAACTGAAACCTAGCTATTTCATATTACTTTCATTATTGAAGGGTAATTTATTTGCTTCATTTACACGTTGGTCTCGCAATAAATTCCCTGGTGCTACGTGTTCGGATAAATTGAAGTTTCCTTCCTGTTTTATTTTCCTGAAAGCATCCCCAAGATTTTGTCATTTTTTGATCCATGCACCTTTTTTATCTCCTTAAAAATGTCATATCTAAAGGCGTATTTTTACATAATTCGTCTTAGGTAATTACTTCGGAATGCTGTTTGCATTCCCTTATCAAGATGTGTTTTAGTAAATATTGGTTTTTATTGTACTGTTGTAGGGGGTGTCTTGTTCTAAAAGAATGGAACAAAAATAGCATCATAGTCAATTGCAAAACTATAAATAAGAAAGAAGTAGCAAGATTTTGGTTTTTTTTTTTGCATGGAAATCAACATTCACTAATCAGTTCTAAGAAAAATTCTAGTGATTTGATATTCAAAAGGTAAAGAATTGATTTGGATATGCCCCATTAGAATTGACAAGTGGATTTATTGTGTTTGTGTTTATTGCTGGTCTCTTGACAAAATTGCGGTGTAACAAGAATGTATAAAGAGATTGGTGAATTTATAAAAAAATTTGTCAATGCAGCTATTATTCTTCTCAAACAATGCCATTTCAAAGGAATCTGACCATTAAATTGCCCCTGCTTGGTTGTTGATGAAAGTGGAATGATTCTGAAAATGAAATGTTGGTAGAAGAAAGCAAAAATGTTGTTACTTATTTATGCTTTCACCTGAGTTCTGTTCATTTTTTTAGCTGCTTTGTTGAGAATTAAGGTGCTTGTCAGGATTAAGTTGATCGTTTTCATTGCTTCTCTGAGAAGCTATTTATCCAGATATTCAAGTGAAGAAACAGTTGTTGCTTTTGAGTGAAGATAATATTGATTGATGCTAACAGTGTATCAGAGTGAATATTTATGTGATCAGAATAAAGGATTATTTTGACTATGCTCTCTACCTTGGTCTTCGTCTTCCATTTTATAAGTTGTAACTCCAAAGTATGTGCAGTATGTTGCAACATGCAACTGTAGCTCAGCATGAATGGTGTCATTTTTGTTTTTGTGGGAGAGGATGATAATTTTAGACCAAGATATTTAGCCATTGACCATCACACAGACATAATGTCTCACGGATTACTCCTACTGGATAAATTCTTGGTTAGGTTGGATTTAGATTAAGAGGATGAAAGTTGCATTATGTTTTTCAGCTATAATTTCTTACATAAGGATTCAGATCAACTCCTGAGACTATGACAACAATCAAATCTGATTTCAGATGAATGACCCACTCGAAAAACTAAGATGAATTGAAGCCTGTGAAAATTGGGAAATTTCCCCATCAGGGATCAATGTAGTTCATGACTTTAAGCTGTTTCCTTGTCAGAAATTCAAAAGTGTGTTTCAGTGAATATAATTAATGCCGCAGTTGATAATCAGTAGTCTAAACAAGCAAGATTTTTTTTTTCACTTTATGTTGGCTAAGAATTGAACTTAAGTCTTTGGTTTATGAACCACATCCGGTTCTCTTGGCTCGCATCCGAACATCTCAAAGATGACCTGTTTTGATTTATTTATACATTTGAAAGGTTTTTAATGTAAGCCTGGTTTTCTAACTCTTAAGTGTAAAGGTCAAAAGCAGTATTTTTGACACTGTTATTATTATTAGTAAGAGGATGAACCTATTTTCCTGGATTGGCCTTTTTTCGCTTCTCAGTTAATTATAGATCATCTTGCCTCTTGTTTTTTCTGAAGTTGAATGGAGGGTTCTGTTTTCCTGCTAGAGTATTGTTCAACACTTTCAGGAATACACCCACAGTAGACATGCAATTTAGTACTCCAGGAGTGGTGCCAATTTTCACTCTTGTTAATTCAGATAGGAAGGCAGCAGTGATAACCTATGACTTTTTTATGGCTTCAATTTATTTTTTGCATGCAATTACAGTCTAAAACTTTCCTTTCTGTGTCATTTTGAGAGCTTTGTTTTAAATAAGGGTTTTTGGGTTAAGGGATTTTCTCATGATCATTTTTTTTCTCTCTTTGGTCACCAATATCACAATACTGAGATTGTTTGTTAGGAACAAAGTGTCTGGAAGTGCTTTGCTAGAGGAAAGGCAAAATTGTCTAAGTAATTCAATGTTAATTTTCACAGTTGTGTGTTGGTAATTATTTCCTGTCCTTGTCAGACTTGCCTTCTATTGAAAGGGTGTTGGCTGTCAAAAAAAAAAAAGAAAAATGAATTTGAAATTTAATTTTTTAATATGCCAGCTGCAGTCATCTACTCAGTGATATTTTCTTAATGTAATAACAAACATTTAGGCATCAATATCGCAAATACAAATATGTTTGAGTTGATTGTTGGTCTGTGTAGGATAGCAGAATTCTGTTTTCCTGCCAAAGAGGAAAGGAGAAGCCTTTTGAAAGTAACTGGAATAGCATGGGCCTCCAATTATGAAACTGAAAAAAAAAGATTAAATGATATTCTGTTTCTTCTCATTGTAGATTAGGGAACTGAGACACCTGTTTGGTGATGACACAATGTTTGTTGCCCTCCAAAGTAATGAAAAGTTCCCAGACGAAGGATTTGATGTTGATGTGCAAAGTAAGTTGTGTAAAAATAGGTACATATTTGTTAGTGTTGTAGAGTGAAGCCACATTATTGAAAAAGAAACAAGAAAAATCTGATAACAGTGGCCAGTGAAGATTCTTAAAAAGCCTTGGTGAGGGCAAAACATTATTTTAATATGTCACTTGTTCAATTTCTGAAGAGGAACTGTGTGGAGAGAGTGTGAGAGTCAAAAAAGAATGTAGACTGAAGTCTAAAATGATGATCCTCAAGTACCAAAAAGTTACTTGTGTCATCAAAAATGTGTGGCTATGGCTTGTGGTGAATACTCTTGTAATGATGTATAATCAATTGCCTTACGATGTAGTCAGCAATCTATATCAAAGTGACTTCATGGTGATACAAAAAAAAACTTTATCACCAAAAATAATTACATAGGTGTAGATATATTTGTACTTACTAAAATGTAAAGTGCACTTAGCATTCTTGTGTGTAAGGAATTTTTGTACAGTAGATATGTCTGCAAATTGGCTAGAAAGGGCCATTGTGAGGATGTAAAACAACTGGGAGAGGAACTGGCCTCACATGGGATTACCAATCAGAGAGTCTTGTTGAATCCCTATTCTTGGACAGGACACTAAGCTCTTGCGATGTTGCTCTCCTACCAGTTGTATATACGGATACCAAAGCCAAAAATGCAAGGAGAGGGGGTCCTTGCTATGAAATATTGTTCCAACTAGGAGTAGACATGTATTCTCTGATTACTTTATAAGGAATAAGCACCGGCAGTTATGGGTCACTTGGCTTTTAGTGTTAACATACTTTAACCTTTTAACTCCCAGAAGTGATTAACATGTAACTTCTCCCTAAAATATCCATTCACTATCCAGCAAACGGGTAATGAAAGTACTCAGACTTATCAGGTTAAAGTTGTTGCCTTGATTTAACACCAAATTCTTGTAACTAATTTATAAGGAAATGTGTGGCAGCTGGAAGGGAGAATTAACAATCAGATCTGAGAGTTAAAGGGTTAAGGCCGTCGACTATTGGCTCTCGTGTAAGCGAGGCAAAAATGAGCAACAATCAGCAATAATACATGCACCTTGTCTTTGCATTCTCTCCACAAATGGCAGTTGCTGACAAAGGCAACTGCACCATATGCACTCTCTTCAATCACTGAGATATCATCACAAAACAGGCTCAAAGCAGGTCAGGAAATAGGAACTCATTAAAACCCAAATTCAAGCCAAAAAAAATGCACTTGTTTTTGTACTCGCTTATACGATGGCAAACACCTTGCATTTATTTTCCTTGGAAAAGTCATTAAAACGCCTTGGTTTGTTTTAATCCCAGGCTTCCGCCCACGTTGGCGTCATGCACCAGTCACAGAATTTTATTCCTATATTCCTGGCCTGCGACCTGAGCCCCCACCTCCAGAAAAGAAGTTCACAGTTCACTTGCACTGTATCTTAGCAGCATCCATGTCAAATTTAACGACACCAAGGCCAGTACCTGTAAGAACGAGGTCTGTTTCACCTCGACCCACTTACACTAGAAAGTCCTACACACCATCCCCAAAACCAACACCAAAGTTATCGGGAAGTTTTGAAGCTCGCAGACCAAAGTCTGCTATTGGGGTTCCGTCTGAGTTTTCACGTAAGCCTCTGACGCCTACTCCAGTGAAAGGAAGTACATCTCTAAGACCAGCAAAGAAGCATACTGGCTCAGATAAGCCTGCTCCCATAAAACCAAAAGCGGGTTCTGACAAACCAGTAGCTATAAGAGGAAGGCCAAGAAATGCAGAGAGGCCCCCGATGCCTTTTCAACGCAACCTATCTCCAGAAAGCTCTGATTCTGAAGATGATGCTGGTCGCAATGGTTACTACATTTACATTTACAATGAAAAGATGAACAAGAGTCAAGGGCATAATGAAGGAAAGCCAACTGCATCGGTGAGGCCAATGAAGTTTTCCAGGGAAGAGAAGGATGCAGATGAGATTGAGCCAAAGGATCCTTCAGTAAAATTAGACCTGAAACCTATGATGTTGAACATATCACCTGCTGACTCTCTGGAAACAGTCTTGGCTTGATGTGCTTCACAATATTTTTCCTTCTAAATGAGATTTCACTTGCCATCTCACATTGAAACTGGGTTGGACTTTTTTTGGTCAGTGCTTGTTTTTGCACTATCCACTATTTGCTTGATTGATGAGTACAAATGCTTTCACTTTTGAGAATATTTTACTCATGTATTTCATAACATGACAACCCTAGTTTTAACTTGCATCAATCATCAAAATAGATCAGTTAAAAAAGAAACACATTACTTCTGTGGGTTAAAAAGGTCACTCTAGACCAGTATGGTTGAAGGTGTATTTTAATCCTTTTTTTTTGTGTGGGTTTTTCAGTTTTTAATTGATCAAAGTTTTGAAACTTATTTAATCAAAACATTACATAATACTCACTTGTGAGTAAAAGTAACCATAGTATTGTATATATATTACAAGTAAATTTTAAAAGTAGGTTATTTAACCAAAGTATTACCAGATAGTTTCATTTTTATCAGCACAGAAAAATTTTCATTTTTAATGTTATATTACACACAAAGTTTATTTGAAATTTTTTAGTCACCATATAGTAGACAATCATAGTATCATATAGCCTTTCACTAGAGATGCAGGTCATTTTTTGTGTAGCGGGTTTTATTTATTTTAAGTTTCTTTTATTTTTATTATTTATTCACACTCATTGTGAAGAATTTTAAAGAGACTTGGACAATTTCCCCTACAGTATCAGGTAGGGGAGAGGTTCACAAGCACAAGGTAAAAGATCTATTGATATTTACCCCTCCAAACATCCTCCTGGATGGGTCAGAAATAATTTGAAGGAAAAGAAACAATTACTGCTGGTAGAGGCAGTACCAAATTTTATCCTTTTTTGTAGATCTTGATTCAAGAAGGTGTACTGATTTTTCTTAAATTGATTATGGTACAGTTCAGAAGTAATCTGAACTTTTGTAGTGCTTTGAAAACCAAGCACTTTGAAATTCTTACTGTAATTTATGAACACCTGTTTTGACTTTTAAGTATACTTGTACAGGCTTTCTTGTAAGAAAAGTCTATTGCGGTGTTTACTTCAACATATGGTATTTTCATTCATGCGAAGGTGTGGATGAAATAATTCATTCCCAATTTCATCAAAAATCTCAAGGCTGGACTTTCATTTGATCAAAAGTGTATTCCACTCAATCACAACCAGTCTGTTATATTTTTGGCAGAATTATTCGTCAAATCAAATAGTGTATTATCCTTTTTAGTCAAGGATTCTCTTATTTTTAGCATGGTTATCCAAATATACACAATATTATTGATAAATGAGTATTTTTGATAGCAATATTTTTTCTTAAGTATTATCATATTATCAACATTATCTTCTCACTGATACAAGTTATGTCAGTTTTTAAAGTTACAAAACCATGTAAAGGCACTTGGAACTTGCTGCCAATAATAAGTCAACTGGAATCTATTTATCTGAAGTACTGCATGTCCATTATGACTCTCAAGAAAAAGTGTAATAAAAAACTAAAAACTAAGGTGTTATCTTCCATAAGTAAATCTCAGTAAAGAAAGTAAATTTTATTATAAGCTTATTATGTAAGTACAAATTGAATTAGACAAAATATTGTTAAACTTAAAGTTAAAGTTCCTATTACTATATAAATATTATATCTAAATGTGTTATGCTATATTTAACTGAGAGAGACAAAATTTAAGGGGTTACAGAATTTAAAAGCATCAATGGCATTTTAAAGTTGAATTTTAAAACATTGGTAATCCTAATAATAATAATACATTTAATAACAGTTATAATGAAGGGCTTTCGCCTATCAAAGGACATACAAATATTGAGTAGCCTATAGGGAATTTCTAGTTAGATTGTTGTGTTTGTTATTTATCGAGTTTACAGCAGTGTTAATAAGGTTGGTGAATTTTAAAGGTTTTAGTCTGGAAAAAGAGTTAGGAAAATTTCTAAATTGGACAGTGAATAAGAAATGACTCATAGAAATTTATTCAAGGAGAGAATGCAATGGGCAAGGGCATATACTTTTTTATAACTAATAATTTTAGAGTTTTGAACTATTTTTAGAGTCTGAGAAGGTATTTGGAAAATTGTGCTAAAAGTGTTTGTAATGGAATATAAATTGGATAGGAAAGTAAATTCCTATTGCTTGGGAAGGGAAATGGAATTGTAGAATGTAAGAGTTATGGTATGTCACAGTACACTGCACTATAATGGTACTGTTTTTTATTCAAAGTCATGTCATGTTACACTCAAGACATTTTTAGTAATAAAATGAATCTGTTCGTTTTATTGAAGTTGTTTCATAAATGGATTACTGTTAGCAATTTTCCTTTGAGTGTTAAAAGCAATCAGGGATGGCATTCTAGACTGTGGATTTAGTGGTCTGGTTTATGTTGAAACATCATAGCAACTTTTATAGATTAAAAAAAAGTGAAATAATATGTTTTTGAAGTATTCAAGTGGCTTTTTATGCGAGAGCTCACTTGTGTTTGGGTAGCTTAAAGCTACTAGTTGTATTTATGTCTTGTAGGATGATTACTAGAGAATTCTATGCTAGCTACATAATTGTTATCCCAACTGTTTTTTAAGTGGTGAAGTTAAACTTTTAAGGCCAAGTGTCTCGTTACTTCCTGTGCTTATGGGTGGTTTTGCCCAGTGTGACATGATCAGGAGTATGTCTCGGACACTTTTATGGAATGCTAATTTATCACTGTGAACCTGCAGCTGAGCTTTCTGTCAAGTTTTCTGTTTCAGTTTTCTCCCATCCATTTATACATCTGGTTAACATTTAACTCCCATGAGTGACCTGGAGAGAATTTCTCCTTACAGTGTCAATACAATATTTGGCAGACAAGTGATGAGAATAAAGAAAAATATCAATTAGGGGATTATAAGTCAACCCAATACCAATTCTTCCCAACTAATATCACAAGAACTGTATGGCAGACAGTAAGGAGAATTACTGACGAGATCTTGAGAGTTAAGGGGTAAAGAGGGAGTAAAGGTTCCCTCTTTAGAATACTGTACAATGACGGGGCTTGGTCATGAACTCAAATCCATGATCAAACTGGCTAAAGTGTTTCTTGCATGTTATAAGAGCCATCTTATTTCTTTTGGTGCAAAGATACACTGCTCTTTGCCTGAGTTCTTAAAACTGACCACAGTATATCCTACACTTTTTGTTTTTAGGTTATAAGATTACTCCATATAGAGATCTCAAGAGGCCTGCTGGCCTGAAAAGGTCATCTTCACTACGAACCCCACGTGGAAGGCGAGACAGTGGATCTAATGATACTGGTATGTAGAGCAACAACAGTTCCATGAACCCATTAAACTATAGTGTCATAACACTGTCAACAAGATAACTTTAAAGAATAAAATAAATTGTTCTGGCCTTTAGAACAAAGTCCTCAAATTAAATAAAAAGAATTGTTTGAAAGTTATTGCGGAAAATTTTAAAATGATTTGCAGTATGACAACAGCAGTTTTGTGCTAATTGTTTCAATGTTTGACCAAAGATCAACTAAGACAAAAGCATTCTAAATGTTTAGGAATAAATTTCTAAACTGAATGTGCTAGAGGAGGAGAAAGAAATTGATACATAAGAGAGTAAATAGAAGTGAGTTGGCAATACTATCATGATCAATTTGGCTCATAAATTATGTTCTAAAACATTAAAGGTAAAATATGTATTAAATTGTTTATACAAAAAGTATAATCATTAATAAGAAGAATTTGGTATAATAAACTGATTATAAAATCTCCTTCCTAAAGCCAAAAAGTTGGCAGTGAGCAGTAACAAGAATTTGTAATGTTAAATATTTTCAGGCGGTAGCCACACTCCCTCTCGTGATCGTCAGGTGCGACGGTCCGCATCAGGTAAAATTGACATATTGCTATATTGTTAGTCAGTTCTAAATTTTCTACAATTATGAAATAAACATTCCATTGTCTTAAAATGAGTTAAGAAACAAATCTCAATAGTTCATGGTGTTCAAAACAAGAGAAAAAGAAAAAACTTAATTTAGGTAGTTGTGAGTAAATTTTGCTGCTTTACTGCTTTACTTGTAATTGAGGAAATCTGCACATATATATAAATCTTTCACTTTGATTTTAAAGCCAGATGTTTTCTTTCAGTAACATCTTTACACTAAAAAGTCTTTCTTGATTAAAAAAAGGAAAATGTATAACCTTGGAGTTCTGATTTTTGAAAGTGGATGTACTGTATTTGTTTCTGGTTAAAATAGCTTGTAATGAAAGCTTTAAGTAGCCTGTATGCTATCATGGCAAAAATGATGTGTTAAATGTGAATACTGTCCACTGAGGCATGGTTTCAGTTACTGGAACTTAGACATGATGCCAAAAACTAAGATAATGCATTACTGCAAATGAAACTATTGATCATTGCAGTCTCAGACTGCAGATGTGCTTGTGCAATCTCTTCATGTCTTGTAAGTTTAATTTTAATTCCTATTTAGTTAAGAGTGCTGGTAAAGAACGAGGAATGAGTCCTGGACCACCAGCTAGGGTAAGAGTAATATTAGTTGGTTTGCCTAGAGCACTAAGCAATCAATTTCTGGTACTGTGTTAAAATTAATGTAAATTAAACCTTTAACTGGAGAGCCAGTACAGTAAAGTTGTAATACATAGACAAATTTAACCCTTTAATTCCCATGAGTGACCAAGACAGAATTTCTCTTTATAATATCAATACAACATCAAGCAGACAAGCAATGAGACTAAAGAACAATATCAATCAGGGGATTATTAGTTGATCCAGTGCCTCCAATTCTCTGAACTAACATCACAAGAATTATATGGCAGATTTTATGGAGAATTACTAATGAGATCTTGGGAGTTAAAGGATTAAAAGAGGCTCCTACGGGGGACAGTATTTTAGTGGGTGTCTTTCTTTGAGTTCAAAGGAAACTTGTTACAAATAGCACTTATAAACTTCATGGCCACATGATCAGAGCAAGGACAGTATTTTAGTGGGTGCCTTTCTTTGAGTTCAAAGAAAACTTGTTACAAATAGCACTTATAAACTTCATGGCCACATGATCAGAGCAAGGACAGTATTTTAGTGGGTGTCTTTCTTTGAGTTCAAAGGAAACTTGTTACAAATAGCACTTATAAACTTCATGGCCACATGATCAGAGCAAGGGCAGGATTTCAGTGTGTATATTTCTTTGAGTTCAAAGGAAACTCTTGACAAATAGCACATATGAAATACCTCATCTGTTGACTTGTGATTGACACTGAAGTAAAGCCAATTAAGTGGTGACAATATTTTAATTTATTTCTGATACAGGTGAATGGACACAGCCCAAGAGGTGTGTTGGCTACTTATTTGTTATTAAAATCCCTTTTAAACATGATTGATATGCTTTGTTTCTTTTGTGAAGATAACTGATTGTGTTCAGAATGAAAAAAAAATAGTCAAGAAAAAACATATATTGCTGAATGTAATACCAAAGTCTTACCACTAGTATGCAGAGAAAGTATGATTATCTAGATAGAAATAGTAAATAAGTCCTCTCCATGCACTGAAACAACCTTTTCATAATTACTGAACGAAAAATCTTCTTTAAACAGCAACTAGTGCCAAGTCTCCTAATGGATCTTCTGGAAGAAGGGTTAGTGAATTTTTTTTTTGTTTTGGCTTCTGGTGTTTAGCAACTTAAGTTACAGTATCTTAAGTAAGCAGTGATTTTTCCCCACCTCAATTTATTTACAAGTGAGTGTCATAGTTACAATATTACTTTGTATGCTTTTTTTCTTTTGCAGACTCCAAACAGTTCTTATGCCCACCCTAATGAGGAACTGTAAGTCTGTGCAAGTGGAAAATTATATTTGGACTTAACTATATGTCATCTGGTGTAGGACTGATTCATTGTGAAGTGCACCTTTTAATGTGTTGTCAAACTTTTATTAGTTGATTGTGAAAAGTGGGAGCTTTTCAGATTGCTTGTGATCTTCAACATGTCACATTTTCATCCTTGGTATGGTAAATGTGTAAATTTCCCTTACAATTACAATATGTTTTTAAGGAGGTAGGTAATGAGAATTGATATGATTATCAATCAGAGGAAATTGCCCACATAGAAAACCTTATTCTCAGCATAAGTTGAAGAGAAATGTAAAGTCACATGTTGCAAGAAAGTGTTGTTCTCAGTTTGTGGGGGTGAAAGGTTTTAGATCACTATTTTGGGCCATTTTCAATGTCATGAAGTGGGACTTATGGTTGCTCAGTGGTTGTTATACAAGACTTGGACCTGGATGGGTCATTTTGACTTCATTTTCAATAAATTGTGACATGAAGCCTTCAAATGAAGAGGATATGGTTCTCAAAGCAGTCAGTACATGCAATATTGATATCTTGCGATTCACTTCAAGTCTGAATAATTTTCAAGTTGGCAATCATTTAGTAGCTTCAGTCAATTACTTCCAAACTTAACTGTTGATTTTATTGATGAAGACACTCTTTGGATAACAGGAAATGATGTTTGTTTGAAACAGGTACCCAGCTCATGTCTTTGAGAAGGAATCACCCGATTCAGGTGAGATTATTTTGTGAAACACTTAAAATTTATCCAAGATCATGCCTTCTTTGACTGAAATACAGACATCCAGAGGGGTTTGAGTACTTCAGATTCGAGTCCATACTTATATGAGTAGCTGAAGCAACTTGAAGAATTTGTGCTGGTCACAATTTCACATACTCAATGTAATTCTGAATGAAAATATTTGATCCTTCTCCTTGTCTGTATTTTTTAAAAAAATTCTCAGCTTAAAGCTAACTATATGCCAATAAACACTTTTAAAATTTAATAAACAATATAAAAAGTGGTTGAAAAAAATTAATCCATTTTAAAGCTTAAGGTTTGCCTGTCACACAATCAAAGCTGCCAGCTTCCATTAATATTAAATTCTGATTTGTAGGTCCTTACTTAAACTGTAAATATGTTGTTAAAAATTGCAACTTTCTGTCTGAGTTGAAGATTTGTCACCCTGAGATTAAAAAAAAAAAACATGAAAGAATATAAAGTGATCTTTTAAGCCTTTCTGTCTTGAATTATGGAAAGATGTAGAATTGGGCCTATCAATTTGGATGGTGATTATGGAATGAAAGGAACAAGAGTGATACTTAGTAAATTTTCATACTATACACAGCTTGGAGGAAGGGAGCTCCGAAGAAAGTCATTAGGAAACCTAAAACAAAGACAAACCCTCCGTCAAGTGACAAGTTTTATTCAACTGTATGGCTTAGTGATTATGAATCGGAGCCAGATAAGAAGTTAGAACTAATGGGAAATAGGGGTACAATCGCATTAAGTAGCCATGCCACCACGCCCTACAGTAGCCGGCCCACATCACCCCTCAGTAGCCAGGCATCTTCTCCATTTAGTAGTCGACCAAACACTCCTTCACTTTTTTCAAAGTTTGAAGATGAAGATTCAGGCTTACATTCCGAAATTGATAAATCATATGATGAAGCAATTGGGCTTAGGAAGAAACTTCATAGAACATTAAGTTTACCAGATGCTGAGCTCAATCAGCTTTGTGCTAAAGACCTTCAAGATCGTTTCACAACTCTACAATTAGAACAAGAGAACAGAGAATTGAAAAAACTTACTGTTGAATTACAAGCAGCCTTAGAAAAACTAGAGGAAAGAGTAAACTGTTTACGGAGTATTGAACATGACAGTCTAGATGAGGCGTCATCATTGGCAGAAACTCGCCCACACATAAGTGAAATTCACATAGATTCAAAAGTCTCTGTAGAAAATTATCATTATGATCACAAGATTCCCCAGTCTAATGAACTACCACAAACACTCAGAAAGAGATCAAAAAGTGATGCAGATTTGCTTTTGAGGAGAAAAAATAAATCAAAAGATACCACAACCTGTTGTGTGAGCTAGTCAAAAGAAGGAAGTGAAGTTATTCATATGTCGATAATTTGAATACTTGTTTTTGTAGAAAATTGTCCCATATTTCAATTGTGACAAAACAATAGGTGCCTCTGGAATTGAATTGCTAGAGGAAAATATTAAATACCTATCAACCTTTCTGTCTTTTTGAAGACTCAAGGATGTAGTTTTATTTTCATTTTCCCTTTTTTGATCTAGACCAATTTTTAACTGACTAATTTTCCTACAATACCTCACAGCTGAACGAATTATGAAACTGCTTTCACCCGAGCACCCATCAATTCCACATTGCTGTGTATTGTTTGACAAGAAGCATGGAGACCAAAGTGAATGGAAGCTTTTCAAGGAATTTCTTTCTGGCACTGAGATACAGTAGAATGCCTAAACTGTTTGTTTATGCTTATTGACAACCAAATATTACAGCATGAAACACTTGGATTTCTCTATCAAAGTGTTAGAGTTAAAATTTCAAACAAACAAGTTTATTTTTCCTCATAGCTTATGTAACAATCATTCATCTTTGTGCATGAATTGGTTTAAGTTAATAATTAATTGGTATGGTATAATCTTTGATAGCTATAATTGGCATGATTTTGGATGAAGTCTGAATCTTCTCATGACTCTGAAGAGTGAAAATTTTTAACAATTATTTGTTTATCATTTAGATTCCCTTCTTGTCGTACAATAGAGAAAGTGTTAATTTAACACTTCCTCTGCTTACATGAGAAAATGTGACATTGAATCTTGATCATAATAATAACAGATATATCATAAATTCATAAAATTGAAGTTAAAAATTTTGAGTAGATATTTCATTGCATAAAACCCAAATTGGGAATAAACTGAAATAAAACTCAAGAAGTAATTGTGAACCTAAAGCAACATCAACTTCTTTGTGAACAGGAATTTCTCGTAACAAGATGGTTTCTCTTCTGCATTGAAATATGTCTTGAGATTTAGAGCACATTGTGCAAGGCCCTCTATGGGTTAGTAAGCCTGTGTATCATTGGAAAAGATTGCTTTTCATAAAAGATCTCGCCAAGAAGCAAAAGAATTATAAATATTTTTAACACAAGAGGGCCAACTTCTGATCTTAGTATAAACTGGAAGTGATGTTGAATTGCATGAATACCCATAGAGAGACTAAACTCATGATTTAAACATTAAAAAACACAACATATACTCAAAGATTCTTTAATAAACCTTGCTTGAATTTTTGCAATATATTTTTAACAGAGCATATTAAACTTCTTACTAAAACGATAAACCAAACTTAAATCAATAACCTGATAAACAGAAATGACAGTGTAGAATGATTTTTTCCCCATAATATCCTGTTCTGTATATTCAAGCTGTAAATATCATCTTTATTTTATGAATAAAATATATATACCAACCTTATAAGTTTGTTTTTTCCTATTTATTATTTTGGGGACTACTAAGGCAGCTTTTGTCTAAATATAATGTTTTTTCTGTGTGACAGGCCAGCTTAATCTTTAAAATAGTAAAATTTTAAACACTTAGCTAAATGGTTTACTCAATTATTGTATTAACTTGTAATGTTTGTTCATCATTGTTAATATGTAATCTGTTTATTTCCCTTCCTTGACTATACTATTATCAGTCAGTTTCAATTTATTGTATTACTATGACATTCACTTTCTGTGGATGATTTATGAGTAATATTATTGAGATGATTTGCTGGCATCTGATGCACTGATAAATCTATCCTAAATGACATTGATTCCCGCATTGTGAATACTTAAGAAAAAAAAATTGTGTTTGTCACACACCAAAAGCATAAACTGATTAGCAAAAGCTGCTTTAGGTGACAGAAGCAGGGATGATACATTGGAATCAAAACTACTCTCTTCCCATTTTGGCTTGGGTTTGATTCTCAGATCTGACTTCCCATGTGGGTCAAGTTTTGTGTTGTCTTTGCCTTGCAAGGTTTTCTCTCTGCCTTCTCTTGTAGTAGTCTTTCTTCATCCCAAACTGAATCTTGTTCATGTTGTATTTCCTTCCCTATCTGTCTGTTAGTTTATTATTTCTGTGATGGTTTATTATTTATGCTTCCATTTTGTCTTTGTGTGAAAATTTTACTTGGGGTTTTTCTTGAGTTATCTGAATATTAAATTGCTTCTATATTTATATTCCAATTTGCAAGGAGCTCCCCTCTACTTAAAAGTGAAAAAATACTGAATTATTGTTGGGCCAGTTTTAAATCACACAAATTGTAAATAGAAATTGGATGACAGCTTTTGTTTGATATGTAGACCATTTCTGCTTAGGAGCAATGGTTCCAAATATTCTATTTGGGAAGGGGGATCTGAAAACTAGAACTTGTGGTCAAGACAAATGAGTACCATGCATGGGTGGGTTCGAGCAGGTGGCAACAGCAAGATGTTAATGTAGGTACCAGTTGGAGAGCATGGGTCGTGCAAAGCTGATTTAATAGTCTATTTGTATTAAATCTTGGATCTTTTGTTTACTGCATTACATAAAACACCATTTGCACCATATGGAGACAAAAACACAATTTTTGTAATGATTTCTGAAATTATTGTAGCTTTCGATAATTTTTTTTCGTAGCTTGATAGTTCCTGTGTGCTAAAACTTTTTTTTTTAATATGGTTTAAAAAGTATGTGAGGCAAAACTGGTCCAATAATTTTGCTAGTGTATTGAAAAATACAATCATGTTTTTGTCTTCATATCAATAGAGTGCACCCTTAAAAAAAGGAGAATTGAAATTCTCAGACAACTAAAGTCACTAAACCTTGATGTCATATGCTTTCTCTGCAGAGAGAATCGATTCTGGTGTGGATGCATCATTTGAGTAGATACGAAGGAGCTCCTTGCTTATTCCCTGTCTCTCATGGAATTGGGAGCATGAATAAAATGTTTAATTCACTGAACTTTAAAGTAAACAAGTGCTAAAGATAAACCTTTGAAGCAACTTGTAGAAATACTTTTGTTCTTTCTTGAAATTTAATGTGCTGTTTGCTGATATTGAAATTCCGCTAAGTAAAAGATAAGCAAGTTTTAAATTTTGTTTTTAAGTTAGGTTTCAATTAATTTTCATTATTAAAGTCAAGTGCTTAAAACTGTAGAGTTTAGTGTCACAACTTGTTAGAAGCTAGCAAATGCTGTTAAATTGTTATGCAATTTAGTTGGATTGCATAGTCAATGATTAAGCTCTTTTGTTGAGTGCCAAAAAAGCTGTAGAATATTTTAGTTCCCACTATACTCTAGGCAAGCCAAAGATTGAAGAATAATAGTTGTTATAATCTTCAAAACTCTAAAACTAGGATTTTGATTGATTGACTTAAACGGCTGCCACCATTTTCTGCCTTCACTGTCAATTACGTTAACCCAAGCAAGGTTTATTACTTGTTTAGACCAAGATGCAAGACACAATTTCAGTTTTCTTGATTTTGACCAAAAAATCAATTTATCAGATTTTACTTGCAACTTATAGCCATGTAAATTGTTCAACTTTCATTTTAACCATTTGTTTATTTTAACTTTTTTTAACTCCTGGTGATTCCTGGTAGGTATTGACTTGTGGCAATTTGACAGGTGTTTTTCAGTTGTGAATGACTTAAAAAAATTGGCTATTAAATGATACTAGGCCTTGTCCATTTTGAAATATTTTCCAGCATTGATCAGCTAAAATTTTATTGTGATTATGAAAGCCATAACACATAATCCAATTGTAAAATTGTTTTCAGTTCGTCATGTTTGATTTGGAACCATAAGAACTGGTAGAGTACTAAATGGTTAGTGAGTGTTATCCAGTAGTCAAATAAATGGAGATGATAACTCCTGACAGCTCTGTCTCTTCTCTGTTCTCAAATTAATCTGTCTCTATCTTTAACATTTAAAACTGCTTGGTGGTCTAAGCAAGTAAAGGGTGTAATTGTGGGTTTAACAGAAGTTTAATTTGGTGAAGGGTTTGTAGTGTTCAAATGCAAGTGAAAATAACAACATCAATTTTTACCCAATTCAAAAGTGTAACATTTTAAAAGTTTCATTTCAAGTCCTTCAATACTGTCATTTGGTTGATAACAAGGAATTATCACCTTAATGTTTTTACTTATCATTTGTATTTTGAATTTGGAGGCAGAATTGAATCTCCCCAAAGATCATGCTAATCTTCCCCTTTTCTTTTTTCTATCCAGCTGTGACTTCCAGTAAATTGCGAAGTGTAATACAAGCAGAACAATTCCATTTATGGAAATCCTACTTTAGGTTCTCTTGTTACCAATCCTTTCTTTGAGTTTCCTTTTAAGGGTACTGTCTCATAAATAATTAGTTTTTCCTTTGTTCATTCTTATCTTCCATCTTCTCTTAACCTATCTGGTAACAAACACATCTGCCATCATTATTGCATTTTCCAATAAAAAATAGTTTTACCTCAAAGTTGAATATGCATAAGTTCAAAGAGTAAACATTATAAGAATAAACTTAAATCTCATTTCATTAACTAAATCATCCAATATATGTCATTAAAAATATGGTGTGTTAGCTTTTTATTGCTTGAATTACTGATACTTAAGGTACTAAATGAGAAAATAAAGTAAAAATTTTTAATTCACTAAACCTTCCCAGACATAAAATAATGAAGGTAAACATAAAAGTGTCTAGACCAAATTAATTTTATTTAAGGTTAGGAAATGAATTTGACCCTAAAGAGTGCTTTATTGAAGTTTTTGACAGATTATATGAACAATTCAAAAAAGTTTAATCAGTCTGAAGAGCTTGTATATCTAGATAAAAGTTTATGTAAATGAAAGAGGCTCACAGCTTAGCTTAGCTTCCTTTGATAGCAGGTGGCTCTAAACTTTTCACCTGGGAGCCTTCTCATTGGTTGATTTCAATATTCCTTCTTTGATTCTTAATGAATCCTGTGGTTTTTACCATAATGAAAGTAGAAAATAGAAAAGACTCAGTTTTGCATAAAATGTATCGTGCCAAGCTTCTGAGGAGTTGTTGCTTTTGCTCTTAAATTAATCCTCTTTCTCTTTGTAGAAGCCTTGTGGGGATACTTTGTTTAATAAATGATCTGTATTTTTAAAATGAATTTTTTGCCTTCTTGGAAAGATTGTGAACATTATTTCATTTGAAACTATAAGTTTTACAATCTGTTTCTGTGCCTGATAATTTCTCTAAAAATGATGTCATGGATACTGCTGTAATGTGTTATTGTAAAATTTATACCAGCATAATTTTTTTTCACAAGGGAATCATTCTTGCACCAGTACAAAATTTTACAGATTTTAATGGAACAAATTCAATTTTTATTTGATATGTAGAAACAACATTTGCTTTGTCTTAAATTTCTTATTTGGAATGCTTTGTAAACAATTTACTGCTTATATGAAACTTTAATTATAGCAGTTTTTTTTAGGTTACTGTACTAAGTTGTATTGTGGTTGGATATTTGAATCTTATTATGTCTAGTTTGGTTGCTGTCTGTGTTATATGTAAAACAGGAGATGAAAATGAAGTTATATTAGCACCAACTGAAGTCTTCAATGTATTCTTTAGTGTGTTGTGAAAATAGATATCTCAGTTTTAATTTTTTGTTCAATTCTGGGAGGTAGTATTAGGCAAGCATTTGAGTCAAATGTAATTTTTTTTTCTTTTTTCAGTTACAGCTAAAGATCCTAAGAAAACTAAAAGAGAAAGAATATCAGTGCATGGCTTCTACAGAATAGGAAAAGTTATAGGAGATGGAAATTTTGCTGTTGTAAGGGAATGTAAAAATAGGTGGGTAACTTTGGGGCTCTTACAAAGACATGAACTTTTTTTGTAAAAAATAGATAGCATCACAAATGACTTTTATGTTTGAAAATAACAAACTTCAAACTTGTGACAAAATTACTGGACTGAAGAGCATTCATTTATATCCCACATCACACCCAAATATATGTCGTAATGAAGTGTCATTTTTTTGCAACAAATACAAGGAAAGAACTCAAATCTGTAAAAAAAATCAGTGAAATTGTATAATTGCTAAAAGAGGCATTGAAAAAACAGTCTTAACAAGGAGAAAGCATTGAAATGGACTTTTCATCTTGATTTCTTGACAGGAAAACTAATAAGGAATATGCACTGAAGATTATTAGCAAAGCTAAAGTAAAGGGAAAGGTAAGGTCTATTTGTACAGAATGTCTCTCACTTAACTTGCCTTGGTAGAGTGTTATGGCAAGGCCCGAGCATCTGAACAGATACCCAATGTTATATTGTTAATGGTGTTTTAAAATGAAGTCCTGAAAACAACACCCAATTCAGCAATACGTCTTGTAACAGCTTGAACCCACCTTGGGAGATCAGAGTTAGTGAAGATGGAAAGTGACATTAAGGAGAAAGGTGAAAAGGGTTGTTTTTATTAATCCCTTACTACCTGTGGTGAACAGAGCATCAATTCAGTTTTTGTTCACTGGGAAGTTTGTTTTGTTTTTTTTTTCATTGGGAAAACCTCCTTCTAGCTAATCCTTTGATAAGCAATTCTCCCATCAAGGTGTTGTTCCCTGTGAAATTTGTTATGAGGATTTTTTTGCTATAATGAAGAAACAACCCTTGAGCCAGTGCATTTGTTTATTCTCAACACTGTGTTGAGGATGTGGCATTGAAATTGCAAGGAGACCCTCTATTCTTATCTCTCCCTGTGGTGTCTGGTGTTAGGTAGGGTTACTTAACCCTTTAACTCCCAGAAGTGATAAACATGGCACTTCTCCCCCAAGTATCCATACATTATCCAGCATACAGTTTATGGGAATACTCAAACCTATCATTTAACAGTTGTTATCTTGATTTAACACCAAATTCTCAGAACTAATTTACAAGGAAATGTGTAGAAGCTAGAGTGGATAATAAGCAAGTAGATCTTGGGAGTTAAAGGATTAAAACCCTTTGTGATTTCTTGTGGCTTAGGTGCAGTTGAAGAGAAGAGATTGTCATTGATATTGTGTTTTGCCTTCCTTTTACACTAATGCTGCTATTCCTCTTTCAGGAACATATGGTTGAAAATGAAATTAGTATATTAAGAAGAGTGAAACATAAAAATATTGTGGAACTTATTGAAGAGTATGAAACTCCTAAAGAAATATTCCTTGTTATGGAACTAGTTAAGGTGAGAATCAAGATGTTTCGTCATGATCAAAATTATACCATAACTACCAGTTTACTTTGGTAAAGATTTGATTATCTATAACATTTTAATCAGCTGTAAATGAGAAAAGTTGCCAAGAAGGAATTTAATAATTTTTTCCTCTGACCCCTGCTTGAGGAGGTCTCCTTTCAAGATATGTAGGGAACAACTGTGAGCTTAAAAGTGAAGGTTACCAAATTAATGTTTCATTTCTTTTTTTCTGATTTATTTAGGGAGGAGATCTTTTTGAAGCAATAGTAAAGGCCACCAAGTACACAGAGAAAGATGCCAGCCATATGGTGCGCGACTTGGCAGCGGCACTGCATTATCTACATTCCATGAATGTTGTACATAGAGATATTAAACCAGAAAATTTATTAGTAAGTAGCTTGGTTGTAAGCTATTTTGAATCGCAATTTAAGTGTTATGATTTGGGTAACTGTCAGTGGTGATTTTTATTTGTACAGAATCCTAATTGAACTTTCTTGTGTGCTTCTGTACAGGTTGTAAATTATTCAGATAATAGAAAATCCTTGAAGCTAGCAGATTTTGGACTAGCTACTGAAGTGAAAAGCCCCATGTTCCTTGTTTGTGGAACACCAACTTATGTTGCACCTGAAATCCTGGATGAAACAGGGTAAGTGTGAAACAATTTGAAAAGAAATTTGATTATTTACAGACCAAGAAGTTATAATCACTGGGTTTACTCTTACTTTCTTTGCATTGAATAAGAGCCCTCAACTTAACTTGCAAATATTTGGCAACAAATAATGGTCTATCCGCTTGTCATGCCATTTAATTGTGTTTTGCTAAAAGAAATTTCATGTTCATGCATTGTTGTATCAATGCTCTTGCTGAAAGACTGGGGGGAAGAAGGATGACAAAACAATTATTAATTAATTGCTACAGACTTATTAAGCTTTAGCAATTAATTGATCTTCTTGTCAATGGTAAATCATGATTTTTTATGATAATCTTGACGAACGATAAACTAACAGGGAATGAAAGTTAAGCACCAAGTTCAGTAGCTTAAGGTTCATGTCTGACAATCCAGTTTGAATCTTAAACAAAGTTACCTTTTCTCATGCAGCAGCTGCTAATTATGTCATAATAAAGGTATTGGGGCTCCATGATTTAAATTTATTTTTTTTATAACAGATATGGTCTGAAAGTTGATATTTGGGCAGCAGGAGTTATCACTTATATTCTTCTTTGTGGATTTCCACCATTCAGAAGGTTTGTTATTATTTCACAAAAGTTTTAAATAGTTTTGTTTTTCCTCTAAATTCCTTTTTGGCGATTTTTTTTGATAACTTGTAAATTTACTTTATATTCCTTAAAATCAATTAAATAGAGAATTATACATGTGTACACATACAGTAGTTATGAAATTTTCCTTTGAGTGTTCTACTTGTAAGCAATTGACTTTCAGGCATTCTCTCATCAGACAATTAGACTAATTGACCAACTGTTCTGTCTGGGTTCAAACCATTCACTGTATCAGTTAAAAGTCCTATGCCATGAGTTTAATTTTTTTACCTTTCATGTTGCAGTCCTGACCAGGATGAACTGTTTGACTTGATTCTTGCTGGGGAATTTGAATACCTGTCACCCTTTTGGGATGAGATATCAGATTCAGCAAAGGTATGAATTGCTGCATCAAAAAAAAAATTCTGTCTGGTGATATTTATAAAACCTCTATCTAAGAAAGGGATTTGCTTTCAGGGGTGTGGGTGTGGAATGTAAATAAAATGATATTTAACAATTATTGTTTTAAGGAGGGGATCCCCTCACAGGGGTGTGTGTGGAATGTATATGGAATGATATTTAACAATTATTGTTTTAAGGAAGAGATCCCCTCACAGGGGTGTGTGTGGAATGTATATGGAATGATGTTTAACAATTATTGTTTTAAGGAGGGGATCCCCTCACAGGGGTGTGTGTGGAATGTATATGGAATGACATTTAACAATTATTGTTTTAAGGAAGGGATCCCCTCACAGGGGTGTGTGTGGAATGAATATGGAATGATATTTTACAATTATTGTTTTAAGGAAGGGATCCCCTCACAGGGGTGTGTGTGGAATGTATATGGAATGATATTTAACAATTATTTGCCTAAGGCTCAGTGAATGTTGTTGAATAATTCTGAGACAAAGTTGAGGGGATTATTCACCAATATTCACCAGTGCTCCTTTGTTATTGAATGGCAAACATTATTTTTGACAAGGCATTGGCACTCTTGTTATTTCTTATGATAATAACATTTTTTTTTTTTGTATATCTTGTCTCCCATCCCAGGATCTTATAAACCACATGCTTGTTGTTGATGACAATAAAAGATTCTCTGCTCTCCAAGTTTTAAATCACTCATGGATAAAGGTGATTATTATTTCATCATCACTTTTTAACATAGTTTTTTAGTTTACATTTCTGGGAGGAGTAAAATACATCGCCTTATTTTTACAGGAAAAAAGTATCTAACAGACATTTTAGATGTGCTGCAAACTTTTGGTTTATGATTGATAGTGGCAAAAAAATTCTTAACCCTCTAACTCCAAGATCAAATTTGTAATTCTGCTCACTGTTAACCATACAATTCTTATAATGTTAGTTCAGAAAATTTAATATTGGATCAACTAATTATCCCCAAATTGATATTTTTCTTTATTCTCATCACTTATCTGGTTGATACTGTATTGATGTTATAAGGAGAAATTCTGTCTTGGTGACTCATTGGAGTTAAAGGGTTAAAGTATGTTATGATCACTTTCTTAATGGTGCATCCAGCGTGCTAGAATTGATTAGCAATTTCTCAAACTTTGATGTTGTGTCAGTACTGTTGTGATTACAACTTTGTAGCTCTTTGTGGCCAAGTGAAGATTATCATTGGTTACAAGTGGTGTAGATGTATGTTTTTTCCAAAAAAACAGTGTGTTTATCAACATCTACAAAATTAATGCAGCAAGACTGAAGGTTAATGTCCTTTGATTGTGCAGGGTCATACAACAGGAGATAAGGACATTCATAGTAATCTGAAAATGGAAATTACAAGAAATTTTGATCCAAGAAGAAGACTAAGAGGAGCTGCCATCGCTGTACAAACGGTAAACTATTTCTCAAAGAAAGCTCAGTCCAATTCAAAGAGGATGTCTTTTCAGACAGACAACCAGAGGCTCATTGAGTCAAAGAAAGTTGTTTTCTCTGACGAAGTTCTCAACATGCCTTCACAACCTAGCAGTGCTCATGACGTGCATCATGGGTCTGACAGTAGATTACACTTTTACGAAAATGCATGGCAAAATATAGAAAGTTTAACTGGTGGGGATTTGCCTTATAGGCATGTGAGCAGTCCTGATATTCACAGTCCAAAAACTCAGCTTGAGATTTCTGATTTAGTTCTTAATGCTGTTAGTGAACAAAGTGTACTTCCACAACAAGCAAAGCACAGCTTTGGCTGGTCTGAAAACAGGCGAAAGCCTGATTTGAAGACAAAGCGCAGTCCATCATTACAGAATGATAGCCTTAGTTTAAATAGTGATCACAGAATTCATGATTCCTGTGAAGACTGTGGAGTTAGACAGAGGAAAAGGTCCCATAGTGCAAGGGTGGAACACAAAGATGGAACTCCAATTGACAAGTTCAACATACCCCAAATTACAAAAACGGATTCTGTCAACTTGTGGCAATTTGTTGAAAGAGATCTTGTTCTCAAGCCAGCACTCATAGATGAGAATGTGGTTGGCTCTAAAGGGGAAAAGGCTAACCTCATTCTTGGCTCAGCTTCTGCTGAACAAACTCAGGACAGTTTGGAAACAAAGATACCTGATCAGTCAGAGAAAAAGATGAGTGGTTTAGTTAACTTAACTGAGGAACTCAAAAGACTTAAAATGAGCCTTTCAAAAAGAGCAAATGTTGCTGTTGAAGTCTAGGGTAACATTAATTAACCAACATGTAAATCATGTAAACCCTTAAAGGTTCTAAAGCCTATGTCTGTATGATCAACTTACTTATCAAATAAGCATTTCTTTGATACTGAATTAAATTTGTAAGGTTTATAACAGAATCAAGGCAATAATATCACTTTGAGCAAAGTTGAAAAGGTTTTGATTAGTAGCATCAATTTTATTGTATTTGATTTTAAAAAACGTAAATGTACAGAAAAAGCAGAAGGTAATTGTAAATTATAGACTAGTTTTGAAAGGTTTGGTGAAAAAAAATTTGCATTTAGAGAATGATATCAAGGTTTTGAATATGTATGACTTTAAATGAAAAGTAGCAAGTTTGTAATGATTTTTGACAACAAAATAATTTCTGGTTACAGCTATGAGTTGTTTTACAAAATGGAGTAGTATTTGGTATTTTTTTGTATAGGGTAATTGAGTTATAAGGTAGGTATTTTTGATAAATAAAATTAAATAGAAGTATTATTATTGAGATGTTAATTTGTAAGCATAAGGTAAATTTAATGATGGAAAAAATCTAACATAGGAAATAAATTTAAATTGTCTCTCAAAAAAGTACAATAAATGCATGTCAATTTTGTAGATGGAGATCTTAAATCGTCTTCATGTAACCCTTGGTAGGTGGGTATACTGCTGTACAGTTTCATGAAAACAAAATGCAAACAATGAAAAAGAAGACTTTTCATTTTCAGCTCTGATCTTTGTTGCAGAGGGAAAAGTTAACTCACAGTTGTCTTGTAATTCCTTTTATAAATTTTGATACTTAACCCTTAAACCTCTGAGAGTGACTATCATCTAGTTTCTCCTTAGAAAATCACCCCTCAGTGAAACATTAAGATAACAAGAATAAAAGAAATGATCACCAACTAAAGAAGCTCTTGATTTTTTTAAAACAAATTCTCCTTGTCAGGGCCTTTGGAAATGTATAGAGAACTGTAGGGAGAATATGCATACTGATGTTAGGGTGTAAGCTAAGGGTTAATGAAACATGGGCAATGAATTATTACTGGTATCTAAGTAGCAGGCATGATGGCCCTCTAAACGAACAAGTAAGGATAATTTCTTATAAAAAAGTTAAGTTGGTATTGAAATGTTCCATAGGAAACTAAATGTACAGATAAGCATAGGAAATTACCAGTTTCTTGGAATTACAGAATCACATAGGTTTTGTCTCTAAAAGAAGACACTGATTGCATAGGTTAATATAACTTGATACTGCTGTAACTAAAATGCTATTTTGAAATAAATCTTTTTTAAATCATCTTCCTCTTAATCCTTTTTCAAACTTCTTTTTATTTGAGCTGAGTGTAAATATTGGTTTGAGTACGATTTAATCTGCCATTTTTATAAAAATGCATTTACCATAAAATTAAATCAGAGATTGATGTTCTTTGTGTAAAGTATTAAACCTGAAAATGCCAATTTCCTTTATTCCTATTATGAATTAATAAAGTCGGACAAACCTTTATCTTAGCAGGAAAAACTTGTGGATACTTGAAATTGGTGCTTTTACTCAGTGTTATAAAAAAAATAAATAATTTTTTTGTTTCCTTTTTATAGAAGACTATCTCAAAGTTTCTCAGGTGGCCCCATCTTTGCATTTTCTCAATTTGCTTCATTGTAGAATATATTTTTTGGGGTGACTTCCTATTTCCAAATGCCATTGATGGACATTTTAAATGGTACCATGCATTTTTTTAAAATATGGCTTCAAGAGTGTGCATTGTAGAGAGGAACTCCACACATTTCTGCTCTTCTGGTAACTGATTTCTCACTTGTTTTTGTTGCACAGAAAGGAAGGGAGAACCCCAGGAGCAAGGGTCCACAAAAGGACCATGTCAGAAGAAAAGCCCTTTCACCTTTATCAAGGAACATTATTAGAAAGGATTTTCACAAAGCCACAGACTCTCTCAACATCATTATGGATGAACCAGAACAATTGAAGAGTGTGAAAACTAACACTCCCCAAAAGAGACTCTCTGTGAGAACCCCTGCTAATTATGTTCCTGTATGGAAGAGACCATTAGGTCAGGCCAAGAGCCCTGGTGGGTCCCCAACTCCACAGAGTCCACAGAGAAAGGCAAAAAATGGTACCATTGGGAACCCACCCACTGCACAAGGAAAATGTAAAGTTCTTAGACAACCACCAATGAAATTTAGGTTATAATGCTAGATAACCATGTTGCACAGACATTTTCTGATAACCTTACCTGTAATGTGAGAGTTAAAAATTCTAAATTACAATTTAAAGAACGATTCAATGCAATAGAAGGTTTAAGCTTGGCTAAAATTTAATTTTAAAAACTTTTTAAAAAAGATAGTAACATTTAAGTCAGTCAAGTAGCAAACAAAATGATTGAATTGCTGTTGTTAATTACATTGCTTATAATTTTATATCAAGGAAGAAATAAAACACTGACATATATATAAATATTAAACATAATTTTTGTAGTAGCCCTCCTTGTTTATTTATTCCTGTAATATTTTCATTTCTATTTTTGTAATAAAACCAAGATAACCTTTTGAAAATAAACTTATATAATTTATTAGAAATGAGAAATTTGAATTTTAAATGCCAGTGAAAGTCATTTTAAATTTTCAAAGTCCAACTTCCTTTGTTTTGACCTAAATTTTAAGGAAGCAACACTATAAAAGAGCAATCTTTTTTCTAAGTAACTTATTTAAAAACATTCATGTTGATAACCAACAGAGGTTTAAACTGATGTAAGACCAAGCTAACTGATACATAAACATTACTGAAAATTTATTAAACTTTGGTACCTTTGTCATTCTTAAATCCATCTTCTATGACTTAATCAGGGATATCTGTAGTTGACATAACTGCTCTGACTTGAACAATAATATATCTCAATCAACTATGATTGAAATTAAGAAAAGGACTTGATAAATCATTCATCTAAATTGTAGTGTAGCATTCTTAATTGGTAGCTATGTGTTCCTAAACAAGTGAGATGACACTACTCTGCAAATTAAATTTTCTTCTGTTTCTAAATCACCAACTAAGAATTATCTTCAGGGGAAATAAACTTGCGATATTTACTTCAATCTGTTAAAGATGTCTCTAAGGATCCTTTCATGATCATGCTAATTTTCACAAAATGTTCACAAATCTAATCCAGCTCATCTGTCCTTCAAGTTCAAGATTTTAATTTATTAAGGTAAGGTATTAATACCAAAGGTGAGTTTTGATTTTTTTTTTGTATTAATAACTTGATAAAATTTTATAAAAAATTTTAAAAATTATAATCTATGGTAAAATTAATTCAAATATTTTGACAACTTTTTAAAAGGAATTTCATGTGTGTTTGTTCTTTTTTTTTTTTTTTTGTTTGGTTTTTGGGTTTGTGTGGTTGTCTTTTTGTGATGGTTGTTGTGGTAAACTTGTTGTTCTTTTTGAAAGATAACTTAACTTTTGAGCTGGTTAAAACAAAAGTGAATTAGGGTAAAAGCAAGTCAACAATACACATACAGTACACCGACTTTAAAGAAAGTTCTTAACTTTAAACAGTAAACAAAAGCGTTTTTAGTAACCAGCGAAACTGTAGAATATCCTCTCAATAACTTAATATGTTTTTTTCTCTGTGTCAAAACTCCTGAATAAGTTGTCACAAGTTGTAAATTCAGAGATTGGTTGGTAACCTCTCATACCAAAATCATTGATCGTTCAGGTGTGTAGTGATTATGCAATCCCAGTCATCTCTCAGACCCTACAATCAAAAAGAGATGTGTAAGGTTATGAAGGTACCAAATATTGAGAGGAGGAAGGTTTATTTTCCTAAGACAACACATACCTACCTCAACCACATTTTCTAATCACAATCCAGCTTTGAATGAATTAAGGTCAACTGAGGTGATATACTTGTCAATTTTTTGTGGTAATTGCATCAATAATTGTGCATAAGTTGCCATACCCTGCTGAAGCAGCAATGATGTTTCCGACTTTTGCAGTGTAAGATTATTATAGAGACAATAGCTGGAGATCATAATGGAGAGGGAAATGTCCCCTGGGAAGACAATTGGGGTACTAATATTAATACACCACAAGCCTTTGTCAGTGATGGACTGCTGTATTAATCAGTGATTAAAAGTTATCACAAGTGTTTTCAATTTTTTCTGCGTGAGTGTGATCTGGGATTGATTTGACTAATAATTGTTTTTTTTTGTTTTGCTTTAGGTTAATGCCCTAGAGAAACTCAGCAAATCTCTACAAGATGGGAGGAAACTTGCGGTTGGTGAGAGTTACCAGGACTTGTCACCAGCAGTCAAGGAAAATCACCCTGTTCATCATCGCTATCCAGATAGACACAGCTCACATGCGAAACAAAGACCAAAGAGCTTAAATTTTGAGATCTTTTTCAGTGAACAGGAGGAAATAAATAGAACTGATGATGAAAAGATTGAGAATTTAAATGGAGAATTTATCAAAGACGAAGCTGTAATTCAGTATCATGCAGAGTCCTCAAATCTATCGCAGGAAGAGGAAAAAGAATAACTTAATCATGAAGTTGTGAAGAGTGAAAGAGACCAGAAAGCAGCTCTATAAAATGTACAAAAAGCTTCGTAGAAGGATGGCAGAAAGGCAGATAAAGCTGAGTATCCCTCAAGATAATCTACCATCTAAAATAATACTAGAGACTTAAACTGAGCATTGCACAGGGTAGCCAATGTAGTTTGTGTGTAACCTGATGGCTTGTTGGCAATATGACAGAGTGCCTTTTATACGCTCAAGTCTTGGTGCAAAGATGTCTGTATTAAGAAAAGCAAGTTAAAGGAAGTTTGATGGCAATGGCAGTGCTACGTAAGAAAGTACTGTATTTGACCCTGAACAGGGAAACATGAATTTCTTTAACTCTTAGTGCCCTTTTTGGGTGCCCTTTTTGGTCAGAATTAGCAGGGGAACATCTTTTAGCAGAGGATAGAAATTAAATCTTTAAAGTTTTTATCTCTCTGCTCAGTAAACCTGTTGTTATTGCATTCATGGTTTCTTAAATTTCCTAGTGATACCATTGTGGATACTGCTCTGTTGTACTCAATACCTCTCACTACTAATAAAGGGGGCGAGTTTTTAAAGAAACTGTGGTGCAGCAAGAGTATGGCAGGTAATTTAGTGTTAAATTGAGTTGAAAACGTAAATTGGCCACCTATCGCTCTTATGGAGGGCTCAAAACGTCAGTTTTTTTACTCTTTACGGTGGCCAATATACGTTTCAACTCAGTTAACACTAACTTACCTCACTACTAGTTAGTAATTTTCTAATTTCTTGAAAATGTGTGATAATTGCAACAGACTTGTAGATGAAGAGCTTTTATTTATATGTATAAGTATGAAACCTACCAAGGTTGTAAATGTTTTGAGGAGTAACTGTACAAAGTGGATAATGTGAATGTTATTTTTGTACAGAAAACTACTTTCAATGACTAAGCCAGAAATTATGTCACATGTTGTATTCAACAGTCAATGATGAAAGTGATATCCATGGACATAAGAAGGAATTCTTTGACCTTCAATTTGACGTTATTTGACAAGATTGTCTTGAAATTGTCATGTGATAAGAAAATAGTATAAGAAGGGAGAGATTCATGTATTTAATTGTGGATAAAAATTATTGAATAAATTGTCAATATTGAGAGTGCTGCTAAGCAGAATAATGTGATCTTAACTAAAGGTGATTTGCCAGAGAAAATGCAAATTGAATAAAGGCTATTTTATTTTCATTTGAATTGATATTTTGGCGGTGATGGTATTTATTCCATTTTGACATTTGCTTATTTGAAGTTGGGGATTACATCCTTGTGTTACATCTGGTAGTTGAGAAAGATGAATACCCTTGTTTACTATTGACTAGATTCACAACTGATTCCATTCAAAGAAAAGCTGTGAAAGCCTTCATACCCATTACCAGTGTGATTGTCAACTGGCTGGTCAGCTCATTTTGAGTGCTGCACTTCAGTGGGGGAGATCAGGTGTAAAATCCCATCAAAATAAAAGGCAGGGTACTAATCCTTTCACTAAGACCCAAATATCAGTTTTCCCTACTGAATGTCATACTTTAACTTTAGTTGGGAGAATTTGGTTCTAAATCAAAAATATCCTCAGATTTCTTTCTTCTCACCACCCTTCAGCCTTTAAATTTATTGATATTGTGGGAAGTTCTACATTTCTTGTCAGTGAATGGAGCAAAGATTTAGTAAGGAGAGTGTTAAATTTGCAATTACATCAATTTGGCAAGTGGTGAGAGATGAAATTCCAGGAACAATACGAGTTGTTTCCTGTTACTCAATTATCCTCTTCAGCAAGGGACTTGTAGAATTCCACACAGTTGGGGGTGAGAAGGGAAAGAATGTTTGTAAAATGATTGGATTAACTTACCGTAAAATTACTTTTCTCTATGATCTGCCTCTGTGATCAAGGCTGATTGGGTTTGTACTGCCTATATATTTTGAAAATTAATTTAAACTTACTTCCCTTCCCTGGGCTTATTGGGTTCCTACTTTGAAGATTTCTATAAAATAAATTTATACTAACCTCCCTTAGCTGGGAAAACAAACTAAAACCTCTTTTACAGTGGGCAAGAATTTGGAGAAGAGTCGAGGAGTTTTACTTTGAGTCAAGCAAAATTTACCTTTTTGAAAGAGGTCAGGATAATTGGAAATCTCGAGTCAGTGTGAACCCATTAATTTTGTGTCCAAAGATGCGAAGTATTATGTGATGGCAATGTTCCTTGTGTACACTGCAAATGTCAATTACAACAACTAGGGTTTGATTCCTCTTGGCTAGTCAGATTTTCTCCACCTATTCTTAAGAAGATGAATAGCATCCTTCATTACAGTATTAATTATTCAACTGGATTTTTAAACCTGTTGATTACTCAATCCAGTTCCCTTTGCCATAGGAGAATGAAGGATCAAGACTCGATAACTACGGAACTTTAAAGAATTGGTTCTAAGCACTGCTTGCAAATAATAACAATATATTGCATTGAATGTATCACTCCTTTATTTCCAAACACCACACTTAAATTGGGAAAGTAGAATCTGAAGATTCACACCACGAAATGTTTCTTAAAACAAAAAAAATAATTTAAGGTTAATAGAAATCTCTACCAATATATTTTTGTGACATAAGTTCCAAAAAGTTGGTAGAAATTTCCTGTGTACAAGTTTATGTATGGACACTCATTACATGACCTCGTTTTGTATGATTGGATGTTGAAAACATAGCCATACTAACTCTCCCTGTTTATAGTTTTGAACTAAAATCAGTAAACTTAAAAATAAAAAGGCAACTACTTGACTACATGTGAGCAAGGTCTAGCCAGGAGGAATTTAAAACCAGCAGGTTTTTCCCAAGAATTCTTACTTTTTCATCAGAAAAACACACTTTTTTAAACCACTCAGTTAACTTCAAAACATAACTCAAAACCTGACCCCTATCGAGAAAAAGAAAAAAACTAGAAATCTTACACTTTTGATAAGAAGCTGAGTTAAGTGCAGCTTTAGAGTTACTGGAAGATTGTTCTTGACTTAGTATCTCAATCTTTTCTAAAACAATCTCTCTTAAAATTTAAAAATATCATTATGGGAGGAATTTAAACTGTCTGGTTTTCACACTCGGGAACTCTCTTTCTAAATAGTGATACATCTTTGTAAATTGAACTCACATTTTTCTTTCCTTGGGCATCAAAAATACTGATATAAAGGAATAAATTACACTGCTCATACAAAGTAATCCAGGACTAGGTTTCCTGGCTTACGTGTATGATCTAAGGAATGCCTAGTCCACAAAATTCCTGCTACAAGGCTGTTAACTGATAAAATATTTTAACTGTCTCTTCCAAGCCCGAGTCACAGCCAAAAAGGTTGTGTTAGCAGTTTGGCTTTTAACAGCATTAGCCTTGCAGAGGGGAGCTGTCTACAATTAACCAACTATTGCTGAGAGTTATCATTAACATTTGGCTTTTAGCTAGGTATTTATATATTAATGGTTCAGTTTGTTGTTAGCTAGTCTGCAGTTCATGGTGACTTTAAGATTGGCTTTATGTTGAATATATTCTCTTGCTTCTAGTACAGTAAGTGATTTGATGTTCACCCTACCAACCTTATTCAAGGTATGATCCCCTAATCAGGGTATCTTGGTAGAAAAACACTCAATAACTTATACAAGCTTCAGACAGCTTGGTTGCACAAATATATTTCTGCATTAGGCATTATTCACCAATCCAGCACATCAACTGGATACTGTCCACTCAAGCAGGCTGTACAGTGGCCAATTTTCTCACCAGCAGGATTGACTATACCAGAGCGCACAGCTGTCTCAAGGCCATCTAAACTCAAGTAAACCAAACTGTCAGCTCCCAAATGTTCTGCTAGTTCCTCTGCATGCATCTTATTTGCAATCAGTTCTTCCTTTGTTGGAATGTTGATTCCCATGTAACAGGGATACTTGACTGGTGGTGATGCCACACGGATATGAACCTAGTGTAAAATAGGGGAGTAATTCGGTTTAAAGAATTTGATAATATATCATCTTGATTTCTGTTGGATAAAGAATTTTTGAAATAGCTACTTTTCCCAGGTAGAATGATTACATATCTAATTACTGCAGAGAGCAGTAGGGGAATAATAAAGTGAGTATGTGTTGCTTGTGAGCCACACCACTGCACATGGATTAAGTTCTGGACTCCTGGTTGAGATACTGGGGTCTACGCCTAGTCATATCATTGTGTTGCACTCTTGGGAAACACCTGAGAATGTTGATTTCTAATTTCATCTAATTTCTTTTATCAGTTTCACCCCTGACAAAAACATTGAGGTCATGAGAATAATGGAAATGATCACCAACTAAAGAAGCTCTTGATTGTTAAACAAATTCTCCTTGAAAATGGAGAACAGTGTGCATACTGAATTGCTAAGGTGGTTAATTGTTCCATCTCACTGTCAAGGAAACCTGACAAAATGCTGGTCAAGTAACTTGCGATGGACTTGCATCATCACCAGTGGCGCGAGCCACATTGCTTAACCCTTTAATTCCCATAAGTGACCAAGACAGAATTTCTCCTTACAATATCAACACAATATCAACACAATATCAACCAGATAAGTGATGAGAGTGAAGAAAAATATAAATTTGGGGATAATTAGTTGATCCTATACTTAATTCTCTGAACTAAAATTATAAGAATTGTATGGTTGGGAGTGAGGAGAATTACAATTTTGATGTGGGAGTTAAAGGGTTAAGAGAGGAACTAATACCTTTTGCACCTACATTTTTCCAATTCACTCCTTCATTAATTGTCATATGTGAAATTTTGTTGCTTCCTGTTTACAAACAGATCCTGAATCTTCTAATATATTTGCTCTTTAGCTACTTTTATGGTTCAAATTTACGACAGTTAAAAAAGGCTATGGCACATGACTCACCTCTCTAGCTCCTGCCTGTTTCAAGAGTTTGATTATAGGGCCCATTGTGTTTCCCCTTACAATGGAATCATCAATCAGCACAACCCTCTTTCCCTTGAAATTCATTGACAGTGGTCCAAATTTCCTGGCAACACCAAGCTTCCGAAGCCTGTCACTAGGCTGTATAAATGTCCGTCCTACATAACGATTTTTGGTGAGTACCTCAACATAAGGTATGCCAGTCTGTAAGGAGTAACCCAATGCTGCAGGAGTGGCTGACTCTGGTACAGTGCTGACTAGCTCTGCTTCCACAGGGGCTTCTAAAGCTAGCTGCCTGCCACATTCCTGGCGCACACCATAGACCATCTGTCCCTCAAACATGCTGTCTGGTCGTGCAAAGTACACATACTCAAAAATGCAGAATGACGGTGGTTTTTCTGGGTTTTGAAGTGGAACAATTCTCTTTGACTCAAAACCTTTTGCTGTTAACTCCACAATTTCACCAGGCTTGATTTCTCTGCACATAGAAGCCCCAAACGAGTGGAAACCACAGGATTCCGAAGACACCACCCAACCTAGTGTACAGTTTTCATCATGAATCTCTCCATTCTTGATAATTTCTCCACCAAGACGTGCCATCTGTGGGCTACTATTCAAATTAATCAGTTTACCAATACACAGTGGTCGATTTCCATGAGGGTCCCTGACAGCATAGATACAGTCTTGGGTCATGATGACAAGCGAGTAAGCCAACTGTGTGAGTTGCATCATTTCGTAAATTCTTCCAGGCCAGTTTGGACCATCAGGTTCTCCACATGGAGGTGTAGCCGTCAACAGCTGTGTAATTACTTCGCTGTCACTTCCTGTTGATAGACCAGTTCCATTGAGGAGAACCTTTTTTCGTAATGCTTTAGCATTCACCAGTTCCCCATTGTGTCCAACAGCCATACGTCCATGAATTGTGTCTACTACAAATGGTTGACAGTTAAGGAGTTCTGATGCCCCTGCAGTTGAGTAGCGTGTGTGTCCAATACCCATATATCCTGGGAGTGATTTTATGTGCTGTTCCTGGAAGACCTGGTTCACTAGTCCCATTCCTTTATGCTGATGGAACTTTTTGCCATCATTTGTCACTATTCCACAACTTTCTTGGCCCCTTGAGTAAGAAAACACAATTCCAGATACATTCATTCATTCATCTGCATATTCTAGTATTGTTTTGATATAACATTTCTACAGCAACCATAAGTTGATAATTATTGGCCCAAGAGAAGGGTAGCAAGTGTTGAGGATGTGAAATAGCAAAAACACCCTTTCCCTTATGTTTGGGCTAAAACAAAATAAATAATAACAACAGGTAATGGTCTTGAGAACATTGTGCGCTGGCAAAGTCTGACCCAGCCTCTGGTTTTTGACAATCCCTGGACATATAGTTTTATTCATAAGTAGGTTATGAGTAGGTAATTTATGGTGAAAGAATATTCAGAGAAACCAACTTATAGGTGAAACAAGGCAGTAAGTTTCTAAAAGACTGTTGTGCTGTATCAGTGAGGGGTATTGCAGCATAATTGATTATACCAACTGAGTTTAAAGTGTAAACTAGCTAGCTGAGAGTCTTTATGGCTGACACTTTCAGAATTAGTCCTTCAGCAGAGAAAATAATCCAACAACACAACACAAATTATCAAACAACACAAAGACCCTGATAATAATTATTACATTCACAGTCATAATCATAAAAAATTTGTCAATGTGGTAGTTACCCAACTAGATCACACAATCCAGGGAGGTAACACAAATAATAGTTGAATATCAAACATATTTACACGATACAAAATTAAGGTTGATCAATATTAATAATAGTCACCACACATTTACAACTCAAACGTTTTAAACATCAAATACAACGCATGACAAATTCATTATTATTTCATTTCCTTAATGATTCGTTGCCATGTGATGAGACGCCGGTGTTTGGAAGTGATAATTTTAAATTTTGAGATAATAGAATCATCAGGATTGGAGTTCCCTTCTTTGTGGTAAACCCGCAACTTTTCTATTGCCAGAAATATTAGAACCCACAACAGGTTAGCACTTCTCAATCCAAGGCGCTAATGTGCTGATCACAAAAAGAAGAAACGGAAATGGAATTTCATTTTCAGCTCATCCTTCTAAAATGCCGATCAGTTTCTCGTCTAAAAATGGCGAGGTCTTCCAACTGAATCTACCAAGGCTAATGCTTTATTCAAGGACTCAAAAAAAATTTAATCAGCATTGTCTGACGAACTTTAGTCACATGCATCATCAATATGTAAAGTTGTATTGATTAAAGGCCAGCCGAACTATTCCTCGCTTTAACTTAGGCATCTAAAATCAAAATAATCGAACTTACCGATGTTGAAGTGAAACTAGACCGAGAGAAATCATACTGGCGACATCAACTTCCTCTGAAGTAACTCCTTCGGCTCTTACACAAGCGAAAACGCCGCAAGCATGCGTTAAGCCTGTCTCAATGGACGCCATTATTATTCAAGTTCTTCCTTACTTGATCGACACAAAACCACGAATACCACAAGCTTGTAGAGGAGTCATGTAAGTGGAGAGATGAAAAAAGATCCCATTTTTTCTCCTGTGTTGTCGATCTAGTCAACGAAACTAAGTTCAGGAACGAAACTCGTCTGGCGAATGAAAAGATTTGATGTAATCGCCCATGATTGTCTGAAAGACCCTGAAAAATCCAGAAAGATAATTACAATTTGAGTTGGCGGCAATAGGATTGTAATGGTTCTGATTGGATATTCCATAATACCGCGGAAATTCACACCTTATGATTGGCTCTGACTGAATCACATGCTTCCTCGGCAGAGATGAGTTCCACGTGCTTTTGCTGAAAAATTCGAAGGAAAGCGTCTATAGTTGTGATCTTCAGGAGTTTTCTCCAACAATGGCAGACGAGAAACCAGCCTCAGGTAAGTCTATCGAAAGCTAATAATCTAGGGTTGATATAAGTCAAAAAATACTGAGCGATTGACTCCTGAAGTTTTTATTTTTTCGATTTAGTGGATGTCATGGCTTCTAAATTTGCTTGTATCCACCATGCGTATCGAAGAAGATGTAATCGCCTGGCCACGAGTGTTACTTTACAAGTTTAAACCAATTTTTTTTGTAGTCGACTCGTGCCATTTTTATAACGCAAATGGAAAATATTTTTGCGAGGATTGTGACTATTGTACAAAACTGCTGTACTGCACAAACAGCTGCTAACACCATGTGCTACCTCGCTATCAGAATGTTAAGAAGTTAACTTTTTTGGGGGGGGTTGATTCGCCTTTTTTTTGCGCCCAGCGATGAAATTAGATGCCAGATTTTCAGACTGTACTGAGATGCACTGTTTTTTAGCGTAAAATTGCATTGTCGGACGAAATGGCAAGCGTACATAAATTTTGGTTTGATTAGTTATGTCTGTGATGTGCAGATTGTGCAATCACCAATTGAAGCTGAGACAGGTCACGTTCGCTTGCCCCAAACCAAAACTCCTTTTGCCCGCTGTGTGCTTATTTGCACAACATTTGAAGTGTTTCTATTATGTTTTATTTTTATACGTGATCTCGATAAATTAGTCCTGAAAGAGTTCAAATCATGTATTGTCAACACAGTCACCCCTTTTCAAATCTTTGCCAACTAATGAACATCGTGTTAATCCATGTGGTAATGAAAAATAATATTTTCATTTCATTGCCAGGGATGTGTTCATATTCTACAGGATAAATCATGAGACTGCAACCTTTTCATTCAGGCCAGGTCTACAATCTACACCAATCTGAATCAATTGTCCACCCAAAATTAGAGCTATTCAAAAACTCTCATTACAGAGGAGAAAGTTGAGAATGTTGGCAGTATGTTTCAAAGTGAACTAATTGCATTTTGGAAGTGGAGCTTTTCAGAAGCAATGATACCACTGCATGTTGTTTCTATTATTTTTCTTAAGCAAGTTATGGGGTCCTTTTTATGCTAATGCCCAATGATGCATTCGAGCATTTTTACAGCACATAGTTGTTGTAGTGCAGCTATTAGTTGTATATATCTTTGTTTTTTAAAAGCTACTTTGTAAATTTAAAATACTAAAAGTTGTTTTTTGGTAACCTTTGTAGAAATCAAGATTGGAAAAGAGCTGAACCAAGGTAAAACCAAGATCATCTATGAATTACCAGACTCGCCAGATGGTAATCATGTGCTACTGAAATCAAAGGACAAAATCACGGCATTCGATAGCACAAGAAAAAACGACTTAGCTGGCAAGGCAAAATTCAGCACTGTCACTACATCTGCTATCTTTGAGCTGCTTAGCACCTGTGGCATCAAGACCCATTATGTGAAGAAGCACAATGATGAAGCCTTCATTGGGATTAACTGTGATATGATCCCACTTGAAGTGGTGACTCGCCGTATTGCCACAGGTTCTTTCCTGAAGAGGTACCCTGGGGTCAAGGAAGGATACAGATTTGCTCCTGTCAAGTTGGAAATGTTTTTTAAAGATGACGCTCAGCACGATCCATTTTGGACATATGAGGAGTGCGTGGAGGCAGAACTCACTGCAGGTGGAAGGAAGATTGGCAAACATGAGCTGAATGTGATGGGTGAAACAGCTGTCACTGTCTTTGAAATCATTGAAAGAGCCTGGGCAACTGTAGATGTAGCTCTAGTTGACATGAAGATTGAGTTTGGGATCGATCGCAAGACAGGTGATCTTCTTCTTGCTGATGTCATAGACAATGACTCCTGGAGGATTTGGCCATCTGGTGACAAGCGTCTTATGCGAGACAAGCAAGTGTACAGAAATCTACCTGAGGTGACACCAGAAGCACTGGAACAGGTAAAAAAGAATTACCAATGGGTTGCGGGTGAAGTGCAGAAACTTAACCAACATCATCCAGGGCATGCTGTCATTTTCATGGGCTCCCCAAGTGATGTGGACCATTGTAAGAAGATCGAGTCATCGCTAAAGGAATTTGGCATTCCCACTGATCTTCGCATCTGCTCTGCACACAAGGGTACTGAAGATGCCCTGCAAGTCCTGCAGTGGTATGAAGGTCAGGGCATCCCAGTTGTCATCATTGCAGTTGCTGGACGTAGTAATGGCCTTGGACCGGTTTTGTCCGGCAATTCAGCATTCCCAGTGATCAACTGTCCACCACCATCGTCCCAGTGGGGTGCACAGGACATCTGGTCTTCTCTACGCCTGCCCTCTGGTTTGGGTTGTACCACTGCTCTCAATCCTGATGGTGCAGCATTGGCCACTGCGCAGATCTTGGGCCTCAGTGATCATGTAGTCTGGGGAATTGTTAAGGGCAAGCAGCTGAACACAGCTGTGGGTCTTGCTGTGGCTGATAAAAAGTTGCATCAATAGAAACAATAACAATCTCACCATTATGCTCTAAACTGTTTTTCACACAGTACTATAGAAAAGCCCATACACTTCTTAGGTCTAAATATAAATCACTAGAACTTTGCTAATGTTAGTGAATGCCAGTATTAAGCAAAGGGAAATCAATTCCCTTCCTATGTTTAAGCAGTAAGTTTTGTGTGCTTTCTTTGCACTGAGGGTGGGTTACTAAAGGTAACAAGTGGAGCCCAAGGCCTTCTGTCAGTAAAAACTGAAAAGTATTTGTGATGTTCATTGTTGATTCTTGGTGGGTAAACTGCTAATTCATTGCTAAAGCCAACAATTAAAGAGTGTGTTGAAGGCTTTTGATATCATTAAACAAACATTTATAAGCCATGTGACTGATTTTTAGTATGGAAGTACTTTAAGTCCTTATCAGAAGATGTGTTGTTCATCCAATAAAATTTCATTAACCTTTAAATCAATTATGGTGTTTTGCATGTTTACTTAGATTTGGCAGCTGCTGTGATTTTGATGCCTCTTATTCACTTTTTTTCATCCAGGAATGCACCGTTTTAGATTTATGGGAGGAGTTAAAGAACTTTTCTTTCATTCAAAAACAATTTTCACTGACTTGCGTTATGTGCATTTTTGTTCAGAAAGGCTCAAACATTTTCACTTTGTGAGTTGGGGACTATTACTTCCTGCAGTGATATCTTTTCCGCCTGAAATTTCGTCTAGGTATCTGATACTGATCCACCTGATCACGGATCATGCGTGCGTGAAACTCTCCTCGACATGTCTCGCCCATGCCTAAAAAGAGAAGCAATTTCCAATCAAACTGTAGTTGAGTAATTCAGACAATAGCTTAAGTCTCGAATGGTCTCGCGGTTGATACTTAAGTAAGGCATGGTTTAACTCTGCTTATCATTTAATTTGTTCAATTTAACAGTGACATCTCGACAAAAACAGGGTTAACGGTAGTCACTATCGTAGCTGTTATTTGGATGTTACGCGACATCCATAGAACGGCGGCAAAGGAGACTCAGTTTTTTAACAGTGGCTGTAAATAAATTTTCGGTCTCACAAAAATATTTTTTTAAGACTGGGAACTAGTTATCACGTCTGCCGCTTTTAACAAAGAAAATAAAGAAAACAGTAGTAATGATGATTTTAAATGATAATATCATTGTTAACATTATCGTAACCATAATGACTAATATGAGCCAAAAATTATGATAATAACGACAATATATGGCAATAAGATGACTGGAAAGCACCACTGATTTATTTGTTCACACACAGGCAGACCACACTATGTGTTCGTGGTTAATAGTTGTTGAAGTGGATGAGCAAAATCCATGAGGGTCATGAATAAAGCTCTGAAAATTGCATATCTAAATTACATCTCGGTTGGAATATCTCAGCTAAGTTAAATGAAATTATAATTGACGCATTTGTGATATTTTTTAGCCTTCATGGGCCGTTTGAAGGGTCTTATTTTGAAATTACGCCTCGTGTCAACCACTGTGGTCTGCCTGTGGTTCACACAACTTTAGCTTGCAGCCTGCCTGGCTTCTAACCTTTTACACAAACATTTAATTTCTCCATACCGTTTAGTATACATTTTTTTCTGCTGCTGATAAGGAGAATTCGATTAACAATCAAGAGCTTCTTTAGTTGGAGATCATTTCCTTTTTCCTCGTGTTCTTTATCTGTGATTCGCGGGTAACATTATATGGAGAAATTAGATATTAGTAAGCCTCAGGGATCAAAGGATAGTGGGGTTAGAGAGATCAGAGGAGAAATCTTAACGACAGCTTAAAAAAGAATAAACCCTTTAACTCCCATGATCTCACTAGTAATTCTCCTTACTGTCTGCCATACAGTTCTTATGATGTCAGTTTGAAGAATTTGGTATTGGATCAACTTATAATCCCCTGATTGATATTTTTCTTTTCTCTCATCACTTTTCTGTTTGATATTATATTGATATTGTAAGGAGAAATTCTGTCTTGGTCACTCATGGGAGTGACAGGGTTAAGACGCGTGTCTTGGCGTTGACTGTGAGTGTGACCTCTGCCTGGAACCCAGGACCCCTCTGGCCTGTATCTGACGCACGAACCATCGAGAATGCTGACTAGGTCAATAGGGATGTCCGTTGTATAATATCGACAGAAAGATAACAAAAACTTCATGGTTTCGTTTGATGAAACTGGACATTCATCGGTCGTGATTCAGCATTCGTATATTTTTGTTACAGATAAACACAGCAAAGTTTTGTCAAAAACGGAAAATTACATAACAAACATAATAGCCAATCATCTAATAAAACTCATCTAAATAGAAAACCTGACTGAACTCGAACATTGACTTGAGTCTTTGCAAACCTTTGATTTTCCCGTTACCACGTAAAAAAAAAAACACTCAGGGGATATTTTTGTTGGAGATCATCGGAAAGTTGTCACTTTCCATCAGAACTCGTGCAACAAACACCTGACAAAAACGCCCATTCATTGTCGGAAACCGGAAATGAAATGTGCACTCACAGGAAGTGGTGTGATGAGTAACAACAATAGATCCAAACACGTGGTTGGTGAGAAGTCAGGATTTGTTGTCTTGTGGGGGATATCCTGTCGGAATGAAGGATCACGTCTGACTGCCTTTTTTAGTTTCGTGCTAACAGTAACAGTGTGTGAAACAAATCAAAACCATGGAATACGAAACGGAAGGTTGTCTTCATGAGATTTTTGTGCGCCAGATGAAAATAACTCAACAGACCGCAACAGCTGTTGTGTCGGATGATGGACGATCACTGTCCTTCTCAGAGCTGGACCATCTTACGGATGTCTTGGCGACAAATCTCAGACACAAAGGGGTCGAAAGAAATGGCGCCGTTGGTATATTTCTCGAGAGATCGCTGGAATACCCTTTGGCCTACGTCGCGATTTTGAAAGCCGGCGGGGCTTATCTGCCCTTGGAACTTTCTTATCCCAAAACTTTGCTTTGTTCGATTCTGGAGGATGCGAAACCCGTCGCAGTGATTACGGACGCAAGTTTAAAACAGAGATTACCTAGCTCCGTTGAGGTGATCGTATTGAACGAGGGCTGGGAAGAGAAACTTCAAGAGGAAAATTCTTCGAAGCCGCATCTGAAGGAAGTGACAAGTACGATTGATGATTTAGCATACATTGTTTATTCTTCAGGAACTACTGGCAAACCTAAAGGTAAGTACTTTATAAATATCGACTTTTCGGAGAGCAAAGTACAAATCAGTTGTTGTTTGCTTTGAAACTTGATCGCTTGTTAAAAAAATTCATATTTTAATATTTTCAATAAAGTTTGGCTTGTTTGGAAAAATAAAATATTCATAAGTAACATTCAAACTGGTAATACGTCTTTTATTGAAGCGCAGACCTGAAGCAATCGAATTTCTTTTTCCTCCTTTTATCATGACTTTGAAAGGGGAAAATTTGACCTTTGATGTGATATTTCATATTCCGTTATTCTCGCTTAGTCGATATGACATGTAACTCATTCAGAGAGAAAACTGATTTTATCAGCGCAGATGTTTTGATGGCTTGAAGCCGTGATTTACGAATAATAGGTGTTCAAAGATTTAATATGAATGCTAAGTGTGCAATTTGGTTTTAAAAATGTAAATGTTATTTCTTTATCAATAATTAATCTTTAACTAAACTTTTTTCCGCACCAGCGTCTTCTCAAAGTGTATGGTAACAAGCGATAACGCCCGTGTTTTCGGCCTGTCACGCACTTGCTGGAAACATAGCGCGCCGCGGAGGGTTACCAGTTCAATTTCTTACCATTGTGATTTTCTGAAGTCATAGTTGAACACTAAGTTTTCCTATGCGATGGAAATTTCGTTTCTAAGGCGTTTATCTTTTTTTTTTTCTTTTAATTATTTTTTTTATAAAAGGCACTCGCATAAAAAACGCAGGTATTTTTAAAACAACTGGTTCCTGCGTCGGCGTGCGTTTATCGAGATCGAGATATGAAGCACGCAAGGCTTGGAGAAAGATGTTTCATAATAGCTGCAGTTGTAACCGAAAGCTATTCTAGCTTCTTAAGCGTTCTTTTAGTTATTTTTTTTATAAAAGGCACTCGCATAAAAAACGTAGGTATTTTTAAAACAACTGGTTCCTGCGTCGGCGTGCGTTTATCGAGATCGAGATATGAAGCACGCAAGGCTTGGAGAAAGATGTTTCATAATAGCTGCAGTTGTAGCCGAAAGCTATTCTAGCTTCTTAAGCGTTCTTAAACTTCCCACGCACTCCACATCTCGATGAGCCCATAGATGGCGTTTGAACAGGAAATGGATTCCAATCTTTGAAATTTGTCGGTCAGTAAGAACAATCTTAGTATAGACGAAGTTAAAACATCATACCATGGAAAGTGCTTGAACGATTTTTATTCACTCCATACATCACAACTCGTGAATGAAAATCGTTCGTGCGCACTTCCCACGGAAAAATCTCTATTATTGAGCGGTACTTTTAGATAATATCAACACCTGAAAATAATATCTGTTATAAAATAACAAAGATATTGAGAGCGCCCTGATTGGTAAAGCGGAATTCTTTCGTTTATTGCACCGGTAAACCGATAGAAAATTGAAATTTATTCTATTAAAGCAATAGACCGCACTTTCTGTCGGTTTACCGTCCTAATAACTCACTTGCTTAACTGGCTCACAGATCAGTGAAATTGTCGCAGAATTTATTTTAGATTAAAACAACGGGTAACTTCAAAGATGATTTCGTACCCGTAAGATAAAAAATCCATTGTTTCCCAAATCAAGTGTTCTTTCGCGTATTAGTTTTCATTTTTGATCTGTCTCAATCGGGAAGGAACGGAAAAACCATCTGGAAAGTTTACAAACTGTGGCTTCGCTAGAAGGGTACTGTTCATGGACGCACGTACGGCCGTGCGTCCTTGCTAACATAGAATTAACCATCCCTTTACCTTTTCCAGGGATATGTTGCCCTCATCGTGGTGCAGTGTTCTCTTATACTTGGAGATTTCAGAATTTTCCCTTCGAGTCAGATGACCGTGTAGCTTGCAATGTTTTCTTTGTGTGGGAGCTGTTGCGTCCTCTTCTGAAAGGAATACCCCTTTATATCATTCCTGACTCAGTCATTTATGATCCGTATCTTCTGCTGAAGTTTTTGAAGAAGAATGGAATAACAAGAGTCCTCTTCACTCCTTCACTTCTTGGTAAGTGATTTCACCAGTCACCTGATGACAAGTTAGGGTGGGGGGAGGGGTAAGTACGCAGTTGCTCAACTACTGACATTGATCAGAAAATGACATAGATTATTATTTACGTCATGATGGGACAAATATTATGGGTTGACTCTGGTCCATTTTAATGACGTGGTAAAAATTAAGGACACGTCAACGGTTTAACTTTGTTTTGTCCCAACAAATTCCAGAGACGCTTTTAACTTGTGAAGATGGTGATTTACCTAATCATTTGTCCTCTCTGAGAATCATCTGGCTGTGTGGAGAGGTGGTGACAACAGCTCTCCGTGACAGGTGCATGAGGATGTTACCGAGGATAAAGCTGTTGAATCTGTACAGTGTCTCGGAATGCCATGACGTGGCTACTGCAGATCTGACCAATATGCCTTTTCAAAGTGAAGTAAGTACACTTGATGCCCAAGAAAGTAATACAGCTAACTTGTTTCGGTTATCTTAAAAACGTTTAGTTGCATTGTGAAATTTCAATCTGAATGAAGATACATGGATAAACAAAGTTTTATTTTGTTGAATAGCAATTCTAGATCTCTGAGTCAATCTAAAAAAAATCCTGAAATATCGTGATTTTTTACGATCTCCTTTAAGCATTTACAAAAATGTATTAGAAGTATTTTTTATAGAATGGGTCTGACAAGTACAAACTATCAGTTATATGTTCTTCGAAGGTTTCTTAATATTTACAGTTTTTACAGAAATCTTTTACTCTTTTGTTTCCGATCTCGTGATTGCGATTGAAGAGGTAAAGCAAGTCTGGTGTGAGCAAAAAGTGTCTGCGGCGATGAGGGGATTCATTTGTTTTAATTGACCATTAACTGAACGCTGCTTTCTTCTGCCAGCTTTCAGATTCTGATGATAACAAAAGGAAGTTTTGCCCTGTCGGAAAACTGTTACCAGGAGTATATGTGGCAATCATGGACGAGAATTTAAAACCACTTCCAGTTGGTCTATCAGGAGAGGTAATAACTCAGGAAGCTGGGGAAGGGGGTTAACGTATTTTTACTGCGGTCTAAGGATAGGACAAATGATTAAAAAAAAACAAAAACGAAGCAATACTTAGACCAAGACCTCAAATCTCTTGGGTGTCACAATTAAATTTACATCAATACCAAAACTTATTGAGAGTTTAATGACAACGAGATGGTCTGATATCCGTTCTTATCCTGATGGCCGTCTTTTCTCTTCAGATATTTGTTGGCGGGCCCACACTAGCTCAGGGCTACCTGAACAGACCAGAATTAAATGCATCCAGATTTGTAGAGCGTCCAGCTGAAGTGCCAGAAGCTGCTGGTCCGCGGCTGTACAAGACTGGTGACTGGGGATACCTGCTGTCATCCGGATTGTTAGAGATTTGTGGCAGATGTGATTCAATGGTAAAAATCAGAGGATACAGTATTGAAATACAGGTGAGACTGATCGTTGTGTTAACCCTTTAACTCCCAGATCAAATTTGTAATTCTCCTTACTGTCAACCATGCAATTCTTATAACGCTAGTTCAGAGAATTTAGTATTGGATCAACTAATTATCCCCAAATTGACATTTTTTGCCATTCTCATCACTTATCTGGTTGATATTTTGTTGATATTATAAGGAGAAATTCTGTCTTGGTCACTCATGGGAATGAAAGGGTTAACTGATAAAATGCTTCAGAGGCTTTGCCTTGTTTTGTATTTTCCTTTTGACCTAAAGCCTCATTTTACCGTGGTTTCTGTCTTGGTGGTATTTGTCTTCTAAATTTGATGAATAGATGTACTGCGTCATCCCACATTAATTGATCAAAAGGGAAGGTTTGTGCCGGGCAACTATAAGCGATTTCTGGTGAAAGTGACCTCTTCACAACTTTGCAAACTGGCACATCTGTCAATCAATTAGCTACCTGATTGGCTGTCGTACATGTCTCTGTATGGTTTAGTCGATGACTATGCGACCACGATAGCAAGCATTTCCATTGCAGATTTCCCACTCACCTCACATTTCATCGCTTTACAATTTTTTACGTCAGCTGACAGTCTGCTGGTAGCGATTTCCTTCCTCCACTCCTGGGGAAAGATGGATAGGCATGGTTAGACGTACGTCTTGCCCAAGAACATAAAACATTGAGTTGGTCACGCTTACCTTTGCAGGATGACTGCAGCGTGCAAAGAAAGTCCTGGGTACGGTTGTATAAAGGGTGGATAATGCTATCCAACAGATATATCGCCATCCAGTGGATAAGTGACAGCAAAACGTATAGCGTTATCCACTGGGTAGAGATTTATCCTGTGGATAGCGTTATCCGACCTTCGAACAACCGGGGCCAGACCGATAGCTCGTGGCTAGTTGATTTCCACTCGAGCTGGTGGATTTGATTTATCACTTGCCTTAAGGGCAAGAAACAAGTTTTCACTTATCTACCTACAAACGAAGAAATGCCAGCAAGAAGAGCCTTTGAGCTGGTGGAAAATAACTTTCCTTACATCCTTGGGTGGCACATTTATCATTGGGTGACTGTGTCTCTCTCTTTCAATATCTTTAAGATCGTTCCCATCAAAAATTTTTAGGCACAATACATCGAAAGTAAGAGGTGTCTAGGAGGCCAATGAGTCAACTGAGTAATGAAGTGCATTGTATTGCTGCGTTTTAACAGGCTGTTGAAGCCGCCCTGTTGCAGCTACCCATGGTTAATGCATGCTCCGTGGTAGTCCACGGAGATGAAGGAGAAGACAAATACCTGGCAGCTTATGTTGTTCCAGAAGGGAAGGCTAACAAGAAAGACATCAGAGCTGCTCTGAAGACAAGGCTTCCATTCTACATGATACCATCACATTTTGTTCTTCTTGCCAGGTTAGTTTAATTTCAGCGTTTGCAAAGTGAAAGTTATAAATAGATAAGACAGCTTAAAGAAAATTCTCCTCCTTTTTGATGGTGATTTGTAACCTATTAAATGGTGTACTTTGCTTTCAAAATTGCGTCTCTAAGGTTATTGCCTGTTTCTGTTGCATTGCATATCCATCACACAAGTAATTTCAAGCATGATTAGCCTGTCCCTGTCCAAACAAAAAATGGTCACTTTTTTCGCTGTGGCTTGAGGTATCGTGAGGGAGTCTTAAAGGGAAATCTTAGGAATTTCTGTTGAATAATAAGCAACGGACTTACGCCCCGAAAAAAGGCAAAAAAGCTTCAGCTGTTAGGCGTAAAAATTGACAAGTTTTAACCGTTAGTCGTGAAAAAAATTACTGGTGATATCAATGGAATGATATATAAAAATTATTCCACGCTAAACATAAAGGTAAAGAGGCCCTCAGGGTCGAGTTGGCTATAATCATGTCATATCCAACAAGCGCGAGTGTAACAATTGTTTTATCAAAAACGCCCAAACTATGGATAAATCTTCCCAACTTATTTTGTTAGAACAAACGGAATGTTACGATGTACAAAAACACTTTCAGTCAAACTCGTCGTCATGCGCGCGCACGCTGTAATGGCACATGACCCATGATGGCCAAAACCTCTTGAATTACATTTTCCAACTAACCGGTTTTTCTATAATAACTGTTAGCCATAAAATCGCCAAAATTGTAACAGTTATTCGTAAAAGCCATCACCCCATTGAGATCCTCGTGCAGTAAGAATAGGAGGAGGCAAATATGGTTGAGTGATTTAGGCCGCTGGTCTTTTGATCTGATGGGTAAGCCCTCCACCCAGCCACTCACCGGATTTTTTTCCGGTTTGCCCGAGTCACACTCTTTAGCTGCGCTCCGTATATACCCAACTGGTCTGCCGGCTCCTGCAATCTCTAGCAAAGGGTAAGTTGGTCTTGTAATAAGTCTCCATCCTACTTCCTAGAAATGACTGCAACGTTTAAGAACCCGCCTTCTGTACGTTTGCTGTTACAATGATCGTCTTATTAATCAATTGCAAATTTTTAGTATTCCTGTGACACCTGCTGGCAAGCTTGACAAAAACAGACTACCTCCCATTGGCTCCTCTGGAACTGAAGAGGAAAGTTTGCCCAGCACTCCAACAGAACACGGTCTTGCTAAGCTTTGGTGTGAATTATTGAACCTACCCAACATTGATGTACAAGAGGGTTTCTTTGATTTAGGAGGGTAAGCTCGGTAAAATAAAGAAAGCAAATAAGGGGAAAAAAAGGGACCATCAAGCTTTAAGCTGAGATTCGTCAATTACACTAAAGTTAAATTTAGACCTAGACGGAAACGGTGGTTTGTTTCGGCTGAGGTCCGTACTGTGAGGCTTTACTAACAAAACCCATTTCTCTTCTTTTTCGAAGTTATTTCCATCGACAAAGCTAATTTCCATACTGTTCGCCAGTTTGAACACATTTTTAATTCTCTCCAAGCTATTTTTTGTATTGCATAACAATTATATGCCCTATTAGCTAACGTCGCCCAGCCTTGATGCTTTCCACCCAGTCTCGTGCCTAGACCTTTCATGGCCAAGCGGTTGTAACAGTTAAACGATAGGATCTGGGTACGAGATTACTATCCACCTTTATCGGGCTGGATTAACCTTAGAGGCTAGTTAAGCCTTTAACTCCCACAAGTGATTAACATGAAACTTCTCCTTATAATATCCATAAATTATCCAGCAAACAGGTAATGAGAATATTCAAACTTGTCAGGTGGAAGCTGCTATCTTAATCTAGCAGCAAATTCTCATAACTAATTCATAAGGAAATGTGTAGCAGCTAGAAGGGAGAATTAACAATCAGATCTTGGAGTTTAAGGGTTGACACTAACGTCGTAATCGCAGTTGTAATCGTAGTCGTAGGAAACGTTAAAACCGAGCAATATTATCATATCCATAATCTTAAGCTTAGAGGGCTTTTTCTCTCACGATTACGATCTTGATGCTTACTTACGATCAAGTTTGAGCTAAATCTACGTAATCTGAGGGAATGTAACATGGTGGCCGCTAAAGACGAGCGTTTTGGTAATGATAATATAAAGAACGATTCCCTTACTAATTTTCCAAATTATTTTTGCAGACATTCGCTTTTAGTGACACAATTGCTGGTAAAAGTGAATAACAAGTTCGGTGTCAACCTGACGGTGCATGACCTGTTCAATTGCCCCACAGTGGCAGACATGGCCAAGACGATTGATCAGCTGAAGATCAACAACATTAGAAAGTAAGTATATCGATGTATAGCTCTACCATAGTGATTATCCAATCAACTTGCCAGTTAGACATTTTTATGTATAATATATTGTGTTTATGTACTTTGGTAGGTATTTGTAATGTATATACTGCTCCTGGGCGTAATCTGTTAAAACGAATCATTGATTAATGATTGATTTATTGATTTAATGAATCCCTGATTGATTGATTTTTCACGAAAGACAATTTATATTCAAATCATGCTCAACTAAGTACATAAAGATTTCTTAACATTCTTTTAACACTGATGCGAGGAATTTCGTGAGAAAATGAATACTACAAACAATTTACTAGTGGTAATCAATAATGAATTTAAAATAATTTATGGCATGGTCTCTGTACCTCACAGAGACTAAACTCCTAAAATCACTCTTTGAAATGAAACTGAATGACATCTGATTTACCAATCTAACGAATGAAGGCTTGATTGTCTAATCTACAAAATGCCCTTTACATCAAAATCAAGAATCCAAAACTTAGCTCTTAACCTGACTCAACTAAAACAAAACTATTGAATAATTGATTACCTCTACAGTTAAGACTGTATTGAAACAATCTTTTTCACCACATAAATGTTCCTACAAGCCCCACCACGGGAAGGGATCAATATCCAAGGTTTCCCCAAGATCGCCTCATTAGGAGTGGGGGCCTTTTAATGGAGGAGGGGTTCTTATTCAAAACTGAGTGGGGGCCCCAATTCTAGCTCCTTTTTCTGGACTCTGACCGTCATAACTGAATACTGTACACAGCTTCATTATACGAGCAACGGTGCCACTATTGTAGAGTTTCTCCCGTGGAGGAGGGGAAGGAAGAGGAGGAGGTTGATACTCCATGTGAAATTTCATTGGAGACTGGGGCTAACTGAGGTGGGTGGGGCTTCCAAGAGCATTTATCGTGTATGACAAACCTGCACAATCCATTAACTTCCCCAAATTGATAAAAATGATGAAAAGACGTATGTTCTGCGGAATTTTGTCTAATGACGCATTTTGTAATAACCTGCAAATTTTGTATTAAGGGCAGCGGCAGTTTGTAAGAACTTACGCATTTTGTAATAAAGGCGAGCTACGCATTTTGCAATAAGAGCTGCAGCATTTTGTAATAATCGTCGGTTGACACAATTTAAAACAACAGAGCGCTATTACAAAATGCGTCTTATCACAAAATGCCGCAAAAAAACTTAATTGTACTGTACTTTGCAATTATTATGAAATTGTTTCACCAAAATCTTAATTGTCAGAATATAGATAATCTTTATTAACTGCTTACGTAACTTAATATTTAAAGCTACATCGAATAAAATAGCAATAAGGGCATGAAATAACTATGAGGATAATATTAAAATGTAATATTGTATTGTAATCAGTGGAGACGCTAGGACGAGGATGAAAGAAAGCTGTTTGTATATAAGGTATTCTTAAAGATGTAATGGGTAATGCTGCAAGTTTTATAGAGCCCAAAATAAATTAACTGAATCACAGCAACTAATCTGAACGAGGGAAAACTTGAAAAGAGCCTTCAAAGGAAACACGGATAACTGGCTTCAAGCACGAGAATATGGAACAGACCAAGTCATGATAGTTTTGAGTTTTGCATCTTAATGATTGAGAGTGAAAGCGGGCTCTTAAAGCAGTGGCGAAGACAATAAGAATCTCGGTCCATTTTCTATGCTTACCTGAAACTGCCAAAAAGAAATTCTAGAAGCGCCCAGCTAGTATTTCGGGAGGCATGGGTTCAAATCCCGTCGAAGCCTTGAATTTTTTCAAGCTTCTTTTCTGCTATTTCTTAAACTGCAGTCGAATTGCGAGGATCATTTCCTTGCTAGATTTTCATCCACAGGTCAAATGAAATTTATTCAATTAAAAAAATTTGTGATAAGAAATTTTTCTACTGTTTTACATGGACAAAAGTACATGAGTTTGAGATAACTGCTAGGCTGATAAAAGAGTCTCACCGGGTCAAGTTTTACTTGGGATTCAACCAACTCACAGACGGTAAAAAAGGAGAGACTTGTTACCAAGAGTCATCATAAAGTTAGTTTGGGTCTATGATGAGTGAAAGAATTGCCTAATTTTGCAAATTCTTGATTCTAGTGATAAATCCGAGGGCGAGATTGACCTTCTGGAGGAAGTTAATTACCATTCAGCCGCTGAGGGATTTATGAAGTTAGTATCTGCGAAAGCATTTTAGTATCATTGCTCAGGTGATTATAGAGATGCGCGTACTCTGATTGGTCGAGGATTGCTTCATAAATCGTTATAACCGCCTCGCGCGAGGTGATTATAGCAAAAGCGCTAAATTTCAAAATGGCTACCTCGTCTTTTTTCAACGTTTCAGAGGAAGTAATAAGCGCGATAGAAGAAAATTCAACTGCGAAGAGTCCAAAAGATGCTAAAAAATTGACAGAAAACCTTTCAAAAGTACGATATGAATTATTTGCAGACTGAATTAAATAAACCTGCTAAAAGTGCTTGCTTATGTTGATACATAAGACTTGTTGTGTGCGTGTAAGGCCAAGACAGTTTCTTGTAACGAATTTTCACCACAATTTGTCCAAGATTGTGGTTGTTGGTGCGCTGGAATCCAGATCGGAAGGTCCAAGTCTAAGCCTAGGACATCCCAGACCGGTGTCTTTATTCTTAAAATTTTTCCTTTGTCTTATTTTTTAAACTGAACAGTATGGACATCATGTTGAGAGCTTTTTGGCGGTCTGGAAACTTCAAGAACTTACGTCGCTGGAACAGGGGACGTGTTCTTTTGACAGGCGCTACTGGATTTTTGGGAGTATTCTTGCTTAGGGATCTCATCAGGTTGACGAAGGTAAACACAACTTCAGTTCACATCGAACGGTTTGAATATTTCCAGACTTATTTTTCTGCATTGATTTAAACTGTGAAGATCAACTCGTCATTTGTGAAGGATAATTTTAATTTCTTGAAGATTATAGAGCACACATCGCGAGATCTTGTACAGGCAAATGTATCGGAGTTTTACCTGTTGAGGAGACACGAACTGTTTAATACTTCAGACTGTTTATGAACTATATAACCCGGGAAGGGTTGTCCTGGAAAGGGCTACTGCCGTCACCGACGTTGAAACAGAGACAATTGAAGTGGTTATGGAAAAAATATCCTAATTGGTCCACAAATTTTTTGCTGCAGGTTCACATTTTCTGTGTTGTGCGTGAACAACCTGGTGGTGTGGATGGGAAGGAAAGGCTGAAGAGAGCTCTACAGAGCTTCAAGATATTGCCGCAAACAAACGACCGTCAGCAAATGACTGAAGAGGAGCGATACGTAGACTATGGCTTTGAGCACAGAGTTAGTTTCGTGAAAGGTACCTTATATGAGAACAATTTTTCTATGAAGTGTAGAACAAAATCCACAGTTGCATTGACTTTTCTTTACTACACCTCATGATTGGACTATAAAACTGGTGTCATCCTTTCAACCAATCGAGTGCAAAACTTGAACTAATCGCTTCTTGGTCAATCGCGTTTCCCTGCGCTCGAGGTAATGTGACGTGATTTCACTTTGAGTTCCCATTGGCTCTTGTGTGATTTTTTCTTTGTTCTGATTGGCCTTCGTGATAAGTTTGATTTTGGTCTTTCGACAATCTATAGAGAAGGGCTTTAATGATGGGCCAATCTAGGCACTATTCAAAGTTTCCTTTAGTTGAGGAATATTGGGTCTTTCCTTTTTCGATTATATGTGCGTGTGTGTTTCGGCCACCTAATCGCCCGGTTTTTAGCGCCGGCGATAGACTGCAGAGTGCGTGGAATATGAAGATTTCAGCGACGTTTGATTCAGCATCACATTCTCCTTGTGTTTTACGAGGGAAAATGAGACAATTTGGAAAGGGAAGCAAGCAGTCCATTAGAATTTAATTGGGGCATGGAATAAGCATGCATACGCTCGTTATGACTTACTGCTTCTTTGTGTTTAGGTGATGTCTCGCTGATAAAACTAGGAATGAGTGAGGAAGAGTATGTGCACTTGTCATCAGAGGTATGGATAGTAATATGGCAGCGAATAATTTTTCAACAGAGTTTGGATAGTAATCTAAGACTGCGTTGGATCTGTTTTACTGCACTCTTTGATTGGTCCACGACAGTGACATGAATTTCTAAGCTAATTTGAGGTAAAGTTTCGACTTTTGCCGACTCCTTTTTTGGTATGGCCAACTACTTACAATTCCCCAGGAAATACTAGTAGTCATATTAAGTATTAAAAAAAAGTTCTCTGGCTTGATGGAATATACATTCCTTCTATCGTTCAGACGATTTACTGTTACCATGTTTACAGGGGATGCATAAAATTATTCGGTAAAATTGTGTTCCTGTAATGAAAAAGTTAACAACAAAATTTACCCAACATGAATCAATTAAAACAGAAAACAGATTATAGTAATTCTTTCACTAAACAACATTTTTGATTGATTAAAATGATTTACTATTATTAAAACTGTAATGTTAAATTTTGAACTGGGGAGCTAAGTAAACCAAAGTTTTTCTTGTAAGCTCCCGGTGAAACACCTCTTTTAAGCGGGTAGACAGTTTGCAGTTGTAAATTTATTATCTAAGAAAGCTGCATTGAGTACCTGATGATTCTTAACCTGGGACTTAAACACATCTGTCCATAGAGTTTCCCCTCTACAGACCGTCTTTGCTAACTTTGCTATGTCTGTTTAAGCGAGCGAGTTATTATAGTAGCATTGATCCATGGCTCCCTTCAGTACGTTTATTTGTTTGTGGGTTTTCGTTTTTCCTTTCAGATTGACTTCATTATTCATGCTGCTGCAGCAGTGAATATGGTCTATCCTTATCAGGTACAGTTTGCATCTTTTATGGAAGTTGAGTTATCTAACCATTTAACTCCAATAAATAATTAACATGTAACTTCTTCCTATAATACCCATACATTATCAGAGAGATAGAAGTTGTTATCCTGATATGTCACCAAATTCTCGTAACTAATTTACAAGGGAACGACTTGAAGTTAGAGGGGAGAATTAACAATCAGATCTTGGGAGTTAAAAGGGTTAACGGTTAACTTATGAAAAATGAGTGAGTTAATAAATTGCCTTCAGATATCTATATATCTTTTTTTTGCTTTTTTACCTTTGTTACTAATGTTTCATACTATTTTTTTTCAAAAATTCACAGGCTTTGCGGGGAGCAAATGTTCAAGGAACCCAAAATGTCCTTCTATTTGCTTGTACCAGTAAAATTAAACCTCTTCATTATATCAGGTATGCTTCTTTTTTAACATCTTGCCTGAATCATTATTCAATGTTATGGGAAACTCTTTCTTCGACCTACTGCACCAAATTAAGTCAGGGTGTTGTCTTCTTTGTAGCACGGATGCTGTTTTTCCGCATGGATTGTCCAACTGTTCTGAAGATGCAGATATGATGCAATATGCATCGCAACTTGAGGATGGGTGAGTTGTTACATTACTCCTCTCTTTAACTCGACAAAGAACGAAGCTTATACCCCTTTTTCTTGGCATCAAACAACTAATACTTGCTCACAAGTTGAGCTGCGTAAGCCAAGCTTGGAGCAAGATCTACAGAGGCAACAGCCCGGAAAAAATTACGTCTTTAGTGCAGGATGGGATAGTGTTCTGAGAACATTAGTAACCTCAAACGATTTGAAGAAAATGAGTAAAGCGACTGTTAAAGGCGCAGTGGCGAAGTAGTTTGTGCTGTGGACTGAGGTTCGTGAAGTCTGGGTTCGAGGCTTGGTCGGGTCATAGTGTTGTCTTTTTGGGCAGAATACTTTACTTTCATTCTACCTTCTCCACCCAGGAATAAAAATGATTACCTGCTAACTGTCAGGAAAAACCGACGAAATGACAAGGAAAAAGGAAGCTGTAACCTGCGATAGGCTGCCATCTCATCCAGGGAGAGACGCGACATTATCAGTTCGGCGTCATGCATGCTGTCAAAATTGAGATATACTTTGACTAGACGTGCCAATTAACACGAGTTCAAACTCAATGTTATTATTGCTAATAGACGTCTGTTGATGCACAGGTACTCTCAATCCAAATGGGTCGCAGAACAGCTTGTGTTGAGGGCCAGAACCCAAGGCCTACCTGTAGTCATATACAGATTAGGTATGGGTAACATGTGTTAATGTTTTGGATTAATTCAACACTCGTTGTGGCTCTCATTTACTTTAATAATTTCTGTTCCATATAAAGCAAAAGGTCAACTGAATTAAACCGCAAAACGCTAAGTGATTGGATGTACTTAGGGACGTAACAGAATATTGAAATGAATTTACACACCGACATTTTATTTAGAGTAAGATTTTTTTTACGTTAAAAAAACCATTTTCGAAACTTGGTACCAATAATTTGGATTTTCCTTAATAAACTCAGTTTCAAGGAAACAAACGGAAGCATTTTGTTGGGAAGACTAATCAAAGAGTTGGTGTTCAATCAAAAAAAAAAAAAAAAAAAAAGGTGAAAGAACCATTTAAATCTAACCACTCCCACCCCCCTTTATTTTAGAGAAATACTCAGCCAAACACCCCTCTTACGGCTATTATATTAGGAGATACATTCTGCTCAGTATTTTGAGGGAAAAAATTAAAGGTCACAACATGTTGCTGACTTGTTGTCACACAAGGGACAATCCCTACGTTGGTCGACACACTAACAGATTTACAATTAGTTCTAAACGTTAATGCGGTTAGCAGCGTCCTTCGGTTACCAAAACATGTTACAACAGAACACACACCTGTGAATTAACGATCTTCTTAATGTCGAACTTTAACTTTTAAAGCCCGATAATAACATAAAATAACAATTTTGATTATTACGTACTGTTGTATCTCCGAACGAAAATTACTTTAACCAAATATTACGACTGAAGCCGCTTCACTCTCTACGACTGCAAAAATTGCATATATTACTTCATGCACTAGAAAAGATACGCCATTTCGTGTTTGCTAAAGAATAAAATCACCCTCTTTTCTAAAGCTGAAATGTGAAAATTTCGATTTTGTGTGCCAAGACCTTCAACAAGATTTTTTGAGGTTATTTTAAAAGCGGTTTTACTGATTTCTTGAACATAGCACAAGTGGCTGTTAAATGGAAGACCGATTTTTTAACCCTTTCGATCCCAAGATCTCATTAGTCATTGTCCTTACTGTTGGCCATACAATTCTTATGATATCAATTTGCAGAATTTGGTATTGGATCAACTAGTAATCCTCTAATTGATGTTTCTCTTTCTTCCTATCACTTGTCTGCTTGATATTATGATAAATTGTTGGGCGAAATTCTGTTTTGGTCACTCATGGGAGTTTAGGGGTTAAAACACAAAGTCCGAAACGCCTGCCCGCGGCCGCACTACACGAACTTAGCACGGTTTGTTTTGAAACGCCATCCAAAGGTAAACTTTCGTTCTACTCAACATTACCACGGTCGCCAAATTTAACAAATATGTATCAAGTTACGTTTAATTTCTTTTCCTAAAACGTGTCCTATTAGCTTAGTAAGTCTTATGATAGTCACGCTAAATTCTTGGGCACGTTTGTCTAAGTCCCATGATCTTTGCAGTTTTTGGTCGATCCCGATCAACATTGAAAAAATATTTCTATGAAGATAAAAATCAACTTTAATTATATAATCTGTTTCTTTAGGAAATCTTGCAGGCGACCGGAAGAACTTTCAGTGGAATCCACTTGATTTTACACTGTTAGTTTTCAAAGGAGTTACTGAAACATTAACTGCGCCCATTGTTGACTGGCAAGTAGAAATGAATCCTGTAGATTTTGCCAGCGAAATGATAGTCAAAATGACCCAGGTAAGAATTCTGCTTTTTATCGATAAATTTTAAGCTCATCTCTTGCGTGATTGCACTTAAAAAATAATTTAATTACTTAATCCATGTGGCTTAATTGGTTTTCCTTTGATTTCTCACTATTGCGCCGTGTAGGAAATGTCTACGACACTGGGAAAAGTTTATCATATCGTGAATCCACAGCCTTTGAATGCAAAGTAAGTACAAATCCTTTCAGAAGCATGAAGTAGAAAATAGGAGAGGTCCGCTGAGAATGGAGATCTGCTTTGCATGCAACCTAAAGGAAGCGCGTCAACCATCATTCGGAACAGGCTGTTTTGATCTTACACTTGAAAAGGATACAAATCTTTAGGAGAATTTTCCAGGTTTTTTTTTATTTATTTATTGAAAAATTTATCACAATGGATGAAGGAAAAAAATTGACCGATCTTTCTGGATGGCTCTGATTATAGAAGTTCCTGATAAGTTAAAGTCTCGTGCTCACGAGACATGCAGTGAAATTACAATGTTGCATGGTAAAACAATCGTTAATCAAACCAAATGAGATGTTAGGATAAACTTTACATAATAAGGTGGTTGTCGTTTTTTAGTTACCCGTTGCACGTCGCCCTTTCCACCTTTTTTTCTCCCCAAATTTGTGGTTATTTGTTCCCATGGAACGTCTGAGGGGGGAAGGGTGGGTGGGATTTACAAGAAAATTTGGTGTGCTCAACTGAGATGATGGATGATGAGCTACATTGGCCACCGTAAAGAGTTTCTAAAGCTGACGTTTCTGTGGACTGGAGCATTTTTAAGCTTATTCTGTTGCATCTTGAAGGAGACGGCGTTAAAATATTAGCTCGGTACGATAGAAAAACACAAAAGCAGTGATGATTAAATGGGAAGGCACAAGGATGATCACGGATTATGAAAATTGTTACAGGTGGCAAATGGAAATTGAACATATACATTTTCCTAATAAATTTCACCTAAACCTTAACACATATCGTTTAGAAAAGAACGCCATTCCAAAGTTTAAGACTTAAGGACTGTAAAGGTGGGGCAATGAGCTGAAAAGAGTCCAACTCTACTCGGGCTTGACTCAATTGCCCATTGGTTCAGGTGGAATCGTCTCTATTATTTACCTTGCGTCGCAGTTCAAGCTTTGTTTATGAAGTGAGAATAAAGGGGGTGAGTGGAACCGTCTTGCTGCATCGGTGGTGGGTCTTACAAGAGAATGAGTTGATAATGTAAATTGGCCACCGTAAAGAGTTTCCAAAGCTGAAATTTCAAGGTCGATCAGTTATAAATCATATAACGTTTATTTCAGATGGTTGTTCGAGTGGATGCGTACTTTTGGATATCCTTTGGAGATGGTCTCCTTTCCGGAGTGGCGTAAGGCGTAAGGAACATTCGTATTGCTGGGGAAAGATGGTCTTAGTCTTGTCACGAGCGTGGGACAAAGAAAAAAATCTGAGACCCCATGAGGAATCGAACCTCATAGCTCCGATGCTTTACCACTGAGCCACAGAGACAAGACGAAAAACATCTTTCTCTATTTCTTTACCGAGCTCAAAACTTACCATCTCTCTTATTCTATTTATTCCTATTGCCGTTGCTTGACATAAATTTATCAGCTCGGCATGCAGCATCCTTTGTAGACTGAATTGAACTAGTCAGAGCAAAAAGATGCATGGGTAGTGGTCTCGCCAACATTGTGCGCCGGCGTGCAGTTTTAGACAATCAGTGGACATACAGTTTTCTTTTTAAGAAAGTAGGTTGTTTGGGATAAAGAAATGTTCTCAGAATCCAACGTGTAGGAGAGCCTTGTGGCTGAGTTGAAGACGGTTTTGGCAGACGATTTTTGTTAATCAAACGATTGAAAAAGTGTATGATGTACCCTTTTTAAATATCGATTTATTCAGGGGGTATTTGCTCTAACCTTTACTCTTCTGTTAACAGAATTGAAACTTACTCCACTGGGAACCCGAAAAGCGGACTTGCTCCTCTGCAGCGCCTTCTCGATATCTGGATGACGTGAGTGTTTGTATTTTTGTGTTTGACTGTGGCTGACTTAATCCAACATGCACGTGCGACAAGTCACGCGCGGGAGAGTCTGGTCTCTCACGCACGTTTCTCTTGAGTTCTTGCCGAACGCCAGCTAGGCAGGCCCATTTGCCTAAGATTTATTGATTACTAGTTTTTGTTTTTTTCAAGGAGTTGCTTTCGGATTTCTCTGAAGCTACTCGCTGGGATTTGTCTCGAAACCTGTTCCTTCTAACCAACCGGTCAGATGTACAACCAAAGGCGATTTCCGTGGCACAAACTTTCGTTTGCTGCGTACACAACACAGTGTCGTTCATTTTACCCTTTGCGAAAAGCATACCAATTACAATTAGATTGTAGGCTGCAGATATCTATCGCCTGATAGAAATCGAGAGTAAATGTTATGATTGTTTTCATAAAAACCTAATAGTCTTTCGAAACTTAATAACAAGACAGGTTCGCATAGAAAATATTGTTGTTCATAGCGATCTTATAGATACATGAAACTTTCATGTTTCTATTACAACCGAACACTTATAGGCTACGCACTAAACCCTTTACACCCGAGCATCAGTTTGCATATTCTCCATAGTGTTCTCGAAACATTTTCTAAGGTGATGGCAAGGAGAAGTTTTGTATCAATCATGAGCCCCCTGCGTTGGTGATATTTCCCTCAATTCTTGTGACCTTAATGTTTAATTTGGGGGTAATATTGTAAGGTGAAATCAGATGCAAGTCACTCTTAGGGATCAAAGAGTTAACCAACCAACTATCTATCACGGAATAGACAGCGAGTTACGTAGCCAATCAGGTCGCAGTATTTATGGTAAACACTATTAGATTAATATTAAAAGAATATAGATAATAATATACTTATTTTCTGCAGAGACTCGTCCTTTCTGTCAAACTTAAGCACTTATACTACGACAAATTTTAAAGGAGTTATGGAGCGGTTTAAAGTGGGGTTCCCTGTCTTCAATGGCGAACTTTTGTCAAGTTACTTTTCCTCTTTGGCCGCCCAATGTGTTCTGCCGAGAATCAAGATCAGGTTAAAAGGTGCTGTGATTTTCGAGTAACTTTCCCCATTAATTACCTTAACTACAAGCAAAAAGTTGAAGTAGTTCTGTTTTAACCGTACGTCGTAAATTTTTCAAAGGATAACCAACTAACGGGCTGGTGCAATTTGGTTAGCCTTTAAAAAATTTACCCGTGCTGATTTATCCCAAATTGCGCGACAAAAAGCATATGATTATTAGTTAATAATACACAAGCAAAAATATGAACCGGAGGTCCTGAACAAAATTGTCGGGGAGTTTTACGCAACAGTTTGTAAGAAAGACAGAGAAACTTTGAGTACTTGGGCTCAAATTTTAAAAGAGCTGAGTCGCGGCTAAGTTGCGTCCTGAAAAATTAGCCTTATGTTGTCATGAGAAACCTGTTTTGATCAGATCCATTTCAGGTCACCCGCATTCCCTTTGGTCCATTTTACCTCTCTGGTGTTTTTCTTTGCTAGGAAGATGTTAATTTACACTGTTGTTTTATTTGCTTCTCTTTCACAATGAATGCCGTGGCGTAGATCCTTTAACATGCATCCGCGTTTGCTTTCGTTTGACACCCTTACTCGTAGTAACTAAAGTCTACATACCTTTCCTGTTTCATAGGTCCAAGGCCTCTTCAAGATAAGGTTGTCATAGTAACAGGAGCGTCCAGTGGAATTGGTGAAGCAGTATGTAGAGCTCTTGCAGAAAATGGCGCCAAAGTTGCTCTAGCTGCCAGGCGGAAGGAAAGGTGTGAAATATAAAAACAATTTTGCTTCTGTTCTGTCACCGTTGGCTCTAATAAGCGTTTGACGCATCGATAGATGCCCATTGTGATAAAAAATCCAGAAATGTGGGTTTGAGTGTAGTGCAAATCCGTTAACCCTCTTAGATATGTGCAATCAACTCTACAGGTTGGACAAAATCAGAGATGATATTACGGAATTAGGAGACGTGGCAATTTCAGTGGAAACCGATGTGATCACCATTGAACAGGTAAAAGTTACCATACACACAATACAGTTTGAAACATAAACTGTGTGCAATGAACAACCTTCTTGATTTCAAAAATCGCCTCTCAAGTTTGATCCCCAATGTGGGATTATCATCACACCCTCAAACAACATTTGGTGATCTTGGTGAGCCTTGAACGTTGTGACTCGCATGGCTACTGCAGTTTAAAAGATTTCCAGAGCATAAACCCAATAGGAGTAAACTCCCCCTGATGGGATGAATTGTCATCAAAGAGATCCCCCCCGGCATTTTTTCAGGCTTACTTTATAACACAACACGAATTTGTGTTCGTTTTTTTCTTAATAGGTGTTTTATAAATGTTCTGTTTGCGTTTTTGTTTGTTTGTTTGTTTTACTTATGTCCAGGTCGTTGACCTAGTGTCGCATACAAAAGACACACTAGGACCTGTAGACATCTTAATAAACTGTGCTGGTCTTGGATTCTACACCACAATGAAGAATTGTAATCTTGAAGAGTGGGAGAAAATGGTTGATGTCAACTGCAAGGTAAGGGTGTTTCATGGTCTTGAGTCAATTATCAAATTCATTTGGTACTAAACTTGTGCCTAGTTACAATACGTCCTCACAGGTAAAAAATTCAGTTAAGAAAAATTTAATAAGGTAAAGGCTGAGCAAACACTTCAGGTTTTAACGGGGAATGAAACTTCGCCTACCAGATGCCCGTTGGGTCGGTCACGATCACTAACTGAGCTGCAAAGTTACCGTTGGGGGCGAGGCAAATTTTTGTGCTAGTTCTTTTTTGTTTGTATAGGTGATTGATCCAAATTATATATGAAGGAGAGAATATTTGATATATATTCCATAATTGGTTGATGTAATACCTTTCACGTCAACTTTGGGGGAAGTTCGTAACAACAACGTAACGTAACGTACGTAACGTAGCAAAAGGCAACGTAACTTAACGTACGTAACGCAACACAGGGCGACGTAACGTAACGAAATGTAGCGGAAAGCAGCTTAACGGAACGTCTAACCTTTGGCTCAGTGTCTCAGCTATTGACTCGGTAGCCTACTACTTTGGAATATCATATTTAAAATCAAATGAAGATAATAATTTCTTGAGACGATTTACTTGGTTTGGCATAATTCTCGTCATCAGGGTGTGATGAACTGCATCGGTGCTGTTCTTCCAGGAATGCTGGAAAGAAAGCGGGGGCACATCGTTAACATCTCATCAAACGCCGGCCGAAAGGTGAGTACATGTATTTATAGTGTGAAGAGCCGGTTTGGTCCAAACATGAAGAGTTAACCCAAGCTTGATGTGAGTTTTTGACCGTCTCAGTGTATTTAGTGCGTGAAAACGCCGTTTTAAATTTCTTCGGCATGGTGCTGACGTGGCCTGTTGTTTATAATAGCTGATCAACATCCTCCTTTTCAGGCTTTTCCTGGATTAGCAGTGTACGCTGCCACGAAGTTCTTTGTTGAAGCTTTGACTCAGAGCTTGAGGCTGGAGACGGTCGGAAGTGGAGTGAAGGTCACGTCCATTCAACCAGGTATGATCACAACAGTGAAGAGCTTTGACAGTCTCAGCGGTTCGCTTCTCTTGGAGAAATTCTCAACTTAGTAGAACGAAATGGAAGTATCAAGCAACAGTTAGTCAGAACAGGGGAGCATTACGAGAGAGCAATTAAAACTCAAAGTGAAACAAGCAAACGGCCTGGAGAGTAGGAAAGTGCAAACGATCAAGTCATGATTTATTTCTTTTGAGCCTAGAATCTGATTGGTTGAGGGAGATGCGTGTGTTCCTAAACGACTCAAAGAGCGCAGACCCCATCAGTGTTGCCTTAAACTTTGCTCTGTAATTGGTCCACAAACCTCACGCCACCCCATCAATCAATCAAATTAGTTCAAACCTAAAACCACTCATGACTTGGTCACTCGTGTTTTCACGCGCTTGAGCCGTTTGCTTGCATTTGCTCTCAGTTCTCGTTGGCCACTTCCAATATTTACCTTTGAGTGGCCGTTTAAATTATTCTGGTTTTGGTTTTGAGACCCTCAATCGGGAGCACTTTATTTGACATTCGTCATTCTCTTGCAGGTGATGTAGCCACCGAGTTTGGTTTCCAAAGCTCAGATGAGGAGGTTTGTTCTTATTTTGATATTGACCCAGGGGCATGTGGTCGGGTTACTAATCTAAAACATGCTCAGACATCGAGTTTTCTAATGATTATCATTCGCAGTCTGAAATTATCTTTTTGAGAGGAACAAAGCAAGAAACACCTTGACTGGATGAATTTTTTTTTGTCAGTATGATTTTGAGAACGAATTTTATTGTCGGTTATGGAACTCGCCCAAAAAAGACTGAAAAGGAAAGGTCTTCTAAAATCGAAAGAACACAAATTGAAACATCCACCCCTCCTATAATCCAACATTAATCCTAACTTGTTATCATTTGACTGTTGTTAGATTAAGGGAGGGGTAGATGCTCAGTTTTCAGGTACTGACATTAATTTATCGATCCCACGCTACATGTGAATACTTTGCCACAGCTAAATAAACTCCTATAACCAAATAGTAAATCCTCTCTTTACGAGTTTAGTTGTTTGGTTTTCTCAAATGTTTACTTAGGGTTAGGGTTAGTAGTAGTGAAAAATACAGACCAGCTGTGAACGACTACTGCATGTGGAGGTTCTTGTCAGAATTTGACGTTTGTAAAAATTGAATGATCTTTTACTCCTTGCCTCGCATACTTCAAACGCATTAAGGGATGGTTTTCTTCATCTCGAGTGACCCTTCTTCTTTCCTCCTCGACAAAATTTATTTTAATCCGATTTACAAAGAGATGGAGCAGTAACGAGGAATTTTAACTTTACTTCTCTTATTTCTCTCACAGGCTCGGGAAAAATACGAAGTTAGCGACGATGTAAAAAGACTTGACCCTTGCGATGTCGCGAATGCTGTTATCTATGCCGTCACACAACCCGCTCACTGCTCTGTAAACGAAATCCTAGTGGAACCCACAGACGCCCCTTGCTGAAGAAGTCATCGATCGCAAATCACATTCAGTGTCTAAGGGTCGGGTTAACTTCAAGGGCACTTACCATTGGCCAGTATCGGTCGGCCAGACGAACTCATTAATCGGAACTGTCCGGCTATTTAATCCTTATAGTCACAGTTTAGTCAATGCCAAGTTATTTTCCATGTCAAAATTCACCCTTTCACTTCCATGCGTGACTGAAAAGTAATTTCTCCCAGAAATATTCCCAACGATAATTTCTGAGAAAAAAATGTGAGCATCATTCTCGGGATATAGTTTGATTCAAAACCAGATTCACAGAGTTTACATTAAGAAGATTTAGGAGAAACAGTTAGGAGAATTCAAACCTGAAATATTGGGCGGGAAAGGGTTTAAACAATAGAAATCTGAAGTAGCGCCTCCTCAATTTTTCGATTGATTCGTCTGGCCGAATAATTCACCGAGACTAATGATAAGTGTCCTTTTAAATCGTTATGTGTGTATGTGTTTCTTCATTCGACCAAAGTTGCCTACAATATATTGTCTAGCGTTAGAATTCTATGTTCTTCGTTCGTCAAAAGTGAATATTCCTTCTCTTCAATGTCATTCACAACTCGTTTTTTGCGTGTTCTTGATGACATTTGCTTCTTCGGCATTCCATCATAGTTTTCAGAGCCCCTATGATATTTTTTTCAACTCCTAAACCAAATTTTCTTTCTCTGCACTAGATGCTCGTTGAGCAAACTTATGATATGCAGCATATTTCAGAATACCAGAAAACTTGTCACTACCGTAGAATCTAGAAACAATATGTCCCTTTTTTTTGTAATATTTCAATGTTGCTGTTGATTTGGTTTTACCATATAGTGTCGCTGCGACCAAATCACTTAAAAGTCAAATTGAAGGCTAGCGCCTTTTAAAAAAAGATAGTAACTCACTGGAGTTAAAATAAATTGCGTAAGTTTTTAGACATTTAGTTTTGACCTTTTTAATGACATCCCTAGCTTTGGTGAAATTATGTTTGTTGAGGCAAAAGTCGAATGAGTGCAATGCTGATCATTTTTAAACATTGCCATTACTTGTCACACTCAGTCATCTTTTTGGCAAGAAATAAGTGCAAGGCTATGGTAGTTACTGAATGATATCACAACTGCATACAACGTCACCAATGTTTGAGGGAATCAGTTTAAGTGAAAATAACGAAAATATATACTGCTTGAATTTCTCCTTATCATACTTAGGTATTTACCTCTGGGGTCGTTTAAAATGTTAGGGAAAGCGTTCTAAAAAAAGCCATAATCTTACCACAACAGATTTTACCTTATTGGAATAAACAAGACATTAAGTGTATTCAAAAGGAAATTGTTCGTTTGGAATGTCTCTTTAGTCTTCTTTTATTCTAGAGGGCTCTTCTGACGCAGCCGCGTAAAAAAGTTTCAGCATAAACATGAAATCTAGCCGAGGGGTTCTTACAACCTTTAACCCCTAAAAGTGACAAGCTGTCTAATTTTTTCTTACATTACAACTCGTGAATCAAATATTGAGGTTTTGAGAATAAAGGAAATGATCACCAGCTTAAAAAACTTGCGACTGTTAAACGAATACTCCGTGTCAGTACGCCATACTGATGTCAGGGCGTTAGCGCGTGAAGGGAGACCCTCCAACCCTTATCAGAGAAAAAGAGCCGCAAATCATTTGTTGTCCTGGCCCCTTTTTTCTAGAAAAGCTACTCACCGACTAACCACACAAAACGACTATATTCTTTAAGACTGTATGTTATTTTCCTGCATGCTGCTTGCCACATTTCGAGCTACACCGCTGAATTTTTCGACATCGTACTCCGCAAGAAATTTTGTTGACTGTCAGTTGAAGATGGTGTTTGTATGATAGCTATTAGGCTAAACGGTTTACACTGGGCCCAAGTTTCGCTCTTTCTGGTAGGTTGGTTTTCTACGTCGTATGTTACCTCGTTCATGTCTCAGTTTGGCTCGTTGACGTCTCATGTTGATTCGCTACCGCCTACTCGCTTTCGACTTAGTTCGGCTCAGTGAGGCTTAGGGTTCGTTTGCCCACGTCTTATGTTGGCTAACGCCTTAGGCAAGTTCCCAAACCTCTTTTGTTGCTTCCCTAACGTCCTAGGCAGGTTTCCTCACGTAGTATGTTGTTTCGTTAACAACCCAGGTTGGTTTACTAGATACTGAGATCAGTTCGCCGATAACTTCGGCTAGTTCCCTAATGTCTAAAAGCAGTGGCTGAAGCACCAAAAGGTGGTGTGCATGATAGATAAAAAGTACCTTGTGAACTGGTCCAAGAAAACTGACCAATTAGAGAATCTATTACTCTATACTCGAACCCAGTCCAGTCGCAGCCGTAAAAACAAGATGTCGGGGTTTTTCATGTCTGATAGCAAAGGTTCTGCATCAAAACCTAGAAAAAGACAAGCTAAATCGTCCCAGGTAAGGAAATTTATGGTAAAAGAGTCAATTTTGAAGTAATTTTTTGGCTTTGGTCGCATTTTGGAGTAAATCTGATCTTTCGATTGAGTTCCAGTGGTTAAACATAATACTCACGTGGTTTCTATCGTTCACAAACATTTTACTGCATTTCACAGATTTCTGGGTTCAGAAATAAGAAGCAAAGGGGTAAACAGTCTCTATCAAAAACGGAACATATAGATGAAGATGAATTCGGGAGCGATTCAGATGTTCCAAGGTATGATCGTTCTGAAAACGCTATCGAGTGAGTTATTTACTAGACAAGTACTGAGAAATCGTGCAGCTGTGTTCGAACGATTGATCATGGATTTATATTATCGTAAGAACATGAAAAGGCTTAACCTTTTAACCCCTTAGATTGATTATCATCTAAATTTTCTTTACATTATCACCCCTGAATTACACATTAAGGTCGAGAGAATAAAAAAAAATGATCACTAACGTATTAAAGAAGCTCTTGATCGTTATACAAATTCTTCTTGTCAGCCCTTGAGGAAATGTATAGAGAACAGTATGGAGAATAAGCACACTGATGTCAGTTTGTAACAGGTCGAGGAAAGCTTATAATTATTCCCAAGATTGTAGATTTTATCAACCCCTTAATTTTTTAGCCGTGGAGGAGCCATTTTTTGTTCTATATGAATTTAACTTCTTGTTTTGGGCTGGACAATTTTCAAATGGCTTCAAATTTTAGTTTAGTTTGGTTAGATGATCACATTTCTCTATTATGAGTTAATTTTAATCTTTCTTTTAGTGACAAAGTGGAAGACATACCTGGAGAAGAAGAGAGTAGTGATCATGAGACAGCACAAGAAAAACGACTTCGCCTTGCAAAGCAGTACCTTGCACAATTAGAAAAAGAAGGTGATTGCTCTTGCTATAAATAATTACCCATTGAGAACTTAAAGATGGTGAATTTCAGTTTAACCCTTTAAGTCCCACTAATGACCTAGACAGAATTTCTCCTTACACTATCAGTACTATATCAAGCAAACAAGTGATGAGAATAAAGAAAAATATCAATTAGGGGATTATTGGTTGATCTAATTCAAAATTCTCCTAACAAACATCACAAAATTGTATGGCAGACAGTAAGGAGAATTACTAATGAAATCTTGGGATTTAAAGGGTTAATTATAAATCAATAAAACATTCAGCTACAGCTTAAGTCTTTGATACCAGAATCCTGAACTTAACTTTGTGTTTCACTGCATTTTAACCTGCAGATCTTTTTGTACAGTATTTTTTTCTGTATATTTAACAATTATTCCTGGAAGGCAAAGTGAATATTGTTGAATAATGCTTAGGGGATTATTAAACAATACTCACTAAGCCTGAGGCAGATAAGTTTATTAGTATAATTGCTCAGTTGCTTTCAAATTCTGTGGTAAATTTGCTTTGTTGTTGAAACCATTCTTAAAATTGTTTTAATTGCTTGTACTGAGATGAGCAGCCAGTCTCCAATGAAACTCAAAGGGCCTTTTTTTAATAAACTTAGCAGAACAATGCATGGTCACCTATCCGAAGGATTAAAATTGACCAGTCACAATTGATGCGGGCTACTGGAGTGACATGTCAAGTAATATCGCAAAGGCAAACTGGCCAATCAGTTTTCATGAACCAGGCTAAAAGCGCTCAACTGACAAACAACTCATCTTCTTGACTCTGTCTATGACTTCTGGTTTGGTTGTCAAGGTACCAGTGGTTATCTAAGACAGAAGTTATTTTCAGGACTATTGTCATCCAGATAACCAAACTGCATGATAAGATATGGGATGAATCCTTGGGTGAGAGTAAGTACTGTTTTCAATGCCAAGGTTTCAAAAGTTAGAGTTGAGAGCATCAACATCAGAGAAAGAAAAAAAATTAACATACTTTTGAGTTTTACATCCACCTGGATAATTATTCTGCACTGCTTATTTTAATATGCAGGGTCTAATTCTTTGCACTGAAATTTTTGATGTTCCTGTGTTAATTTTTTTCAGAACAAGAAAAGAAAGAGTCAGATGACATAGACCATGATGCTATAGCTCACAGACTGAAACAGGATGTTGTATGTATAATACTTGAATATCTATTTTTCAGTTATAATAGATTGGGCACCTTTCATGATTCAGAACTGTTTTCAGACATATTACTCGATAAAGGTATAGTTTTGACAGCTGAAAATTTCACCCTCCAACTGTAATTCTTTGATTTTTCTTGCAGCTTGAGCAAACAGGCAGGTTTCAGAAAAGAGTGGCCTCACAGGTATAAAATTGTTAGACAAGTCCTTCCACTGTAAAATTCACTCATTTTTTATTTGCTGGAGCAAACCCTAGAGGACAACAAGTTCATTATCTGGCTATTTACAAAACTTGTAATATGTGATATGTTGTATTGATTGGGGTGGTTTGAATGTGTGTTTAGCAAAGAACAATTTTGAGTTTTTTCTTGAAAGGAATCCAGGACTGCTCTGGTTTACAGTCAGAACTGACCTGTAAACAATTGCAGTGTACAGAAAAAACAATGATATTAGGCAAAGAGTATGGCCTATGGGGCGTTTCTCTTTGTAGAATGATTGTCATGGATGGAAACTGTAGCTTGTAAATTTTCATTTTTTTCCTTAGTACACTCAACCCTCCCCTGCTGCTATCAGAGTTCTTAAAGGTCATCAGTTATCAGTCACCTGTCTCTGTGTGTCACCAGATGACAAGTTTGTCTTTTCTGCTTCAAAAGACTGCTCAATTATCAAATGTAAGAAAATGTCCTTTTGATTTAACAGGGTAATTGAGTATTATTGATTGAGTTGATAATGCTCTGATGAAGGGTTAATGCTTGAAATGTCAACTTCAAAACTCTTCACGGTGGCCAATTTACATCATCAACTCAGTTGATAATACTCAATTACCCTGTTATACTCTCCTACTGATGCAGCACCACTGTTTCTTAGAAATTTACTCCTTTTGTTCTTTTTCACTAAGCCGACCCATTACCTAAAGTACACGTTCACCTTCTTTTCATCAGCATTAAACAGTGACATGTATAGACAGCTACTTGGTTTATAGTTTGAATTCCACAACATACACTGTGCATACTCTGTCTCCAAACAAAACAAAAAAAGTAATTTCACACAGGTACTATAATTATTTATGAACAGATTAGGAATCTGCCTCAAAGACTTCTCTCTCTCTTTGCTCCCACAGCTGGTTACCTGTTTTAGTTTCTTTTATCCTGTAATGTAGCATAGCTTTTCTTTTTTTACTTATTTCTTCTTTTCTTTTACAATTCACTTTCCCTCCTCCTTTCTCTTGGATTAGGAATCTCTTCATATATCCTCTTCTCGTGGACTCCACCCCTATTCTTCCTTTGTTCATTTCCCCTACCATGGTTATGGAAATGAAAATTAAAAGATGTTTCTAAGACGGTTCATTTGTTCACAGGGAATATTGAAACAGGCCTGAAGGAGGGTAAGATCCCAGGTTGTCACAAGGCCAGTGGAGGAAGCAAAGGCCATAAAGGACACATTCTCTGTCTTGCTGTTACTTCTGATGGAAAGTTTCTGGTGAGGAAAACCATCTGGGCATAAAATAATAACATTGTAAACTTAAAGGTCAACTGTTTCTGGTATTTCATTTTTGATGATAAAAGTAGCTCATTGAAATATAGGCCCCAAAGCTTCTTATTTATGGTTTGACAGAGTAATACTCTAAGCTGCTTTTGGCAACATGTAAAATCAACTCAGATAAAATAAAAGTACTGAAAAAAAATTGATAATAGGAAGAATGACCAAAGAGGTACAGGAAGGTCTGTGTTGCTCAAAGCATGAAAACAGTTCTACTTTGGCTGTTGAACTTACAGGTGTACAGGTGGTGTGTAAATTCTCAAGGCCAAACTACTGTTTTTGTACTTTATTTCCCTCAGGCTAGTGGAGGTAGAGATAAAATAATTCACATCTGGGATCCTGATTCACTTCAGCATGTTCATACATTCAAAGGTCACAAGGATGCTGTCTCAGTGAGTCTTACTTATTATTGTTTGAAGCACTGTCCTTTTTACAAAACTTGGCTCTTGATTAAACTGTTTCATGTTTCCTCTCTCTTTTTTTCACAGGGTTTAGCCTTTAGGCGAGGAACCCATCAGCTCTTTAGTTGCTCCCATGATCGCACAGCAAAAATCTGGAATTTGGATGAGATGGCCTACGTAGAAACTCTGTGAGTTTTAGTTGTTTAGTAGATGGCATTTTTTTTCTCCATTCTTATTGAATTATCTTATGCTTTTTATGACTACTAGCTTTGGACATGAAGATGGTGTAACAGCTATTGACAGCTTGACGCGGGACAGAGCTGTGAGTGCAGGAGGCAGAGACAGAAGTCTTCGTGTCTGGAAAGTTGTGGAAGAATCACAATTAGTGTTCAATGCACCAGGAAATATGTAAGTTAAGAGTTATGTTGACCTCTCATGAATTGTAATGCAAAGCACAAAATTCTAAAAATTAACTGTTTAGGACCAAAACAAAGTACTTATGTTTGTTTGTATTAGACCAGATACCCATTTTCATCAAATTCAAATCAGATTTCCCTCAGCTTGCAAACATCTCTGTATTAGATTACACCCCAGTTTTGTAACAATGTGAACATTTTAAGGATTTTCATAAAATTGTGCCAAAAAATTATCCTGTGAAGATCAGCTCCTTCAGACTGTGAAATTTTGACCTTTTAATTTTTTAATAGTGTTCATTCTCCCTTTCCCCCTCCCCCCCAGTCCTTTAATTTCTTTCCTTCATTAATTTCATCATCTTGCAGTTGATATTGTTGCTAACTGACATTATGCACTATCATTTACAGAGGGTCCCTTGATTGTGTACAGTTAATAAATGATGAGCATATGGTTTCTGGTGCAGACAATAGGCAAGTATGAAGTACCTGGCCTTCTTCTTTGTCTTATTTCATGTAAATACAAATTATTTCTCTGAGCTGTGTTCTTTTAGCATCTACAGTAAATGAAACAATAATCATTTGAAAATAAAAATTTATAAAACTTAAGTTGAGAAGTCTAGGCACCATGAGTCTCATTAGTTTCTGCATTTTTAATTTTGAAATTCCTGAATACTCTTTTTTTTTTAAATTTCATTTAGTTTCTTATCCCATTAATTTCATTTTGCCAACAGCTCACTCTCCCTATGGAGTGTTTCAAAGAAAAAGCCATTATGCACAGTACCAAATGCTCATAGTAAACCAGATGGCAGTTCAGATGACAGTATTCCAGATGAAAGTTGGATAACATCAATTGCATCACTACGAAGTACAGATCTCTTGGCTTCAGGTAAACTAGGAGAACTTTTGGGATAAGTCATTCATACTGTCATTTTCATTCATCCTAAATATGACTTGCACTGAGATTTTTGTCAAAACTGTTTGGTTGACGATGGTATAAAAACTTGAATTTTGAGACAAAGATAGGTAGTACATCAGAAGTGATGTCTCTGGAAACTTTTGCCAGCAGGTTCTTGTGATTCATGTATCAAACTCTGGGAATGTGGTGATGGATTCAGAAGTCTTAAGCAGCTCTTCTCTGTATCAATGGTAAGCATGTCAAAATATTTTGTCTTTTTCCTGAAATGTGCAAAACTACTGGTGTCTCGAGGGGAAACCACATAATACCATCATGTAGCATGAGAATCTTACTTTCAGATGTTTAAGATTGTCCTTGTTCCATTAGAGGCCACAGAAAGAAAAAAGGCATGCCTCTTGACCCCCTCACTACCAAGATCTCTTTAGTTATTCTGCATTCTGTATACCATACAATGCTTACAACATTGATTCTGAGAATTTAGCATTGGATCAAATGATGATATCCTGATTACCGTAATTTCCGGCCGTTTACCCACAGGTAATCTGTTGATTTTGCATTAAACGCGCGCCACTGCAGGCAATCAGGAGATGTGGGTTATGTGACAATTTTAAAATCTACTGGTTGAATTGAAAAAACTTCTCACCTACATGTGTTTCCCCTCTCAAGTGAATTCTATTGTATTAAGAGTGCCACAGAGCGGCACGAAAACATGATGCTGACTCGAGTTTATTTCACTAGTAGTTAGTTGCGTGACGAACAAATTGTTATCGGCATGCGTGAAAACAAAACCTTGATGGTGACAAAAATAATCCAAAGATATCCGGCACATCTGTAACAAATTTCCATTTATCTCTAGCTTATACTGTGAGGAGAAAGTATGCTTTGGTCATTGGTGGGAGTAAAAGGAATTCCTTTCATGCTCACGAGATTTGCATGAATTTTTGAACAAGTTTTTTTTATTATCAGGGATTGACAGGTTTATTTATTGTAGTTATTAATAATTTTTTTGTCAGGTTGGCTTTGTAAATGCTTTAGCTTTTTCCAACGATGGAAACAATTTGATAGCTGGCATTGGACAAGAACACAGGCTGGGTCGATGGTGGAGACTGAAAAAGGCAAAAAACTGTGTTTGTGTAATACCCCTGCAGAGAACAGTGCAGAATGGAGTCCATGCTTAAAGTCTGCACATTTAAGAACCAGTGGAACATATGTTGTTTGATCAACAGTGGCACTGAACCACAGGATATTTATTTATTGCAGGATAACAAGCTGTTGAATAACATTCCATTTAATTTGCATGTTATCAGACCAATTTCAGTGTTGAGAACAAATAAATAAATTAACAAAGATTTAGTGATCACACCTGAGTTTTGTTTGCACTCTTACATATTATTGTCTGGATTTTTCATGATCGCGGTCAGGATGAAGGGGCTGGGTCTAGACACACTCTGCCCCATCCCAGTCTATACTTCCCAAAAGCTGTTGCTCCATTTGAAAAAAAAAGAAAAAAAAAAAGACTGCTAGCAGATGTCTAGCTTTGCAATAAAATGTTGACTCATGTTTGCTTGTTTGTTTGGCTATGACACTTGATACAGTAAGTATCCTCATTACTTAAATGAACACAAGTGGTGCCACTTTGCCACTCCCTTAAGGGGGTGGTGAGTCTTAATTGTCAACACCATTGTGAATGTAACATTGAAGGCAAGGCTTTTGAGTATTTTTCCTTGACTTAATTAAACTTAGTTTTGGGGCAGTATTAAAAGAGATTTCTTAGTTTATAACTTGTTATCCAGACTTTAGGCACCAGTTGTTGTAGAGCACTTAGCAGTAATCCTTTACTGAAAGTTAGCCTCTTTTTATCCCTCTTCCATGAAATGGTATACTATGCTGATGTTTTGTGGGGTTTAATCTCTTTAAAGACAGTCTCAAAAAGTTCAACATTTACAAAATATGAAGTTTCCTTCTGAAATTCACATGCATGTGTCTTTTCCATCATTAGAAATAAATTTAGTTCTTGTTTTTGTCCATGGATATTATTATTCTGAAGCTGTACACCAGTCAGGGAGGAATTCTCTCAAATGGTTCTGTATCATGGAAACATGCATCAAAAACACTCTCTACAACTTCCTGAGCTTCCTCTTTGGATATGTCTCTAACACATAACATAGATTTTACTGCACGTTCTTTGACACACTCCTGCCAAAAAAAGAAAATAATAAAAACAACAACAATTGAATGGTATCATTTTAAATTAAGGGTAGGGGTTAAGGTGGTTATTTTGCCTTATTGATTTCTGGCTACAATGCAGAATTCTGCAACTAAATTTTCTGGTTACTTAAAAATACTACTGCATTATATTTTTATTTTAAATAATCCTGCAGTGTTATCTCTGCCTTTTGTTGAGGTTTAGTATGCTGTTTCAAAAATAAGCTTCAAAAGTGTTCAAACACAGTTTGCTTTTTTATTTGCTACTTTTCATTTTAATTTTCAAGAACATAGCTCAGCATCAATCTAAGAAGAGAAACATTCCAAAATTTAGGATAAAGTGAGTGTGTTCCCATTCCATTGGGAACTCTCTCATTATGGATATGTTAGCATACCCAAAGACAAAGGCAAAGAAAATCCTGGGATAGCATAAAGTCTTGATGCAATTTAATTAATATATCCAGTGGCGAACTTTCTCTCTGAAAGAAATACCAAAAAATTAACAAACTACAAGGCAGAATTAAGATACCTGCTGATGAGCTTTCCATCTGAATTTGAATCGTCCAAATGCCTCCCTTGAGAAAAAGCAATCTCCACTAAGGTTTGCTGCCCGAATCTTAAAAAAAGGAAAGAGTCCAGACAAAGTGTCAAATCATACTAAATGACTAATATGAACAAAATATTTTTTAAAAATGCCATAATATTTCATCGTCAGAGATCCTTACATATGACAGTTTGGAATTTGCATGGGTCAACAATTTTGTTAATTTGGGTTATTCTACTTACTATCTGCCACACACTCCTTATGATGTTAGTTCAGAGAATTTGGTATTGGATCAAGAAATAATCCAAAAGTGACATATTTATTCTCATCACTAGTCTGTTTGATATTGTATGGATATCATTGCCCCTTCTTTAGAGAACCAACAAGAGACCCTACATGTCACACCAGCTCTGTTGAACCACAACTTGAGCCACATTGGTGTAGGTTGATGGCTCTCTCTCTCCTGTGTTATTCAAGTACTTAACCTGAATAACTGTCGTCAACCTAGTGAGTCTGTTATGAAAACAAAATGACTGGAAATCTATAAGTTAATATAAAGCACATGAATGGAATACCTCAGTACAAGCTAAATGCCGCACATTGTCTGGATCGTATTTGACTCTGCAGTTGTCGAATGCATGGATCAGCTCATGAGTAAGAACGGTGTCCATTGCTTTTTGGGTGTAGATTGTGTTCTCACATAAAAACATCTGGAAGAAATTAAGCAATAAAATTGAAAGACCTGAACATCATTAAGCTTACAATCCTTTGACCTCTGCGAGTGACCAGCATCAAGTTTCTCCTTACAGTATCACCCCTGAATCAAACATGACAGTCACAAGGATAAAAGAAATGATCACCAGCCATAGAAGCTCTTGATTGTTAAACAAATTCTCCTTGTCAGCACCTTAGGGAATGTATAGAGAACAGTATGGAGAATGTGTATACTTATGTTAGGTTGAAAATGGTTTAAGGACTACACCAGAGCTCCAAGCTTACCTCCTTTGTATCATGATCAAATCCTCCAATCAGCTTTGGGTCACATGGTTCACATACCATATGTCTTTCTGGATCCACATCACTATATTTAAGTTGTAAGTAAATGACAAAGAAAGTTTGAGGACATATATGAGGGGCATAATACCCACTCTTCACCCCAATAAAGCTCAGTCCCTCAAAGGTTCCAACACACTATTATTAGTTGTAACAACAGTCCAGCAATTTACATGGCACAAAAATATATATCTAATTTTTTAGATTGAATATGTATGGTCGTAGAAAATCCTGATAATTATTCCCTAGACTCTCAAATTAGTGGAGTATTAGTCACTGATTGCGACAGTTTGGCACTATTTGCTTTTTTTTTTTGGTCTAACAGGGACCTTTTGCTGGGACACCAGAAACCCTAGTCGGCTAAAAACCACCTGACGCTCAATAGTCATGGCTGAGCTAGGTGAGGTAAGATATACAATCTGCAACACGAATCAAGGGTAAACAAAAAGGAGATTGTTAAATAGTAGAAATTTTCGTTACTCACCACCCTAGGTTACTCATGGCCTTTAACATAAACTTCACATATGGCGCTGAAAAATGATAACAACGTTTCAAGTCATGATCAATCGTACTATGATTTTATGTCACGAGCCGGTGATGTGATTCAATCACACCTCACATGTATTGGCGTTATTCATTCACCCCACGGTGATATGCCTAGCCTATTCTAGCTACTTACATTCTCGACAGGATCTGTCAAGTTTCTCTTTGCATTTTCGGTGCGCTCTGGAGTTTGATTCAGTGGAAATCTTTCTTTGATATTCCTCACCACGTTCCATATATTCCGCCATGACGAATTGAACTGACATGCGGTAAATTTCGCGGGCTCACTTCACTTTCATGATGGCAAACAGGCAGACTCATACAATCTTGTTTTAAAGTGACGATTGTTTTCTGTATATTGTGTGGTTTCTTTTCAAGGACAGGTGTATTGTCTATTATTTTGAGCTCATTTCAGGCGTAGCTGTTAATTCTCATCACTAATGTCGAGAATAGTCTAATGCCTTGTTGTTCCTTCCTCATGTTTCGTCCTTGTTTTCCCCCAGCTGTGTTTTTCTGTACATTTCGTCACGCAAAAAGGTCGTTACTTTTTTTCTTCCTTTCGCTGGCATTCGTGGTCGCTACAGTTCTGATTTATCAATTTTTATTCCTGGAAGGATCTGACCATCTAGCACAACAATCAGAGTCGCGTCGCAAATGGAATTCCCTCCTAGAATGGCAGAAAAAATTGCGTTACCAACTGAAGCAAGTGAAACTTACAAGCAACAAGACATATTCTGCTTGTCCATCGCTTTCAGTTCAAGAAGTGTCGTCCTTAACTTTTTCCTCGTCTTGTCGCTTACCAAAAGTGAGACAAGAAGCGTGTGCCCTGGCAAAGTCATTTTTCACGACGGATCCTAGAAACCAGACTTGCAACAGCACCCAGATGGATTTGTGCAAAATTGAGAAAACAGTTTGGGGACTTCCCAAAATCGAGTGTCACATAACCTCTTGTGGGTCTTCAGATATAATCTCTGTGGGCTTCGTTAATCCAGAGGACGGATCTCTCAGCTGGAAACATTTTTCTTTCCTTCAAGATGTGGAGAAAACACTGAACAATTATGTTCAATCGACACCAACAAATGCTTATTTCCCGTTTGCTTTTCTGAGGTGCGATGAATTCTGGAATCCCACAGCCAAGACCCAGCTTTTTATTCTTCCGTCTAGAAGTGTTTCAGCCGAGAAACCGCGACGGGAGACTAACAAAAAACTCATCAATGTAAACATCATTCTCATCGACTCTGTGTCTAGACCTCATTTCTATCGCTCACTGCCTCAAACTGTTAAAGCTTTTCGAAACATTAATTCGAATTCTTCATCACTGGTACTAGATTTTGAGCTTTTTCACGCCATTAAGCAAAGGACGTTTGAAAGCATTAATGCCTTATTTTCTGGGGAACTTAGTGATGTAAAGGAGTTTATAAACCCAGTTCCAATGAAAGCAGGTGTTATGTTTGGAAAATTTAAATCACTGGGATATCAGACAATGTGGCAAGAGGATATGTGTTGGACTCACGAGTGGGGCCTGGTGAGGAACCTAAAAGTTATGAACAAAAGTTTAACCTTAAGCAGAGTATGGCGTAACTTGGCCAGGGTTCTACAAAATAACTCAATTGATTTTACAGGAATAACACACTCAAGTTGTGAAGTTTTAAGACGTTTTGGAGTTTCAGACATTTTTCACAGCCCTTCTAATTTGTGCTATGGAGGAAAGCATTACCATGCCTTGTTTTTGGAACATTTAGAACACAGTATCAAAGAAGGACATATGGATTCAGAAAAGAAACCACTGTTTGCCTTTTCAATGCTAAATGTAGGCCATGAGGAAAGTGGATGTAGGATTCAGACTTTTGATTCAGCATTATCCAATTTTGTTAATATGTTAGCTTCTGATCCAAATACTTTGAGCATAATACTCTCAGACCATGGTAACAATTATGGATCATACCCAAGAACAATGGAGGGGCGGTTTGAAGTTTTTCAACCACACCTGTTTATGATAATACCAAAGAGGGTTCAAAACTTGTTAGGGAAAAACAAAATAAGGATACTGAAACAAAATCAAGGCAGATTGGTAAGCATTGTCGATTTGCATCACACACTTATGGCAATTGCAGCAGAGTTTGGCAATGAACGGTTGCCGCAGAATCTTGGCCTTCTTCAGCCAGTCTTAAGTAACCGCACTTGTGATGACCTTGGCCTTCTTATATCTACACTTTGCATCTGCCAAGGATGGATGACAAAAGTCAACACAAACTCATTTCACTTCATCATAGCCGAGTTTGCTTTAGGTCAGCTCAATAACAACATACAAACCCAGTTCCTTGAAAACTTCCAAGCAGAAAGGCCACTCTCTAGCTTTCAATCCTGTGAACGGCTCAGAGGAGAACACTTTGATAACATTAGAGAAAAGTGGATAGGTGAAGTGCTTACTGTGACTTTAGATATTTATGTCCAGAATCAAGAAATCTTCTCTGTTACAGTTCAGGTGACAAGTGGAAGTGTCGTAATGGACATGAAATTGACTCAGTTCACAAGGGTCAGCAGTTATGGCAGTTATCAGACCTGTGCAGATAAGGGTCTGGACCCAAGACTGTGTGTGTGTAAAAATGGTCCTTCATTACATGAGTCAGGTACTACTGCTAACAGACTATTCACTGAGAATGGAAATTATATGAAAGCCACGGAACCACCAACTACAATGTGGCAACATGATGGTAATGTTTTTAATTCAGTGACAACAGCTGACAATATACACGAGAACTGTCTCTTCATACTTTTGAGAGAACACAAAAGTGGTGTAATACTTGAAGCTGCAAATTATTGTAGTTTTGTTACATACACCATTGATCTTGACCTGTCGCTGAGCAACATGAAAATATCTGAAAGAGTTCCACTTCGTAAAGAACTTGGCCCTGGTGTAATACTCTTCCTTATGGCAATTAATCAACTTGATCCTAACATCAACTGGAGTTGGAAATACACTGTGAACTTTTCTTGGAAAATAGTACCAGTAAATTAGATGACAGGTTTAGACAATACCCCATTATGAAAAATTGACATTGAAATTCTCCTTATACTTAAAGTAAAACGGGGTTTGTACACTTTGTCAGACATAAAATTCAGAGACTTCTCAAGGACTTTAAGCGCCCCTTTTAAAATTTAAATTACCAGGTGTGGTTTGGTTATCTCAAGCTTAATTAGAAAAAAAAATAAAAACATTTGGGTGAGTATTTCCTGTGTTTAACATAACAAAATGCTGGTTTCCTCACTGCTTTATTGTATTTGAACAAAAACTGGACAGTGATAAAAAAGTTTTCCTTATGGATCAAATAGACTGTTGATTATTATCATTCGAGGTTTTTCAATCTTCAAAAATTATTTTATATACTTAGTTTTCTTATGTTACTTCACATTTAAAAGAGAAGATAAATTTCTATATTTCCCTAATTGTTAATAATTAAAGAGCTATTTTCAAATATTAGTCCAGTGTGTGGATTCTGGTTGTATCCAGGATGTAGGAAACAATGCCTTGAAATCAAACTCCTTGAAAAACTGAAGGCGATGGCTGAAAAGACACAGAGGTCAAATAACTTTAATCTTTAAAATGCTCCTTTAAAATTTGGGCAATGACAGGATCACATATTACTACTTCACTTCAGTGTGTGACCACACAAAGTGGGTGAGAGGGGATGGGCTAAATGCAGGCATGAGTTGGTTGAGAAGTAATTTTGAACTCTGCTAAATTGCAGGATCTGCCCCAGGTTTCTGTAGCCCGAGGCGTGTGGGAGCACTCACCCATTTCCTCATTTTCAGACAAACATAAGAAGTAAACTTCATCATCATTCCATTCCCTTTGATCCATCACAATGAGTATAATTTTATCAAGTGGTTTCACTTACAAGTCAGGCGTGTAAAACTCCTCAGAAGCTGGATAAAGAGCCTCATACTGTCTCTCATCCCCTGACCCATGGATAGCATATGCATTAATCTTTGTCACATCAGGAGGGAAGTACTCCAATGGTATAATGGCAGTTCCTTTCCAGGTTTTATTCACATCATCAGTGTTAGCTGTATACTTTAGGGCAAGTTTATCCTATTTCAAAAATTATGAAATCTTTAAATCAAACTAAAGAGTGGCTGTTACTAATTTGTTAGCTGATGTCATTATATCCACCACAAATAACTTGCCATGTGAATACGAGGAAACCAAGTTTAAATTTTTTAGTTTGTGAGGGAAAATCCTGTTTACTTTTGTACAGCAATACAGAAGAAACACAAGCCAAGAGGCCCATCCAGCCAAATATTACCTCAGTTTCCATGTTCAAATTATGAGTCAGCATATTTTGTCCCAAGGGGGTAAGTTTCAAAAGAAACTATGATGCTGCATGGGTAGGAGAGTATAACAAGGTAATTTGGTATCATTAACTGAGTTGATAAAGTAAATTGGCCACCAGAAAGAGTTTCGAAGCTGACATTTTGAGTGTTAGCCCTTCATCATTGGCTTTGACAAAGGGGTAATTGATGCTCAAAATGTCAGCTTTGAAACTCTTTATGGTGGCCAATTTACATCATCAACTCAGTTGATAAAACCAAATTACCTCATTTTGTCTCAGATTTTAGGTTCAGTCGTACCTTCATCATGTTTCTTGTCCCATTCAGAAGAAGCACCAGATGCTGGCCATGACTATGAATATGAAAAAAGACAAACATGAAAACTAGCCATTGCTAGTGACAGATTTAAAACAATCTGATTGTACCTGTAGTCACCTTTCTTATAACCGCTCATTTATAATTTAAGAAACATTTATACCTTTTTTTTTTTCTATCAAATGTCAAAAGCTATTTGGTACTGTGCTGTTTCTCCTTTACTCTGCCTTGTGATTGGTCAAGAACTCTGATGCCATTGTTTCAATCATTGAAATGCAAAACTTAAAACCAACTGTGATTAATAGTCCCCCATGCTTGCCTGCAATTCTGGCAGGCTATAGTCTGTCTAAATACTTACGGGCATAACTCAACCTCCAAATATTTATCTTTATCTCCAAGGAAGAAGATCTCAGCCACTGAATCAAAATAAAAAGGTGACAGAATATTTAAGCAACATCAATCACAAATAATTATCTTCATTATATATGCCTCTAACTGAATTACAAATGCATCAAAAATGTACTTTAACCTTGTTGGTCCTTGATATGTTGATATAGGCAAGCATCTTGAACTTGAAAATTTAACTCATTAATGTCTGTCTCACATTCAAAATATGGCATTTTGCAAGTCACTTTTAATTCCACTGTAGATTTTAATGATGTGGCATTGTGAAAAATTTTTTTTATATAATGCATAATCCATATCACTATGCTCCAATGCAATTTACAACACTTTGAGGGGACTTCAACCTGACTTTGTTTACAGTTTTGACAAGAAATTTTCGAAATTTTCAAAAATTCAGGAACAAGGCCAGACCGCAACATTGGGAACTACTTTCTGGAACCAGGTGGTAGTTTTACCATTGATGTTAGCTTCTCTATACTTCCTGGTATGTGCCCATTCCCCTTTCAGGAGTTAAAAGAACTATGTCTCCCTTGGATACCAATACAAAGTTGAGCAGAAAGATAATGAGAAGTAACAAAAATATCACATGGCAAAAAGTATTTAACACTAAAGCACACATTGCAGAAAATTGATATTATTTTTAATTCAGATCTTGGGAATGTATGGGGTATAGGGCTAAAGCAGCAGAGAAAATCCTGAGTTTATTTATTTGCAGACATACTATATAAAATTTAATACTTATCAACCTTCATATTCCCACAGTTCTGGACAGGCACCTCCTGAGGCCACTGGAGGGGGCCCAGGATCATTAAACAAAGGTCCACTCACATCAACCCTGACTGAGGTATCATCTGCAGCACCAACTCTGAACACCACAGGACTGTGTTTCACTGGGTTCCCATTCCAGGTTGTTGTTATAGAAAAGGTTAACTCCTAAGGAAATCCAATTTATTTGTTAAACATGACATAATTCAAAAGTTACTGATCATCTCGGTTTAGAAACTAATAATTTGACTGTATGACTACATGCTTCAGAAGGTAAATCCAAAATACTCCAGGCAAAACATAACTACAAGCATGAAGTTCTTGCAAACGAGTTGACTTGGCTTTAGTAGAATTTCAAATGAAAAATATACAAGCTAAGAAGCAGCCAAATGAGCAAAACCATGTAACCTAACTCTACAACTATCGATCTAAGTTTTTGATGCCCTCTACGATGCTAAGTATTCACGGCAGCAACTAAATGTTCCAACTGAAACTTAACTTTCAATAGTTATACTTATGTTAAAACAGTAAATGTCCTCCACCTTGCATCCGCTCATATCCAATTCAAAGAACTTTGCATCGCTTTGAAGGGCCTCACTTTCATGTCACTATTCCCCGGAAGTGAAATTCGTCCGAGTCAAATACCAGTATCCGGTGTATGACCGGATGTCTATGCCGACGATCGCTTGTCGACATCCTCATCAAATCACCTTTTTGAATACTGACGCGCCGGTGAGATTTCCCAATAATGTCTATAATACTATAACTCAAACCTTATCATGCATAAAACTATTTGATAGAAGAAAATGATAGCAAAAACACTAGTTTCCTTCTAGGAGTAATGCTTTGTTTAAGAAAAGTATGGAGTTGTACGAAAACCTTTCCACGAAAATTTAGTCAGAGTCAATGAGATTAATAAAGGTTTAGTTTAACTACCAAACGTAACAGGCAATGATTCCTTGACATGGTTAGCTTTGAAATTTTCTCTTGTAACGTAATTTTACCGGTTACTTTCTGGTTAAATAATAAGTGGTACAAAGTGAGTGTGATCAAGCTTTAGGTAATTCAGAGCACTGATACTATAAGTTGACCTCTTTTAATTAACAAACAGCTGTAAAGGTAAACATCGAACATCGAACATCGAAATAGCTAACTTAAGTGAATACCGTATAATCTATTGATTTAAAAGGGAATGAAAGGTGTTTGCGCTTGGTTTGAAAAAATTATGTTGGGCGCGTTTGAGCTCGGTCTTTAGGTAACGGTACTTTGGAAGGTTAATGGCAATTTTTGGTTGTAAACATCCCCTGGGAACAAGTAATGCAGCTAAAAAAAGATTCTAAAACGATTATTTATGCTTCTTATATGGAGAGCAATTTTTTTTACTGTGTAAATTCGTCACATCACTGATTCTGTGGCATTGTACGTACTTGAGCCTGTAGAGACGATTTGTCCAAGTTAAATCAATTATAACATGGTTTCGTTAGAGGGAGGATGGGTATTTTTTGTACCCCATTGCAACTCACGAGATGGTGGACAACGAATTCTTCCAATTTTCATTTTCAGAAAAAAAAGTCGTTCTCTGATTTCTTCAATACAAGAGATTCAAATGTCCAATCAGAATTGGCAAAAATTACTCACAATGAATTTGAGCACCACCTCTCCACCTCATCAAGGGATGTCATGCCCTCTCACCAGATCACAACACTCTTGCAGAATGTTATCAATACATTTTCAGATTATCTAAAGCCCAGTTACATACAACTAATTTAAATACCACACAGTGAGTTAACAGATCTTTCCGCACTACCCAAGTCACTTGATTGTGTCAATTACAGCCAAAATGAAAGAAAAGAAAAAAAAATAAAAGAAAGAAAATAAAATGATCATTTTATCAGATAGACAATCATGTCACTTTTACAATCATAATATTTACATATCTGTTTTCCTCTATATATTTGTTGGTAACTGAGTGTATATTTACAAGCTAAGAAAACAAAACACACAAGCTTTAACTAAATTTTACATTGTTATGTGATCATTTACAACAATGGGTAATTATCTATTTTGTCATTTGAGAGTAGGGTTCCGCTCAAATGCAAAAGTCAATAAAAGATTGGTAGTATCGAGCAGCTTTTTCCTTTTTTAATTCACAATCTTAAAAGCATTAGTCAAATGTTGTAGGCAGTTTTTCATCCTAGATGGTTTGATTTAGTATTCCATAAGAATTGGATTGAATCAAGAACTATACCAACTATTTTTTTTTTGCCCTTTGTCATAATAGTTCACCTTTTATTCAAAGCCCCATATTTTTTCTTTGCATAAATACATAAATAAGACTATGCACTGCCGACAATGGATAGTACCAGGAAATTTCGTCCATGGTCTGTTACCTCTTTGAAGAGAGCAATAGCACAATGATTAATTGACTAAAACTAGGGTAACAATGTTTGTTTTGTGCCTCAATTGTCTGATTACATTGTATACACTACCTAAACCCTTTGACCCCTAAGTATAACTAGCATCTAATTTCTCCTTACAATATCACCCTCAATCACACATGAAGGTCATGAGAATAAAGGAAATGATCACCAACTAAAGAAGCTCTTGATTGCTAAACAAATTCTCCTTGTCAGCACCTCATGAAATGTATAGAGATCAGTATGAAGAATAAGCATACTGATCTTAAGGTATCAAGGGTTAAAAGAATAAGTATCTCATGTTTGAAGGTATCCTTTACGTTTGGCCATCCTATAGATTCATGTATGCTAACTGTTCCTTGGACTGTTGCCAGGTGATTTACTTCCACCTGATCCTGAGCTGTCTAACTTTGGCAGCTTCCGCACAGCTGCCACCTTCTTCACAGGACCTCTCTTTGGATCAATTATCCTTTGATTGTCTGGCAGGCCAAAGTGGTTAGGATGTCTGAAAAATGAGAAATCAAGTAGATGAGGAAATAAGGAAATAGACAACAACACTACTGAACCATTGAGATATGTGTCCCATAGGTTTAAAGTCCAAGGAATAGATATTTCAAAATCTTTTGTGCTTGAAATTGAAATTCCCTGTGTTGACCCTCAACAACAAGTAGACACGAAATCCCTTTCTTCATTCCTTTGAATGATTTTCCTTTTTTTTTTTGCAACATAAAAGATAACAACAAAGATTTAAAATGACTACCAAACAAATTAGCATATCTAGTAAACTAAACTGATCTCCACATTATAGTTATCTCAAAGTATTTTTTATCATTGGTTATGGCCAAACCTTAATTTTGCATTGTTCAACTGAGCTTCATTCTCTCTCTGAGCTTCATGAATTGCTTGTCTTGTTTTTGTTTTTGTGTCATCGATGAATGCAGCAGTCTGAGATGCAAATAAAGAAACATAAAAATGGTGAATACCAAAAAAGAATCTGTCTTTCTCTGTTCCTATAAAACAGGACTTCCTCAAACAATATGCTATTTGGAGGAGCATTCACTTTCAAACCAACTTCACCATCACTGGGATTTATTCCAAATTTCACAGAACAAAGTGATCATCAGTATTGCTACCTTACAAAAATGGGATGACACTCTATTGCAGGGAAATATCAGCATTTTTTCCCAGATCATTAATACCCAGTTCATTAATACCCATTAATACTCCTGACTGATCAAGGCACTGTAAAAGCAAATTGTCTCACCCAGGCAAAGGTACTGACTTATACCTCTTGACCAGGAGTGTAATTTGGAATTTTAATAAAAAGTGGGGCATAGAACAAAAGAAACTTTTCTGTTGATATCATTCTTCTGGAAATGGCAGATTACCATTTTATGGCCAGCAAAGGTACATAGTTAAATGTACTTACAGGAGAGAATCATGTTCAACAGCACACCTACCTCATCTAGTTCAGTTAGGTACTTCTTTCTTTCCTCATTTATCTTGTGAAAAGCCTAATTCAAAAATCAATAAGGAAGTATTATTAATTTATCTATTTTGTACCATTCATACTAAGGTGTGACTCTACTAGACAGAATATAAGAAGTAGCATTTCTTCCTTCATTGCTACTTGGTTTGTTTGTTTGTTTTTTCTTTTGACACAACCTCTACCTACACCCAACCAACAATTTTTCAAATCAATCAATGTAGCTGGGTGATGAGAGAAATTTTAACACTTTACTCCAAGTATAGATCAATGCAATGGATCAGGAGGAATAATAATCCCTCTATCCCAGCATATTGATCACTACACACCCAGTCAAACAGGTAATAAGATCAATTGTGGGGATAAAGGCTGAATTTAAATACCACATTCTTGAGACAAGTCATCAAAGAGGGAATTCAATTCATCAGTTTGAAGAATTATCATTCAGATTGCTGGAGTTTAAGTTTAAGAAAGAAGCAGATCTTGAGCTTGTCAATGCAAGTGCAACTATAATGTAGGTTACTTCATCCATAAATCCACACCAGTGAGAAAAAGTACAGAAAAACTCAATGATATTCAGTTAATGACAAATTGATTACTTTAACCATTGAATTTTATGAAGCTATAGAATGCATTTTGATACCTTGGATTCATTGTCTAGACGCCATTCCAAGTCTCGCAACTGACCCTGTAACTCTGTTTTATCCCTCTCCAGCTGTTTCATTAGTTTTCTTATTTCTGCCTGATGGAAAAATTATCAAGAATAGAACTGTTCTGTCATTGATATAATTTTAAAATCTCCGTAGCAAGACTTAAATTAACCCTTTAGCTCCCGTGAATGACCAAGACAGAATTTCTCCTTACAATATCAATACAATATCAAGCAGACAAGTGACGAGAATAAAGAAAACTATAAATTTGAGGATAATTAGTTGATCCAAGACTAAATTCTCTGAATTAACATTATAAGAATTGTATGGTTGACAGTAAGGAGAATTACAAATTTGGTCTGGGAGTTAAAAGGAAAAGAAATAAATATCATAATTAAAAATGGTGACTCATACATATAAAAAAGCATGAAAATATGTACATCAATTGAAAATAAATTAAACACAGTAAAAAAAAGTTAAATTTCTAAACTTACATCAGATAGACCATTATATGTTTTGAGATGATTACTTGGTTTTCCTGTAAAAAAATATATCAATATCAACAAAAGTGAGCACCATTAGATATAAAGGAAAAGCTACATTAAAGACAAATTTATTCCTAAGTATTTGACACAGGATGTTCTCTTAAATGAGCTGGGCATGGCATCCTCAGCTCATGAACCCAGACAAGACAATCCCTTAAACCTGACCATGATTAGACATGGCTTATACCTCATTTACACCAAAGCTTAGAAACGTTTTGAACTTGTTTTGTTAAACATGGTTGAAAATTTTATTCTTCATAGAAACTGTTAAGACTGATGTTTGTTGAAAAATTCAGTTTTCAGTTCTCTGCTTCTGATTTTCATTCAGTTATACCAAGTTTAGGCAAACATGTTTTGCTGGTGTGAATAGTGTGTAAGTCAGAAACATGCTTTCAAAGGCTGTCAGCCAACCAGCCACTCTACAGCTGACACAAATCACAGTAAATCTGGATCTCCCTCCTTGGGAAATCAATTGCAGATTACAATACCAAGGTGGCAAGCTCTTCTCTAACAAAGGCCAAATATAGGTGTATTGATCAACAATATGTTTATATTCTAAGTAAGCTTACCATCTCGAGATGGAATCTTAAGTTGGCCAAGTTTTTCCCGTAATAACACAACTTGTTTCTCAAGCTGGTTGTTCATTTCTTGCTGAGTTTCAAATCGTGTCTTCCATTCGTTATCTACAAAAGGTTGAGCAGGAGTTAGATATACAAAGAAACTTCTTTAATACTTTTAATTTTACTTAATAAAATGAAAGATCGAAACATAACCACTTTTGATATTCTACACCGAGTATAAGCATACACAAATCCTTTTACCTTCGCCTTCAACGTTGTCGTTTTTCTCTTCCAGATCGCTGATGGTATTCACTAATTCAACAGAAGATTGTTCTAGCATCTCCCTGTCAAGAAAGACTGTGTTAGTCATAGAGAAAAGAACATCCTTCCTTTAAAAAAATTAGGACCAAAGCGAATTCGAATCTTTGATTGACAATTTAGTTCATTCGAGTAGACGAAAATAATTTGCAGAGAATGCAATTTTAGTAGGTTGCACAGTGTTAATTTAACGGTAACTCATGATAAAGAGTTTCTCAGAAAAGACGTGAAAAAGAAACGTTAAGTGAGTACAGCATATTGTAAGTTACTAGGCCTACAAAAAACATCCCTCCTATCGTGAAAACTAATGGAGATTCCCTGAGATGGCAAACATCATAAACGGCGATGTTGCTAAGTGACTTTTAATAAAATTCAAAACAAAAATAAATGATACGATACCGTGATAATAGACTGAGTTCCGTACAAAAAGATTACATTTAAACTGCCGTGGAAAATAACGTCAACAAAAGGCTTATTTAGCTTTGATTACGACATACTTCATTTGTCGTTCTTGTTGTATTTCTGCTTTTAGTCGTTCGATTTCATAGTCTAATTCCGTTCTTGGTCCGTCTTGGTGTTGTTGCGGTTTTGAGCCACGCGAAGTACTCATTGTAGAACCTTTCCTGGACTTTTTAGATTGTTTATGGAACTTTTTCTTGTCATTAACTCTATCTTTGGTTTTCTGGATCGGAATAACAGGCGTTATGTCGGTAAATCTGCGAGCATGGCGCATGTCTGGTTTCTATGGTTACGACATCAAATGATAATCCGATGAAAACAACGGAAAGACTGCCTTGTTAAGTAAACTTTGTAGATATTTGTTCTATTGCCGTGCAATCAAATTTCAATTAAAAAGGTATCATTGGTGAGTTATAATTAATATCGAATAAATGATTGATTAACCATCCATTAATTAAGAGGACGTCACAGCGAAAATGAATGAAGTAAGATTTGAATTAGCTGCTAGGAATCAATTACCTTGAAGAGTTGCGTATAAGATCATGCAACGAATGCTGTAGAATGTCACTCTAGGGAAAGAACTCTTCAAATGGTAATCCCCAAATGGCTGATAATCAAGAACAAAAACCTGAAGTGGGGCAAGATAATAAAACAGACGCCCCATCGGGGAGAACTGCAAAAACTGAAAAATCGGAACCGAGTTCCACCCGCGCGGAAAACCCACTTGCCGGAGTGACTGCGCTTCTGGAGCGATACGGTTACCAATTGGGAGACATTCTCGGCAAAGGATCTTATGCAGTGGTAAGGAAGGCCTACTCAAGAAGGCACAAAAGATATGTTGCTGTTAAAATCATATGCAAGAAGAAAGCGCCCGAGGATTTTTTATCCAAATTTCTGCCTCGAGAGATCAAGGTTCTTAAGAAACTCCACCATCCTCATGTCCTCTCACTGATTGAGGTTATTGAGACAAACACCAGGATGTACATTATAACAGACCTGGCGGAAAGCGGCGATCTTTTAGAGTTTATACGAAAGAATGGTGCAGTAGCTGAGGCTCAAGCAAAACGATTGTTCAAACAACTAGTCCTAGGGATCACCTATGTTCATAGTCAAGATGTGGTGCATAGAGATCTAAAATGTGAAAATCTGTTGCTAGACAAAGAAAAGAATCTTGTTGTATCTGATTTTGGATTTGCGCGCGATAATTTGACGTCAGCTACGGGCAAGAAAAAGCTCTGTCATACATATTGTGGTTCTTACGCCTATGCACCTCCAGAAATACTTAAAGGTGAGTTAATTCCTCAGATCTTTTCTCTAGGTTTATTTTTTCTTTTTTCATCCTACACTTGCTACCGAGGTGAAACTGCAGACAATATTCTAGATCGCCTTTTGAAGCATTTATCATAGAATGTATGACAAAATGTTCAGTTCGGGGTGCGTATTCAAATCTCGAGCCGGTGTAGTACTTGCTTTATATATGTGATGAGTAACAGTACTTCGACTTTGATATTTTGTCAAATCCACTTTTTTTTATTTGAGTTTAAATCAGAGAGGAGAAACCATTTCCAAAACATGACTGGGTCCAAGAGCGGGATATATGATGAGATTCCTGTGATCTGATTGGTTACCAGATTGGGCAAGATGAACCCCCGGGATTACCCGCATTATCATGCCAAAAGAGAGGGAGATAATATTCATTTTCACTTTTCATTCCTAGTAACTTCTAAGGAACTTTTTATTCTTTCAAGAAAAATTTTTTTTGGTGGATTTGACTATTACACATTCAGGCGTGCCTCAACCCCTCACACCCCAAAATCAATAAGCATCTTCTCCATACTGTTCTCCACACATTTCCTAAGGTGCTGACAAGGAGAATTTGTTTAACAATCAATAGTTTCTTTAATATGTGATCATTTACCTTACTCTCGGAACCTTAAATGTTTGATTCAGGGGTGATATTGTAAGGAGAAATTAGATGCTAGACACTGTTAAGGTCAAAGGGTCAATACCGCCAAAGGAAGGAAATATATAAAAAGGTTTCACGATTCATCAGGCAATTCTGATGGTCCCTTTAGGAATCGCTTATGATGCTACATTAGCAGACGTATGGAGTATGGGGGTGATTCTGTACACCATGGTTTGTGGTCGACTTCCTTTCGATGATTCCAACCTACGGAGTCTACTGCAACAGGTTCACCGCAGAGTCAACTTTCCTTCAAAGATTAAAATCGCTGAACCTGTAAAAGCCATCATCCACAAAATGCTACAATGGAACTTAACTGAGCGAGTAACGGTAGAACAACTTAGAACTGACCCATGGCTGACCGAAGAGAAGATTGAGAACGAGGTCGAGATAGCCTCGTCATGAAGTTGAAGCAATCAGCATGCCAAGATAAAAAAGAGAATTATAGTGTCCTCTTTGTATCGATTGTGACCATGGAAAACCCTCTTTTGGCGTCAATGCCATTTAGTAAATGGGGAGACTATTCTTTAAGCACCCAAACAGTAACCAGAAGATATCATTGGAGATTATTTATTTACTGGTTGTGTCTCAAATGAGCGTTCACCCAACTCTGGTCCAATGTTTAAAAAAGAGCCCGACTAAACGTAGAGGCCTCCATTCAGTTTAGAAGGTCAAAATTTAAAAGAGGGACAAAGTCTAATGCATAATTCACATCAACCGGCTGAACTAGGAGTTCAAAAGTCTCTGAACGAGAATCTGATGAAGAACTAATATCATGCAACGAACTTGCTCATTTGAGCAGTAAGGGATCATCTCAAGTATTATTCAACTGTCGTTCTCTTTGAATATTCTTCAGTTATTGTTAGCATCAAATTCTTGATCACTCGCCGAAAATTCTCTCGTTTTTTCTTTGAAGGCTTGAATTTCACCTTTCTTTATAATGTTAGAGATCTCTTGCGCGCTAGGAAGCCTTTCTTTGTTCTTCTCGTCTTCACTATTTTTTTCCTTAATTATGTCACTTTTAAAATTTTCATTGGAGCTGACGTCATTCGTATTATCTTGTAATTCTTTATCTAAATCGCCACCAGGAATTTTGAATTCACCTTCGTCCAGTTCCAGGTCCTCCCCGTCCTCGATCGCGGCGGCTTCCTCATACTCCTCATCATACATTCCGGGCTCTGCGTACACGGGTACGAGGCGCGTAAAAACCTGCAATCTGTGATTCTTAGTATCTGCTACAATTATGTTTCCAGTGGTATCTAAGACAACATCATACGGGGTATCAAGACATCCCGGATCCAAGCCGATCGTTCCGAACGACCCAAGAGGTTCACCTGACAAAGAAATCGCCTGGATTCTATGATTTCGACTGTCTGCTACCAAAATATTGTCATCATGATCAAGTGCAATCCCTCTTGGGCAAGCAAACTTGCCTGCTCCAACCCCTTGCACGCCAATGGTTCTACTCTCCTCCAGGCTATCTTGACTGAAGATTTTCAGGCGATGATTTTCGTATTCCGACACAATGACGTCACCGTTCCTTCTAACTGTAATGCCCATGGGGTGATGCAAGTCATGAAGTCCTCCAATGAAGCAAAGAAAACTCCCATTAAAAGTGAATTTTTGAATTCTGTGGTTTGCTTTGTCAGCGGCGTAGATATTTCCTTGAATGTCAAATGCCACAGCACTTAGCTCCGGTCGTTTGTCATTCTTGCTGTAGACAGGCAAAATTGGGCGAAGAAGTTCACCTTAAAGAGATATGGAATATATCAGTAGAGGAAAAAGGTCGTAATTTTTCTGAATAAAGGGGGTAAGTTTCAAAAGAAACTGTGGTGCCGCGTCGGTGGGGGTATAAGGAAGACAAATTGGTTTTATATACTGAGTTGATAAAGTAAAATTGGCCTCCGTAAAGTTTCTAAAGCTGACGTTTTGAGTGTTAGCCCCTTCTCATTCTGCCTCGTTTTGAGGCTTCCTCCTCGGCTGTTGCGTGGCGGGCATGGTATTTTCGGCCTAACCATCAAGCACATCGCATCTTGTTTTTTTTACGCTTTTCTCTGGCTAATAGAAACAGTAGCTCATGGGGTTAAGGCAGACAATGAAATGACGAGAAAAAGATTCTCTTATAACTGAAGATTGACAGATTGTGAGAAACAGACGCCCGTGTTACCGCTAATTACCAATGCTTTAAAGAGGCACCTTTCATCAGTTTTGAAAATTTGGTAGGAGAGGAGGGGGATTAACAACAGCCTATCTAACCTGTTTTGCTAAACACACGTAAAATTTGCGAGTCAGTCATCACCAGATCTCCTCGAAGACTGACTGCTAAGGCGCTTGGTCGGCTTTTCCCACCCAAAACTAATGGCTCCCGTGCAATGTTACCGTTCACGTCTAGAATTTGAATACGCGCGTTGCCATGATCAGCGACGTAAATATATCCTTGTGCTCGGTCGACAGCCACGCTGGTGGGAGACTGAAACTGAGGAGGATTCACGCGTTTCCCTTTTCGACCAATCACATTTGATTCTCGTTCAGAAATTTCGCCGTAGTCCAGAACCTATGGGGGAAAACGTGAGCATTCGTTGTAAAATAAAGATGTGTAAGGAGTGAAAAACATGTTCTTACGGATGCGTGTGTTTAAAGGAGCACGGTCACGACCCGGACATGCGCAATGGGTTCCTCTCGCAGGTACCTCTCGAACACATTTTCATACGGTCCGCCATATTGAACTCGGAAAGAGATAGATCAATCTACTTTTTGTTTCTTTGGTTTTTGTCTTTCAAACGGTAATGTAAAAAAGAGGTACACGGAGGTAGACGAAATAGAGAGAGAACGAAGGGGAGTGGGTACCAGTAGTAATGGACAACTGTTTACTTCCTTCCTTTAGCCGTTAATTCGTTTGTGGCCTTGCTGACTGAGAATAACCATGCGCAATGCTTCAGGAATGTACTCTTATCGTAAACGGTATCTGGTTATTCGAATTTCAGAGAGGCAAAGAATCCCTTATGAGTTAAGTGATTGAGATAAAATTCATAGTACTGGAGAGAAAGCTTTAGATAATGAACTCCTTATAAGCATTGGAGCCCTTGTTACCACCTCCTAAGTTATTCTCAGACTTAAGCGCGATGCATTTATTCTCGTGGTAAAAATGTCACATAAAGTACACGCATTGCTTGGATGGTCTATTTAATTTGGACAGATCAATTTGAATAAAACTTCACACCACCTACCTTGTATTCCAGTCTCCTTGTCAAGGGTGTCTCATTCACTGCATTACCATGGTTACCATTCAACAGATTCTGACCTCTAGTTGCTGGCCTTGAGAAAGGTGTCAGCGGTTTCATTCGTCGTGTATCTTCCAGCTCAAGCGAAAGACTCTCCAGTTTTTCTTGCAAGTCCGCCGAAGCTCGTTGATTTTTCCTGGCGCTTTGCTTGAGAGCACGTACCTGCATCAAAGAGTCATGAATACTATCCTCTAGGACAATCAAGTCTTGCGTTTTGTGTCTGATCTCTACATGAGTAGTCCTTATCATGTCCAGAGCATTCTGATGTTTTGCGATGAGTTCATCCTCCTCTCTTTTTGTTTTTTCGTTTTCCTCTTGCTTGTCCTTTAGTTCTTTTTTAATCGTCGCGCTGCTATGATTTTCGTCCAATTTCTGTTTAATTTTGTCCATCTCAACTTGTTTCTTCTTTAGGAAGAATCGAACCGTTTCCAATTTTCTCTCAAATGATTCTATATTGCTTTCATACTTGACTATCTTGCTTTTCAAACTTTGAATTATTTCCTCAACGATGACCATATTTTCGTTGTTTGCCTGGATTTGCACCTCGGATTCTTTGATCTGATTAGAGATTTCTACATCTACATCCTCGCACGTCCTTATCTCATTTTCCACATTCTCGATCATGCGCAGTAAGGTCTCCCGTCTGTTGTTCAATCTGGAGGCTCGTTCACTTTGTTGTCGCTCACCTAAGAAGAAAGGATTAGGTCAGCGTCTTGCCTTTGAGACCACGGGCAGACCACCTTATGAATGTGTTGACATATGAAAGAAATATGAGAACTGTGTGGCGGCTGCGAATGAAATACTGAAACGCATTTGGTCTGAAAATCTCAATGTGAATGCATTGAAGTGCCATTGTTTTCGTTTAGGTCTGCGTCGCTCATAGTTGTTTCAAAATTTAATTAAGACGGGTGGATAAAAAAATCCCAGGCCATTACACTTTTTCTCCCTCAAATAATAGCTCATATCCGCTCTTGAAGATCTTACAATTCAACTAAAAAAATTTCGATTAGCTTAACCTAAATTAACAATTCAAGATTCAATACTGATTTGAAAACAGCCTCAAGCACCTTTTGCTAAAAGCACGCGTATTATAGACAACCTATACCATCTATCAAAAGAAGAAGAAGGGTCCTGAGAGAATATTTGCTAAAGAGCGCGTCTTCGTTTGCGCGTTAATAGCTATTCTACAGCGAGATTAGCTAAAACAGTTCATGATAATTAACTGCGAATACTAATTACACCTCAGGGACATTTTGTGCTTTTGGGTGAGTAGTTGTCTTAGTCAGATAGTTTGGTTTGGTTGTTCAAACGTCGCTTTTTTTGCAATGTAATGCTAACGTTATCGTTCCTTTATCAACATTAAGGTGACATTAGAGAAATTATGACATTTTAATTTCTTTTTGAATCGTTAGACAAAGCAAACATAAGAAAAAGCCGGCACAAAAATGAAGCAGTTCAAAACTTTGTCGTTGTCTATCAGTGTTACAGTCGTATCATCAAAACTTGCTTCTTGGAATGAAGGTGCGAACGTCTTGAATTTTTTCCACAATTAATTTGTAGGAAATCTCGCAAACTTTGTTTCTGCTAATCGCGCACGGTACTGCATAAAAATAATGTTTACTAAGGCCAAAGAAAGAATTATCAAGACGTCATGAAAGAAATCTATTTTTGCGAAACGCTTTTCAAAGTATCGCGATTTATCTGAGCGGATCTTAGTGGAAATATGAATCTAGTATCAGCCCTTTCTAGCGATAAAGAACCAGATGACATCCACGTAAGTTGTTGAAAATGAATCAACCGCCAGATATTTAAATTGTAACGAGGTTACCAGTGCTAATTTGAATAGCTCCTAATCAGGATTTAACACTCACCAATAATTGTCACAGAAGTGAATTTTTCCCTGAACTCATCCACTAAGTGAACTTGTTTAAGACACTTAGCTTCTATCAGAAGCTTTCTCATAAACGCCAGTTTCTTCTCGGTTACCAAACCTCTTTTTCTAAGCAGTTCAGTGAGCTCCTGTCCTGAATCGAGATGCTCTAATGTCTCCTTATTTACGTGTCCTTGTAGCAGATACTTCATGTAATGGACATCGCTGAGCTTTAAATCTTTCCCAATGTCATGAAGAAGAACGTGGAAAGGTGTGCTGTTTACCACTACCGCCGACATCGAAGAATATACCCCAGAAACTTTACTGACTTACCGGAGTCGTCGCCTGGCTGTTCCCTGGTTACATTCCGGCTAACATCGAATTTACACAATTAACATACTATTTACTCTATTCTTTCAACTCTTTTCACGCGTTGCTTAGAGAAAAACAAAAGCGAGGAGTATTGTCAAAGATAAAGTCAATAATTGAACTAAAATCCTATTCTTGATGTCATTAGTGCAAAAAAATTGGACAATGTTCCGGTGGAGAGTATTTCAAAGACGGGGGTAAAGGAATTTTTTGTATTCTGACGGTACTTGATGCTCATTTAAATCAAAAGCTTATACGGTAAAAGGGGTAAGTTTTCAAAGGAACTGTGGTGCTGCGTTGGTGGTGGTGGTTGTGGGAGGGGGGTGGGGGTATTATTGGTCAATTTAGTTTATCATATATGTAGGGCCTTTATGGATAGCAGTTTTCATCTTGTGCAAAAACTGAAGGAGCTACCCTATTAAAATAAAGGTTTCTTACTTACTTACTTACGAGATAAATGTTTATTTCAACTGCATGATTTCGGCATTGAATGTGAATGTCTGAGCGTACGTTTCGTGGGCAAGCCCTTCGTCAGAGCGAATAGAGGGTTATATGCTTCTGTTTGAATGTCATCTAGAGTTTTCATCGAGTACATTAGAAAAATGGTCATCCAGTTTTGCGCTGGCGGACCGTCCATACATACATACAAGAAGATGAGTTGGCTCATATTTCTGATTAAAAGTTGGGTCTTTCTTTCAGTCCTTTTTCAAGTCATTATTTTCTTTTATCAACACTCAATACTATGGGTCAAAAAACATAGTCTGATCGGGAAAGAAATTTTAAAAATTCTCCAAATGCGCTGTTACAGTAATTTTGCCTACACGACGTAAGTAAGTAAAGTAAAGCCTTTATACGGCACGACGTAAACTAAGCTAAAAAATACCTCACTTTGGCATCAACTACTTTTTGCAGCTTAAACTAAAAATTACTTCTCTTTCCGCTTATTTAAGACTTCTTTCTTTCTTAAACGTATATTTCCCAGGCCTTGAGAGTAAGATCATAAATTTGCATATTTTTTCCAATAATTCTGGAATTTGTACGACCTACTTCAAGGATAGGAAAAATCGCAGAATAACCTCAAACTCAAATAGTCGTTCCCCCCCTTCCTTTCCTACTTCAGACGACCTTCAAACGACTGTTGGGGGAGGGGACAACCTTGGAGAAAATAGTAAGGAGAAACAACTACACTTTCTCCAATTTCGCTCGTCATCAAAGCAGAGGCGAGCATTCTCAATTTAATTTTCAAGCTTGAAGCAGTTAGGTATTTCAAAAGGATCATTGCACAAGTATTAAGATGAGTGTTGGTTCTCCTCCGAAAAAGACGTTTGGCAGAAAAACAGCCGTATCAGCCCTATGGAATCTTTCATTTACTGCGGTTGAATTGAAAATGTAATCATCAGTCGGTCAGAGAGGAAAAATATATTCTTTATAAATGATATTCACAATAGCACACAAAAAAGGCAAAAACAGAAATTTCAATATCACTTCCACATTAACTTGGCAGTAACAGTAGTTAAATATCCTTGGACATAAATAATGCATGAACAAGTATAAGGGAAGTACTGAAATTACAATATTAGCATTGTAAAATTTTTGAAACTGTTGTAATATCAAATATGACAACTTTTAAATAACAAAATCCTTATTGATATCAAGCAAAAGTCGTAGACACTAACATATACATTCTTGATAATTTATGACTGTTAACAGAATTAAATCCCTTCTCTTGTAATGCTGGAGAAAATTTATGTGAGAAATTTGTCACTATCCCAATCAATTAATTGTATTGTTTTTGGCCGAGGTAAATGCAAGAAATATAATAATGATAATATCTATTTAACAATGCCTTATGCCTAGTCAATATATGTACTACACTAGGCAAGTCTCACATTGCTAGGGATAATTCTGACCTCAGGGAGGGAAATTAAATAGTAATTCATTGCCTTTCTGGATCTGCTCTTAAGTTGGAATTATAATTGGTATATAATACAGTATTGAAAATGATAATAACAATAATGGCAATAGTAATAATAATTCTAACCATAGGAAAGAAAGATAAATAGCAATTTAGTACCTTTCTGGATCTGCTCTTAAGTTGGAATTATAATTGGTATATAATACAGTATTGAAAATGATAATAACAATAATGGCAATAATAATAATAATAATAATAATAATAATAATTCTAACCATAGGAAAGAAAGATAAATAGTAATTCAGTGCCTTTCTGGATCTGATCTTAGGTTGGAATTATAATTTGTATACAATATAGCATTGAAAATGATAATGACAACAATGGCAATAACAATGATGGTTGCAGAATCATTGACCCAGCCATATGTTTACAGAAGTTAAATGCTCATAATCAGAGGCAACAATGTGTTTAGGGTTCTTCATCAGATGAAAACAATGGTGCTTTTTTAGGGCTCTTGTTCTTAGGATTACAAATCACAGCTGTGTACCGCTTGTTTGAACCCTTTTGTACTTTGTCAATCAGCTTCGTTAATTTTGATGGCGAAGGCATGTTGCAGAGGAAACTACCATTGTGGACATAAGAGGGTGCGCTTTCCCTTGATCGAAGATTGTAGCGTACTGATGGACTTGAATTATGACCCTGACAAACATAAAAAGGCAAAAATCATAAAAAGGAAGGCGGCATAGAAATATGGGAGAACAGTATCATTGGAAAGAAAAGGAAAGTTTTATTCCATGGGAACCTCTTCATAACCAAATTCTGGTTGTATATGGTTTTTTACACCTGAACAACACAAACACAAAGGAAATTTCAGACAAATCTAACCCTTTTGTTACTACTTGTTCTTCTGGACACTGCAGGGTTTGTCTTTTTAGGTGTTCCTTTGGCTTTCGTTCCAATCACTGGTGTTCTCACATCTGGTATGGCGTCTTCAGTCTCAGAATCATCTTCCTCCTCTTCCTCATTGCTATCATCAGAAAAACTCCCCAGGTCTGACTCACCAGGTACATAACTCAAATCAGACTCATCATCACTATACAAGTTTTGTGCACAATTACTGATGGGACCATCTTGTAAATCACATATTTGGACATATTTTGTACAACCAGGATGTGTAATACTTGGCATTGAATGTCTGCACACAAAAAATATTAGAATAACATTAGGCACTTGTATGCGGCTGACATTATGCTGGCTTGCTTGATCTGTGGTCTGCTAACATGGCTGAATCATTTTTATTACATCCCATGCTCTGTAAAAAAGGTAAGATGACACTACTGGTATTCATGTGACTGGCTACCACAGATGCTGACAAAGGCATACAAGAATAAGAATGTTCCCAACATACAAGAACATTCACTTTCACCGTAGACCCCTACTGATGTGACCAGCTATTTGTGACACTGTTAACAGTTTTGCAGTGAAATAGAGATTTCTTGCTGAGTAATGTTTCGCTGCTCAAAGAAGTCAACTTTAAACAGGTTTGTTATAAAAAAAACATGGTTTGTTATAACAGCCAGAAATATAAGCCTGAGTTTATGAACAAAAACTGCTACTTTACAAGTCACCAAACTAACAAAACCAATGATTAATGTTTACCCTGGTATCTTTTTACGAAGTTCTTATTAGTTTTTTCATACATACTCATAAATTATATATATTGATGAATATTGTTACTTGATGTCAATTTGTGGCACATTTCCCAATTGTAGTGTTACCCACAGATAAGCTGCACCCCTAACTTGCTCCAAAAATTTTGGGGAAAATGGAGCAGCTTATTTGCCAATGTTCACTGTATACAACCTCTTGGAGTTCTCCTTTGCTCATGACAATGACAACAAAAGCAATAATACTTAAAAAAAAGTACCAATATCGGATTTACCTGCTCTGCACAGGCTGAGGTGAAGAGTCTCCATTTGTAAGTGCCTTCAAACTTTTGATTGTCTCCTGCCATCGCTTCATATCTCGAATCTGAAGCTGCATCTCACAAAGCATATTAAAGTTGATTTTGTTGTAATCTTGATATTGGTATCCAACAACCATTATCACAATAGTTGTGATAATGATGAATAGCTTTCTCAAAAACCAAAGTCTTGAGTGTATGGCTTCCTGTGAGACAAATGTGAAAAGTAGTGGTCAGGAATATCAATAAGTATACTATTGAGACTCGTAGGAGATTAAACAGTTATAGTGTAACTTACAGATTTCGCTTTCTCTCTAAAACATATGAAAAGTTTGCCTTGTGATTAACATGATTTTACTTCAAGGAGGCTTACTGATTAGGAGCCTGACTTCCATATTGAGCCCTTTATGGAATTCATTGTTTTCTGTTATTAACCCTTTAACTCCCAAGATCTCATTAGTAATTCTCTTTACAGTTTGCCATACAGTTCTTGTGTAGTTAGTTGGGAGAATTGGTATTAGATCAATTCATAATCCCCTAATTGATATTTTTCTTTATTCTCATCACTTGTCTGCTTGATATTGTAAGGAGAAATTCTATCTTGGTCACTCATGGGAGATAAAGGGTTAAGAAGAACAAATAACTCTCGAAGTAACTCTCTTCAAAGTTTATGGACAGAGACAAATAATAATAATGACAGCAACATCATATGATCTAATTCACTTAAAATAGGCCATTTTACAGATGTGTGCTAAGTTGCCAAGCCTTTGGTTTGGAGTGAGGCTGAAGGTGGCCATGTTGTGATAGAAACCAATATTTAGTTAGCATGATAACAAAGTAATTTACATTTGAAAAGCAACAATGTTTGTATCATAAAAAGGTCACCATTAGCCTCACTTCTATTCAAAGGCCTGGCAACCAAGTAGGCAACTGTAAAATGGACTATTGAGGATCAGCAGGAAATGCAGACATAAGATTTCATAATCTTATTTCTCCAATTTTTCACAAACTGTGGTGCTTGTTTGCAATTTACCAATTAACATATCTTCAGTTTACCAAACATTCTGAATTGTTTAGTGGCTTGTTTCAGTAGTTGAAGCTTCACACAAAGCTGCTGTCACTAATTTTTTTCCCACCATTCCTGCAATGTGGCAGAATTTTCAATAAATGAATAAAGGGGTTGAGTTTCTTAGGAAACTGTGGTGCTGCACAGGTGTGAGGTATGACAAGATAATTTGGTTTCATCAACTGAGTTGATAATATACATTAGCTATTGTGAAGAATTATAAAGCTTACATTTCAAGTGTTAGCCTTTCATCAGAGGGAATGGCAAAGGGCCAACCTTTGAAACGTCAGAGTATTCATTATGCACATACAGTAATTAAAACACTACAAGTACTATGCCTTACTGTGTTGGTTGACTGGGTGTCTGTCACCCCATAAGATGTCACCAGCCGCTCACTGAATATGAGAATAAACAACAAAACGAAAATCGGGAGTCTGCCAGCTGCCGTGCGTGGAGTGCTTGTCAGGAAATAACATGAACATACTGCAGCAATGTAGAAAGCTACAGATTGTAAACTTATGAACTCTCCAAGAATCATTGATTGCAGTCTTTGGACCTTTTCCACACTTTTGAAGACACCATCAAATGTTTCAGTGAATAAAGCTTTTTGTTCGACAGCATTTTGCTTCATGTCCTCGAAGGCTTCCCTTGCTGTTGACGTGGAGTTCTTCAGTGTCGCAGATAACTGGATTTCATTTGATATGATTTCCTTCTGGTTTTCAAGGGAAATATTCTGTGTTTGTAGTAATAGGATTTGTCTTTGGGCAGACTCCTCCAGCTGAGCAGAAACCTGTCGGGAAGTTCTTGATAATTTAGAGATTGTGCCTTCTGTTCTTGCTTGCCACAACTCACTTTTCACGTAGAAACAGATGTTAGTCGTATGAGCAAAAAATGTCGTATACGCTAGATATGTTGTGTCGTCCATTGATCCCGTACATTTCTCAACTGATTGCGTCTCTCTCGAACAAGAATAGATTCTTCTCCCTGATTTTGACAAATGGCAGTTTGTAAAATCGATTGCCAGGTAGCTCTGTTCCACGTCTCCAAGAGTCTTGCATCGTTTCTCGATCCCTCCAACAGCTTTCTTCCAACAATCACTGCTCTTAGCGTTCGCCGTGAACTCTTCCAATTTCGATTTCCCAGCTTGTAGCTTTTCATTAGAAAAAAGTTCAAAACCAGCTTCATTCATTGCGTTCGGTGAGTCGGCAGTTATTCTTCTTAAAAGCAAAAGAAATAGAATTGCATAACAGTTGCAAAGCACCATTTTGCCTTTTAAGTTTTGGCGCGTCAACTAGGTACCAGTTACTAGGTATAAGTCATAGACCTCGCCTGTTGCCTTGGTAACGGCTTCGAAACTGTTTGGTAATGGAAAAGGAATTGGGGAACGACGGATTTACGAATCACTAGACTGAAACTGTCATGTGTGCAAGAAAAATGCGTTGCGAGAAGTAGACAGAAGAGTTTGGAGACGGATGAATTTACTTGAATATTCTACAACCTGGGGAAGCATTCAATGTTTTTCTGGGAAAACGTCAACTACACCTGGGATAGGTTTATCACATGTGTGTCAAGCGACCAATGCAGCGTTCAGAAACAAGAAGCAAAGAATAAGTGAGATTAAAAAAATCCACGTTCAGAAAAATACTCACAGATGTGGCCCTTCCTTTGATTGATAAGAACCCAAAACACCGCAAACAAATTAAATTAAGTCAAAGCTCAAGGAGCGATTCGACGGCGGAAACGGGGGTGGGGTGAGGGGAAATGGAGTTTGGACGCAAGAATCGAAGCGGTAATATGAAGGAAAGACAAGACTCCACAAATAAATGACTTGTGCAGGCAACCGCATCATCCGCATGCGGCTCATTATTATTCTGAAACAGGCTGTGACGTACCAAGCGTTAATTTCGAAAGAGCTTGGGGCAGAGTCACGAAGTTTCGTTCCGAAGAATACTAAATCTGTTGAAGTTTGAGAAACCTTTTGTCGGAATTTCTGCAAGTCTCGAGAAACTTCAAAGTTTCATCATTAGTCGTTTAACAAGTGATATTATGAGTGTTGTTGAAAAGTGTGATAAGAAAAAATTTCTTATCGCAGCTGTGGTGATTTTCGTATTGTTGATAATAGGCCTTGCTATCGGACTGACCGCTAAGAAGTATCAGGCCGAGAAAAACTTACCGTATGCAACGGAGAAATGGGAGCTGCCAACAAGCTACAAAGTCCGCAGACCCAAAGGTGTGAACCTATACAAAGATATACTGTACCTGACTCCAGAGGAAGATGAGATCGGGCACGCGAGAAAGTGTGTCGCGTGTGCTTGGACTGTTTACATGTTGAACCAAAAAGAGGAAAAAGCTGTGACAATCAAACAAAAGCTTTTTACCTGGACAGCAAAGTATGATATCAAAGAGGAATGGAAAACCAACTCGACAAGCTACAGGATCGAATATAGTTGGAGCTCGTCGAGTTTAACGAAAGATGTCTTCTTGATCAAGAATTCGAAAGACGAAGAAATTGCACGCACCGATCGCTTTCGTTTCGAACTTGGCAAGACAATCACACTGAAAGAATCCAAGTCTGGTTCAAGTTTGGGAGTCATTAAACGTCCAGCATTTCAGTTTTATCCGACATGGGAAGTAACAATCTACAAAAAAGACGCTGTTGTGCCGACGTATATGTACGCGGCTCTTGCAACTGTAACCACACTTCGGGAAGCAGAAGACGACAAACGTTGAGTGAGTCGTCTTGGTACGAACCTTCATATACTTTTAGAAGTGGTGCATTTTTACTTCTCTTTGGGTGAGCATTACTCTAGGCTAGGTTGTTAACAATCTGCCCAATCGATTTTACATGAGGGTGCCCCCAACCCCCTTTAAGGAATCTGATGAAATCCTATAATTATAAAACAGCCCCTTTGATTTCAAAAACCTCAAAATATTCATAAAATTAACTTAAATGCTTTGTTAAAAAGAATCGAGCTTCACCATTACAGCAAACTTTTCTTTCAAATAGATAGAAAAATTTACACTCCACCTTGAAGATCATGTTCCTTTACGGGTTGGGGATGGTGTGGGAATCAAATCTGACCATGAGCAGTGCCATGTTTTGCCTCAAGTGCAGAAATTTTAAAGGAAATATTTTTGATATTTTAAATAGCCATGACATTTTAATGATCATGTGATATGCCATTACATTGAGCAGTTTTTGTAGTACTTTTTGGTTTCAGTGGTTTGTCTCCTGTGGTAGAAGAGGCTAAGCAGTAACTAATATAGTTGGTGTTACAGGTTCCAGACTGAACGGCCAAGATTTTAATGGAAATTCTGAGTTGGGTGATCAAAAATAGTTATTGTCTTGTGTTGATTGTCACCATGTGACATATTAACTTTGTAGGTTTAAATTTTTGCACGTAAGGCAAGTGGCAGTTCATAATCTTTGTAATCAGACCCACTCAGGGAAGTTCTCTACTAGAGTACTGTTCAATGTTGAAATATGTTCTGCTGGCACCAAAAATTGCAAAAAAAATTTTATTAGGAATTTCAGTTGACTTAAACTGTAAAACTTTGTTCTCACAACTTCTCCAGAGTGAAATGTTTGTAGAAAATTGTCATAGGAAATTGAAATGAAAAAAAAGACTGAAAATAATTATTTTCAATTACTCTTTTAATTTTTTAATCACAGTAATAATTTTAGGAGTAATTCTCAACTGTGATACTATACCTGACTGACACATTCATTAGGACATGTGCCTTTGTGTCAAGTGTTGACATAGGCCTGAAACCAATCTAAGTGGTCTTGAAAGATGTAATTAAAGTGTTCTCCATATCTGTCCTCTGAAATACAGTACATAATGGCCGTAATTGAATTTTTCTTTGAGAAAGATGATCACCCACCTTTTTAATGTGTGTATAATTGAGTGCAAATTACACTCAATAGTATTTATGCAGCAGAATCCATTACCTGTGGTGTGAAGCTGAGATATATTCTAGATGAAGCGTAGTATTAAGAATGCATTATTAATTAATCTACAAATGATGATAAGTAATAAGCTATGGAAGTGAACCTCGTGGGGAGGACATTTATTACTTAATTGTTGTTGCGAAAAGGCTACATTTTGAACATTAATTTTTATGGTTATCATTGTCTACACTTCAATATACTATTTATCTTATTTATTCATGATCAGTGTCAGAGTTGCTTTGTAAACATGTGAATCTGGTGCAGAGAAGGAAGAGGCTCAGAGCCACTTTAATTTTCATAAAATTGAACTGTTGCAATCCAATAAAAAGGAACCCCAAATGGTGTTAGGAAGTCTCCAGTGTGCAGTGTGCCATGTTTTCTGTACTCAGTCATCTCCTCTGATTTCTAATAATGTATAAGAAGGCATTTTGTCAAAGAATTCAGTCTCATAACATGTAGATACACTTAGTGCAATCCTGATGAAACAATCTGTGGAAAGTTTAGGAGACTAAACATTTTGCTAAATTAATTTCAAACTACTATAGTAATTGTAATAATTTCTGCACTGAAGTGTGAGTTGCTCTGCTCTTCTAAATCTTTGTTTATGTGGTGGGGGGAGGGGGAGGGGGTGGGAGGGGTTTAAAGCCTCCTTCACCATCCCTTCCACTGCCCTGCAGAGAGTAAAGGAAGAAAAAGACATGCAATTACCCTCAAGGATTCCAACCTGGAACTGAGGAATAAGTTTCTGTTGCATTTTCCTGTATATGACAGAAATCCAAATTTAATGGAATTGGACGTAATCGCTTGTTATAAGCTTTGTTCATACACCTTGAAAACTGAATTTTAAATAATTTTAAAACAAAAGAGATAGGAGAAAAAAGATGCAGAGAGGTAAAAAGTTCTCTATAGAAATCTCCTTTTTTACTGTGATGTAAAACTATGTTAAGTTTTGGTAACTATTGAGTTGAAACTATCAAACTCATCTATCTCGCCATCTTTCATGACCAAAATCATGACACAGTCTTTGATGGTGTTCAGTCGATGAGCTATGGTGATTACTGAGGAGCCCTTCAGTTTCTCTCGCACTATCCTCCAAATTGTTTGTTCTGTGTCTGGATCCACATGTGCAGTGGGTTCATCTAGGATGACAATTTTTCATTTATGCAAAAGAACACGAGCCAATCAAATTAGCTGTCGTTCTCCTACACTGAAGTTTGCACCATGCTCTAACAACTGGTGATCTAGTTTTCCTTCCAAATTTTCCACTAATTCTTTCAGTTGAACGATCTCTAAGGCTCGCCATAACTCCACATCTTGGAACTGCTCTACAAGATCGAGATTTTCTCTCAAAGATCCACTGAAAAGGACAGGACGCTGGCCTAGTACGGATACACATCGCCGAGACACTTGAAGGTTAATGTCCTTTACTGCGATGTCATCAATCATTATGGCACCTTGGGCATCTGGCATGCGCAGAAGAGCTGCCACTAGAGATGACTTGCCGGCTCCCGTTCGCCCTGTGACACCAACATTGGTTCCACCTTTTATATGAAGATTAACGTTCCTTAATACTTGAGGTCCCCCCGGGTAGTAAGTCATTGACAAGTCTTGAAGCGTGATGTCTCCTTTTGATGGCCAGTGTTCCGGGGGAAGTTTTTTCACTTTGTAACCAGGTTCATGATCAAGTTTGGTGTACGTCATAACTCGTTCAACTGACGTCATAAAATTCTCAACTTCGGCTGCTTTTCTGACAGTGTAATCCATCAGTTCTACACTCTCAAGGACGTAAACAAGCCCGAGTCCAGCGAACGCTATTCATAGAATAAAAAAGAAAAGAGAACCGATGTCATGAACATTTTATTAACACTCTATGTTTTTATTAGTTATCTGTTTAAGGTGTTAGAAAACGAAAATCAGTTAGTCAAATACGAGCATTTTTAAGTTGATAGGTAGCAGATGAAAGTAATAGAAAAATCTTTAAACAAACATCTAACGAATAATTTCAAAATCCACTGAAAATATTGGTCATAGTTACTACTGCATTTTACAAACAGGGTCCGATAGAAAATGATCGTATTTTGCAATAAATTAATCTCGAGATTAAGAAGCTTGTTTAAGTGGCATGTACCAAACGTCTTGCAAACATGAGGAAAATGGTTTGAGAGAAGTAATCAGAGGGCTCTGTCCAACTACAGACATCCTGTGATGCGATAAATTTCTCAATTGACAGGTGGTCAGTGGGGGATTATGCTATTAGATACCTACCAGCATCTTGAGAAACAAAGATCGCCCCCAGAGCCACTGTACACGTCAGGAGGGAGATAAGGAATGACATACGCACACCAAGCCATCTCTCACAGGCCAGCACCATGATATACGACTGAGTGTGAACATCCTGACATCTGAAAGGAGCGAGATGAAATTAACACGGCGCATGCACACCTAATCGGAAGGACTTAACTCCTGATTCTACTCTCGTGCAAGTTCACAGTAAAGTTTCATACTAAACAGAATAAATTTCTTCTTTGATGCTCACCAATTTATTTCCAGGCTATCTGTTGGCTACGTTTTACAGTACTGTGAATCACTTCAGGGGACAATTAGCCCCAGGAAAAGCCATGGTATTTGAGCCAAAAGGTAATATACGTTCTTCGACTTTGCTGATTTTATCAATGTGCAGAACGCACGATAAGTAAGAATTAAGAATCACTTAGGTCATCGTTTAAGTTCTGTGTTGCTCGGTATTAGAGAATCAGAGCGTGAGATATTCAAATGGTTTCTCTGTCCCTCTCCCGTGACAAGACAAATATCATCTTTCTTAAACCTTGATATTGTAAAGTACAACTGGTTGATACTGCACGACATACCTGTAAAACTGTTCCTCAAAATCTTTTTGTCTTGTTCTTGTTCGAATAGTCTCCAGCCCATCTATGGTATCCGAGATGTGTGAAAACACAGGACTTCGGTTTATAGACTCTAATCGTTTCCACTGTCTGGAAGTTTTCAGGTAGTACTGAGAGATGTACACGACTGCTACTGCCATAGGAACAGCCACAAATAGAAGCCATGGATTAGCGACGGTTGGAACAAGAATCGAGGAGAGCATAGCCAAGACTAATTGGATAGCAAACAGAAACGCCTTGGGTAACACCTCGTCCATGCAGCCTGTATCTTTAGAGAATCGATTAAGAATTCTGCCAACAAGGTTTGAATCAAAAAACAAAGCAGGCGCCTCTAGAATTGCCACCGTCATCTTATCGTGAAGACGTTCGGAACATCTTACGGCGGCCTGAAGAAAGCAAAATGCTCTGGCAGCGGCAAATATGAAGGATCCAAGTACTAAACAACCAAATATGATCAGGTTTGTTTTGTCTTTCTGGTTTTCTTGACTCTCCTCAGTTAAAGATGAAAGCCAAAAGTCAGGAGAAACTATCATCACTATGAAAAAAGAGAGGACATAAAAATAGTATAAATTAACCTTTTAACTCCCAAGATCCCATTAGTAATTCTCCTTCTATCTGCCATACAGTTCTTTTGATGTTAGTTTGGAGACTTTGGTTTGGATCAATTTAAAACCCCCTTAGTGATATTTTTCTTTATTCTAATCACTTGTGTGCTTGATATTGTATTGATATTGTGAGGAGAAATTCAGTCTTGGTCACTCATGGGAGTTTTAGGGTTAAGAGGTAGTAAGTAAGATGAATCAGTTGGCAAAAGATACGTTTTTGGATGGAGATGTCAAAAATTGGTGGATATAAAAACGTGGCAAGAGCGACGATAATAATTTTGCGGGATTTCTGAAAATTTTCCTTTGTCACTTCGCAGCTTAACCCTTTCCACCCTAACATCAGTATGCATATTCTCCATACTGTTCTCTATACATTTCCAAAGGCCCTGACAAGGAGAATTTGTTTAAAAAATCAAGGGCTTCTTTAGTTGGTAATCATTTCTTTTATTCTTGTGACCTTAATGTTTCACTGAGGGGTGATTTTCTAAGGAGAAACTAGATGCTAGTCACTCTCAGAGGTTTAAGGGTTAAGTATCAAAATTTATATAAGGAATTACAAGACAAGTGTGAGTTAACTTCTCCCTCCTAAGGTGCTGACAAGGAGAATTTGTTTGCCAATCAAGAGCCTCTCAAGTTGGTGATCATTTCCTTTATTCTCGTGACCTTAATGTGTGATTCAGGGGTAATGTTGTAAGGAAAAATTATTTGGCTGTAAATACATGAAAATCATATATGTGCACTGCAGTTAAAGAAAAGGATATAGAAGCGATCCCACAGCTTTGAACCAGTAGTTGAAATTAGGCCTGAAAAAGATTCAGGCCCGTATGGGATTTGAACCCATGACCTCTGCAATACCGGTGCAGCACTCTACCAACTAAGCTAACAAGCCAACTGGGAGCTGGTCATTATGTTGTAGTGCACATACATAATTTTAGTATATTTACGGCCATTATTCACCACTTGGAAGATTTATTTTCCGCAGACTTCACCGAAGAATTGACATATCTTAATCACCGGTGAGGTAAAAGCAATAGAGGGTTCAAATTCTTGAGTCTGAAAGACTGAATGGAATAAAAGATAAACATACCCAGTTATGATGAAGTCTCAGTCTACAAAGTTAGCGAGAAACTGAAACTTAAACGAAGGCTTCCGCTAAAAACAGAATGAAAACCTATCAAGTTTACCTTGAGTGATGAAGCACAAGAAGATGACTCCAACAATCGTCATAGCATTTAATCCACTTTTGAAGTAGTCCCAATAGATCTTAAAAGTCACTCCTCCGATTATACGGTCTTCGTCTGATATTTGTAGTTCCTTGTCCTGAGTTGGTGCAGGCATTGCTTTATCCTTGACTTCTGGGTTATTTTCCTTTTCCGAAACCGATCTCGCATTGGGCTTCCTGTCTCTGAAAGGCTTTTTGCAAAGTGGATCAAGTGCAGAATCAAAAACACCCTTCTCTTTAAGCTCGGAGAAAGTACCTTTGGCCAACAAACGTCCTTTGTACAACACAATCACTTCATCGGCTTCTTTCATGTGTTCTACTTGATGGGACGTTAGCAGTCGGGTTTTGTTGCACAATATGCCTTTAATACATCTCTCAAATATATGTTGACTAACTTTCGTATCCACGGCACTTAAAGGGTCATCCAGCAGGTACAGATCTGCATCCATGTAAACCGCACGTGCCAGGCTTACTCGTGCGCGCTGGCCCCCACTGAGAGCCACGCCTCGTTCAGCTACAACCGTTTCGTCACCTTTTGGAAACTTCTGAAAGTCTTCCATCAGGGCGCATGCTTGAACTACTTGGAAGTACCTGGTTTCTTTGTAAGGTTGACCAAATAAAATGTTTTGTCTTATTGTTCCAGAGAAGATCCACGGTGTCTGTGGCGCATAAACAAGGGAAGATGGCCAGGTTATTGTTCCCTTTGCGACTGACACCTCACCCGCAATAGCTGAGAGAAGAGTAGACTTTCCACTACCCACTGGACCTGTGATGACTGTTAACTCTTGTGACGCCGTTGAAAATTGGACATCTTGCAAAATAAACACATCATCACTGAGGTTTTCTTTCGATGTTAAAATTGACACTTGCAGGGTCGCTGGCATGGCCATTTTGTGTTGTTCATCAACAAGAATACGGGGATTTTCTTCAGTTTTATGGTGTTGATCCAACGAGATTCTCGTCAGTTCGGATACATTCCCTCTCCCTTTGTCAGTGCTTTCGCTGGAGTGATCATGGTAGGCCTCGGGTAAATCTTTCAGAAGAAGGAAATGCTCGATTCTTTGAAGTGAAACAAAAGCCTCGTATGCTTCTAAGGTACCATAGAGTAGGTATATGCAAAGGCTTATTCTTGCTACATTGACGAAAGAAAGAAGCATAAACACGTTAACAGGCGTGAGGGGTTGACCAGTTAGCACCAGAGTCATGACTGACACCAGCATCGCAAATGGCACTGAAGTATACTCCAAGGCAGCAAGGGCTGACAGAACACTGCTTTTCGTACGGATAATCCTCATTTCATCACTGCAAACAGAATAAATGCATTGTATGTTATTTTTCTTTACCTTAACAAATTTGGCAATCATTAGCACAAAATTGAATGCTTCTTATGTGACATTGCTTAATATCAAATTGTGAAAAACGTCTAAACAAGAGATTGACTCTCGTAAGTGCCGAAGCCTACCGGTTTCTGTTGCGTGAAGCGCCAGGTTTTTACTTAGCATTTCGTAAGGAGTCCCTTGACAATTCTTCGGCTCTCATATGTCTTTTGAAGGGTTAAGTACAAGGACACTACACAATGATCTTAGTGACTGTTTGAGCTGGGCTTTTCGTCTGGGATTCAGTGCACAGAAAATAAGCCAACTAGTATACCAGATGTCAAAATGAACTCTAATTGGATTAATCGGGGAGCACAGCACTATCCAAATAATTTATATGGATTGTTGTGCTGCCCGCTCAGTATTATTACTTTGTTCACACGAAAACAATGTTTGCTTGCAACCGATTCGTTTACCTCTTAACTTCTGGGCCAAAAATTTTCTGCGACTTTTTTTTCCAGTAGTGGAGTTGCAAAACAGGTGTGAAGAAAGGATCTTGGCGGGTAAGCTGCTTTTAAAGCAATTACAGGAAAAAAGCTAGCAGTGTGTGTCCCTTAGATGTTAATCGAGTGCCTCTGCCACCTTAGCTACGAAGCCACGAAGCCTAAGCCCTATGATAATGAGCAGGTTCTTCTTTCGAGGAATCGAAACCAAAGAAATGAATATTGACCTTGGTTTGTTTCATTTCATTTGAGCTGCAATAAATATTTTGCCACAGCGTTCCCGACTACTTCGTAATCAGTTATTACATCTTTTTACTTACCTTCGTATCCGTTTTATTTTCCCCTCTGAATTCATCCTCCCACGCATGTGTTTTAATGGCGCGAATCCCGGAAATTACTTGGTTCAACAAAGAGAAGCGCCTATCTGAAACTGCTGCTGTGCGCCGGCGAAGTGTGGCACACAGAGAGGACAACGCTGCGAAATACGGCACCAGAAAAAAAAGGCATACGACTCCCATGAGAGCTTGCCAACCAATTAAATACACAAGAAAAACTACAGTTCCAGGTATGACAAGGGTGAGATCCAAAATGCTACCGAGAATCAACATTAACGTTTGTCCTTCCAGTCGCTGAACATCGTTTGAGAGCAGGTCAATCACGCGTCCTGTTGTAAATTTGAGTAGATCAGCCCTCTTGAGTTGTAGAATCTGTCAAAATTCATATTGCGAAATTATCGTACTGAATTATTATCATTAGATATACGGAAATTATGGGCAAATTACCCTCACACAAGTACTGATCTTCAAAATATCGAGTTTTTCCTTCCACTAAACAAAATTTAAATAAGCTATCATTCCTCCTTGGGTAAATAGCTCTGGAGTTCGTTTGTTACCTCCTATGCATCGTGCGCCATAGGCCGGAAAGATTAAATTAATAAAAAAAACTGTTTACCTTTCGATAAATAAGAGCTTTCAGAGCACTGCTCACTCCGATACCAAGTACATCTGAACGATAGGAAGAGTGTCGCATGGAAATTGTTCCAATCAAGGCACCTAATCCCATAATTATGACACAACCATACGAAAGAGGATTTTTATGTGGATCAGGTTCCATTAGAGAGGAAAGCAAGTAACCCAGAAGTAGAGGCTTGAGGAGTCGCCAAAGTCCGTACAAGGCTCGAGTGAGTACCATGATCAACGCTTCGTTGAAAGATATCATTGTAATGACGCTTTTCCAAAGTTTCGGTCTCTTCCCATTGCCTTTGCTCTTAGCTCCCTCTTTCTCCCATTGTGTCTGGAGGCGTTTGCTGTAAGAATCAGTGGAATTTTCTCTTGAAAGTGGTGCAAAGTCGCTTTCCTCTATAGTTCCTGTGCTACCTGTCTTGAAGATGTTGTCCATCCATTGAAAGAGAAGAAGAGAAATAAAGCCGTATTTTTTCGTATTTTCGCCCGTGATTATTTTCTGGTATCCATCTCTTGTCATGGTGCTATGTCTGTAACCGAAATATAATATTGCAAGAGGAAAGGGTCATAAAGGTGACGTTAAAGAGTTTAAGAGTTCAAACGAGTTTGAGTCACCTGCGTTATATTCAAACTCGGCACAACGACGGATGACATTGTTTTTGCTTTCTAACTCTGGTTCATGAAGCTCCCCGAACTTTGCTAATACAATGTATAGAGAATAATACAGAGGCGCGCGTAGGTATAGAATTTCTCTGCGAGTGTTCAAATCGATAGCTCACGAACACGAGAAGAATAATTCCGTATCTACAAGCAACCATGTATTATTTTGTTTATCGTATAAACACTATAGACCTTCACTGACAAGAAAAGTCGACTTTATTAATGAATGAAAATAAAAGAATCGACATCCCCGAATAAAAATCGTAGAATGCGTTGGCACTAAGGCTCAAGACGAAAAACTGCGTTGAATCATGATGACAAAAACAACAATGGGCGTAATTTTCAACTTAAAAAATTCTAATTTATTGACTTTGTCCTTACCGACAGAACAAATCTTCTGGTAAACGGCCAAAATTGACCTGTGGCAAACCTTCCAGTTGTCGATTTACGAATACGTAACTTTCAGTTTTTCTTTTCGGGTATTGGTTTTCTTCCCCTTCTAGGAAAGTTTTAATGTCACTGTCTGTCAGCGATATACGGATTTTCCAATGTTTTAGCCGCCATAATCCGAGAAAATTCCGACAAACTTTTTTCACGTATGTTGTTACGATGGTTATCCAATACCACGGCTTGATAGAAGTCGTCTAAAGTATTCACGAGTCGTACGATTTGTCGACCATGGATATTCATTATGGACACCATGGAAACGAAACGAGTCGTAAGGCTGTGCTGTCTATTCATGAATGTCATTAGGGAGACTTTTTTCACCACTTGAGAGAACTGACCCCTGATTGTGGTGGTTAAAAAATCTCCCTAATGACACCCATGGATAGACAGCACAGCCTTACGACCCGTTTCGTTTCCATGGTTTCCGTAATAAATATTCATGGTCGACGACTCGTTCTACTCGTACGAATCGACGCACCATCAGGGCTTGGTGGTGTGAGGTGAAAAACTTTTAGTCTCCCTAGTGAAGGGCACGGGCCGTACGACTCGTGAATACATTAGAGAACTCGTACGACTCGTGAATACATCAGACAACTCGTATCGATCCGTAGTGTTGGATATGCTTGAATAAGTCCGAGTGTCATTAAATTAACAGAGTGTATCCATTTCAGGAGGAGTTTTGATTATTTATTTTTGATTTTTTTTTCTCTTGTTTAACTATTGCCAGTGGGCGAAATTTTGCATTGCTTCTTTAAATTTAATGTTAATAAAGATAAAAGAGCAACAACAGCAGCAGCATTATCAGTAGCTTCCATTTGTCGTGCAAGTATGCGAGTTTATTTGTTCGCCCACATTACATGCACTTGTTCAGACAAGTGAACAGTTTAGGGTTTAAAGAAATGTTAGAAAGGCTTTCAACACGTAGGACACTCGGTTTTCAGAATGTTAAATAGGACTTGAGGAATGTCGTCGATTTTTTCCCCCTATAAGCTACGGCGAAGCTATCACGCGATGCCTTTAAACTAATCATGCGATTTATTTACTTGACAGTTTGTGAACATTTATTTTCATTACTCTTGACCATCTCTGTCTTCTATAGTCTCTTTTCATGTTTCCTTCTATTCGAGACAGTTTTTCTGTACGGTGAAAATGACTCAAATTCGCCTAAAACAACGGCATTTTATCCTCTGTCTCGAGTTGTTATTATGGAGTAAATGCACGATCTAATGCATTGTTTTTGTTGCATGTAGATATCGACCAAGATGTTCGCCAGCGACTTATTATAACTTATTTCCCGTCACGAAAAAGGGATTATTTTAAAAGAGATTAATTTAGAAAGGAATCTTTTGCGCTGCGTTTGTTGGATTGTGGAACATCATATTTCATCAATTTAAGTAAAATTGAGATTTATATAAGTTTTTGTTGCAGGACAATAGAGATCGACCAAGATGTCTGCCAGCGACTTATTATGATATAACCTATTTTCCGTCACGGAAAAAAGGATTCGTTTGGAAGAGATTAGTTCGGAGAGGAATCTTTTGCGCTGCATTTGTGAGATAGAGGAATACCATATTTCATTTAAAAATTGAGAAAGATAAGGGCTGGAAAGTACCCTCTGGCGAAATCAGAGCTTGAGTTGTTTGAAATCTGAAAGCCGAAAAACTCGTCGGAGCAAAGTTCTCTAAGAAGAGGGAGACTAACTGAGACATAAAACATTTTAATATTCTCACCTTCAGTTTGATGAAGGACTCAGAAAGCTTCCGAAGTCGCAAAATCACACGCTATCCACCCAGCCGCAACATATGCTGTAACATATGCCGACGAAGGCATATATCTTTCAAACATTTAAATGAGGCGTATCTAGTTTGACTATGACCATTAAATCAAAGGAGCGTATCAGTATTGGGAGAAGCTTTTGCTTTTTACTCTGAATCTACCATATATTATTATTAGTATTACTTTATTTTTAGTATTATAGTATTCCACCAGCCACAGTCGAAGCACAACACGAGAGAGGAATGTAATGAAGTGCCGGTCTTTGGAGTAAATGTCTTTTTCGGACCTCTTGTTTAATAACTAGTCATGCAACAACAACAAAGTTCTACTCTGCTAGAAACCTTATTTTCACTCCTTATTAAGTGGTTGCGTAGTAACACTAAGAGGATAAACCTAAAACTTTGCCTTAAAGGAGAAAGGTTGTGAGACATTTTTACTGAACTTTTATGTTCCAGAACTTTATTGCATGAAATGATATATGAAAGCATATCAGTGTAAAGAGGCAAAGGTAAACAAAGACGGTCAAGGTTAGTGAAAATTAACAAAATGTTCACAAACTGTGACGTAAATCCTTTCAAGATAGGTCAACTTTGTTGGCTAATTATTAAAACCTCGTCAAGTAGGAGATTACGCACATTCTTGCTTGAATTGAAACTGTAGGATAAAATGTAGTTGAATTTCGAAACTTCAAAACTCAATGTAAGAAAGAGCAGCTCAACAACACTTTAGAGAATAGGTCTCTTGAACTCCAGAAATTATTTCGACTTCAGTAGCGACCTGTATGCGAAGGTCTATTGTATTAACGTTAAAGTGAAACTATTGAAATTAGGATATTCCTCAATTCACATTCCTCAGTCTTAAAATCTCGCGTTCGGTGCGATGAAAGCCTTGCTATTAAAATTCTATGAAACTCAGAGGAGCGTTTTGTTGTTGTTCCAGAAGGAGAGACGCCTAATTCACGGGTTTAAAAATTCGTGCTTAGAACAAAAGCTGTTCATTGTCGTTATATTCTTTATTTGTAGAAAGCCGAAATAACTTAACGCTAGATCAGCCTTTTATGAATCAAGTGAAAAACATCACGAGCTTTGAAATCTCATAATAAAACAATTGACGTTGAAGAAAATGTTTTTTATCTAAAAGATAGACGTTATACGAGAGAATATTCTCTATCTTAAAGATGATTAAGATAATTGATTTTTGAGAATTGCTCGTTTGGAACTAAGCGCACTCCCTTCAACACCGAAATTCGCTCTATAAAATACCTTTGGTGTAGGCAATTACTGAATATCCTAACTCTTTTTATGCATGTTACCGCTTTTATATTACAAATATTCAATTTTCATTCGACTGACTTTTTCTAAAAAAAATTAATTTTTGGTTCAGAAAGAAAGAAAAACGGCTACGAAGGAGGTATATGTAATCGTTGAGAAAACAGAGTAAGTACTAGTCATGATGGAGAGGATTATCATGGATTGGAAACAACTAACTTTGGCATTAAAGATTACCATGGCAGCAATACGGTTTCTTGGAGGTAAGCTTGATTGTAGCCTTACTTGTCTTTAACTGAGAAATGAGTTGAACGACTCCCATTTCTAAAACTGAGCTGCGATAAGTATATCTAGTAAATAAATCCCTTCAGGCGGCTGGTATGTCGGCTGATAATGTTTGTAGACGAGAGATTGTTCGGAAAATGAATATTTGGCCGAGAAGCAAAGGTTGGAAATTTTGAGGACATTCTCTCAGTCAAGGATATTGTCAATCGACATATCAGCAAGCCAGAAAGGGTTTATTTATCTAATATCCCTCTCATTAGTTTTCATATCGCACAAAAACCACTTACATAAAAGACAGTGCTTATCTGATAGCGGAAGCGTATTTGCGATCAGCTTTTTATAATCACTAGTATCACTAAATTCTACAAAACGACCTTGCTTTTCCTTCGTTTAAAATAATGGATGAAACTTTCTAGCAGATTTTGTTTCTTTTCGACGAAAACAAACGGGTGTTAGATTAATAGAAAAATCAAAGTGCTCTGTGAGCAAACTCGTGAATTGACACATGATTTTTTAGATTATGTTTAATGTTATCTGGTTTAGGGAATTTTGTGGTTGATTGTCATATCTAGAGTACGAGCAGTAGTTTAGTGTTCGCTAATGTGGCAAATAAACAAAGTAACGTTGGGATAAGAAGGCATTACAATTGAAATGATCATGCTATTACATTTGACAAGGTGGATGATGTCGTGTTTTAAACGTCTATCATTTTTGTTTCTGGTTCAAAAGGAAAGGTTGGAAGTAAATGTGGGTGAAAAGTGAAATTTACTGTCTTTCGTTGTAAATATTAGAAAATCAAGGCAATAATGTCTTAATGAAAACATTAACGATTCCCTCTTTATCAAATGAGACAAAAGATATAATTTCATTTCAGGGAACGTGTGTAACTTTCGCATTTTGTACCTTGTTTTTCAAACCCTTAAAACAACTAAAAATTCTTAGCTAAAATTGTTTGTTTAGGTGTTATTTGATTTTCGTGTTAACAAAGGTCGCCATTTCGTCTGTTTATTTTGCTCAATCTCACGCTATAACAGAAAAACTATAAAATGCACTCAAAAGCCTAAAATCTAAAAAATTTTACAGGAATCGACCAATCGAGCGAAACTAAAAGCGATTAATGCCTTTTTCCCCAAACATCGTTTATCTATAAAACTCGCTCCTCGCGCATGCGCGCAATTCACGTATCTATAACTCGCTCCTGCGCATGCGCGCAATTCACGAGTTAAAAAGGACAAACACATCGAGCGCCTTTGATTAATAACTTCATTCGTACTGTCTAACGGTTATAAGTATTAATATTTAGCGAGAAAGATGAAGTTATTCATTAAACACTTAACAGGTAAAAATGCTTTTAACACCGTTATTATTACTAACGCCAATGATCGGTTTCAAATATAAACAGGAAGTAAACAAAACAATGAATTTCTATTACACATATGTATCTTAACTATAAAAAAAAAAAAAAATGAAGCAGCTCGTTTCACTGAGCGATCTAGTCTTTCTGGATTGAAATCAACACTTGGATTGGATGTGTACAAGTAAATACAGGAACAAAACATCACTTGCAAAAGTAATGTTTTTTTTGCTTGTTAACATTTTTTAAGCTCCCGCTATGTTCGTGCCTATATCTTTTGCGGTCAAAAACCTTATAGAACCTCCTGAAATTAAGAGCAAAAAGTGCACTTCAACCCACTTTCAGTGATCCAAGGTGTGCCTATGGGGAGAGCAAAAAGGACATTAAAGGGCTTGTTGAGGAAGCAATTTTTGAAAATACTCTAAGATGGTTTTATCGTACTTAATTATTCTGGCGATGATCGTAGTTTTTCATTTGATTAGTCATCTTAACGTGTTCATGCATTCGCGTAAGAGTCAAACATGTTGAACTCATCTATCTCGCCATCTTTCATGACCAAAATCAAGTCACAAAGCTTGGAAATTATGAGGACATTCTCTTAGTCAAGGATATTATCAACCGACATATCAGCAAGCCAGAAAGGATTTTATTTATCTAATATCCCTCCCATTAGTTTTCATATCGCACGAAAACCGCTTACATAAAAGACGATGCTTATCTGATAGCAGAAGCGTATTTGCGATCAGCTTTTCATAATCACCAGAGTCACTAAACTCTACAAAACGACCTTGCTTTTACTTCGTGTAAAATAATGGATGTGACTCTTTAGCTGGTTTTGTTTCTTTTCGACGAAAATAAACGGATGTCAGGTAAATAGAAAAAAAAGGTTACACACATCGAGCACCCTTGATTAATAACTTCATTCGTACAATCTAACTGTTAAAAGTATTAAAATTCGGCGAGAAATATGAAACTAATCATTAAACATTTAACAAGTAAAAATGCTTTTGTGACCGTTATTTATATATAATTAATTATTAGATATAAACAGGAAATGAACAAAACAATGAATTTCTATTACACACCTGTATCTTAAAGGTAAAAGAAAAAAAATATGAAGCGGCTCGATTCACTTAGCGATCGTTTCTTCTGTCTTTGAAACTATAGCTTACTTGTCTCGTAGATAGATATATGGATCATAGATTTTCTAAACTAATTCGTGATATAATGATTACCCCAAGGTAAGAGTTCAGGGTGGTAAAAAAAAGCTTCCTAAAAATTTCTAGTCTTTCTGGATTGAAATCAACACTTGGATTGGATTTGTAAAAGTAAATATAGGAACAAAACATCGCTAGCAAAAGAAATGCTTGTTTTGCTTGTTAACATTTTTTAAGCTCCCGCTATGTTCGTGTCCAGATCTTTTGCGGATGAAAACCATATGGAGCCTCCTGAAATTAAGAGCAAAAAGTGCACTTCAACCCGTTTTCATTGATACAAAGTGTGCCCATGGGGAGAGCAAAAAGGACATTAAAGAGCTAGTGCTTGAATTTTTGATACTTGAAAGCTTGAAATACTTCAATCTTGTAACTGAGAAACTTTAAGCTTTTAATTCTTGATACTCTAAGATGGATTATTGTACTTAATTATTCTAGCGATGATCGTAGTTTTTCATTTGTTAGTCATCTTTACGTGTTCATGCATTCGCGTAAGAGTCAAACTTGTTGGACTCATCTATCTCGCCATCTTTCATGACCAAAATCAAGTCACAGTCTTTGATGGTGTTCAGTCGATGAGCTATGGTGATTACTGTGGAGCCCTTCAGTTTCTCTCGCACTACCCTCCAAATTGTTTGTTCTGTGTCTGGATCCACGTGTGCAGTGGGTTCATCTAGGATGACAATTTTTCTTTTATGCAAAAGAACACGAGCCAAACAAATTAACTGCCGTTCTCCTACACTGAAGTTTGCACCATGCTCCAACAACTGGTGATCTAATTTCCCTTCCAAACTTTCCACCAGCTCTTTCATTTGAACAATCTCTAAGGCTCGCCATAATTCTACATCCTGGAACTGCTCTACGAGATCAAGATTTTCTCTCAACGATCCACTGAAAAGGAAAGGACTTTGGCTTAGAACGGATATACATTGTCGAGCCTTTTGAACGTTGATTTCGTTTATTGGAACGTCATCGATCATTATGGCACCTTGGGCATCTGGCATACGCAGAAGAGCTGCCACTAGAGATGACTTGCCGGCCCCCGTTCGTCCCACAACAGCAATACTTGTTCCTCCTTCTACATGAAGATTAAAGTTCTTCAGTACTTGAGGCCCCCTAGGATAATAAGTCAGCGACACGTCTTCAAAAGTGATATTCCCTTCAAGAGGCCAATTGTTCGGGGGAGGCTGCTCCACTTGGTACCCGGGCTCATGGTCAAGTTTGGTGTATGTCATAGCTCGTTCAGCAGACGTCATGAGATTTTCTACTTCCGATATACTTGTAACAGAATAATCCATCAGTTCTACAGTCTCGATGACGTAAACAAGCCCCAGTCCGGCGAAAGCTGTGGATAAAATACTTTGATCAAAGGATAGCCTTCCAGATCAATAGCCTTATGAGGATTGACCGATATATTGTGGTAGAAACAACACGTAAAGAAAAAAGAAAGATGAAAGGAGAAAACAAAGAGAGAAAATTTTTCGATGTAACCTTTACAGTCTCTCAGCATCAAATTATCTTTTATTCGATGTGCGTGAGAGAGAATTTTTGATCAAATCAGCTTGAAGGTTTTTCTTCCTAGTCAGTTAATGGGGGTTTTGAGGAAGTATGTGAATAAATAGGATATGATAAATAGTGCAAGTGGCTTACAATTCAGGAAGGAGTTAGGCAAGTAATTTCGAAATCTATTTGAACAATGAGCACAAGTGCCTCTAAATCGTAGGAGACGAAGACTCTTAATAAGTAAGTGGAATTAAAGAGAAATCTTGTGATTAAGGAGAAAAACCCCTTCAATAACAAAATAAATGCTTAATTCCATATACCGTATGAAAAGAGGGAAACGACAGTAAACAGCACATACAAATTGCATATAAAGAACATGGAAATAATGTTAGTGTCCAGCTTACTTCCGTTAAAAAAAGTGAAGAATTCTGGTGCAAATGAAATAGGATTTTGAACGAAAACTCATTCAGTTATAAAGTTTGATTGATGTCAATTATACGTAGATACAAAATAAGAAAACAAGTGAGCTCTATGGACTATTTCATCGTAATCTCTGCACCATTTTTATAATGGCTACGTTGTGAGGTGACAAAGGGTTAAGTAAGCTGTCTGAAATTGTCCTCATTATTCTTAAGATTTTAATACATGTACTGCTTATACTGTTTAGCTGCTGTTGACATTGTTTAGAACCGAGGTCGCTTGCCTCTGGTGCAACAGCCATGAAATCACAAAATTTGCTGCACCGAAATCGTATAAATTCCAATTCGAGCATCAGCAAAGTTATACACCAGCGGTTTGGGTCTTTTGGTCCTTGTCATTTGAACTGAACGCTATGCGTGAGCGCTAACGGGCATGATTACAAAGCTGTGGTTATTGTTTTTCAATATGGTGGCGTCTGTAACATAGAGAATAATACATGGGCGCGCGTAGATATGGAATTTCTCTTCAAGTATTTAGCTCACTAGTGAGCGCAGCGAACGAGTGAGGTGTCGAGTTGAACACGAGAAGAGAAATTCCATATCTACAAGCAACAATGTATTATTTTGTTTATCATAGAAACACAATAGCCCTTTACTGATAAGAAAAGCCGACTTCATTAATGAATGAAAAAAAACGAATCGACAATCCCCGAATAACAATCGTAGAGTGCGTTGGCGCTAACTCTTAAGATGGAAAAAAATGTTGAACATGATTACAAAATCAACAATGGTCGTAATCTTCAATTTACAAAGTTCTCATTAATTGACTTTGTCCTTACCGACAGAAGAAGTCTTTCAGGTAAACGGCCAAAATCGGCCAGTGGCAAATCCTCCAGTTGACGATTTTCATTCTCAGCCGAGAGAAATGCTAACACCAAAGCCACTGAATACGAAACTCTCGGGTTTTTCTCTTAATATATTGGTTTTCTTCCCTTTCTAGGAAAGTTTGAACCTCACTGTCTGTCAGCGATACGGATTTTTTTAGTGTTTAGCCGCCATGATTTGAGAAAGCTCCGACAAACAACTTGTATTGAGAATCGTGAAGGCTTTGCCGTTCATTCATCAACCTGACCGAGTGGCGCCAAAGGCGAGTGACGCTTCAGCAGCTGATTGGCTATACCAACACACGTAAAAAAATACGATATTTTTTCACGTGTGTTGTTATGGCTTTTCTCAGGGCCGGAAATCCTTGTATAACACCGCAGTTTATGTGATAAAATATTGTAAGTAAATGTAAAGATGATTTTTGAGCTGTTCGGTTAAGCTTAAAAAAAAAAAAAGACCGAAACACGGTAAATTTAGTTCAGGAGATGAACCGTTACAGCTAACAGATACATACCAGCATCTTGAGACACCACGATTGCAGCTAGAGCCACCGCAAGAATCAAAAGAGTGGTAAGAAAAGTCATTCGTACACCAAGCCACCTGGCACTCGCCAGCACCATGATGTACGACTGAGTATGAACATCTTGATATCTGAATGGAAAGAGGAAAAATTGCTTAGTAAAATGGTGATACTTCAGGATAACAGATCTCAGGCACACTAATTCCAAAGGATTCCTTTGCTTAGTTGTCACTAGAACGCCACAAACCTATTTCATTTCTCTAAATTTGTTACGTTTTCCATATTTTTGTTTTTTCATATAATTTACTCTTTCAAGTCTGATGTGTTAGAGTTGTTAAAAAAAACAACAACAGCATTCAAAGGTGCAATCATCGGCTTGTTTCATAGGGAATATCTTGTCAATATCTCCCAAAATTTTTCAACGACAAGCCAAAATTGACCTTTTTTCTTTTACCCCGGCAAGAAATGCCACTAAGACTTGTAGTTATGTACGACTATCTTCTTTTTTATGTATGGCTTGGCTTACCGCGACGAGCCCTCTCCCGTCTGCTTACCGTGGTTAACTGTCTGTATTAAGTCGCCTACATTCAATATTTTAAGAAGCATATGTGGTAGTTAAAGAGGCTTGCTGAGTCTAAAGCTATTTCACTGATCTCAATGATAACAATTAATTCAACATTGAACGTACCTGTAGAGCTCTTCCACGAAGTCTTGTTGCCTCCTTCTTGTTCTTATAGTCTCCAGCCCATTGAGAGTCTCCGAGACGTGTGAATACACAGGGCTACGGTTTATCGATTCTAACCTTTTGAGCTGCCGAGAGGTTTTTAAGCTGTACATGGAGATGTAAGCAACAACAACAGCCAGTGGCACAACAACAAAAAGAACCCAAAAGTTGGTGAAAGTTGGCACAAGAGTTGCGGCAAGCATTAGCAAGACCAACTGAATCGCTAGAAGAGACATTTTCGGCAACAGTTCGTCCAAGCACCCCACGTCTTTAGAGAACCGATTAAGAATTCTTCCAACAGGGTTTGAGTCAAAAAACAAAACAGGTGCTTCTAGGAGAGCTACAACCATTTTATCATGAAGGCGTTCAGAACATCTTAAAGAGGTCCAAAGAAATGTATATGCGCGGAAAGAGGAGAAAACGAGAGATCCAAGCACAAGACAGCCATAGAAAACTAGGTTGATTGTGTCCTTCTGTTCTTCTTGACTCTTCTTTGTTAAGAATAAGAGCCAAACGTCAGGAGAAACGATCATTACTACGAAAAATAAGTAAAAAAATAAGGTAAATAAATATGCATCCAGAGGAGATAGTGGAAGCTGGGGGCATTATTCTCACTCTCCTAGATACTTTGTTTCTTACAACTAATGGTTGTGTGATGTGGGTGAGTGGCACAAGGCAGGAGAAAATTATACGGTGGGATTTCAGCAGGCCTACTTCTATTTCTTCACATATTTCTTTACATGTTTGGTCCGAGGCATCACACCGGTAGATCTTGTCACCTCTGCACATATAATTGCATCAGGTTCACATAATTATGAAGTCTTTAATTTGCGAGGTGATTAAAAATGATAAAAGCCCTAGTCATATTTATTTGAAGTGAAAATAAACATCGTAGATGATTATGTGTATAAGAATCCTGTTTCCAACCTCACTAGGGATATCATGATTTGATCACACTGCAGTGAGAATAAAGAAACAGACAACTTGCATATCATTAACTTGGTCACGATGACACAAAAATGTATTGAACTTCAGTGCTTGTCAGGTATTAAGGCAATCCTACTTCCAAAGGAGGAATTTGAGAATTGCACGAGATCAATTATTGAACTCACCTTGGGTGATGAAAAACAAACAGAAAAGTCCAAATATCGCCGACGAGTGCAATCCACTTCTGAGGTAGTCCCAATAAGTCATAAGTGTCACGCTTCCGGTCATGCGGTCTTCTTCTGATCGTTCCAGGTCATCGACTTGATTGTGTAGAATCACTGCTCTATCTTTAAATTTTGATTCATCTTCATTTTCAAAAACAGATTCTACACAGGACTCGCTCTCCCTGACGGATTTGTTCGAACTTGGATTAAGATTGATATTGAATGAACCTTTTTCCTGAAGCTCAGAAAAACCTCCATTCGCCAGCGCACGTCCTTTGTTCAACACGATAATGTTATCAGCTTGTTTCATGTGTTGCTCCTGGTGAGACGTCAACACTCGGGTTTTGTTACTTAGTAAACCTTTAATGCACTTTTCAAAGATATGTTGACTTACTTTTATGTCTACGGCACTCAGAGGGTCATCCAACAGGTACAGGTCTGAATCCATGTATACTGCACGTGCTAAGCTTACTCTTGCACGCTGACCTCCACTCAGAACGGCACCTCGTTCACCTACAACTGCTAAGTCAGCGTTAGGAAACCTTTTGACATCTTCTGTAAGAGAACAGGCTTCCAGGATTGTAGAATATTTGTCTTGGTTGTAAGGTTGACCGAATAAAATGTTTTCTCTTATTGTTCCAGAGAAGACCCAGGGTGTCTGGGGCACATAAACAAGGGAAGATGACCAGGATATTGTTCCTTCTGAGACTGGCACCTCACCCGCAATAGCTGAGAGGAGAGTAGATTTTCCACTACCCACTGGACCTGTGATGACTGTTAAAGTTTGAGGCCCTGTCGAAAATTCTATATCTTGCAAAATGAACTGGTCAGCACTTATCTTTTCTTTTGATACCAAAATTGACACTATTAGGGTACCTGGCTCTGGGAGATGTTTTTTATCGTCAAAATAAAATGTGCTCCCTCTCGTGTTTAAAGTGCCTCTCATCGAGTGATCATGACACGAACCGGGTAAATCTTCTAAAAGTAGAAACTCCTCGATTCTCTTGAGTGAAAAATAAGCCTCGTATACTGCTAAGAGACCATAAGGTACGTAATAGCAGATACTTTGTCTTGCTGCATTTATAAAAGAGAGAAGCATTAACACATTGACCGGTGTAAGAGGCTGACCGGTAAGCACCAAGGTTATGATTGACACCAGCATCGCTAAAGGCACTGCAGTGAATTCCAAGCCGGCAACCGCTGAAAGGACAACACTTTTTTTACGGATGATATTAATTTCAGCCCTGCAAACAAAGGAATTTAGAGATTGAATGTCATAAAAGCATGGCATCGCATCCTATAGCATGGTATGGATTGGCATGGCATGGCAATCTTTATTGTAATTTTCTTAATTATGTAAGCTGTTTCAGGTGTGACAAGTACCAGGTATCTCTACCGACTTGAGATGAATTGTGACCTATTGTTTCCTTACCTTCTAACTTGTTCAATCTTTTCTCGAAATTTATCCTCCAATGCATGTGTTTTGATGGCACGAATCCCAGAAATAACCTGGTTCAACAAAGATATGCGGCTGTCTGAAAACGCTGCTGTCCTCAGGCGTAGTACAGCGGAGACGTAGGATAACTCAGCGAAATATGGCACAAGCAAAAAGAGGCATGTGACACCCATGAGAGATTGCCAACCAACAAAATACACAAGTAGTACCCCTATAATAGTTACGAGTAGGAAGAAATCCAAAAGAGCACTAACACCCCACATGACAGTATGCTCTTCGAGTCGCTGAACATCGTTGGTTACAAGGTCAATCACACGGCCCGTTGTAAATTTCAATAACTTAGTCTTGTTGAGCATTAGAATCTGAAAATAGAAAATTTGTTCAGCCTTTCGAGCTCATAGTCGCTAATTATTAGGAAACGTACCCGTTAATTTAATAGATATTTATGACATCAATTTGTCAGGAATGTGGCACAAAGCCAACTTCTGGTTCTTGTTTGATAATTCTACCTTCAAACATTCTGATCTCTTGATGCTTCACGGCTGGGCTAAGGAGAACGTACAAGTAATTTTAACCATACACTCATAAACCTAGTTTACGGCACAACTCATCGACAAGTTCTCAGTGGCGTATTTCGGTGTAGGGAACTGGACAGCCTAATTCGAATGTCGAAGGCTCCAATCAACGGACAGGAGTCAGAATCGTTTTGTTCTTCATGCTAGTGATAATTGATAAAAAGGAAGAGAGCCCTCATGATCATTTAATGAGTTAACTGCAGGATAATTTTGGGCCGTTGACCTCAACTCTTATGCAATCATTGTATAGAATTTTGTCCTGTAACTAACCTTGATGGTAGATCCTGCCAAAACATGACGCTGGCTAGTCAAATGTGTTAGGACTCATGGTTTGTTATGTGTGTAATATCAGTGTCAGAAAAGTTCAATAGGCAACTAAATTGCATACCTTTTGGTAAATTAGTCCTTTCAGAGCACTGCTTATTCCGATACCGTACATATCACATTGATACCCACAGTGATGAACAGCTGTCGCCCCAATAAAGGCACAGATTCCCATAGCTGTTACACGACCGTACAGAAGAAAACTTTTATGCGGCTCGGCTTCCACCAATGAAGAAACAAGGTAACCAAGAAACAAAGGCCTAGAGAGGCGCCAAAGTAAGGATGCCAAGTAAAGGAGCACAATGATCATTGCATCCTTTAAAGAGATCATTTTTATGACACTTTTCCAAAGTTGTGGTCTTTGTTCACTGCCTTTTGTAACAGCTCTTTCTTCATTCCAGCATGTTTGGAGGCGATTGGTGAAAACCTCGGTGGTGTTTTCCCTTGAAAGTGGTTCAAAGTCGCTCTCATCTATTCTTCCTTTGCTACCTTTCTCGAAGATGCTATTCATCCATTGGAATAAAAGAAAAGAAACGTAACCGATTCTTTCCGAATCGCCATCGATTGATAACTTCTGGTATCCAACTGTTTTCATTTTCTCGTAACCCTGAAAGTGTCAAAGGAAAATACATATTTACAGTTCCGCTCGGTGATGGTTTCTGCTGGCCTGGCAACTACTCTCTGACAATGTTCGAGAAATGTTTGAGGATTGAAAGTCTAGGAACTCGTTGGAGCAAAGCGGCACTTTTGTGAGAAGAAAAATGGTATAGACATAGAACATTTTCAATCATTAACCTTCGGTGGAATTGATAATTCTGAGAGTTCCTGAGGTCCTTGCCTCACACTTTATTGGGTTAGCTGAAAAGAAGTTTAGATGAGTCAAAGCTGTGTGCTTAAATATATGCAGTCGTAGGCTTTCATCTGTTTAACACTGTAAAGGGGCGTAATGAGTCCGAGTGTCATTGAATCAACGGAGTGTATCCATATCAGGAGGAGTTTTAATTATTTGTTTTTGATTTTTTTTCCTCTCATTTAACTATCGCCAGCGGGCGAAATTTTGCTTCGCTTCTTTAAAATTTAATTTTAATAAAGATAAAACAGCAACAACAATGTCAGCATTATCAGTAGCTTCCATTTGTCGCGCAAGTATGTGAGTTTATTTGTTCGCCCACACTACATGCACTTGTCTAAACAAGTGAACAGTTTGGTGTTTAAAAAAATGTGAGAAAGCCTGTCAACACATTGGACGCTCAGTTTTCAGAATGTCAAATAGGACTTGAGGAATATCATCGATCTTTTCCCCTATCAGCTGCAGCGAAATCTCGCACGCGATGCCTTTAAACTAATCGTGCGCGATTTATTTGCTTGACAGTTTGTGAACATTTATCCTCATTACTCTTGACCATCTCTGTCTTTTATACTTTCTTCCCATGTTTCCTTCTATTTGAGAAAGTTTCTCTGTACGGTGGAAATGACTTAAATTTGCCTCAAGCAACGGCATTTTATCCTCTGTCTCGAGTTGTTATTATAGAGTAAATGCGGAGTTTCGCGTAAACTAGAACTAATGCATAGTTTTTGTTGCATGACAATACATTTCGACCAAGATGCACGCAAGCGACTTATTATGATTTAACCTATTTCCCATCATGGAAAAAATGGATTAGTTTCAAAGAGATTAGTTTAGAAATGAGTCTTTTGCGCTGCGTTTGTTGGATAGTGGAACATCATGTTTCATCAATTTAAGTAAAATTGAGAAAAATGTAAGTTTTTGTTGCAGTATAATAGATATCGACCAAGATGTCCGCAAGTGACTTGTTATGATTTAACCTTTTTTCTTAACGGAAAAAAGGATTAGTTTTGAAGAGATTAATTTAGAAAGGAGAGGGAGACTAATTGAGATATAAACATTGTAATTTTCTTACCTTCAGTTTGATGAAGGACTCAAACAGCTTCGGGAGTCGCAGAATCACGCTCTATCCACCCAGCCGCAACGAAGTTCAATGAGTCGAAACTCTTTGCTGTAACATATGCCGAAGAAGGCATATATCTTTCAAACATTTAAATGAGGCGTATCTAGTTTGACTATCATTAAATCAAAGAAGCGTATCAGTATTGAGGGAAGCTTTTGCTTTTTACTTTTAATCTGCCATATACTATTATAACTATTATTATTATTATAACTTTATTTTTAGTATTATAGTATTCCACCAGCCACAATCGAAGCACAACACGAGAGAGGAATGTAATGAAGTGCCGGTCTTTGGAGTAAATGTCTTTTGCGGACCTCTTGTTTAATAACTATTTATGCAACAACAACGAAGTTCTATTCTGCTGCTGAGGAACCTTGCTTTCACTCCTCATCAAGTGGTTGCGTAGTAACACTAAGAGGATGAAACTTAGAAACTTTGCCTTTAAGGAGAAAGGTTTTGAGACATTTTAACTGAACTTTTATGTTCCAGAACTTCATTGCATAACATGATAGGGAAACAAATCAGTGTAAAGAGACAACGGTAAACAAAAACGGTCATGGTTGGTGAAGATTAATAAAATGTTCGCAGACTGTGACGGAAATCCTTTCAAGATAATTCAACTTTGTTAGCCAATTATTAAAAGCTCCTTGAATAAAAAAACTGGTTGATAGAAAGGCGTTGAATTTCGAAACTTCAAAACTCAATGTAAGAAAGAGCAGCTCAACAACACTTTAGAGAATAGGTCTCTTGAACTGAGGAAATTATTTGGACCTCCGTAGCGACCTGTACGCGAAGGTCTATTGTACGCGTTCGGTGCGATGAAAGCCTTGCAATTAATATTCTCTGAAACTCAGAGGAAAGTTTTGTTGTTGTTCCAGAAGAAGAGACACTTTTAATTTACGCGTTAAAAAATTCGTGCTTAGAACAAAAGCTGTTTATTGTCTTTATTTTCTTTATTTGTAGAAAGCCGAAATAACTTCACGCTAGCATGATGGAGAGAATTATCATGACTTGGAAACGACTAACTTTGGCTATAAAGATTACCATGGCAGCAATACGGTTTCTTGGAGGTAAGCTTGATTGTAGCCTTAGTTGGCTGTAACTCAAAAATTAACTAGGTGACTCCCATTTCTAAAATTGAGCTGGAATTAGTATATTTAGTAAATAAATCCCTTCAGGCGTCTGGTATATCGGCTGATAATGTTCGTGGACGAGAGATTGTTCGGAAAATGAATATTTGGCCGAGAAGCAAAGCTTGGAAACTTTGAGGACATCCTCTCAGTCAAGGATATTATCAACCGACACATCAGCAAGCCAGAAAGGGTTTTATTTGAAGCGGCTCGTTTCACTTAGCGATCGTTTCTTCTGTCTTTGAAACTATAGCTTACTTGTCTCGTAGATAGATATACGGATTATAGATTTTCTAAACTAATTCGTGATATAATGATTACGCCAAGGTAAGAGTTCAGGGTGGTGAAAAAAGGTTTCCTAAAAATTTCTAGTCTTTCTGGATTGAAATCGACACTTGGATTGGATTTGTAAAAGTAAATACAGGAACAAAACATCGCTAGCAAAAATAATGCTTGTTTTGCTTGTTAACATTTTTTAAGCTACCGTTATGTTCGTGTCCAGATCTTTTGCGGACAAAAACCATATGGAGCCTCCTGAAATTAAGAGCAAAAAGTGCACTTCAACCGGCCTTCAATGATACAAAGTGTGCCCATGGGGAGAGCAAAAAGGACATTAAAGGGCTAGTGCTTGAATTTTTGATACTTGAAAGCTTGAAATACTTCAATCTTGTAACTGAGAAACTTTAGGCTTTCAATTCTTGATACTATAAGATGGATTCATCGTACTTAATTATTCTAGAGATGATCGTAGTTTTTCATTTGTTAGTCATCTTAACATGTTCATGCATTCAAGTAGGAGTCAAACTTGTTGGACTCATCTATCTCGCCATCTTTCATGACCAAAATCAAGTCACAGTCTTTGATGGTGTTCAGTCGATGAGCTATGGTGATTACTGTGGAGCCCTTCAGTTTCTCTCGCACTATCCTCCAAATTGTTTGTTTTGTGTCTGGATCCACGTGTGCAGTGGGTTCATCTAGGATGACAATTTTTCTTTTATGCAAAAGAACACGAGCCAAACAAATCAACTGCCGTTCTCCTACACTGAAGTTTGCACCATGCTCCACCAACTGGTGATCTAATTTCCCTTCCAAACTTTCCACCAGCTCTTTCATTTGAACAATCTCTAAGGCTTGCCATAACTCTACATCCTGGAACTGCACTACGAGATCAAGATTTTCTCTCAACGATCCACTGAAAAGGAACGGACTTTGGCTTAGAACTGATATACATCTTCGAGCCTTTTGAAGGTTGATCTCCTTTATTGAAACGTCATTGATCTATATGGCACCTTGGGCATCTGGCATACGCAGAAGAGCTGCCACTAGAGATGACTTGCCGGCCCCCGTTCGTCCCACAACAGCGATACTTGTTCCTCCTTCTACATGAAGATTAAAGTTCTTCAGTACTTGAGGCCCCCTAGGAAAATAAGTCAGCGACACGTCTTCAAAAGTGATATTCCCTTCAAGAGGCCAATTGTTCGGGGGAGGCTGCTTCACTTGGTACCCGGGCTCATGGTCAAGTTTGGTGTATGTTATAACTCGTTCAGCAGACGTCATGAGATTTTCTACTTCCGATATACTTGTAACAGCAAAATCCATCAGTTCAACAGTCTCGATGACGTAAACAAGCCCCAGTCCGGCGAAAGCTGTTGATAAAATACATTGATCAAAGGATAGCCTTCCAGATCAATAGTCTTATTAGGATTGACCGCTATATATTGTGGTAGAAACAACACGTAAAGAAAAAAGAAAGACGAAAGGAGAAAACAAAGAAAGAAAATTTTTCGATGTAACCTTTACAGTCTCTCAGTATCAAATTATCTTTTATTCGATGTGTGAGAGAGAGAATTTTTGATCAAATCAGCTTGAAGGTTTTTTCTACCTGGTCAATAAGGGTTTTGAGTAAGTATGTTAATAAATAGGATATGATAATTAATGCAAGTGGATTATAATTCAGGGAAGAGTTAGGCAAGTAATTTCGAAATCTATTTGAACAATGGGCATAAATGCTTCTTAATCGTAGGAGAGGAAGCTCTTAACAAGTAAGTGGAATTAAAGAGAAATTTTATGGTTAAGGAGGAAAACCCTTTCAGTGACAAAATCAATGGTAAATTCCATATACCGTGTGAAAAGAGGGAAACGACAAGAAGCAGCACATACAAATTACATATAAAGAACATGGAAATGATGTTAGTGTCCAGTTTACTTTGATAAAAAAAATGAAGGATTCTGGTTCAAATGGAGCAGACTTTCCAAACGAAAACTTATTCAATTAGAAAGTTTAATTTACGTCAGTTATACGCAGATACAAGTAAGAAAACTAATGGGGCGAGTGAGCTCTATAGACTATTTCATCATAGTCTTTGCACCATTTTTATAATGGCTACGTTGTGAGGTTACAAAGGGTTAAGTAAACTGTATAAATCTGTCCTCATTATTCTAAAAATTCTAATACATGTACTGCTTACACTGTTCAGCTGCTTCTAACATTGCTTAGCACCTAGGTCGCTTGCCTCTGGTGCAACAGCCACCAACTCACAACATTGCTGCACCGAAATCTTATTAATTCCAATTCGAGCGCCGACAAAGTTATACACCAGCAGTTTGGGTCTATTGGTTCTTGCCATTTTAACTAAGCGTCGTGCGTCAGAGCCAATGGGCATGGTTACAAAACTGTTGTTATTGTTGTGTTGTTTTTAACATGGTGGCGTCTGTGATAATATTGTAAGTACATGTAAAGATTATTTTTGAGCTGTTCAGTTAAGCATAAAACACCGAAACACGGTGAATTTGATTCAGGAGAGAAATGCTTTTAATTTTGGAGTACAGCCTCCGTTACAGCTAACAGATACATACCAGCATCTTGAGACACAAGGATTGCGGTTAGAGCCACCGCAAAAATCAAAAAAGAGATCACAGAGGTCATTCGTACTCCAAGCCATCTCACACTCGCCAGCACCATGATGAACGACAGGGTATGAATATCTTGATATCTGAATGGAGAGAAGAAAAATTGCCTATTTAAATGATCTTAAGTGATACTTTAAGATGAAATATTTCAGGCAGCCTGATTCCAAAGGAGTTCTTTGCCCAGTTATCATTAGAACACCTCAAACCTTCTTCATTTTTCTGTATTTGTTTTGTTTACCTTATATTTGGTTTTCTTACAATTTACTCTTTCAAGTCTGATGTGTTACAGTTCTTAAAAAAAATTACCTTCCAAAGTGCAATCTCGGGGACATCTCATCATTATCTCTTTTACTCCGGAAAAAAAAAATTCTGCTAAGACTACTAGTTATATACGACTATGTTTTTTTTTTATGTATGGCTTGGCTCGCCACGACGAGCCCTCCCATCAGCTTACCGTAGTTACCTGTCCGTCTTAAGTCACCTACTTCACATATTTTAAGAAGCACATTTAGTTGTCAAAGAGGCTTGCTGAGTCTAAAGCTATTACACTTATCTCAATGATTACAATTAATTCAACATTGAACGTACCTGTAGAGCTCTTCCATGAAGTCTTGTTGCCTCCTTCTTGTTCTTATAGTCTCCAGCCCATTGAGAGTCTCCGAAACGTGTGAATACACAGGGCTACGGTTTATCGATTCTAACCTTTTGAGCTGCCAAGAGGTTTTTAAGCTGTACATGGAGATGTAAGCAACAACAACAGCCAGTGGCACAACAACAAAAAGAACCCAAAAGTTGGTGAAAGTTGGCACAAGAGTTGCGGCAAGCATTAGCAAGACCAACTGAATAGATAGAAGAAAATTTTTTGGCAACAGTTCGTCCAGGCACCCCACGTCTTTAGAGAACCGATTAAGAATTCTTCCAACAGGGTTTGAGTCAAAAAACAAAACAGGTGCTTCTAGGAGAGCTACAACCATTTTATCATGAAGGCATTCAGAACATCTTAAAGAGGTCCAAAGAAATGTATATGCGCGGATAGAAGAGGAAACGAGAGATCCAAGCACAAGACAACCATAGAAAACTAGGTTCATTGTGTCCTTCTGTTCTTCTTGGCTCTTCTTTGTTAAGAATAAGAGCCAAACGTCAGGAGAAACGATCATTACTACGAAAAACAAGCAAACAAAATTAAGGTAAATAAATATGCATCCAGAAGAGATTGTGGAAGCTAGGGGTATTATTCTCACTCTCGTAGGTACGTTCCCTCTTACAAATAATGGTTGCGTAATGTGGGTGAGTGGTGCAAGGCAAGAGAATATTTTACGGTGGGATTTCAGCAGGCCTACTCCTACTGCTTCACATGTTTGGCCCGAAGCAATGCATTGTTAGACCTTGTTACCTCTGATTAGATTAAAAGTGTAAAAATGATCATAGCCCTCATCATATTTCTTTGATGTGATAATAAACTCCGTAGATGATTACATGCATAAGAATCCCGTTTCCAACCTCACTAGGAATATCATGATTTAATCGCACCACAGCAAGAATAGAAAACAGACAACTTGTAAATCATTAACTTTACCACGATGACACAAAAATGTACAGATGGAAAATCAGTGCTTGCTAGGTATAAAGGCTATCCTTCTTCTAAAGGAGGAATTTGAGAATTGCATAACCTCAATTTTCGAACTCACCTTGAGTGATGAAAAACAAACAGAAAAGTCCAAATATCGCCGACGAGTGCAATCCACCTCTGAAGTAGTCCCAATAAGTCATAAGTGTCACGCTTCCGATCGTGCGGTCTTCTTCTGATTGATCCAGGTCATTGACTTGATTATGTAGAATCACTGCTCTATCTTTAAATTTTGATTTGTCTTCATTTTCAAAAACAGATTTCACCTCGGACTCGCTGTTCCTGACGGGTTTGTTCGAACTCGGATAAGGATTTATATTGAATAAACCTTTTTCCTGAAGCTCAGAAAAACCTCCATTTGCCAGCACACGTCCTTTGTTCAATACGATAATTTTATCAGCTTGTTTCATGTGTTGTTCCTGGTGAGACGTCAACACTCGGGTTTTTTTACTAAGTAAACCTTTAATGCACTTTTCAAAGATATGTTGACTTACTTTTATGTCTACGGCACTCAGAGGGTCATCCAACAGGTACAGGTCTGCATCCATGTATACTGCACGTGCTAAACTTACTCTTGCACGCTGATCTCCACTCAGAACGGCACCTCGTTCACCTACAACTGCTAAGTCAGCGTTAGGAAACCTCCCGACATCTTCTGCAAGAGAGCATGCTTCCAGTATTCTGGAGTACTTGTTTTGGTTGTAAGGTTGACCAAATAAAATGTTTTCTCTTATTGTTCCAGAGAAGACCCAGGGTGTCTGGGGCACATAAACAAGGGAAGTTGGCCAGGATATTGTTCCCGCTGCGACTGGCACCTCGCCTGCAATAGCTGAGAGAAGAGTAGACTTTCCACTACCCACTGGACCTGTGATGACTGTTAAAGTTTGTGGCTCGGTTGAAAACTCTTTATCTTGCAAAGTGAACACTACTAGGGTACCTGGCTCTGGGAGATGTTTTTTATCATCAAAATAAAATGTGCTCCCGCTCATGTTTAAAGTGCCTTCTATCGAGTGATCATGACACGAACCGGGTAGATCTTCTAGAAGAAGAAACTCCTCGATTCTCTTGAGTGAAAAATAAGCCTCGTATACTGCTAAGAGACCATAAGGTATGTAAAAGCAGACACTCAGTCTTGCTGCATTTATAAAAGAGAGAAGCATGAATACATTGACCGGTGTAAGGGGCTGACCGGTAAGCACCAAGGTTATGATTGACACCAGCATCGCCAGCGGCACTGCAGTGTACTCCAAGGCGGCAACCGTTGAAAGGACAACGCTCTTTTTACGGATGATATTAATTTCACCCCTGCAAACAAAAGAATTTAGAGATTTAATGTCAGAAAAGCATGGCATCGCATCCTATAGCAAGGTGTGGATTGGCATGGCATAGAAATCTTTATTGTAATTTTCTTAATTTTGTGAGTGGTTTCAGTCAAGTAATGGTCTACGACAAGTGCCAGGTATCTCTACCGACATGAGATGAATTATGACCGGTTGTTTCCTTACCTTCTTACGTGTTTAATTTTTTCTCGAAATTCATCTTCCAATGCATGTGTTTTGATGGCGCGAATCCCAGAAATAACCTGGTTCAACAAAGATATGCGGCTGTCTGAAAACGCTGTTGTCGTCAAGTAATACCACTCTAAAGCCCATCATCACAGCGTGATCTTCGAGTCGCTGAACATCGTTGGATACGAGGTCAATCACACGGCCCGTTGTAAATTTCAGTAACTCAGTTTTGTTGAGCATTGGAACCTGAAAATACAAGCTGTTTTCAGCCTTTCGAGCTCATAGTCGCTAATTATTGGGAAATGTACCCGTTTATTTGAGAAATATTTTTGATTTGTCAGAATCGTTTTGTAAACCATACATTCGTGAACCTAGTTTGCAATGCCACAAGTTCTGGTGACAAATCGGAAGGAGTCAGAATCGTTTTGTACTGCATGCTGTTGACAAATGATAACAGGAAAGAAAGCACCCATGATCATTTACTGAGTTAAATGGAGGATTACTTTGAGCCGTTGACCTCAACTCTTGCAATCATTGTATAGAATTCTGTCTTGTAACTAACCTTGACGGAAGATCCTGTCAAAACATGACGCTGGCTAGTCAAATACGTTAGGACTCGTGGTTCGTCATGTGTGTAATATCAGGGAAGAAAAATTTTATAAAAAGCTTAATTGCATACCTTTTGGTAAATTAGTCCTTTCAGAGCACTGCCTATTCCGATACCGTACATATCACATCGATAGGCATAGTGATGAACAGCTGTCGCCCCAATATAGGCACAGATCCCCATAGCTGTTACAAAACCACACAAAAGAAAACTTTTATGGGGCTCAGTCTCCATTAATGAAGAAATAAGGTAACCAAGAAACAAAGGCCTAGAGAGGCGCCAAAGTAAGGATGCCAAGTAAAGGAGCACAGTAATCACTGCATCCTTCAAATAGATCATTTTTATGACACTTCTCCAAAGTTGTGGTCTTTGTTCACTGCCTTTTGTAGCAGCTTTTTCTTCATCCCAGCATGTTTGGAGGCGATTGGTGAAAACCTCGGTGGTGTTTTCCCTTGAAAGTGGTTCAAAGTCGCTCTCATCTATCCTTCCTTTGCTACCTTTCTCGAAGATGCTATTCATCCATTGGAATAAAAGAAAAGAAACGTAACCGATTCTTTCCGAATCGCCATCGATGGATAATTTCTGGTATCCAACTGTTTTCATTTCCTCGTAACCCTGAAAGTGTCAAAGGAAAATATATTTTTACGGTTAAGCCCGGTGAGCGTTTCTACTGGCCTAGTAACTACTCTCTGGCAATGTTCGAGAGATGTTTGAGGATTGAAAGTCTAAGAACTCGTTGGAACAAAGCGGCGCTTTTGTGAGAGGAAAACTGGTACGGGCATAGAACATTTTTAATTACCAATATTTAGTGGAATTGGGAATTCAGGGAGTTCCTGGGGTCTTAGCTTCACACTTTATCGGGTTAGCTGAAAAGATGTTTAGATGAGTCAAAGCTGTGTGCTTAAATATATGCAGTCGTAGGCTTTCATCTGTTTAACACTTTAAAGGGGCGTAAGGTAGGTCCGAGTGTCATTAAATCAACGGAGTGTATCCATATCAGGAGGAGTTTTAGTTATTTATTTTTGATTTTTTTTTTCTCTTGTTCAACTGTCGCCAGTGGGCGAAATTTTGCATTGTTTCTTTAAAATTTACTGTTAATAAAGATAAAACAGCAACAACAGCAGCATTATCAGTAGCTTCCGTTTGTTGCGCAGGTATAAGAGTTTATTTGTTTTCCCACATTACATGCACTTGTCCAGACAAGTGAACAGTTTAGGGTTTAAAGAAATGTTAGAAAGGCTGTCAACACGTAGGACACTCGGTTTTCAGAATGTTAAATAGGACTTGAGGAATATCGTCGATTTTTCCCGCTATAAGCTACGGCGAAATCTCTCAAGCGATGCCTTTAAACTAATTGTGCGCGATGTATTTGCTTGACAGTTTGTGAACATTTATCTTCATTACTCTTGACCATCTCTGTCTTTTATAGTCTCTTTTCATGTTTCCTTCTATTCGAGACAGTTTTTATGTACGGTGAAAATGACTCAAATTCGCCTAAAACAACGGCATTTTATCCTCTGTCTCGAGTTGTTATTATAGAGTAAATTTGGAGTTTCGCGTAAACTAGAACTAATGCATAGTTTTTGTTGCATGACAATAGATATCGATCAAGAAGCCCGCAAGCGACTTATTACAATTTAACCTATTTTCCGTCACGGAAAAAAAAAGGATTCGTTTTGAGGAGATTAGTGTAGGAAGGAATCTTTTGCGCCGCGTTTGTGAGATAGTGGAACACCATACTTCATTTTTAAGTAAAACTGAGAAAGATAAGGGCTGGGAAGTACCCTCTGGCAAAATAAGAGCTAGAATTGTTTGAAATCTGAAAGTCAAAAAACTCGTCGGTGCAAAGTTGTGCTCTAAAAAGAGGGAGAATAGTTGAGAGATGAAACAATTTAATTAATTTACCTTCAGTTTGATGAAGGACTCAGACAGCTTCGGGAGTCGCAGAATCACACTCTATCTACCCACCCGCAACGAAGTTCAAATGAGTCGAAAGTGTTTGCTGTAACGTATGCCGACGAAGGCATATATCTGTCAAACACTTAAATGAGGCGTTTCTATTTTGACTTTCATGAAATCAAAGAAGCGTATCAGTATTGAGGGAAACTTTTGCTTTTTACTTTAAATCTACCATATACTATTATTAATATTACTTTATTTTTAGTATTATAGTATTCCTCCAGCTACAGTCGAAGCACAACAGGAGAGAAGAATGTAATGAAGTGCCGGTCTTTGGAGTAAATTTCTTTTGCGGGCCTTTTGTTTAATAACTAGTCATGCAACAACAACGAAGTTCTACTCTGCTGGAAACCTTATTTTCACTCCTTATCAAGTGGTTGCGTAGTAACCCTAAGAGGATAAACTTAGAAACTTTGCCTTAAAGGAGAAAGGCTTTGAGACTGAACTTTTATGTTCCAGAACTTTATTGCATGACATGATAGATGTAAACATACCAGTGTAAATTACATAAACAACGGTGAACAAAGACGGTCAAGGTCGGTGAAGATTAACAAAATGTTCGCAAACTGTGACGTAAATCCTTTGAAGATAAGTCAACTTTGTTGGCTAATTACTGAAAGCTCGTGAAGTAGAAAATTAGGAACATTCTTGCTCGAATCCGGGTGATAAAAAGACGTTGTTTTAGAAGGAGAGACGCTTTTAATTTACGCGTTTAAGAATTCTTGCTCACGTCAAAAGCTGTTTATTGTCTTTTTTTGTAGAAAGCCGTTAATGAATCAAGTGAAAAACAACACGAGCTTTGAAATCTCATTTTAAAACAATCGGTGTTAAAGAGAATATTGTCTATCTTGTAGATAATTAAGATTATTGATTTTTGGGAATTCTGGGTTTGGAACTGAGCGAATTACCTCCAACGCCGAAATTCGCTCTATAGAATACCTATGCATGTTTTTGCATGTTATCGACGTTATATTACAAATATTCAGTAAATATTTGACTATTTATTAAAAGGTGAGTTTTTGCTCAAAAAGAAAGAAAAACGGCGACGAAAGAGGTACATGTAAGAGTTGAGAAAATAGAGTAAGTACTGTTCATGACGGAGAAGATTGTCATGGGTTGGAAACGACTATCTTTGGTTATAAAGATTACCATGGCAACAATACGGTTTCTTGGAGGTAACCTTGATTGTAGCCTTACTTGTCTTTAATTGAGAAATGAGTTCAACGACTCTCATTTCTAAAACTGAATTACAATCAGCATACTTAGTAAATAAATCCCTTCAGGCGGCTGGTATGTCGGCTAATAACGTATGTAGACGAGATTGTCCGAAAAATGAACATTTGACCGAGAAGCAAAGGTTTGAGGGCAAATAGGAAGTTCTGAGGACAATCTCTCAGTCAAGGACATCATTAGCCGACATGTAAGAAAGAGTTTTATTTATCTAATACCCCTCTCATTAATTTTCATATCGCACAAAAACCACTGACATAAAGGACAGTGCTTGTCTGATAGCGAAAGCGTATTTGCGATCAGCTTCTTATAATCACCAGTATAGCTTAGATCAGACGTAAGATCTCCGACATCAGCCGAAAACCGTCCCACATCAAACGGAAGCGTCCGAAATCGGACGAAGCCAGCCGAAATTAGGCGGAAATGTCCCGACGAAAGCGTCCGAGAAAAGTTCCACCCTCAGTCCTCCCTGGCTACGCTATTGTTCGAGCGGCATCCCTTATGAGCTAATAGTTTTATAAAAGTTGATTGAGGGTGTTCAGATTTCCTTTTTCCTGGTAGGGATCTGTTTCACTGACAGAGAAAAATCAACACTTCGTACTTTCCTTGTGAAGGTATTTGAGCGAGAGAAACTGGAATCGAAAGTTTAGGTGCGTCCTCAGCATCAACATACAGCGGTATCAACCGAAAACTTATTACGAAATCCAAGATGGCGGAAGAAAACTCCGATATTTTGCTTGGTTCGGTACAATTTGTCCTAAGCAATTGGTCAGTTTTACAAGTCGCTGTTGAAAATGGTTTTGGAGGGGCAGATACTACAGAAAAAGCAAAATGGATGGTAGATGTTGTAAACCAAGTGTTGCGAGATAACAGTATGTATAGAAGTTTGTCTTTTCTGGAAAGATGGATTCGAACTTGTTCGATAAAATTTCTTTGTGTAGTTATTATAGCATGTTTAATGCTTTTGAATGTAATCACCGGCTAGAGACCGTTGAGGCTGACCATTTTGTATAAGGTTTTAACAATAGGATTGAGATCTTGACTAAAGTTTCGGCTTTCTCGTCCAATGTACAAGTGTTGCTTTCTATGTATAGTTTAATTTCACGTGATAAGACTGAGTGTTGTCTAGTGCTGTGATTATGAAAATTTGGGATCTTGAAGTAGTAGGATAAACTGAAGTATTGTTAATAGAAGGGTGCGAGGAGTTAAAGGGAGGGGAACTGATATTTTCCTCTGTGCTTGTTTATTTATATATTTAATTTTTTTATCACCTAGAAGGTGACGCTTTTCTTACTTAACTGGACTAAAAGGCGATGACATTAGAGGGGATGTACACAAAATTTGGCCACAGAAATGAGGATAATACCACCTTCTCCCCACAAGAAAATTCGAGAAACATGAATGAACATTAAATAAAACAAGCATTTCAGGAATTTTGACCAGTATATCCAATAACACTGTCCAATTACATGGACTATCTCAATATGGCTTGGATATTACCCCAGTTAGCCAACTAAAAAAGAAATCAAAATCCTGTGACATTTTGTTTTTTGTGGTGAATTATTTACAGTGGAGCATAAGAGAAAAAAAGTGCTAATTCAGGGCACAAGTTTTAGTTGCTATAGCTTGCAGTAGGTCATCTTTTTTGATTGGGGTGATTTCAGATATTTAAATGCCATTATTAATGTTTTTATTTGTTACAGATACCATAGAAAACTATGAGTTAGAGGATTACATTGAGGAGATATTGTTTAATGAATTTGACACTATGGTGGAAGATGGTAGTTTATCAAAGGTAAGAATTGAATAATTACTGTCAAACTTATTAAACTTTGCTCTGAGAGAATAAATCTGGGCCAGGGTGTTCAAAGCTGGATAAAATAACCCAGGGTTAGTGTGAAATCTGACTGCAGATCTGAAAGCTTCAAAAGAAAACTCTGTATAAGTTTACTCTTTAATTTGGGCTATTACATGTAATAGGGTTGCTATTTATAAGATCAGAACAGGTAAAGCATCAAGTTGCAGCAACTTATCCTAAAGGCAGGTGGCATTAGAAATGTGCCTTGTGTGATGCAGACAGTCTTTGTTAAATTTAAACTTGTTTGAATTTGTGCAAGTGATCACAGGAGGAAAGTGAGGCACAGGGACTTGTTGTGGAGGCAATACACCTCAAACAATTTTCTGAGAAGATGTTTTGGCAGCAACTGGAAATTTGAAAGGCTGCATCATGTGATTGCATAATTTGCAAAATTGAAATTTTTCTCTCCTTTTCATGGGCATGATTTAAAACAATAATCTTAGAGGTTCATGTTTTATTATTATATTCTACTCCATTTGTGGGGCAGGTTGCACAGAAATTATGTGAATTTCATAGACTATGGAAGGAAGGAAAATTACTGCAGATGCAACAGCAAATAAGCTCAGCTCCTTTAAAAAGTTTACACCTGCAGTCAAAAGCAAAGCATCAGCAGCTCATAGTGATAGTGATGATGATGACATTGATGAGGAACAATTGAGGGGTACCGAAGTTCCCTGTAATGGTTATCACAAGGTAATGGTGGCTAAAGTTAGAAGAAAAACAAATTGCCATGTGATTTCATTGTGTTATGTGCTTGAGCGATAAACTTTACCCTCATTCTGCCCCTTTCTATCCCAAGGATAAATGGGTACTTGCAAATGATCAGGGAAGCTTGACAGAATTATCTATGTATGAATAAAGGGGGTAAGTTTCTGAAGAAACTGTGGTGTTGCATCAGTGAGAGAGTATAACAGGTTAATTTAGTTTTAACAACTGAGTTGAATATGTAAATTGGCCACTGTGAAGGGTTTAAATTGGCCACTGTAAAGAGTTTATAGGCTGACGTTTCGAGCAATAGCCCTTTGTCAGAATGACTGTCCAATCACTCTGATAAAGGGCTAATGCTCGAAATGCCAGCCTTTAAACTCATTATGGTGGCCAATTTACTTTTTCAACTCAGTTGTTAACACTAAATTACCAGAATTATCTATATACTGACATCCCACCTTAGGGGAGAAGCAACAGTCCTAGCAACTTCATGCTACAAAAACAGTGATAACAGCCTTTTGGATGGGCTGCATGGTTCTACAGCACACTCTACCTTAAAATTCTTGGTGGACAGGGTATGGTTGGATGGAAGGGGAATGATAGATGGGGATGAGAGAGTTGGAGAGTATAATCCATAACTTATCAGTATCCCAGACAGGACAAAGTTTTATGTGTAATGCCTTTGAAAGTAGGATATGATCCAACTTGTGGGCATGACCTTGTCACAAAGCACACTAAAACTTCTGTGTATGTTTAAGGATGACAGATTAAACAGTTCAACCATCAATCAGCAATTTAATGGACTTAACATCTCAGAGAATAGTGCACAATGTCAGCCCAGCTGCTCACAAACAGGAGCAACAGGAAATGAGGTGTCTAGTGGTAAGTATAGCTTAATTGAATTCAGTCTTATTTTCATCCTAATTGTAAACCATTGACCCTTTACATGTAACTTCAATTAGTGACCAAGACAGAATTTCTCCTTACACTATCAATACAATATCAAGCAGGCAAGTGATGAGAATAGAGACAAATATCAATTTGGAGATTATTAGTTGATCCAATACCAAATTCTCTGAATCAACATCATGAGGATTGTATGGCAGACAGTAAGGAGAATTACTAATGAGATCTTGGAAGTAAAAGGAAATTGATTAACTTTCTTCTCAGTGCTTGGTTTGTTTGCTTTTTTGTTTTTTTCATCTTTGCCTATGATGGTAAAAACTAAAAAGTTTAACATTTTTCCACCATTTAAACTTAGATTTTTGACCAAATTTCCAAAATACTTGGGCAAAAGTATCTGGTATACTACTGTAATACCCAAAATTTCTTAACCTGATTCAAATCTGTCACCAAATACACCTAAAATATTATTGTAAAAAAAAAAAAAATGAGAGTCTGTTTTGTTATAAGACAACACCTTTAAGACAGGGTTTAGTTTTATATATTAAGCAAATTCATTGCTAATGTCTTAATCCTTTAACTCCCATGAATGGCTAAGACAGAATTTCTCCTTACAATATCAATACAATATCAACCAGCTAAGTGATGAGAATAAAGAAAAATGTCAATTTGGGGATAACTAATTGATCCAATACTAAATTCTCTGAACTAACTTTATAAGAATTGTATTGTTGACAGCAATGGGAATTTCAAATTTGATGTGGGAGTTAAAGGGTTAAAGAGTTGGAGCTGACGCAATGGCGTGAACAGCTTGGTATAAATTCCAACAGACACACTAGCTGTCCATCCAAACGTACAGCTACTAAATTTAATTTGCTACGCGCGTGCGATAAAGGAAAAATCTTAGAACTCCACAGGGTATCGAATTTCTGATCTCTGGATTTCGCCTTCTTATGTTCTACGACTGAACAGTAAACGACTCGATGGTGAGTCAGACCACTGCGACGAACACGAGTGACAAAGGTACTGCATACTGCCAGGGTCGAGGACCAAGTTTGAGATTTTCTGTCTCAGTGGCGAATCCAGGGAAGGGTCTGGAGGTTCCAGAACCCTCTGTCGTCAGACCTGTGGTTAATATTCCTCCTTGTCTGAAACCAAAAAATCCTTCCAAGAACAGGATCACATATTGTTACTCAACTTGAAGTATTTGAAAGTTGTTAATATTTCTAGGCTTATTTAGGCTTCAGTGTTAAAACAAAAAAACTAGAGATAAAAACTTCTGTGTTTATTGAATAAAAGTTTGGACCCCTCCTGTCAATAATTTTCATTCCAGTTCAATTTGTTCGGCATAAACAGTTTAAATCTCTTATTATGGCCTTCACGGCCTGTTTCACTTCCCTGATCTTCCAACAGAAAAGAATTGGATTTAGAGACGAGTTGAAGTAAAGTAAGGATAGGAATGAATGAATAAATGGGATTTGACGAAACTTGCCACGATATTGAAGAAATGAAGCAACACAAATGGGAAGATAGCAAGAAATTAATCCGAGCTGTACCCATGCTATGGTAGAGACTGTTTTCTTGTATCTTGCTACATTTAATGCGGTTGACGCGACACTATTTGAAGCCGGTTTTTGTTCTGGAGGATGGTTCTGCACGTACTGCAGTTTGTGTCGAAGACGGATGTAGATGTTGGTGTAAGAGAAAGCCGAGATCACGAGAGAAATCAACTGACACAAATTGTACAGATGAATTGAAATATGAGAAATAAAGGCACACACAGCTAGTGTACCATTTATAAACCATATAAAAACAAGGACCCCGCGCACTCGCCTCAAGGTGGCAACGTATCTGTAATTCAGCCCCAAAAACAGCGCGAGAAGTCTATCCACACTTATTGCAGCAGACGTCGCGAGAGATACTCCACAAAGGACGAGAGCGGACATTGGCAAAATTAGTCTAGTAACGTAACGGAAAATGTTCATGTCGAAGTTCGCTATTCCTGCGTTGACAAGGCTTGTTGCATACAACGGTTGTGAAATAAGTCCCACACAAAGGTCAGTCACTACCAGACATTGTAACAAAACTTTCGTCGGAGAATGAATCGAAGTCACTTTGTGTAGAGCAAGTAAGATGATAACATTGCCTAGCGATGCAGTGACCGAGAAAGCGATGTTTATTGCTGCGAAGACTGCAGCCGCTTCTACCGACGGATGGAGGAGTTTTTCCGTGGTGTTTTCCCCTGGCATTTTTCTTTGGACAGCGTTAGTAAGGAAGTTAAATGCCATGGTCGTCTGCGCTATTTATGGCCGCTCTTAATGGATGGTGCTTTAATGAGCAGCCCACGATAAACCATTTAATTTGGGATCAGCACTTGATGGCTGTACCATCTGAGTTCCAATAAAGCGGCTACATTCGTCAATTGAATGAAACTTTTCCACTAAGTTGAAATGACGAAAAAATTGCAAAATTCTACTGATTTATTGTTATATTGATTTTAATTAATTTTCAACAAAAACAAATGAAAACTAAGTGTTTCTGAACCACCGATTTAATTTTGCGTTAATCTTCGAAATGTTTGAATTTGCAGTTAATAATTTTTTTTTGCAAAATATGCTCCGTGCGCTTCTTGTTCGTTATTGCACTTTGTGAGTACAAAGATGAAATTCGGTTTAATATTCGCGTGGCTAAAACTAAAAAGAAAACTGTTTTATTTCCTCCTGCAAAAAGACTCGTTACATTTATTCGGTATAAGTAATTACGCGGCAAGTGCAGGTTATTGCACGGACCAAAGAAATTACCGCAAGTTAATGCCCGTAATTAAAACAACATTTTACTTACCGCCTCGGATATCAACGCAGCCTCCTCTAAAAGGCTATGCAGCAACCATTTGGAATATGAAAGCCCATAGCAGTGGTTATTAGATCGAGAAAAGTTGGGATATAAGAAGAAAAAGTTTATAACGACCTTTTCAAAACTTTCTGAGTTTTAATTGTTTACTTTCATCTTGAAGAAGATAATGTACGTGAATTTTGATCTTTTTTTAAACTTCTTTTTGCCTTCCGGAAGGCAGAAAAGGAACCAACCACTAGTAATGAAAATAGAACAATTTGCAGAGGTAACTGTAAGCGGACTATACAACATCACGCATCACTGTAAATACCTTGATTCAAGTTACCTGTTTCAACCGGTGAATTTTCTTAGCAGTGGTAGAAGTAATATTTAGCTATTTTACTTACCAGTTGTCGACATTTATTACAAACGAGATGAACGTATCTATAATTTTAAAATTTATATAATTCAGTTACATGTAGGTCTTAAGAACAACTGTTCGTGATATTTATAAATACATTTATGTTCATTAAATACCCTGAATTTAAGCTCGAGGTTAAATTCGCGTTCTACTTTCCGTAACAAGAGTATACAGAGAAAAAAAGGCTTGTAAAGTGTTCGTCTTAGCTCTATGGCCTGTGCAGCTGGCTCGAAAGGGAACAGCGAAGCCGCGGAACGAGTGAGGAGGTTTCTTCACTCGGAGCGCTGTCGCTCATTTTCGTTTTTCTTCCGACTCGTGATTTATCGTCGGAGCGCTATAGACATCTCCATGAAACGTGCTGATGGCAATATTCAGTTTCATTTACAATTTCACCAAACAAACATCGAACATATTTCTACTAAACGCCTGCAAAATTAAGTTCAACACAAACTGTAATTAAGTGTTAGGGATAGAATGTAAATAACAGAATCAGTTATGTAAAAAAATATATTCATCCTCAATTAGTCCTGTTTTATTTATTGAACTTTTGTATTTATTCTTCACATGCATCAATGTTAGTTTACATACAATCTTTCAGTCGCACCAACTGAATATCGCGAAAAGTAGGTAAAGGCACCTTTAATTTTTCGTGCGTTACTTCTTTTAAATGTTTGGCGACATCTCTGTGATAGCTTTATATTGCTAACTTAAAGTTGCTTTCCCATTTGGAATTATTTGGGCGACAAACATTTCCCTTCTTTTTCTCTGGTTCAATAAAATCGTCCGACTGGCCCCAATCCACGAAAACAGTGCTTTATCCTCTACAATGTAACATCAAATGGACGATTCGAGTGAAGCCTTTAGAGCTACAGCGTTTCTTTATTATTCCAGCGTTCTTTACGGCATATTCAGGGAATGTGGCCGTCAGGGTCTCAACCGAATCGTTCCTTTAATTAACATGCTACCGAAGGACAACTTCAAACGTTTTCTCTATCATCAGCATGCATGTTCTCTGTACTTTTCACCGCACTTTTCCTGTGGTATTGGTAAATATAAATTGTTTGACAATCGAGAGCTTCCTTAGCGAAAATGTCTTTTATTCTCATTATATCGCTATTTGATGCAGCAGTGAATTGTATGGAGAAATTAGGTGCGTCCAAATAGTCTGACCTTCTAGTATTTAATTCCCATCACATATTTAATCATAATATTAATTTCACTGGGGCAGCATTTTTTCGAAATGAGACGACAGCGACGGGTACGCATATTGATGTGAATAATCCTGATTTTGCGTAGTAAGCCTTGTGTAGCATACGTATGCTGTGTAAAGGGACCGGTCATCATTTATCATGGGAAGGGGGGGGGGGAGGTGGGTCGGAGTATTCCGGTCGTGCCAAAATAAAATTCACCTGATACCCCTAAGGATGTGTAATATACTAACGTTCCTCCCTAGTTGGAAGTCAATTTTCTGTAGTTTCCCCCCCCCCCCAATGTTCTTATTGCAACGACTGATCCCTTCCCCTTTGCCCCTGAAAACTGTGCTCCGCTAGAATCTTCGGATCAACCCACCTCAAATGGCTAGGGCCCTAGGTGATCCTCGCAGCAATGTACTAACGTTATATATAATTCCATTTTCCTTTTAATTCTATTTGCAGAGCATTTAACCGTTCAATCGATGAACCAAGATGAGGAGGAAGAAGGATGGGAAGTCGTTCGACGATCGAAGAAACGTTAAACGAAGTGCCTGAAATGAAAAAAAAAAACGAAATTAAAAGAGATATGTTATACTGACAAACTAATGTGTGTTTCTCTGTGTCTTTCCTAGTGTAATTTCCTTTCAAAACAACGCGGTTCAGAAGTGCTAGTTGTTTTTTATGAATTTTATATTTGAGGTAACAAATCCTAGAACATGGTTCATGGGTTGCCTTTTCGGACAGAACTGGTGACCGTTTAGATTCTGATATTTTCAAACACTTCCAGTAGTATTTCCTCTCCATGGGAAATTCAGGGCGTTTTAATTAGAATTTTCAGTCATTTAACTAAGTAAGTGAAAGAAACATTAAACAACGAAGTCAAGTATTTACACTATTGTGAGATAACTGTAAAAGACTTAGCTTTACATCGTGCAAGAACTAAGAAAATACGCAAGATTATGTAAGGCCCTCGGCCCAGCTGATTAAAATTGGAATGTTAAATTCGTGCCGAATAGTTAAAGTCGTGCCAGGAAAATACTGAGGTGGTGAAAAATAAAGTTGAGGTGGTGAAAAAAAAGTTGATGAGAAATACGAGATGGCACAATTTCAAATCTTGGTTTAATTCATAGATCCATAACGTGGCACTTGCGCCAGTAGTCGACACTTTGTTACGATACAGCACATCGTGTTGCACAAGGCTGTACCAAGTGTATTACGATGTTCTGCCACTATAATGTGGAAAAGAATTTGTGAGCAATGAGCTATTCTGCCGTCGATGTGGAACCTTAAAGAAAAAAAAGGATTACGAGTTACAGCCGCGATAAACCCGAAGACGGAGCTGATGAAATAAATTCACCTTGTCTTTTTTAATTTTTTCTTTTGCGGCAGTAAAGGGGTAAAGGGGAGGAAATTGAACAAAAAAATAATGACAGCTGTGTTAGGGGAGGGGAGAGGGGAGGTGGAGGAAGTGTTATGACTCATATTTGATCAAAGAATGCAATCACTTTCCGCTTGGTTTATTGTTGAACCCGGTAAAAGTTGAGCATTTTTGGCAACTGAAGAGCAGTTCAGTATTTAATGGTCCATTCTCCTTTCCTCATCAAACAGAGAGCTTATTTACTTTGTAGTATATCATTGAAATAAATTCTTCAATAACAACTTGTACTGAACAAAGGAAAAGGATTTAGAGAGCATATACACGAACAATGGAAAAAGTAGAATAAGTTATAGAGAATCCAATTAGGTATTGCATATTACACCTGCAATAAAATTACATGCGGAAAACATGGAACTAAAAATAGTATAATTTTCTAAATTTTTAAATTTAAGTATGGACGTTGGCATAAATATTCTCTCTCATCAAAAAGTTTAATAGATGACTGTAATACTCTAAACACTTCCTACCCAAATATTCCTCAGTCTGTTGCAATTGGATTCCTCGTTTGCGACACGTTAAGATCGTGATCACGTGGCTGTTTATTGTTTTTTTTTTGTCGTGGCTCGAAGATATTTACATTATCAATTACAAGCTTCTAATGATCACCATTTTTAATTTTCATAGTTTTGCCTAAGAAATATTATGCTTCTCATTTTATAAGATACCTGGTTAGAGCTAGTTTGATCCCATTTGGTTATTTGATCTCCGACATCGCTTAAAATATTCTGTATAAGGACCTTTCCTTGGGGCGTATACAGTCAGTATTGTATACGGTAAATATGAGGATGTGTAAGGTCCGTATAATGATCAGTACACGTCAGGGTATGCTAAGAAAATACCAGGACCGTATACACATGTGGTATAATTCTTTATTGTTCAGTATTCATCCCATTACACATTATGAATACTGTGTGTGACATGCAATATACTGGTATGTATACTCGGCAGATATACGGATTGTTATACTCCATATGGAATTCCTTATAGCTAAGGGTACAAAGCAGCATATGTACATATCGGACACTACATTAAGACGAATGCATTCTGAGAATATCTACGGAGTATGCGGATTGCTATATTTTTGCTTGGGTTCATTGCATTCAGAGCAGGGCATCGACGAAATGATATCGAAACAGACTGAAAAACGGGAATATTCGTTGAACTTTAATTTGGGACCAATAAAGGAGTATAGAGTGTTGAAATAAGTGCATTGTAAATGACAAAAGGAGTATACTGCTTAGACGTTAAATTACGAAAAGAAACAAGTTCTCACGAGTGAAACTATTTTATTTGTATTCAACGGCACCATGCGCATGGCTCTCATTGGGAACTTTGGCAAAGAAATGCAGGAAAAACAGAAATCAA